GCTAAGATTAACTAGTAACTATCTACTATAATAGAGCGTTAGCTACGCCTTAACGATAATAAGAGCCGTTAAATACTAAAGTAGAGCTTTACGAAGGAGCGTAGTAAGCTATCTCGTAATAGTAAGAGGAGAATTAACTAGTATAGGTATTAGAAGGACGTATTATTACCTCTAATAGTACTCTTTATAAAGTAGTACTAGTTAATTATCTAAGAAGACGGTACGCTAGCTTATAAGCACTTCGCTAACGTCGCTATATACTCTAAGCTATCTATTAAGCGCCTCCTTTAGCCTAGAAACTTACCTAATTTAAATATAATTAAGCCGGCTTAGTATTAGATAAAGAGAAAGACTTAGTTATATAGAGACTTTAAGAAGAAGCCTAAATTGCGTAAGATCTAGTAGTAAACGTAGGCCGAGCTACTATAGGCTACTATCTAACGCTAGATTTGTCGAATTATCCGCTATATTAAAGAAGTTATCTAGTTTAAAAGAGGTAACGAGTATCGTAAAAGTTCGGAGGATCGGCTATATAATAAGCGTACGAAAGCGTTTAATAGTCGATAGGTAGGCTCGGAGGTAACTATCGATTAGATTATAGAGAGTATTAGGTAGCGGTAAATCGAAAATAAGAAAAAAGAAGTAGATAATACGAAAAGAGAAGTAAAAAATACTCGTACTCGTAAGAAAGCGGCTTAAAGACAGACTATAACTAAGAAGGCGCGCCTATCTATTACTACTAGGCTTAGAGCGACTAATAAAGAGTTAGTACTAATATAGAAAAATAATACTAATAAGTAAAAGAGGTTATAACGTATTTAAAAGAAGTAGTAGTATAGGCTAAGAAATACTACTATATAGGCTCTATAATACCTATAGATATTACTACTAAGCGAGTAGTTAACGGCGTTATAAAAATAAAGTTTAGGTACGGGTATAGGCGTTAGGATATAAGTAGGAGTCGAATCCCCTTAAAATGTCTATACTATAAATTTGTGTAATAGTGTTATTAATTTTTGCGTGAATATCTCAGAACGCGCGTGCGCAGACATGAGCACGGGACCAAGCTCCCGGCCCGCTCCCGAGGGGGTGGCAAGGACTTTTGGTACCAACCTCCGTATTACTATCCTCCTCGTTCTCGCTGGCGGCGGAGTAGTGGGCTGGAACGCAAAGAGCACTGGCCTCACCCTTTCACGCTCGCCGAGGTTGTTTTCTCCACAGCCAACCATAACCCGACGATCGACTGTACATTCATCTACTTTTGACGTCCTCGACTCGCTGAATTCCTCTCTCCCACCTTTCTTCACCCATCCAAGAGAGATTATACCACAATCATGCCTGAGAGAGTCATTGTTGTCGGCGCCGGCCGTGAGTGCGAACGCAGGCGACACAGCAGGCATTGGCTGACGAGCGAGCAGTTTCCGGCCTGAGCGCAGCCCACACCGTCTACCTGGCGGGCGGCAATGTCCTGCTTCTGGACAAGAACAGTATGGAATGGCAGAAATGCGGTATTTGGGGATTTGCTGACATTTAGGCCAGACTTCATGGGTGGCAACTCCACAAAGGCCACTTCCGGTATCAACGGCGCTTTGACCCGCACCCAGGTCGACCATCAGATTGCCGACAGCGTCAAGCAATTCTACGACGATACCATCAAATCCGCACGAGAGAAGGCCCGCCCAGATCTCATCAAGGTTCTCACATACCAATCCGCATCCGCCGTTGAGTGGCTGCAGGATGTCTTCAACCTCGATCTCACGCTCGTCTCGCGGTTAGGGTAAGTAGTCATCAAATACCGAGACTCGTCTCGAAATGCGATTCTAACGAACTGCCAGAGGTCACTCCTTCCCCCGAACGCACCGTGGCCACGATGCCAAGTTCCCCGGTATGGCCATCACCTACGCGCTGATGCAGCGTTGGGAAGAGCTCTGCGAGAAGGACCCAGAACGGGTGGAGCTTATCAAGAAGGCCAAGGTCAAGAAGGTCAACATGGACGGCGAGAAGGCCACGGGTGTGACATACGAGTTCAACGGCGAGGAGGTGACAGTCAACGGCCCAGTCGTTCTCGCGACAGGTGGTTACGCCGCTGACTTCACCGAGACGTCGCTCCTCAAGAAGCACAGGCCGGATACCTTCGACCTGTCCACCACCAACGGAAACCACGCCACTGGTGACGGTCACAAGATGTTGATGGAGATCGGCGCACAGGGTGTTGACATGGAGTCTGTCCAGGTCCACCCAACTGGTCTGGTCGACCCCAAGGACCCAACCGCCAAGACCAAGTTTTTGGCTGCTGAGGCCCTCCGTGGTGAGGGTGGTCTTTTGATCAACAGCAAGGGCGAGCGATTCGTCGACGAGCTCCAGCACCGTGACTTCGTCTCCGAGAAGCTGTGGGAACAGAAGAAGGCTGGCAACTGGCCAATCCGACTCTGCTTGAACAGCAAGGCCTCCAAGACCCTCGACTTCCACACCCGCCACTACTCTGGCCGTGGTCTGATGAAGAAGATGACCGGAAAGGAGCTCGCCAAAGAGATCGGCTGCGGCGAGGCTGCCCTCAACAAGACCTTCACCGCCTACAACAAGTACGCCAAGGGCGAGGAGAAGGACCCCTTCAACAAGAAGTACTTCCACAACTTCCCCGTCGAGGTCAACGACGACTTCCACGTCGCGCAGATGGAGCCCGTGCTGCACTTCACCATGGGTGGTATCGAGATCAACGACCAGGCCCAGGTCCTGAAATCCAACGGCGAGCCTTTCGAGGGTCTCTTCGTCAGCGGTGAGTTGGCTGGTGGTGTCCACGGCGCCAACCGTCTTGGTGGTTCGTCTCTCCTCGGCTGCGTCGTCTACGGCCGTGTCGCAGGTAACAGCTCCAGCAAGTACCTCTTCCAGCAGGCCCTCAAGGGCGCCGGTGGCGTCGCCGCATCCCGTGCCGGCCTCATCAGCCTGCACATCGACCCCAGCACACCCGGCAAGTTCTCCGTCGAGTGGGGCTCAGGCTCCGGATCCGGCGCCGGCTTCAGCGACGACTCCGCCAAGGTCCAGCAGCAAGGCCAAAAGTCCGCTGCTCCCGTCCTCGGCGGCTCCAAGGACAGCAGCCACCCAGGCAAGAAGTCTGAGGCCAACGACCCCAAGAACTTCAAGGTTCCCGAGAAGGAGTACTCGCTCGAGGAGGTGGCTAAGCACAACAAGAAGGAGGATCTCTGGATCGCCGTCAAGGGTGTTGTGATGAACGTTACCGACTGGGTCGATGAGCACCCTGGTGGCCCACAAGCGCTCTTCTCGCACATGGGCAAGGATGCGTCGGAGGAGTTTGAGATGTTGCATGATGATGAAGGTTCGTGTTCGATACCTAATTGCTTTGAGGTCTACGCTGACAAGTCGACAACAGTTATTCCCAAGTACGCCGCTGAGATCGTCATTGGTCGAGTAAAGGGACAGGAGATAACGTGAGTTCAGGACTATTACTATTACACCGAGTGAACGACGATGCTAACATGTCTTGCAGACTCATGAAGGACGCATAAGCAACCAAAGCACCGGCGTTTGATGGAAAGCTTCAAGGATTCTGAATGCCAGATGTGTTGTTTGTTGTGATATGTAGAACCTTATGTACAGTTTTGTTCTCTCTCCCGACCTTCTCGGCCTCTTTCAGTCTTTCTCTCCTCCGGCGTAACTTGTTGCCGTCTTGTCCTGGTGACACCTTGATTGGAAGGTAAGGGTGTACGGGGCGGAGTACGAGGTCGTGTGATGCTTCTGTTGGATCTCCTTTGCAACCCCCATCCTTTTCGCAGCTGGAACAGAGCCCAGAGATGCCTCCGGGGTGAGATGCTGGTAAGTTGAAGTCGTGGTTGTTCAACCTGCAACGACATTAGCAATTGTCTTCTCGAGGAAAATGATAGAGTCGTAAGACTCACCCATTCAATATTCCTTGTCCGCGACTTGTTCCCTGGCGGGGACTTCTTCGATCTTGCCGGTGGTCCTGGACCATTGCAGGTGGAGACCTTCATCAGGGGTGAAGTCGAACTCGCTTCTATACAACATCACCCGATAAATCTTCAACTCCGTGAGCCCCTTCCAGGCTGTCCAGCCAGCGAATGTCGAGGGCGGCACATTAAACTCGCTAAGGCCATCCTGGTAGTTGACGCGAATGGAGAGGGACAACACATGCGTCGCCCGCTCCATGAAGCTCGAGAGCCAGGCTTGGTGAGCTTCAACATCCTTGAGGTCTTGGATTAGGACATTCGCTTTGACAGAGCGCACGCTGTTTGGGGGCACCGGGACGGTTTCGTAGTCGTCGTCAGGCCAAGTATGGCGAGTGCAGAACAAGGTTTAGCGCCGCGCTAGCGTCGCACGTCACGATGTCACATGAAAGCGAAGGAGCAAAAGAAATGTCACAGGGCAGTTGCAATTGGCTTGTAAAAGTAGTCTCATTGCTCAGTAGAGCTACGCAAAAACTACTGTTGTGATGACTTGTAGAACCGCAACACTTCACTTTCCACCCTCGAAGCTATCCTTCGTCGACCACATCGCATGTCGCACTTCCCGTTTCCAAAGGACCTACGCGATGGTCTAAAAGCTTTGCCTCAACAATCCGCGATATCGCAAAAGCTGTACTGTCTCTCGTCGTAAACCGCGCACTCCCAAGCCGTGAACGCAATTCAGCTCGATGCTGCCATCTTTCGCACCTCATCTTGTGCGGAGACCCCTTTCCACAATTAGCAAAGCGTTCAAGTCCAATAATGTGATCTAGACGTATGCAAATCGTACCTTGATTATCAGGGTTCACTCTTTCCTACCGAGGAATCGGCTCCAACGCCTGCTTCTCGCGCGACCACTTCATCATCGGAACAGAGTCCTTCTCCAATCCTGACCGGAAGTCTGCATAATGTCCACGTGAAGCACCACTGACCTGCGCGTCGAAAGAGACCGGGCAAAGCCGAGAAGCTTTACTGATTAACTTCCCCACCATTTCCTGCAGATTGGCGAGGTCGAGATGGCTCATCTTGATGTTGAGTCGAAAGGCGGTGCATGAAGTGCATGATGGCAGTAGCGAGGTGAGAGCAAGCAACCAGCCCATATAATAGTAAAGGTCCTGGTCCGGGCCATGGGGATGGATGCTGATGTTGAGCGTGATGGTGGTGTATGCAGCTGTTGGGCCTGGCAGCTTCAAGGCGTGGGAGTTTCCGGTGTCATGGGTGTCCTCTAGCAGCAGAGTCTTCTTTGTCTTCCGTGCGCGGGCCTTGTACTCTTGTCCGAACTGCTTGGAGACCAGTAGCAGATTTGCACGCGGCATGTTGCTGAATTTGTACTTCAGTCCGCCGCACTTGAGGTTGCCTCTCACGTCCTGGAGGCTGTCGGCGTAAATCATGTCGCGCATTTCAAGAGGCAACTCAAAGAAGGGGAAGACATCTCGAGAACGTCGTGGCTCGGCCATGAGTGGGCCTCGCCGATTGGAGTCTCTGAGCGACGTGATCTTGGAGAGGCTGCTCGAAGAAGAGGGTGTTTGCGAAGCAGATTAGGTGTCTGAAGCCGAGTACTTGTTTGGAGCGGAGCGCGTGTTTGAAGTCGAGTGCGTGTTGGGAGCAGTGCGGGCGTTTGTACTGAGATGTCGGAAGAAGAAGTTGCGACGCCGAAGCTCGACTTTTGCAGGAAGGAGCGGCTGCTTACGTCACGTCACTGGCGCCATCGACGAGTCACATGAAAAGCAAATAGGTGAATGAAGCTGATTTTCTACCGACTGCGATCCCTAGCATTCCGCTACGTTGAACACTCGATCAGTGACGTAGTGTATGAGCCGCAATGCTGTGTCCATTATACCAGCAGATTGAGTCTTCCCAGTGTCTTGGGAAGTCTCAAGCAGATGACAGGTGAAGACTTGTGCAGTCTCCCCAGAAGACCTCCTCCTCCAACCCCAACTCATTTCGATGATCTCTCTCTTGCCAAGGCAATATCGTGCGAGAGTACACTAGTCGATGTCAGAAAGTGCTTCACGGATTCGGAAGACTTCATTCCCTTACCTCAGACTTCAGTTCTCCACATCTTTCGCCTCGTCCGCAATGATATCCTCGAGCTTGCCCTTCTCATGAGACGAAGTTGGTATCCGAGGGTAAGCGTGAGTAAAGCTTCTCCAGAAAACTTTTCAACAAGACACGTCTCGATGGCTGGGAGTCTCGAACAGCTTTGATCGTAAGCTGGAGAGAAATGGAGCACGAGAGTCGCTCGAGAAGCTCCAGCAGCCAGCGTTTGTGTAGGCGAAGTTCTTTGTAAACGTCGTCAGGGAAGACAATGATGGAGACGGTTATGCAAGAGACTGCAGTCAACGGCACGGGTATCGAACATTCTGAGGTGATGGGGGCCGTAAACGTGTCGAATATCTGGAGCTCTTTTGATGCGCGTTCCCTGTATTCCTGCATGAATTGCTTCGAAACCAGCAACAGGTTCACTCCGGCGGTGCCCGCCGCGTGATACTTCAATCCTCCGCGTCGCTGGAGCTTTCCATGACGATCTTTCAAGCTCTTGTCGTAAATGCCGCCGCGAAGTTCGCGTGGTAGGCGAAAGAACGGAAAGACGTGTCGGGCCTGTTTGGTTGATTGAGGCTGTTGCGCCTCGGTCGGGGTGGGTAGCCGTCCACGAAGGACGAGGACGGACTCCATCTGGTGCGTGGCCTTTGTGGTTGTTGGAGGAAGTTGCGACGTGAAGCCGAGCTTGAATTTGGAGAAACGGCGCTGCTTTTGTCATGATTGCGATCGGCGAATCACATGAAGCTTGGCAGGGGAGTGAATGTGGAAGTAAGTATCAGAGTTGTCCACAGAATGTACACTTTACATGACTCCAATGAGCCCGAATAAGATGTTTGAGGCATATGTGATGTTCACAGAAAACACTACGACTTTGACTGCAGAATCAGGATGGGTTCATTTCTGTACCATCTGTGTGGAAACGAGCGCTCTTGGACTTGCCGCAGCGCGGCTCCTCTCGCTCACACTACGTTGATGTAGTGGCATCCAAACCCAAAAGTCTCTCTCCTGTGGCCATCAATACCTATGGCTTCTTTCGTAACATTCGAAGAACTCCTCGCTGCTGTACGGAGGTTCCGATGTCTCACATCCCAACATCCAGACATGTCTTGATGCCTTGCACGGCCTGCGTCGCTGAAAGTTAGCTGAAAGTTCGACACACTTCAGTCAGGCGTGGAGAATGTACCGTAGTAGAAGTGGTCAGAACTTTTCCACCAGCCTGGCGAGAGCGTGTTGTACCCCTGCCGGTTCGAACGTCTCCCATAAGCCACTCTCAGCAGACCATCTTAGTACCAGCAAGTTTTGGTATTCGAAGTCGAAAACCTCGTATCTCATGTCCTCTGCGAAGACTTCAAGTGAAACCAACTTCTGCACGGTGGCGAGGTCTCGCAATAATTCGCGGACATTCCCCATAAACCCCCGATACGTAAGGACAATTTTGACAGAGAGCGACGTGAGATGTGAATTAGCAGCGGCGATGGTTGATATCCGGCTTTTGTGCCGCGAGAGAGACCATGAACCGCCAGCAATGTCGATCTTCAGTATCTTGGTTGCTCTCAGAAGGGTTGGCAGCGGCATAACGTCTGTACTCAAGTCGTCCAAGTCCACATCAGGTCCATCGGTCAAAGTTGTGGCTTGTTCCTTCTCAGCACGCTCCTTGTACTCGTGTGCGAACTGTCGGTTAATAGTCATGAGCTTCACTTCTGCCATGTTGACGACTGTGATTTGGAGCTGGCACGGGAGCTTCTTGCTCACGGACGAGATAAGCATCTTATCATACGCCATGTCGCGAAGCTCTCGAGGCAAGTCGAAGAAGGGGAAGATGTGGCGTTTGGAGTCGTCCTGCGGAAAATTCGAGGCGTTCGCAGAGGTAGGTGACGTTGTGGAACTGTTCGGCTTCACCACGCCACGAATAGTGTCCGTGTAGGTGGAATGTGGGTGAACCACAGGGGTTGGCGGGTTTGTAGAAGTCGTCGCATTGGTAGAGGACATCGACTTGGTATCGGCAGAGGTAGCCGAATCGGCAGCAGTCGGACTGGTGGTAGCGGTCGTCATGTTGGCAGAAGCTACTTGGCTGTTAGGGTCCATAACACTGCCAACAGTATCCGTGGCGGCAGAAGACATCGTATCGGCAGAAGGGACGAGACTGAAAGCGTCCGTCTTGTTCGTCGCGGCCGCTCCTTTCTTGGATGTCCGCAGCTTGCTCGAAGCCATGCCCTCCTCTTCACTGGACGCCATGTCGAGCGTGATGGTATGTTGTCACAGATTGAAGGAAGCGCAAACAAAAGGAACCCTGGAAGCTGGTTTGAAGCCGGAGAGCCACAGGAGGAAGTCACGCTAGCAAACCCAAATCGCAAGTGAACGCCTGTGCGCACTTTCACATGCTCATCCGCCTTTCTCGGGCAACCACAGCTTCTTTGCACATTCGACTGATCACTATGAAGCAGTGCAGTCTACTTGGGTTGAAGAGGATCGGCATGGCGACCTGTTGCTATGTTTGATTTTCTGGTTATTTAGGAGCTTGACTGTTGAGACCCATCCACTGCCATGTGCCAGGAGGCTATAGGCTATAACATAATCTATACTCTAATCACTGGTCACGGGGGGTGATTCTGATGCACCCAATCACTTACTGAACACACATTCACTCCCCCACAACCCCCTCCGCCCTAAACCTGCCCAAATCCGGCGGACTCCTCAGCGCACCCACATTCCTCACAACCCTCACCTCCGCCGCCCTGGTCAACTTCAAATGTCTCCCCATCTCCCTCTCCCTCTCCGCCTCCTCGCCCGTCCCCTCATTCAACTCCGTCTCGCCCTCCATCCCCTTCGCCACAACCTGATAATGCTTCTCCGTATCCTTTAGCACGGCGTGCATACTGGCCAGAACCATCTCCGTGGCTTTCGCGAGGGGAAGGTCTGGACCGGAGACATCGTCGGGGCTCTGCCAGCTGGATTTGTTGGCTACACCGGCGGTTTGCACGGCTTGGCGGAGGCGGGCGACGAGGAGGGCGGCGAACATGTCGCCTGTGCCGGAGAAGAAGATGGGGAGCGCTGGGACCGTGATGCGGAAGAGTCGCGGCTTGCCCTCAGACGTCGCCGTCGAGCCCACAATCGACAACTTCGCGCCAGTATTCCCATTCCCATTGTCCTCCTCACCCACCTTCGGCGTCGAAGCAGCCGTAGGAGGCAACCTCACCGACGTAATCAACACATGCGGCAGGGTATACTCCGTATGCAACTTCTCCACCGCCTGCACCAAACTCCCAAAATCCGTAATCTTCACATCACTCAACAGCTCCGCCTCAAACTGATTCGGCAGGATCAAATCCGCATCTTTCAACAACCCCTTGTACGCCGGGACACACTCTGCCGCGACGTAGATGCGTCCGTTATCGCCCATGACGGGATCCAGAATCCAGAAGAACGAGCCCGGTTTCGTGCTCCCGCGGAGTTTGGCGTCTCGGCCGATCTTGCCGACTTCTGAGATGACGCCCGCCGAGGGGCAGTAGCCGGAGAGGAGCATTTCGAAGTCGTCGAGGCGCGCATTCTTGAGGCCCGTGTAGAGGTCGGCGATTTCTTCGGGTGGGGTCTTGCGGCCTTTGAAGGTCTTGTAGGCGGTGTGGTTGCCTGTCACATACTGTCATGAGCAGGCTGGAGGAGTGGGAGGGGTGCTCGCATGAGGCCTTACTGAAATTCACGGTATGGATCGCAGACACCTCGCAGCCCAGGGCTTGCATGCAGAAAGTCGCCATTGTGTTGCCGACATAGCTTCTTACTCCTCAGCGTCTGATCTCTGCCCGTCTGTAACGATCTAGACTTACCCTGCAGTCACCTTTTCGCAGCCATTAGCTTATCACCGCGTTATACACTGCCTGGAGGAGGAGCACCACCCACATGACTGGCAACGGCCAGAACGTGAGTCTCCGGCACCTCTGCGTCGCCATTGCCCAGACCTTGAGCTGGCGTAGCCATGGCTGGAATAGGAATCTGTTCGCGCAGTGTTTCGCAAGAGGATTATCTTGGTGTACAGGTTGTTGGGGAGGAGCAGTAAATGGACGCAGCAAGCAAAGCTAATCAAGACATGACGTTGGCCGCGCAGATCACCAGCGCAGCACAGTCATCCACCAAGAAAAGTGAAGTCGCCAACGCCGGACCGGCCGCTTCATTTTCGCCGATTAAACGGAATGCAGTCCGTCGCAGCCGAGCATGACCTTGTCCTTCGCCCGTACACAATTCCATCCATCCCGTCCATCGCTCATGCAGGGTGACACACATTGCATTCGTACCATGCAGCCCAGAATATCCGATCTGCGTCCCATGTTTGGAATGCATACGCGAACCGACGACACCTCAAACACCGCATCCATTCGATTCCTCATTTAGTCCACTATACGAGCTGAGACATTTACTCTTCGTCGCCGATCTGAAAAGACTCGTATCAGCATGCTGTTCTGTTAATAGAAGTGTGATTGTGCGTACCTTTGGCGCGAGGTAGAATCGCAAGTAGCTGTTGTTGCTGAGACCGTACTCGACGAGCAGAGGCACCTCGTTGCTGAGGCAGAGCTTGACGGAACTGCTAAGGCCGGAAGCTTTGCAGAAGTTCATGAGGTACTTGAGCGAGAATGTGAGTGCGACGGGTTCGGAAAGGTTGATCTCGATGTTCTGCTCCGGCTTCTCGACGTTGGTGTGCGAGCGAAGGGTGACGGATCCGTTGCCAATGTCGCCAGTGCACTTGAAGCTGACACCGTCCTTTGTGCACTCGATGGAGACTGCCACAACATCAGTATCATGTCTCAAGCTCTTCCCTTGCCCACGCAAGACCTACCGGACTCGCTAAGCGCCGTCAAATCCCTCGTGATACGTTGAAACTCCGCGCTGGGCATCTCAATCGTGGCCGCATACTCCGTCTCAGGAATACCCAAATGCTCTTGATCGATATCCATCAGCTTGATATCGTACTCCGCCATCCTGTCGCTCTCGGAGCTCTCGAACGTGAAGTTGACAACGTCCGGCGCATCCTCCGCCTTCATGGTCAGGATATCTTCGTTCGCGGCGCATCGCAGGACTTTGGTGAGCGAGCTGAGGTTGATGCCGAGGGCGATGTTGCGGTCGCAGCGGAAGGGCGAGAAGGATTCGGACTTGAGCATCATGGAGACGAGGGCGACGTGGGAGTTGTCCATGGCTTGGAGGGCGATGCCGGAGTCATTGCAGTCGAAGTTGCAGTCTTGGACGAGGTCCTTGATGGCGTCGACGACCTAGAGGACTGTCAGCTCGGGGTTGTGTACACTGTGTACACACGCGACCATCTCGTACCTTCTTGAGGAGAGAGGCCTGCTCGAGACGTGCTTCCAACACTGCCGAAATGTCAGTCTTGCTCTGAGTGTGGCAATTTGGGGACGATACTCTTGTCTGTGTGTTTGTGAAAGTTGTTGAAGTGAAGTCGGGATGATGGCTATCGCTGTGCAGTAGTATGCAGAGCTGAAGGTGTGCGTGTGTCTGGGAGATTTCGGTGGCCAGAAAGGACGACGCGCCAAAACGCGTGGGAGAAGCGCGATCGCGCGGGGCGGTAATTGCCAAGACATTTGCGGAGATAATCACGTGATATTCTTCCGAGAACTCTGTGGTGCCTGAGGCAACGAGTCAAGATGTTAAGAGCGGTCAGACACATGGGACCCCTCAGCGGAGTAGGATAACAGAATACTTTTTGCGCAAACGATCACTCATCACTGATTCATATGCACGTGGAGCACAACCTTCACTTCACGTTAAGCTACTACGAGAAGGGAAGGAGCCTCCACAACCCGCATCTCAACCATATAGCAAATTTTTCAAGAAAGCGCAAGAAGCTTCCAATGTATTGTGAGCGATCCTTCTCACAGACGGCAGGCTGGTCAGAGCGATCGCAGAGCTGTCGTTGCAGTGTTGAAATACATTGCCGCGTGTCGAGGTCATCTGGACGATCGTCCAATCTGTTGTAGGGATGGCCGCCGTGCTCTACATCGCAGGAAGCAGAGGATGTATCCGTCGCATTTGCATCCTGGTCTTCAAGGGCTGCTGACATACTGTGCGCCACAATCGAGCATTTGCGAGGTTGTGTCTTGCAGCGGCAAAGCTTGGTCGAGACTCAAACTGAATGTTGTGGGTCGATGTGGAGGTTACAGACGCGGACGGTAAAGCAGAAGTGGAGTGAGTGTACCAAAGTCGATGGGGTTCAGGAAAGCAAACGAAACTCTCACCTTATCGTCTGCATATAGCGAAAGGCTCCGCCGCGGTGCAAAGTTCAGGAGGTGAACTCGGCACTTGACTTTTGCGTACGTGGTCACGGCCGAGAGTCGCTGAATCAGCTTAATAAGTAAAGCATGGACCTTGGAGTTCGCCATCGATGGATTGTATTGGGCGGCAGTCATCTGCAGCTAAATTGAACGACATGCCATCTCTCGAAACTTCCACCTCATTTCGTACCGCCTCGGTAATAGGAGTGGAGGTGTTATTGGAGCGCAGCCCCCACTGACCGACATGTCGTAAAGATTGGTAACCGCTTAACCGATTCCAGGCGGTGAGTGCTCTGTCGTCGTGAGTGGACCACATCCGCTCGGTGAGCAACGCCAGAAGGAGCAATCGTCAGGGATGGAAGTGAGCCGAACCTTGTAGTTGACATCCCGCCCGCCCTACGGTCGATTTTCGCCACAAGCCCTGCGGCCACGTGGTGGTGACCGTCGGGAGGAATACTGTTTTCGAAATGGTGCAGGGTTGGGCCAGGAAACAAGGTTGAGATGAACGCGGAACCGTATGAACCCTCCCTCAAGCTTCTCCTTCGAGGATCCAAGGCCACGGTCAGGGAGCGTAGGATGATTCCAGCTCGTCAGCGCCTTCCTCGCCACCGAAGTTGCATCGCATGGATGCAAGGAAGATTGCGCAGGAAGCACTAGTGCCGGGAGCTTAAGCCTTACAGAGGCCGTAGAACAGTGTCCAGGTGAGGACAAAGGACATCAAGCCTCCAAACATGTCGCCAGCCCAGAGGTCCGAGAAGGGGCGGAAGAAGTAAGACTTCGCGTCCTGCTCCGCCTTGAGCGAGAAGATGAGCAGGGAAACAATAGCCGTGCCAGTAAAGTAGAAGATGAAGCCCGGCAGCGACTCCAGCCCCAGCGTCCCTGCGGCCACACCAAACAACGACGCGGTCAAGGCCCGGATATTCGAAACAGTCTGTGGCGATGTGCATACGTTAGTGAGAGGTCTGGTAGGCAGCCGTCGAAAGAACGTGGCCGGAGCTTATTATGGCACGATGGAGGATGAGGAGGAACATGCAAGGACAGGACTCACGCGAGCATTATGCTGGACGCTCTCCTGCACGATTGGATGGATGGCAAGTTCCCTCTCATCTAACATTATGCCGGATGTGTATAGGTATCCTGAACTGTGGCGAAGATTGCGATATGTCGAGCTGGGCCACAGGAATCTGACGGATGATGCGGTGATCAGCGAAAGAGGTACCTGCCAAGGGTGGCTGTCCACGAGCGCGATGTCCGGAACCGGAGAAGCTGATGGTGAGTGCCCGAGTCTTCTGTAGGCGATGAACGAGTTGCTGTAATTGTCAACGGGTCGCGAGATGGCCAGGCTCGATGGTGATGGCGATGGGGATGCTGCGGGTGTCGAGAAAGCATGGAACGTGAGGTTCAGTGGACCTTGCGTCGCGGGAGCGGCCGTAACTTTTGCCGATGGGCCCGAGCGCGGCCACGCTAACGACGTCAAGTCGACTGGAACCCAGCGTTGAAGCAGCAAACTACTCGCACGCAACGTGACCCTTCCTGCACTCCCCTAATTCTTCGAAACAATCCTCGCTGACAGGAACGCGAGGCATCATGCGGCTCCGACGGATTCGATCCCAGCGGCAGGAACCGGACGCTTCTCGCAACCACGCCGCACGCAGAACGCGCGCGGTGCTGCCGTCTGGATCTCGGTGATGTCTGTGCCGATATGGAAGCTCTGTCTAGACGCTTGAGAGAACGTCTACGTACACGTAAGGAAGCGCTGCCGTTGCTTTCCGAGCATGGTTATGCGCGTGTCATGAACGATGGGAGTGGAGTCTGCGAAGTATTCGAGATCTCGTGCTGAGAAGAACGGCACCGTGGTGTCGTGTGAGGTCAAATTCCTGTCCTGCCTGCGCCTGTGAATGCTCGGTATGCTATGCTAGTAGAGGGGAAATGAAGCCCGAAAAGTATCCTCAAAGTGTCCAGCACCTTTCAATGCCCATGCAAATGCCCATGCCTCGCGGCTGCGGTATCATCCCATCCCATCATATCCCATGCCGTCCGACCCATTCCCGTTTCGCCTTCGCTATGATCAAGTCCTGCACGCTGACGCTGTGGTGATGCGGATGGTAAACGCTCAAAGTAATCAACAAGTGCTGACCGAGCTACTCAATAAGTCGGCCGTAGTCGTCCAAGTATCTGCGAGTAGGTTAGTATATGGTTGAGGCATCCGTCTCAGGCACGACTCACTGTTGGAGGTATCTACTCAGTGTGTAGCCCTCAATCGAAGTGGCTGCCCGTAGTAGTTGAAGTGCTCGTCGAAAGTGTCCTTGATTGACTCTGGGGCTGGAGCTATTCCCCAGGGACATGTATGCCTCGGCGGTCTCGCAGGTGGTCAGTGTTGTGAAAGAGATCAAGAGACAGGTTACTCACAGTTGCAAGTAGATCGCCAGACAACGACCGTTGTGCCGTCGCAACGGAGACAGCCCTCTCCAAATACTCAGTAGCTGGCTGTAAATACCCCCTCGCCTCCACATAGTCTGATGTGCCAGCTCTTCGCTCGGCGTCTGCTGTTTGTGTTGGAGATTGGTCCTCCTCGCGGGTGCCCGGCGCGGAGCGTTGTGAGCGTGCGGAGCCTCCACTTGACGACGAGCCCCCATCATTTCGATGAATTCGTGCCAGGACTGGCTGTGCCCGCGCGAGCCAGACTTGACCAATGCCTCTGAGGGCTGCCAGGTTCTGTGGCTCCCTCTGGTAGATCACCAACCACTGCCTTGAGCACCAAGCCGCAATGTCGTTGACCCCTCCGCTATCAGGTTCCGCAAACGCCAGCCTTTGAAGGCCTGCAATCATCCACACCTGCTCCTGTGTTCGATTGCCCTGTTGCATGAACGTCGTAGAATCCAGATGGGTGATGATGGTTCGGGCGAGATTGATGTAGTTGCGCCAGTCTTGCGGGGAGGATCGCAGCATGGCATAGATCTGGTTGAGGCTAGTCTTGCAGACGGTAATGCGCTGCTCCTCGTTCATGACTTTTGCGACGGTTAGAAAAAATAGGAAGATCTGAAAGAGCAAATAGTTCATAGCTGACCGCGCCTATGGCGACATTTAGCTTTGTGGATTCGACGACTGATTTGCTTGTCTCTTCTGATAGGCGACATGAAATCCCAATATCGTGGGCACAGGGGCATGACACCGCTGGATGGTGTGTGCCGCCCAAAGGGAGGGCTCTTGCAGGCTAGTGGTGTAAATGAAGCCTTGCCGAAGCAGCGAGTGGGCTGCTGGATCGGCGAATAAGAGTTGGGGGTGGATCGAGCGTGCATGTCCAACAACGGGGGAGGGCGGTCAGTGCGAGAGGTGCAGTAGGCTAAGTAATATGCATGCAAACGAGGGAGGAATGGAGGCCTTGGAGAAGAAGAAGAAGCAGACATGTTCGCCACCCATTTACGCAAACAAGACGGGTAGAAGAGTGCAGCGGCTGTTCCGAGATGCAGGATAGCGTGGAAAGAAGCGCAGCATGGTCTTCTCGAGGCCAAGGGCCCATATCGCACGTCAGACATGCCCAGCGTGGCTAGGACAGGTCAGACTCGAGCCGCAGTGGGCGAGTGACTCGATCGCTCTGTCCCTCCAACGGCGGCATACGACCCGTCGCAAGCGAGCACGTTCGAGAAAGCACGAGAAGTCGCATGCGAGTGGTGAAAGGCTGCTAGACTGGTGAGTGAAACCTTCTGGTTCGGTGATTAGCAAGCACCAGCGAGATGCTTGGCGTTCGATCAAGAGGACCGCCAGGGACGAGACCGGCGATTGTCGCGAGAATTCCAAGTGATTGACGACGAGCAAAGGCCCTCCGCGCTCGCTGACGGCGTACTCGGCGCACAGCTGACGATGCTCCTGCGATCCGAGCGACGTCTAGATGACCTGAAGTTGGCAACGCCAGAAGAGGGAGTGCTGCGGCTTGCGCTTGCCGATGTACGGCAGCCTAGCAAGCCGAGCAACCGGACGGCACGGGAGGGCTTTTCTCAAGTGTCGAACTCTGCACGACTTGAGAACGGCGATATCCATGGCCGATTCTTTTCTTTGGCGAGCCCAGGCGACAGTCTGGAGGACGGTCTTGTAACGGAGTGCTGTGCGATGGGGTAGTCACTGTTGCAGTGCAGAGCACAACACCGCAGAGTACTGAAGGTTCGGTCTCGCTGAGCTACGAGGCCGGCCGAACGAGCAGTTCGATCCGCGTGCTAATGCTGCATTGATGTACACGAGGTCGGACATTCGCACGCAACCGGGGCTTTGAGCCGGAGGGGGATGGGAGCTGCATTCAACGCAAAGAGTACCTTTGACACATTCGTAGCTGGAGAGAAGGGAAGATGGCAGTAGTGCGCAGAAGCTAGCGAGCAGACGTCGATACAGCAAGCGACGTTGCATGTTTTGTCAGCCAGCAACCGCAGCTTGATCCCAGCCCAGGATACACGATGAACTGTCATGGAGGCGCATGCTAGCAAGCCGGCGGCCTGGGAAAACGAGCAGCCTTGCCAACAGTACCCGGCGATTAGTATACGACACTGCACGACACACTGTGCGAGATGAAGATGGGGGCTGCTGGTGGATGCAATCCTTACCCACAAGGCTGCAGATGGAGGATCGTCGTGCACGCAATCGCTGTGGCGATGCGGCTCCTTTGCGCGTATGCGACAACCAACATATCGCAAAACAAACTCGTTTCGTTGATCGGCCTCGTGTCTGGAATCTTGCGAGACCTCTTGCCTACTGTAGAACTGCCCGCGAACGCCGTGGCCGCCGTGGTCGTTAGTAGCAGACCATGACAACGGATGACATGAGATCAGCTGCTAAAAACAAGAATGACAGCTAATTCGAACACCGCAGGCAGACGGATAAGAGAAAATAGCTTGGCCGGATTCAAATCGTACCGTAGGGACCGGAGTTTGCATGGACGACTGCTTCGGCTACCGCTTGGCACGAGGGGCATGTCGGAATAAAAATTTGGAGTTGTGCAGGCTCGATCCCGGTATTCAGCGCAGGGTGGAAGAACAGGTGCATGGTGAGCTGGAGCAGAGTGAGATGAGACGGCCGCCAAGTTGGGGGCGAAATGTTGGAGATGACGTTGTCAGGGGCTTGACTTCACGTTGCTGACTGGGCTCATCATCTGGACAGACGTCGCGTGTGCAGCGAGCTCCTGTCTCGCCCGACTGTCGACAACACCACACCTTGGTCTTTTCTTCGCAATTCCGATCCGGCAACTCGTTACAGATCCGCAGATTCGACCGACCCAGCAGATCTCTGTCGCCGCAATCTTCCACGCCGCCGGAAGCGCTACCGCTGCCAAACACCTCCCATTCCCCAACCCACGGCGATCTTCCTCCTGTACCGCCCGCCTTGGACCGCAACATGCCGCTTTGGGCCCAGCAAATGACATGAATGGAGACCATACACGCTGATGACAGCCCTCTAGCCGCTTACCTGGAAGGTGCGTGAACTGTCGACTGCAATTCTCGCTTCTCGCGACTTCACCGCCCTGTCCCGCTTAGCAACCTACTGTGATGCCAACTGCTGATTCCATGCCCAGGCGACGGTTCTTTCGAGCCTGATCCCGAAGATACCACCACGCCCGCCCGTGCCGATGTAGACGACGGCTCGAGCAACCACCCGCCCTCCTTTGCGCCGCCCTCCAAGCTCGCACCGCGCCCACGACTTAAAGTCCCCCAGCTCGACACCATCCCCCTCCACCCTCCACCCCAAAGCGCCATTACACGGGCACATCATGCGTGGTCCACCGCATGGAACTCAAGGCTCGGCCGAGCAGACAATGCACGGTTCATGGAACACTTTCGATACATCATCGTTGCATCGCAGCTGCTCAACGAGTACCTCGATCACGGCACCCTGAACCAGTCCCCCACCCCCTGCCTGAGCTTGGACGGGGCTGGCGACGATTGCAGTAATCCGAGATTCTCGGCCAGCCTGTACGGTGCCGTAGCGACGGCGGTAGCTGCGTTGGCGCTGGCATATCTCATACAGTGGTCTCGGAACCGCCGTGGCACGTTTTGGACCAAGAGCAGAGTTACACTAGCGCTTACCGTGCTTGCGGTAGTTGCCTTTGTGGGGTATCAGTATGGGCGCCGGCAGTGGCTGAAATCTCTGCGCCGCCAGGCGGTTGATGCTGCGTCGGGCCTGACCACCAATTGGCAAGCTTTCGAACTCTCTTCCAGTTCAGCGCTAAGTTTCATCCAAGAGGTGGAGCTTGTATCGAAAGGCTACAGGCTGAGTACCCCTTTGCCACCTGCCTCACGCATCGAGGAAAGTGGAACCTCAAGGCGATGTGCGAAACTAAGAAAGTCGCTCCACTCGGCATATGCGTCTAACATCCCAGCCTGCATTGAAGCATGCACCACACTTCGAGCCTTGATCGACGATGATGATTTGGAGAAATTCTTCGAGGTCTACGACATATCCCCTCAGGATGCCAAGGAGGCAGCTGGGGCGGAAGCTCTGAGCGCCATCGAAGACGATATGGAATCTCTCGGAGCACTCAGGGTCCTCAGCTATCGCTCAGGGGTGCTACGCCGTGTGACCTTGTGCTCCCTCATGGCCCTGGAGGCAGACGGTGGCAAACCAGACATGGATCGCTGGGAGATTGCCACCAAGACCATGCGATCCCTGAACCAAGTCATCTCAGCCTCTGCTGAGCGAGTGCGCAAGCTGCTGACTGACATGGAACATATCAATCTCCCCTCACCAATCAAAACCAACCGCACACCCTCCAGGGAGAAAATGCGGAGCCAGGTCCGCAAGATTAGTGCCCTGTCGTCTGGCATCCGCGGCCTGCAAGCCAAGATGCAGATCCTGCGTGAGGAAACCAACCACTCCATCGAGCAATCAGATGACCTGACAGATCTCGGCCCCTCGCTGATGGCACAGTACGAATCCATCGGATCGGATTTGAAGGAACTCATGCAAGCCTGGGAAGTCGGCAAGCAATCCCTGCAGAGCAACATCAAACAGCAAGAACACCGCATCTCCATGGCGTCGAGCAGCAACGGCATCCGCTCTCCCGTGTCCAGCATTGGCGGCCTCACCGCCGTAGACGAAGACGGCTCACCCGCCGACGCCCTCCGCGTACTGAACGGCGAACCCTCCAAATCCAACCGCTCCAGCATGGGCACCACCGCCTCCGACGAGGAGATGGTCTTCGAAGCCGTCGCCATGCCGCGACAACGCGCCAGCACCCTTACGCGCGAAGAGCGGATCCTCAAGATGCACGAGGAGCGCGAGCGGCAGGCGCAGATGCGGGCTAAGCGCGACGCGAACACCAGCATGATGCGCGAGCTCGAGTCGGTGATTAATCTGCGGGGACCGCAGAAGAAGACCAATGGGTCTGGTGGTGCGGCGAGGATCACGTCGGTGTGATGTGCGTGGGAGTGTTGGTGATGAGTGATCTGGCCTTTCGCGGACGGCTGAGAAACATCCACGGTCTGGTGAACGGGAGGTCGCCTGCAGTGATGTGGAACTAATGGTTTGCGCGTAGGGCTTCTTTTGCTTTGTTGTTACTTTTCTTTTCGATGCATGGCCGGCGGCAACAGGACTGACTGATTTTCGACAAAACCAAGTGTAACTTTAGCGATGGCGCTGGGGGAAAAAGACGCCGACATATGGGCATGGCGTTTCTTTCAATGACTGAATGGTGTTGCTTCTACCGTTCTGTCTCGCTGTTCGCTATGTATTCACTACGCAGTTCAGAAGAACTGATGGGGGTATCATCATACTTGAATTCAATGGGTGTATAACAACCTCGCATGATGCTCAACCTTTCCCATGTGTACAACCACCCAACAACCACAAATCACTCGTCAAGAACTTCAATCCCTCAATGCCCCAATGCCCACTTCTCATCAATCACCTTCATCTTGCCCTGCACCGTCATCATCACCGCATACCGGCATCCGATTCTCCTTATCCTCGCAATCACCAGCAAGCCCCTTCTAAAACTTACTGCCGTCGCCGAGGAGGGCCCAGTCGAAGTCGGAGTCCTCCACATCACCACCGCCTTCCGTCGCCGTGGGGAGCAAATCCCCGGCTGGTGCGGTCGCGCTGCTGAAAGAGAAGACGTCCTGCACCGGACTAACCTGGCTAAGGCCAGAGGGCTTGAATGTCTGATTGGTGGTCGGTATGAAGATCGGTGGTGGTGGCGGGCCCATGTTTTTCGCTTTCGGTGGACTGAGGTAGCCCATGCCGCTGTCTTGGCGGTGCATGTAGGTTGGTTTCTGGGGCGAGGACATCGAGACACTGGTGGCGGCGGGGTTTTGGTTGTAGTATGTGGGTGTGGTGTAGCTTGAGGGGAAGGAGAGCTCGACGCGCTTATTTGAGGGGAGGATGGGGCTTGAGGCTGGGATGGGTCGTTTTCGTGGTTCGGCTGGGTCGGTCGGGATGTTGTATTGGACGAGTTTTGGGGGGCTGATGGTTGCTGGTGGCATGCTGTGGTCACGTTGGGATGGAGAGCGGCTGGTATGTGGGTTCGCGAGGCGGCGGAGGTCGTTGATGATGCCCTGTGAGGTGTTGAGGTTGTTGCCGGCCGACACACGAGTTTGCTGATATGCTTGCTGGAAAGCCAACAGGGCTGGGTCCGGGTTACCATTCGGCAATGGACGAAATGCGGATGGTGCAAATGCTGAGTTGTGGTTGATTTTCTCCGTCGGCGCTTGCATACCGCCGTCATATCTGGGATCGTCGGGTTGAAGAATGTCTGTGTCGGGTGTGTCGCTGCGTGGGCTGTCGACACGGATTTGTGGCACATTGTCAAGAAGGCCACGATTCTGAGAAGATGCACTGCCAGTTTGACCCTGTGATGGCGGGCGTCTCGTGGGAGTCGATACGTTTCCTGACTGCTTCTGGTACTCTCCAATCATGTCACGCAGTGAGCTGCTTCCACGAGATGGCTTGACTCCTTGATCGGAGACGTCTGATTTGGAAGGCGAGTAGGCCGAGACGTCCGACTTCTCTGGTGACGAAGCAGCTGACTCCAAATCGTCAGAAGTCTCGTTGTAGTCGACTTTCTTTCCTCGAACGCGAGTGCTACGGCGTAGGTCTGGAGAAGCGTCTTCGGCGGTGTTTTCGGCAGCCTTGGCTTTCTTCGCAGGTCTTCTACGCTTGCGAGGAGATTCCTTGACCGCAGGAGCTTGAAGTGATGGCTGCAGCTTTTTCTGCTCGACCTGCACGCCGGCAGTAGTAGGTCCAAACGGGTCAGGACCTGGAAGAGACTGCGGTCTGATCGGCTGTGGTTGAAGGATACCACTATGAGTACCAATGGCAAGGCCCATGCCCACGGCCACGGCCACGCCCGCTTGCAGCGCCGATAGAGGAGTTATCATGTTAGCAGAAGGCGGCTGAATTGGCGCCGGGCGTGGAGCCTCAACCCTGAAGTTCTTGAGATAATCAGGTAGAACCGGCATGCTTGCTGGAGTGTAGCCAGGTAACTGTCGCTGGAGTAAGTAGAACTCCCGCGCATAGCGCAAGATGCTGTTCATGGCCGCGATCTTGTCCGTGAGATCTGCCTTCTTATGTAGCGCAATAGTCCACTTTTGATCGAGGTCGGCGAAGACTGCATTGCTCGTGTACGCCTGCTTGATCTTCGCCATATCGCCGAAATACTGCTTTTCGAGAGTGTCCAGGACTATCTTCCGACGAGGATGGATGTACTCGTTGATGTACTTGTCTGTGGCCATAGCCTCCGTCTCGAGCTTGGTTTTGAAGTCGAAAACTTGGTCGAGATAGGTTGCGTCTGGGGTGTTCTCGCAGTAGAGGCCGCCCTTGCCGCATTCAAAGGGTGGGTATCTGCGCGCAACGGCGTAGTTGGGACAGGCGACCTTGAGGTAGAAGGGCGCCGTCTCCAGCTCCTTGGCATAGTCGCACTCCTCCTCGAACAGCTTCGTGCAGCCGCAGGAGTGGTGGGCGAACCCCTGGAAGCACATGATCGGCCGTGGTTTGTTCGCTTTTGTGTGAGGTGTCAAATAAATTACGGTGGCATGGCGTGCCTGCTCGCCCTTTCTCGAATTGAAACTTGAAGTCGTGATCACGGGGCGCGGGAGAAGCCACGGGCTGAATTTTAGGAAAGAGCGACAACATCTGAACTCACCTTTCACCTCCAACTCCAACTTCACCACCATCGCCGGAATCTTCAGAAGCCAGTCTACTCACGACTCGTTTCGCACGCCGACAGCAGTATAGGCGCCGAGCCCATCAAGTAAACACGCGCCCACTTCCAGCATTAATACAAGCTCAAACCCAACGCAGACTGCATCTTGGGCGGCTCCTCAAGAACAAACGCATGCCTCACCGTTTTGCGCTGCTGCCCCAAATCAAGATGTCTACGCAGCCTCCAGCCGTCGAACGATGATTCCAGCACTCATATCTCCGCTGGTGTCTCCTTTCTCCTGGGCTCATCTCAGCATTCTCCAGGCAGCTGTCTTTGAAATCAAGAGGGAGAGGTCGAGGGGCGGACGTGAGGTCAAAAGGCCAAAACCCGTAGGATCGCGATCCTTCAAAGTCCGGCTGGACTCCGCAGTCTATGCTGAGTCGAGGCTCTGCCAAGCAAACTCCGGAGCTCGCAATGGTTCGTCAGTCAGCAGCGATGCGTCGCATTCAGTGATCACCGTATCACCGTGTCGCTGGTTCGCAATCGCATCCATCCTGTATGCCGAAGACAAGGCAACAGGCCAGCGTGGAGGAAAAGTCGAAGAAGCGTGAGGTCGCATGCTTCCTCGATCAGGCGAGATCCTAGCGGCAGGTATGACCCTGGCATGTCGATCGACCAGTAACCGTCATCCGCACTCTACTCCGCTGTCGTTGTCTTGTCACAAACCGGCGACACGAACGATGGTGGAACACGTTCAGCATAAGCTGCCTCTACCATGTGCATGCAAGGCGGTACACTAATTGTATGAGCTGACTTGCAGCACGTTGCTATGGGGAGCCGAAAACATAGATTTCCCAAAGAAGTCTTCCTCTCGCACGATCGCAGCGTCTGATTGGTGGCGAGGCGTACCGGGTTTTTCTCAAGACCCGAGACCGTCGACTCTGCAGTTCGCGAGTCACCGACTACACCATGTGCGTCTGGCCTTAATAAAGCTACCTATGTCGCTTTCTTTCGCCGCACTCGTATCGTCATCGATCGTTCTTCTTCACATCTCTCGCTGACTTCGTGTTCGTGCCATCAACGACCCGGTCGCGACCAGCATTGTCAACAGCGATTGACCACGCCTAAGCTTTTCATCCCCCACAGGGATCCACAAACTCAAAATGACCTCACCCCAGGGCGTCGAGAAAGCAGACGTCGCGACGAGCAACAACGTAGACGAGACGGTGCGCAGTGAAGGCCAGCAGGTGCCCGAGCAAGAGAATGTCACATCAAATCATATAAGGATACAAGACGATGGTGCGAAAGAAGAGCAGGCCGCGGTGTCGAGTGCTTCGAGTCAAGATGGGGAAGCTGCAGAGAAGCAAGCTGCGCAACCACATGCAGAGGAGAAAGACACTCAGGACGGCCTGATCAATGGCAGGACTAAGGGCAAGATCGTCGTCATCATGTTGGCCTTGTGTATGGCTGTATTCCTGGCTGCATTGGACGTCACCATCGTTACGACCGCCCTGCCCACGATCAGTCAACATTTCCACTCCGCATCGGGTTACACCTGGATCGGTTCCGCCTTCTTGCTCGCCAACGCAGCATCGATTCCATCATGGGGGAAGATCTCGGATATCTTTGGTCGCAAGCCCATGCTTTTGCTTGCCAACATCATCTTCTTGGTCGGCTCGCTCGTCGCGGCTCTCTCAAACAGCATCGGCATGCTCATCGCCGCTCGTGCTGTTCAAGGTCTGGGCGGTGGTGGCCTGATTATTTTGGTCAACATTGTCATTGGTGATCTCTTCCCACTGCGCATTCGAGGCGCTTTCTATGGTGTCATTGGAGGCGTCTGGGCCATTGCGTCATCCATTGGACCGATCGTTGGAGGCGCTTTCACTGAAGGCGTTACATGGAGATGGTGCTTCTACGTCAACCTGCCGCTTGATGGATTGGCCTTCTTCATTCTGCTGTTCTTTCTCGATCTTAAGACGCCACGAACACCTATCTGGGACGGTCTCAAGGCGATTGACTGGGTTGGTACTCTCCTCATTGTGGGCGGTACCCTCATGTTTCTCTTCGGCTTGCAGTATGGTGGTGTCACCGCGCCATGGGACTCGGCTCTGGTTCTGTGTCTCATCATCTTCGGTGTTTTCACTATCGCCCTCTTCCTCATCTGGGAATGGAAGATGGCCAAATACCCAATCATGCCAATGGCCATCTTCGCTTCGGTCACGAACTGTGCGACCCTAGGCGTGGTGTTCTTGCATGGATACGTCTTCATTTCGGCTTCCTACTACCTTCCGCTGTATTTCCAGGCTATCCGTGGAGCGACACCAATCCTCTCCGGCGTGTATGTGCTCCCTACAGCAGTCGCACTCGCTATCGGATCTCTAGGCACTGGTTTCGTTGTTGCGAAGACGGGTAAATTCTTGCCGCCCATCTACTTCGCATTCTTCTTCATGACCCTCGGATACGGCCTCTTCATCGACTTCGATGCGTACAGCGGTTGGGCCAAGCTCATCATCTTCCAAATCATTGCCGGTCTGGGAGTCGGTCCAATGTTCCAGGCTCCTCTAATCGCTCTCCAAGCACACATTAAGCCGCGCGACATTGGTACTGCAACCGCAACTCTTGGCTTCGTCCGCCAACTAGCGACTACCATCTCGGTCGTCATCGGCGAGGTCGTCTACCAGAATCAGATGAACAAGAAGGAACCCGAACTACGAGCAGTCCTCACACCAGAGCAAGCCGCGCGAGTCACCGGCGGAAACGCAGGCGCAAACAGCGGCTTCATCGATTCGCTCCCTCAACCCCAGAAAGGCGTCGTCCGCGTCGCATTCGCCGACTCCCTCCAACCCATGTGGATCATGTACTGCTGTTTCGCCGCCCTAGGCTTCATTGTCATGTTCTTCATCAAGCGCAAGCAGCTCACACGGGAGCATGAAGAGACCAAGACGGGTCTGGAAGCCGAGAAAAAGAACGCAGAAGACCGCGCGGCGGAGAAGGAGGCGAAGCGGGAATCGAAACGACAGAGTAAATTGACCACAGGCACTGGAGCCAGCTCGAGTCGGCCTGTCAGCGAGTACAAGGAGAAGGATCTGGAGGCTGGTGGAGGGATTTCGGTGCCTGTACCGGAGGTGCCTCAAGAGCACAGGAGTTGATGATGTTTTTGGTGTTTAAGGATAACGACAATGCAGCATTGACGAAGATCACGAGCAGCATCTGGCGATGGCGTTGTAAAAAGAGAAAGGAAAGAGGTTAAAGCATTGTCATGAGCAGGGTTGACGGACTGAGCGAGCGACTGTTTGTTGTAACTTGTAAGATTATAGACGAGGGTAGCAATCGAACCCAAATCAGAGTAATAGACAGCTATGTTGGATATCTGTCTGAAAAGTTTAATAATTTTGAAGAGAAAGCTGAATTTCACTTCACTTCATATGCCGCCACGACTCTTTCTCTCTCGTATCATCTACCCACTGTCGAACGAGTTGGGAATTCTAGGGAGGCCAATTCCCTTGGCGTTTCGACTTGTATCCACGAGACCGTCGTCTTTTCCTGCATCATCATACTCCCAATCGCAGCGTAGATTCATCCTTGCTTTCCACTCAGCGTCTCCTTCATCTCATCCTTCTCCCCCTTCACTTCTCCTCCTTCACTTCCACCTTCTCCATCGCCCTCTCCTCCCCCCGCCGCCGCTCAACCGCCCTCTCAACCCCCTTCTTCAACTTCTCCTACAGAAAACCAAAGCGCATTAGCTTTCTCACAGACACGATCCGCAAGAAACTTACCGCTTCCTTCGCCATCGAAGTCACGGCTTGTCCCGTGGTGGTGTCGGTGGGTTGGACGACGTTGTCCAGCTCGTTGTCGTGGAAGTGGTCTCTTTGGTCGGGGGGCATTGTGGGGTTTGTGGGGTTGTTGGGTTGGAGGGGTGGCGGGGTTGCTGTGTCCATCGGGAAAAGGAGGTCCAAGTTGCAGGCTGCAGAAGGGCGCATGGTGAAGTTGAACGAGCGGGTGATTGTGTGTTCCTGTAGAAAGTGAGGGTGCAAGGGAGAAAGGAAAAGAATTCAAAAACCAAGCCTTGTAAAAGGAAGTAGCCAACGCCGCCAGAACCCGTGAACCATCGCATACATGTGAAACTTGGCACAAACCCAAACCCCAAAATTTCACAAACACAGGCACTAAACACCCGTCATAAAAAAAACTATACAAATCCATTTCCTTTGCGCACTTCCGCCTTGGAGGGGGAAGGGGGATTTGGTTTATGTGGAAAGGACGGGACGAGGCTAGGCTAGATATGCTGATGGTGATGGGGATGGGGATCGTCGTTGCGGTATTGTGATCTTTGATGGAAGTGGGAGATGTTGGGGTCGACGTCCGAAGTTCTACTCTACCCCTTCGCTTTGATATCCTTCGTTGGCTGTAGGTTGTCGCTCGGAGTGGATGTCGCCGCGGTTGAATCAAGGGGCTTAAGATGTGTGCACTTTTCTCCCTTTCGACAGTTGCCCTTCTCCCAGAAACGGCAGGCCTGAGTCTTCTTGACCTGGTTCCTCTCCTTGCGCTTCTTGTTCGGCTTAGCGGGGGTAGGAGCGCCAGCAAGTGGGCGTTTCAACTCGTCATTGCGGCTTGGTGTGAATCAGTTGTTGTTGGAGGTGTGGAGTAGACCATACCCTTCTCGGTGCATCTCTTCGGCAATCCCGGCCTTTCACAGCATATTCCTCCTCAATAGTATCTTCCACCACCTTGAGCTTCTCCACCTATGGCCGTGTCAGCTCTCCTCCTCATACAATCCACCCCCCTCTACATCCCCGCCATTCTTACCGTCTGTCCAATCCGCCACTCCCTCACAACTCCAAAGACATCCCCCGCCTCCTCCAGAATCTGCAGACATCGCACAAGACAGCCCTCCTTGCGCCGGTTGTCATCAGTGCAGCGAGAGAGAAGCTGCCATGCATCGATCTGGACTTCTTCGGGGCATTTTGGGTCGAACACAAGACATCGCAGGCGTTTTCGGCGGATTCGATGTCTTCATCGCTGAAGTCTGTGATGGTGTGGGCGGATAATTTCCAGCAGTCGGCTTCTTCAAATTGAGACCTGTCGCGACCGTTGAAGCCTTGGCCTAGGAAGTATGGGGAGGACATGATCGACGAACACTGGTGATGGTGTTGGTGGGTGGCGAAAAGCAAGGAAGCGCAGCGAAGTACGGTGGTGATGGGGTCGACACAAGCGCCGGAACAGCAAGATGAGCAAAAGACCCCAAATGAGCTTCAAGAGTCCAAGAACGACGCTTTGCTTTGCATTTCGAAACTTCTCACAAATTCTCCCCAATCCACCCCCACCACTTCTCCACCTTCCCGCCCTCCTCCCCATCCCCTCGAACATTCCCGCCCAAAACACTCACATCCACCCCATGCTCCTCCATCTGCGAGAACTTGAACTCCTTCGACGCATACTCCCCCAACCAATCCCCTTCCTCATCCTTACCCGCATCATCCTCCATCCCCACTCCACTATCCAGGAACCCCTTACTCTTACTCTCCCGCACACGATGGATCTCCTCTTCCAGCTTCGTCTTCACGAGTCCCGTAGGCAGCGAAGTGAAAACATCCTGCTTATTCGCCGCGATGAGGACGGGGATACTCGCCGGTCCTTTGGTCGTCTTGCCTTGTGTATGTCTCTTCTGTAACCAGAGCAGGGTATCGTGTAGATACTCCGCTGCTTCTGTGAGTCCTGCTGCGGAGCTTATGGCCGCGCTGTCGACGACGAAAATGAGTCCGCGCACGGAGGTTCGGCTGAGGATTGATGTCGTCGCGTGGTGTCGTAGCTTTCCGTGCCCTGGGTTATCCACGAGGTGGAACTTCGGTTGCGAGCGCGAGGAGGTATCGTGTTCGGAGCGGTAGCGGTCTTCTTTCGATCGCGTCGAGGAAGGGAGCTGGCAAAGCGCAGCTTGGGGTTCTTGCGAGGTGTACGTCTCTGCTATCGTGCCGTTCGCAAACTACACAGTCATCCCTTAGCACAAACCCTCTCACCCCATACACATCAATATGCACGCCATACCAACGTCAAAAAACTCGTCTTCCCTGCTCCACTCGGCCCAACCAGTACAAAACTCGGCACCTCCTTCGACGCAGCTTTCTTGTACAAATACAAATGAATCAGAATCGGCAGCGATAGCGACACCAGCAAGGTCACCACAATCGCCGAGATGGCTGGCGAGAAAGCCCAGGTGAGCCACTGTTCCAGGGCGCTTTGGTTGGCCATGGCGTGTGTGTGTGTGTAGGATTGTGAAGATTGGGTGGATGTGGATTTAGAAGTTGAAAGTCGAAAGGTGGGATGAGCTCACTTGACTCCCACGCGACAGGACGGAATTGCTTCCGTGCGCTAGGGACGGGGCGAGCATGGTGGCCGAGAAGGTTCGAACTCTATCGTGGGTAGGATCTGGTCCGGTTTCACTCAATTTCGACGTCTTCTCTTTCGATTACATCGAGTTCATCACCAGATCAATCTGCATGAGGGTGTGGAAGCTCGTAATGACGCCCAAGACCATATGAGGTTGAAACTTATGCCTGGGGAACATCACAAACAAAAAGAATCGAAGCCATGCGCATGAAAATAGGGGCCACCATTGCCATTCAAGCAGAGAGTTAACGACAGCATGAGAACGAAAGACAAGACTACCGAAAAGAAGAGAGTGAGCGAACTCGTAGCTAACATACACAAACAGCCTCCCTCGTAACGTAGGCTGACCACCCATCCTCATCACGAAACGATCGACAAGCAGTAAAGGGTCTCTTCTTCTTCCTGTCTTTCGTCTTCGTCATCATCATGGCTCTTTCTCGTTCCCAGACATTACCCAACACACACTTTTGCCCTTTTGATCCATCGTCTTACAATATCTTCAATCTTGCTTTCCTTTTGAGTCTGAGTCTCGAGCTGACGTCTCTTCCTCATCTATCTCTGGTTTTTGCTTCTCCGTTCAATCCCCCCTTTTACTGTTCACAATCCCTTTTTCTTCTTCTTTCTTCTGTCGATATCATGCACACACTTGGATGGTCGTTAGCACATCAAAGAGAAACAATCCTTTCCCCACCAAAACCCATCCATCAAACGCCGAATGCGCCATTGCTCCAGACACGTTCTGTGCAAACCGCGATCTGAGCCCAAGAAAAGAGTTCCCACCTCTTTAAGTCTTTCGTGCGCCTTGCAATGCCGCCCCCGCTTTGCTGCCGAAGAAGTGAATGTACCATTAAAAAATGCTAATGCGTGTGCCAAATGGGGTATTTTCCGAGGAATGGAAAGTGAATGAAGAATCGACTTTGCCGCGGTGGTGAAAGTAGTGTGGTCGTCAATGGAGTTTGATCTTGCGTTGTCGCGTCCAGCGCATGCAGCTCGCAGGATTTGTATCTGTTGTTGTTTTCTGGGGGTGTTGGCCAACGCAGCACATGAGAGACAAAGGAGATACATGTCGTTGTCGCATGTCATGATGGTTCCTGGTTCGTCGTGGACTCGTTGACAGACATCCCGCGTTGCGTCGTCGTTGAGGGTTGTCGTCACTCGTTTCGTGAATGTCATGAGTATGTGGTCGCCAGGTCAGGGAAGTATCCGCGGCTGGAATCGACACCCTGGAATCTGCTCAGGCCACTGGAAGGCCACTGGGTGGCAGGTTGGACCGACTCTGAATACTCGTTCTTCACCACCCAAGACGATGGATCAGTGGAGTAGCGTGCGCCGCTTTCGATCTTCGGGAGTGGTAGACCGCCTTGCGGTACACCTTCGTACAGCGGGCCAGGATAGTATCGGTAGCCATCTTGACCTTGGATGTCATGTCTCTCAGCATCAGACATGACAGCGTCGCCAGGATAGTCGGAGTCGACTGCGCCGCCATCGACACTGGACGCACTGCTGCCGGAATGCTCTGGTGAAGGGTGGAAGCCGTAGGCAGAAGCATTCGTGCGGTATGTGCCTCCACCAAGCGACCCTCCATACCCAGATGGTGCTGCCCGGAACCCGCTTGTCATACTACCAGCGTATGAAGCGCCAGCAGTGATATTGTATCCGCTGCTCCCACCAGAGCTGCCAGTTCTCCCTGGGTTGTTCTGACCTTCATTCTGGTAATGGCTTGGTGATCGACCACGAACGACAATCTTCTCACTGACTCGATGTGCCACTTTCACCCAGACAGGGTCTGCGTTGGCGTCCTTTCGGATGTCTGCGTACAACTCGACGATCAGGTGGAAGTACTGCTGTGATGCGCGTCGCTTGCCGTTGTTCGCCGTAGCTTGCTTGAATTGCACTCGCTCGAAGGTGTGGGAGGTGTTCTGGCCTGGCATGGGCAAGTGTGCTGTCGCTGCACCGGCGTATGAATACCCTGTGGCTGCTTGTGATGCTGCGACACTGGAAGCGGAGGACGTGTCTGCCTGCATTGGTAGAAGTGGACCAGGAACATGTCCAGTGGCGTGAAAGGTAGGCATAGCTACAGCGTAGACGCCCGTAGGTGACATGGTGGTGTGGTCTCTCGCAGAAGACATTGGTGAGACCTTGGTGACTTCGATCTTGAGTTTGGGGCCGTTGTCGCGCTTTGGCGTGTGTTGAACGAGTTCGATGCCTTTGCCGGCCGACCCATCAACTGCAGCAGAAAGTCTCATCCCCATGGCCTGGATCTGCTCCGAGGTAGAGCTGTTGGACTTCTTGAGGTACATGCGGCCATTGTTGATGTTCGGATGTAACTCAAAGCTGCATTGCACGGAGAAGTAGTTGCGCCGATAGCACGTCCACTTCTGGTCTACTGTGGACAGGAAAAAGCCCTTTTCGACGTTCGCGTGGATTTCGGGTGTTACTGATTGGCCTTCGCAAGTAATGTCAGAGTGCACCTCGAGGTTCGGCCAGGGGAAGCTCGCAGCGCATTCGCTCTGTTGACTACCGTTGTAGCTTGGGGACGCCATGTGACCAGCAGGGTGAGCGTAGGCGTTGTGGTGGTGGTTAGACAGTGACAGACCAGTGAGGGAGACGCTTCGCGGTGTGTCTGGATAGGATCCGTAGCCAGCGTGGGAGCCTGGCGACAGCGTGGTTCGAGCTAAGAACGACGTGGAGTTGGCGTACGCCTCTCGATCGGTCGCATTCGTCGAGGTTGATATCGGTGATCGAATGGGGTTAGGGGGTGGTAGCATGCCCGAGCCAGAGCTGTCCAAACTGTCAACATGTGTGAGCAGAAGTCAATAGCCGGCAAGGTACTAAAGGCGTTGTGCTCCCAAGGGAACTTACATCGGCGGGCCCCGAGCATACGATGGCACGAACGCCTGGGGTAGTTGTACAGACGGCGGGAAGCTGGCGACGCTTGTGCAGTGGCCGTGAGGATAGTTTGTGTAAGTCAGCGACGATACGGCTGACGAGGGGCTGGTCGAGATAGACCCGCTGCTGGAATCCGTGAAGTTGTTGGACGGCTGATAGCTGTGAGGAGGTGGTAGGTTAGCCCATCGTTCTTCAAGGCGCGGCGGTACTGTCGGTGAGTACAAGCGCTGGATGGGGGCAGACGTGACGATGTGTAACGTGTACCAGACGACAGTGCCCAGCATAAGCCAGCCGTGGACAAGCGAGGCCTCTCAGCAGCGCGGATGACATAATGTCGTCGTGTGATCAGCATGGAGAGCTCGCTCGTCTCAGCCGGCTTGATAGACACCCAGACTGTCGGGCACTGCGTGTCACCACAAGCAGCGTGAATGACGAGGCCGTTCAGCAGCAACCAGACCAATTGCCGTGCTGCAGAGCGATGACCGGTAAGGATTCCGCGTAGGGCGAATCGTCGACACAGCCGGCCCACCTGGCAGAGCAGGAGTGGATAGTCGGGGTGGGCGACCAATGAGGAAGAAGAACTCACCTGCCGTTGTCTGGCGCTACGGCTCGATCAGGCATGTAGCGTGCTGAGGGAGGGTTGTTAGTGGCCGTGAAGGAGAAGGGAGCGGGCGGCTGTAAGGGTGCAGAACCGTCGCGGCGGAGCTGGTCGACGGCACCGGCCGTGGTGTAGGACTGATGATGTGCATGGCCCGAGAATTGGCTGTTGTAGTCGTGGTCAGAGGACAACGAGTAGTCGTGGATCGGCAGCTGGTGCTGAAGAAGAGGGCCTGTGTTGACACGTTAGCAATGCATGACATTTGGCGGACGCTGCAATGCACAGCGAAAAGCGCTGCATGTGGTTGAGAACGAGAGGCTGCGACGACATGCACGTGGGCACAGGACGGTCGCCCAACGTTACACAACGTGGCTGGAGGTGGTTTTTGAAACGGACAAGGAGGCAGATTGATAGACAGCGGGTTTGAAACGTCGCACAATCAATCGGTATGCACAATGGCTGTCTGGAGGCTGTTTGGGGGTGTAGTTTGGAGACAATGTGCGAGGAAGATGGCGCTGTATCGAGGGTGGTGGGTGTGGGAGATGTGCGATGCATGAGCCGGGGTGGCAGACAGGAAGCGAGCGAGCAGCCCTCACCTTGGTCCATGGTCAACGCCGTGCCCATGTATATTTAACCTTTGACGCCCGTTGTTTCTGGACAGACGGTGGCGCCTGGCATTCGACGGCTGGCGTCGATTGTTGATTGACTGATTTGATCGATTCCGTTCGTATTCGCGCGATCTGGACGACTTGTTCGGTGAATGGCCGTCCGTATCGCAGCTGCCGATTCGAGCGATCAATCGACCAATGCACCCGTTGCTCGGCCCTTTTCAGGCACGGCTACAGCACAGCGCAGCGCTGGTGGACGAGCTGGCGACTGCTTCGATGAGCTGCGCGATTCGAGGCGGCTTGGATTGGCGGGACGGTCCTCGCTAACGCACGAATGAGGCAAAAGCTTCACAGCTGAATTGTCAACGGTGTGCAGCGGATCAGGCGCAGAGTTCCCGGCCCGACACTCAAATTGCGTTTGAGTTCAGAGATGCGATGGCTGCCAGTCTTTCTTTCAACGTCAGTCGAGGCTGCGGCGACCTGTCCATCGTCAGCCGGTCTGCTTCTCCTCGTAAAAACTCACAGCAAACGACGGTGATGGCGCTGCGATGTGCTGGCGACTTTCGGCATGCTCGCTTTCCTCCATAATAATGCATTTGCGACTGCTCACAATCCGCCAAAGCTTCATCCCAGGCATTGGAGCGAAGCGAGGCTGGGCGTCTGCATTTCGCCAGAGCTTCACTCTAGCTCTGCACACGTCGACACCGTCGATTTGCTGTTGACTCGAAAATGGGTCTCGGAATGACACTCACCTGGGACTCGGTGCAATTGTCGTGCGGTTCTGGTCAATCAAGATGCCGGCTTGAGTGAGTTGCTTGGTCACAACGTCGTACGTTGCGCACACTGTGGTTCTTCTTTTCCAGTCGACGGTCTGAATTGTGCGCGTTGACTTGTTGAACAGGTGGTTGTCGAATGGGGACGATGTTGTTCCTGGCGCCAATATATGTCGACGGTGGATGGTCTTTGAAGTCGCGTGGGCCGGCAGAGCGATGCGGTGCAGTCTGGAGAGCCTTTAGTTGGGGTCGTTCGTGACACCCGCTTAAAATTGCCCTGTGGCGGGCTTGCGGTTGAGGCTGTGAACAAAGAAGGCACTATTGAAGTGGCAGCCGGGAAGGAGGCGAAGTTTAAAGAAGCACAAGAAGACACACACTCTCCCCTGGGTCACTTGGAGATGGGCCCCAACAGACCGAGTGTTGTTTTGATGAAGAGAGCAGCGAGCGCGCGTCTACCAGGTAGGGATAGCCGGCCATCGTACCCTTCTTCTAACAGGCGTCATGACCGACCTTGGCCGACAGCAGAAAATGATACCCAGCTTGGTATCGTTCAGAGCCAGACTGCCGGGTCGTAGGTCAGCCTCAGAAGCATTCATCGTATTGAGAGCAACGCTCAGACCACCCTGCCTGCCACCTCGCAGGTCGCGGTGGGAAGCTGCATCCATCTGTAGCCCTCTTCCACCCAAATGCGGTCTATTCATATCGCCCCGAAGCCAGGAGGCAGCGCATTGCCTCCGTGATTGCTACCTCTTCCATCTCATTGAGCGTCCGCTCCTTGCGCACTGGACGAGAGACGTTTGCACTTCGATATCGAATCCACCAGCATCCTCGACCTCGAACCCTAGCGCAGCAGGAGCCACTTTCTGCCACGGCTAGATCCAGCAACCCGACGCCGACGATGATGCTGATGATGCCTGGCCGTCTGCGCTGATTGCGAGATGCAACACTCTGCACGGCTCCGAGATGTTGCAGCAGGGCGACCGTGCGCGATGGATCGAAAGAGGAGCCTCTCCACCTCCAGTCCGGTGTGTCTGATCGTCCCTAGGACTGCTCGAAGGATTGGCGCAGCTCCGCCTACCGGACGACCAACGAGCCTACCAATTCACGGCGCCCCTGAGTTCCCGATCGGCCCGTATGCCGATGCAGCGCATGCAAGTCGCTGCGACGGGCTAGGACGGCCTGGTCCCAGGGAACCGGCCGAGCTTAGCAGCGAGCAGCAGAAAGTACCTGTCACAAAGCGGTGTTGGGGGCGCGGGAGCAGCAAGTCACGCGAAACGCTGACAGTTCAGTGTGTCCAATATTCCCCGTCCCCATGTACGCAACGGCGGGCGGTACCAGGCGCCACATTGCGCAACAAGTGCAGCAAGAGGCGCGCCGTGGCCGCTGAATCGCCGCTAAGCGCCGGGGGCAGAGCGCTGGTGCGGGGATGTGTGAAGCGTAGGGCTTTGTGAAGACGGCGACCGCGCGAATAGGGTACCTGAGCGATCCCTGCAGAGGCAATTGATGAGTGAATGAAAGCGCCCTCGTTCTCCTCATCGCCCTTCACGCCGAGGACGAGGTGGAGCGCCATCTCCAGACGCTGCCGTCAGTTTCAGGCGGCCCCGGTGTCCTGCGGGAGCGTACCGTTTGCGGACTTGCGCAGGTCGAGGGAGCGACCTTGCTTCGATCTCGAATGGAGGAGGAGCGGGAGCAGCTGGAGAGTGGAGACGGCCGCTCGCTTAGCCGGCCAATGATCGATGTTTGCTTTGGCGGCCGCTCCCGCGACAAAGAAACATAACCGTTGAACTGCGCAGTCGTCCACACACATTCCACGGCCAACGCGAGGCTATACTTGGTCGCCGTCGTCGAGTCTGGCATCAATTGGCTGCCCACTCCCGCCCAGCAATCTGCCTGCCCATTTGTCAAGCAGCAGATAGATTCGTTGAGCGCGGCCATCTGTACCCGCCCGCCAGCGAAATGACCATCATCAAAGAGGTCCCCTACCTCTCCGTCATGTGCGGTGGGCGGACGCCATGCCCTGATGTCGCCACCACAATGGGGACGGGACTTGTCTCATTTGCTGTCTTCTAGAAGGCTATTGGAGTCTCCCGGATGGCTGCAGCGCTCTGCTGGCACTCTCTCAGGCACCACTTCACCGCCACTCTGGCCCCACTGCCCGTCGCCGTAAATGTCGAGTCCAACCATCCGCACGTGACAGGCCCCCAAGACGTTGAGAGCAAGCCTTGCCGGCCTATCCACGCCGACAAGGCAAAGACTTTGGGACCGAAGTCCTGAAACGACGGGCCTGGCCGGTCGCCCGTCATGTGGCCGTCGTCAACCTGGATAAGCACGCTCTTGGCGAGTCTACTATCTGGCTGGATTGCTCCGGATGGCGCTCACGCCTGTCGTGACCTGCATGAACTCCACAGTTTGCTGTCCAAACCAAAGCGAATCGTGTCTGCGCAACGTACGCACGTCGATCGCCCTGGAGCCGTTCTTGCGCTCTTCTTGCTTGTCCCTCGTTACTTGGGAGATCGCGCTCTCATCTTGTCACATATTCACAATGGGTACCTCAATCTCTGCTGTCATGCCCGAGTCCTTGATAGCCGTCCACGACCGGACAGCTGCATGTCCCTATCTTCAGCGCTTCCCAACAAATGTCGACACCCGCAATCATCTGCACGAATGACGGCTATGCCACAGGAAGAAGATCCGGTGACCTCGAGACCCTCGTTGCGCTTCAGGCACTCTCTGGCAATTTGTCAAAATCGCTCGGTCACCGCGCTTCGCCAGGCTGGCCGCTGTGCTCGTGCGTTTCATCGTTGCTGCTGATGCTGCTGCTGCTCAAGGCTGCCTTGTCTGCACCAGCGACCGGGTGCCGAACGTACTCGACGCTGGCAGCCAGCCTTGTACCTAGCACAGCATTTGCTCACCAGATTTGCACAGCCGTGCCACCCACCAATGTCCAACTGAAGAGAGACGGGACTCGCCTGTGAATACAACAAACATCCAGAGCATTTCACTGCCGCACGTGCCGTTCCTGTGTTGCACGTTTCTGCAGGATCGCCCACATCACCACAACTCGACGAACGGTTGGTCCGTGCCAGCAGCATGTCTCAAACACCAGACAACACATCTTTGACATGAAGTGACGCGTGGCGGTCGGCTCCACCTTGGTCAATAGCCACGGCGCCGCCATCTTCGACGAGCTTACATGAACTTGCAAGCTGATAAAGCTCTTCTGCAGTGTGCTCGTCGTAGTACGTCGGAGCGGGCCTACTCTTCGCACTTGCGCACGAGAATTTCAAATGATTCAACCCAGGAACTTGGATCTCTACGTCCACGGCAGCAGTACTGAACAACCAATTCAATCGATTGCGAGGGCAGCACGACGATACGCTTTAATGAAGGACGGAGAGCGATGCTGTTAGTTGCGTGGCTTGGGTGACTGGCACAAACGAGTCAATAGCAGGTCGGACTTCAGTACCTCGTCTTGGCGGCGATAAGAAAGATTCGGAGAATAAGATTGAGATCCGTCGTTGTGACCAGCGGGATGCCTGGTCCTTTGGAGACAGTTGCTGCTGTTCACTGGGCTGCTGATACTCCGAAGCAGAGGGCTCAAGTCTAACGGTATGGGATCTGAGAATTGAGGGGTCAATTTCGCTGAGAGCATTGCAGTAATTCTTGGACCATACCTCACTAGACCTGTCTATCGATGGCGTAGGCATTCACCAGCCAGCTTGGAGCATCCCCGAGTCTAGCACCCCATCCTGCTCGGGGTGACTCAATACCAATCCCACCAGGACACACACCTAATGAATACCACGCACAACACTCAGCCTCTCGCATTGCTGCAGCGAATTGAACCCACTTTCGGGCAGCGACATTTAAAGAACGCATGGCCAGTCGTTCCAGTGGACGTCCTTCATCAGGACTTTCCAATCATCCATACCGACCCGTCTCCGCCATCAGCGACGTGCAACATACATCACATCGCTCATCTCCGACGAAAACTTCGACCCTTTCTTCTCCATGGCCCACCCATCTCCAACACTCGGCCTTTCTCCCACGCCTCGAAATCCTGTTTTTGCGAACCACCAAAGGCCAGACTAACCCGTGTGAGGCCACGCAAGCGTCTATCCCTGCGTCAGATCGGGGAAAAGCAAACAACTCACAGACCAACTTGCTGACTTTGCAGAGAACCTTACGCCCTAGAGGGTGTGCCGCGAAGGGTGGGCAAAAGGCCCGAGTCCTGGAGGGACTATCATGACAGGTAAGTCGCACACGAGACCACCAGTGGAGATCCGTACCCTGCAAATCCCTTTTGGCACACGACGACCAGATGCTGTTCGACGAGCAACGGTTGTGACTTGCACGTTCGAGATTGTGAGGATTCTTGTTCGACCGAACTTGAACATGGCCCCCCTTTCGTTGCCTTCAAGGTAGGTGAAGCAGGCTATGCTAAGGACTATAGCCTATGAATAGGGAAAGGATAGCAAACATTACCAAAAAACAAGTCCTTTCTCATCTTCCTCGGTGTTTTTTCTTATTTTTGGTCTTTCCTGATGGATAGCTGCGTCAAGTATACTGCCTCGCTGTGTGTATCCGCAGACAGGCTGGCGACACAAACGACTCTCTGCTTGTCGAAAAAGACTTTCCGACAGTGACGTCGGCCCCAACCAGCATTCCCTACTTCCTTCCCTTCTTTCGAGATCCATTGCTTGGTGTGCTATACTGTACTGCACTGTGACATACGACTTCGTCCTCAATCTCCCTCGATCGACTCCGTTCGTCAACTTTCTGCATCAACAGTAGGTCACGTTCTTCGCTATGTTCACTCCCTTCAAGTCTCAGGCAGACACATGACGATATATAGCCGAGCTTCTCCAAAGGAAGCAACAGAGCGACGATGAGATATCTCGGTTGCTTTGCTCTGTGTTCCAAAAGCAGGGAAAGAAGAAGAAGAAGACGGAAAAAATGAAGAAGTCCGCGAGGCGTCGATTTACTACGTAGGCAGGAATCCATTTCCACTAGCATACTGACATCCAACCCCAACGAAAAGCGTGAGTTCTCACAGTCACTTAGTTCTCTGCTTCTCCTCCTTCTCATGGGCCACGTACCGAAGAAAAAGATGAGTGCATGCTACTCCTCACCAAAAGCCTGAGCAGGAGAAAGTGCACAGTCGAGTCCAAGTCCATCCATCCAGACTTATCACCCCAAACACGGCCTCTCTCTCTCTCTCGCTCACACACACACACACAAACTCCCCCAGAAGCACTTCATCCTTCCAACCTCGACCTCGTGCCAAAGAAGAGAGTTCAAGCTCTAAATTCGTTTCTGTCTCGCTTCCTTGCTGCGGAGGGAGGGAGAGATCGTGCAAATGTACATATTACACATCCACATTTCCGTACACATACATATGTTACATTGGCAAAGTAAAGTCTCATAACCGGCCAGCTAGACCCACATCTGTCATTCTGTCATTGTAGCGGTGTCTTCGTTCAAGGCTACTTCATACAAAGGGGGAGAAAGACTTGAAATGAGATGAGCGAGACGACATATGTCTCTGTTGGCTTTTTTCACGAACTTGAGAGATGAGTCCTTCGTCGTCGGGGGTCGTGCTGATTAGTGGGCGACGTGTTGCGGGATGTTTTAGATGCTGGGGATGTCCTCGGACGAGGACGTCCATTGACGAAGAGTACACCATAGGTAGAAAAGAAGAATCCTCTCTCACATACATCAACGACTGTACTCACAACCACTTCAACCGCATCATTTATACAAACGACCTCAAACATCACTCTCATTCACTGACTCACTACTCGACAAAACCCTACGACCCACTCTCCCACTCCACCCAATCCCTCCCCACAACCCTCCAAACCTTCACCTCTCCACTCCTCAAATCCCCCAACCGGAACTTCTCGCTCCTCACACCCTTATCCTTCTTCTCGCGCCCTTGCTCCCAACCGCGGATCGCCCGTCTCGTACCATCCCATTCTTCGACGATGGCGACGTGGGAGAGGCCGTAGTCGACTTTGTATTTATGCTTCATCGCGCCGTGACTGCCTTCGAAGCGCGCGTTGCGGAGCGTGACGATATCACCCGGACGGATCTCGTCGTACTGCATCGTCGAGGCGTTGGCGAGGTTGGCGTAGACGAGGCTGCCGTACGCGCGGGTGCCGACGGGTTGAAGGGCGGCGCTGTGGGATTTGATGAGTTCTGATACCAAAGCGGTAGGCGAGCCGTCGGCGACGACGGTGTCTTTCTTGCTGTGTCCCATCGCGTTGGCTTGCTCCGAGATCTTTTGTCCGAAGCGCTGCCAGTATGTTTCGAGCTGGTCTTGTCGAAGTTTGGGTGGTGAAGGGAGGTGTCTCTGCTCGAGGACGACCTCTGTGGGACTCGTCGGATCATACCGTGCGTTGATGATGGTCTGGCTATAGTCGATATAGAGAACGTATATGTCTTTGGAGATTGTTGTTCGGCCGCCGCGCTTCGAGGTAGTTGACTCTTCACTTTCCGAGAGAATGTCCACGCCGTTGCGACTTTGTAGAACTGGTGGAAGCGGACGAGGCGCTGTCCACCAAGGAGTGTCTTGACTCAGGTTGATATCCTGTGCAATCTGTCCGTGGTATTCCCCGGACGCCCGCGGCGCATCCATCGAACGACGAGATGTGGTGTTGGAACGTTGAACGTCTAACGATTGGCGAGGAGCAGCTCGAGGTGGAGGGGCTTCGCTGGGAGGCGGAGGCATTGGTCTTGAAGGAGCATCCAAAGATTTTCTGGTGGATGGTGATGTCGAGTAAAGATCATCCGCAGAGCTTTCTTGACGCTGCTCTGGCTCTCTGGGAGGAATTGGTGGGGCTACAACAGGTACACCTGTTGGCACCGGCGGAGGTGGTCCGCGCTGAGACGCATTGTCGTAACGGTACGGGTCATAATCCTCGTCGCCTGGGCCTACTTGAGGAGTTGCAGCTGGTGGCACAGGAGGAGGTGCTCGCGGCGTGTCCATTGAAGGCCTTGACTTTGGAGGGGGTTGAGATGCAGGCGGTGGTGGAGGGACGGCTCTCGGCGCAGTAGCATGAGGTGGAGGTGCTGGCGGTGATAGTGGCGCCTCATCTGCGGTTGTGCTGTCGTCGAGACTAGGCTCCCGTATGTGTGCTTTGAGTGCATCTTTGTGTTTCGCGCTGGACGCAATATCAGTATCGTAGTCCCCTTCGTAATCGCTCTCTCCTCGCTCTTCGTCAGCTTCATGTTTAGTGGCACTTCTGCTCGGAATAGCAGTGGGCGGCGGAGGCGGTGGTGGGCGCGGTGAAGTGAGAGGACTGCCTGGCACTGGAGGGGGCACACGGCTCGCGCGCTTGTCTGATGTTGCCGACGCTGGCTCACTACCAAAGTATGAGGATCGCTTGTTTTCAGGAGATTGCACTGATCCTGAAGTAGGAACTGGCGGCGCAGCTGTAGAAGCTGTTCTAATAGGCAATGGACCTGGCGTATCTATTCCAGATTCGTCGGCAGAAGATTTAGGAGGGTGCATCGACGCTTCGTCGTCCGATTCAGAGCCAGGACCAGGCGAAAGAGGGCCAGCTGGTGGAGGGGGAGGAACAGGTCGTGACTCTGGCGGCGGTGGACGAGGCGCTGATGTTGCGGTACCAGGTACGGGAGGCGCCCCTGACGGTCGTGAATCTGTGGCAACGTTAGTCAAAGGCTCAATCATCGTAACATGCGATATTGGATAAGTATGCTCGTTCGTATCATTCGACCTACGGCTGCTCTTCCACACGATTGGACTCTCCGCTGCCCCGTCCGATGAGGACATTGAGAGGTCACGTAAATGCGTGCGGCACATGAGCTTGCTGTTCCGAGTCGATGCACGTCTTGAGCTGGCAGATCGGTCTTCTACCTTACCTTTGGGCACGGGCGGAGGAGCGCGCTCTTCGTGCGTGGACTTCCTTGTCGGGGGCAATGGAGGCTCATCCTCGTCCCTCTCGAGGCCCTCGCCAACAGTCGACTGCGACTCGGATGGCAGCGGCGTTCGATCTGATTCCGGACTCTGCACGCGATTCAACCCAGGCACTGGGATCATCGGAATTCGCGGGGCTTGCTGTGACGGAGATGTTGGAGGCGGCTCTGCATCTTCGCTCGCCTTTCGATCCTTGGTAGAGCGTTTCTTGGGTGGAGCGCCACCGGGCATCGGCATGCCGCCTGGAGGACCAAACATGCCAGCCATTCCCATGCCCCCACTCATCTTAGCCATGCGCTCTCGGAGCTCCATTCGTCGTCTAGTCTCCTCATCCATGCTGTCTTCTTCGTCTTCAGCCTCCTCGGTGGTATCTTCCTCATCGCCTACATCTGGCTCTTTCTTGGGCGCGGTGCTGGCCCGTCGGGGTGGAGGGGGTGCCTCGGTCTCATCGCTGTCTTCGGGGCCGATGGTGCCTGCGTCATCGGTAGTTTCACCTGCAGCAGAGTGGTCTGCCTCATTTCCATCGCTCACGAGCTCATGCTCGGGTGCAGCTGGCACTGGGGACATTGGCTCTGGTGGACGGCGCTGTGCTGACGGTACGCGGGGCTTCTCTCTAGACACATCCAAAGACTGTCTTTCGGTATCCGCGCTACGCTCACGTTGCATCTCCTCGCCTTCGGCTTCAACATCCTGCTCTGAAGGCTCTGAAGACTTCCTTGGTGGTGGTGGCTTCTTCTTTTCTTTGCTGCCTCCCTCTGCTCTTCTCTGTGCCTGTTCCATCTGTTGTTGCTGAAGGCGAGCAATACGTTCTTTCAGACTAGTTGGCTTGGGTGCATCCTCGTCTTCATCTTGCTGTGCACTCTCGCCAGTCAGACCGGCTGACTCGGCCGCAGCACGATCTTCCTCCAGTCTGCGCCTGATCTCTGGATCCTCTTCTCTGATATAAGGCTTATGCACAGGCTCTTGCTTTGGGGGTGGAACGTATGCGTTGGCCATAGGGGGCGGGGCCACAAAAGGTTTCTTGATAAAAGTGTTGCCTTGCGGTTTCTGACCCGGCACCATTGGGGCGATTGGAGCCGCAGCAGGTTGATTAAAGGCGGCAATGCGGTCTCGGAAGGCATTGGACTTGGCCGCGATTGGAGGCGGCGGGGGCTTCTTCCCACTTGCTGGCGCTGCGGCGGGCTCTGCGGGGGCTGCGGGGGCTGGTTTGGGAGCTGGTGGAGGAGATCTGGGGTTGGCGGCGGCTGAAGGCGGCGATGTCGTCTCTTCCTCTCCGCTGACAGGCGGCGGGATATCAACTGCTGGCGGCTGCGGTTTGGACGCAACTGGAGCCTCGGGCTCAGGCTCAGCAGGCGGCGGCACGGCAACGGGCGTGGGCGCTGGAGCAGTGGTCTCTTGCTTGGGGCGAGACGGGCGAGAGGGCCGTGTGGGCACCTCGGGCTCATACTTGTCGACGAACTCGCGGGGGAAGATGCCGCTCTTGCTTGCCCCGGTCACATCGTTGTATTTGCCCTCGAGCCAGTTGTCGTCGACCTCCTCCGTGACATCAATGATCTGGCCGGCGGGAAAGCCCAGATCGTCCTCCTCCTTAGCCTCGAAGTCGTACAGCGCCTTGACCTTGAACAGCGACGCCATGACGGGGGGGGATGTTGCGGTCGTTGGATGCGTAACCGGCGTCGTCGCAGCGGGCGGTGGAGGTGTGGTGGTGTTCCTCAGGCCAGAGCGCAGCAATTGACGCAATGTCCGCGTGGACGCCCGGTTTCAAGAGCTGTTGCTGCCAACGAACAGCCCAGGCTGGCGGAGGTCTCGTTGGATGTGAGTTGCACTGCCGGCTGTCCTCGAGCAGTGCAGTGAAGGGGGGAGTATGTACAGTCAGACAGAGGCAGCAGCAGCAGTACAAGCAGCACAGCAGCAGCAGCAGATGGGATGATGGAGCTGGCGGCGGCACCGCGGTCGACTGTTTGCTTCGCCAGCAACGTGGGCGAAATGACGATGAGCCCCAGCGCCACATCTCATGCGCCACACTTCACCATGCTACTTTTCTTCGACACACTCCAAACATCCCTTCCTTCATCCTCCACCACCACACCATGTCCTCCGCCGTCCCCGCCAAGTCCATACTGAAGCGGAAGCCCACGGCCAAGGCGCCGACGGTAACAGACGAGCAGAAGGAGAAGGTCCAGAAGGACCGCCAAAACCTCAACATCGCCCTCAAACATGCCTATCTGATCCAACATCGGAAGGACGTCGAGGCTGCCATCCTCAACTCCATCGTCGTTCTTGTCGACTACCCCGCTTCAACCCAGTTCTCCACCGACGAAGCTTTCACTTACCTGAAGCTCGTCAAAGCTTTCCAGCCATCCGACTTTGACAGCCTGGTCGAGGAGCGCCGCATCGACGGAAAATGCGGGTATGTTTTGTGTGCGAATAAGCCACGCTCGCAGTCTCTCGGTGAGGCAGCCATCTGGAAGCTCAAGAAAGGCATGGGCGACTGGTGCAGCAACGACTGTGCCAAGAAGGCTTTCTACGTCAAAGCACAACTGAGTCAAGTGCCCGCCTGGGAACGAGTGCCCGAGGAGCGGCCTGATATTCAACTCCACCAGGACGATCGCATGCCTGAAATGGAGGCTGCTGTTCGTCGCGCGAACAGGACCGCCCGTGTCGACGAGTGGCGGAAGAAAGTGGCTGACAATGAAGAACTGGCCAAGGAGCGTGGCGAGAAGACTACTTCATTCAGACCAAACCAGGTCATGGCCGACACGATCGTCGAAAAGCAGCCAAAGCCGTTCAAACCGTTCATGGCAGAGGCTCAACCTGGTCACTACAGCTCCATTGAAGGCTACCAACCCAAGCAGTACGGCAAATCGAAGAAGTCTGCGAACGACAGCGAGGAGGACGACAGCGATGTTGCTGACTGACTGAAGTATTGAGATCGGATTCAAGCTTCAGAATCAGCCACACGCAGGTTCAAGACCTATACTAGCCGTGGCACCAGCACCCCCACGCCACCTTGTATCAGCAACTCGATACTCAGTCCTGTCATTACTCAAAATCCCCTTCTCAGAGTTGGAACACCAAACTCCGTCACGCGCAAGCAGAAGCGTAATCCAGCTGCCAATCTGACGCCCGCATCGATCCGGTTGGACATGCCAAGGCAACCATCACCATGATACAGGTCACATGCTCTATCTACGGACTTTACACTGTCAGAAGCACACAGCAAAGGATTCTGACATATTCACCGAGCTTAGCGGGGAAACGAAAGGATCAACACAGTACTTTGAAGAGAGGTCTGAACTTCTGGCTTGTGCAAAGTCACTCCATCCAATCGATGCTGCATCCATGCGACAACACCGTCACTCTACAGACACGGTCGCCTGTGACGCTACAATACATAATCAACCCTCGGCCATCACTTCTGGGAATGTGACTTTTTGAATGCGATAGGCTACGGCTATGCTTGTGGCAGAAAGCGTTCTTGAAGAAGGGTCGTTCTCATAAAGGTCAAATTTTGGGCATGACCAAGTCTACGTGCAGCATACTTTGCAGGCCTGATTGAACATGATCCCATTCTATCAGACTAATAGCAACAAATGGCACACCATAACATGTAAGTGTATCATGGCGATGAGCATTTCATATGCCGGAGCTCGGCCCGTTGCACCGAGTGCCTCGCTCTCTACTCTACCGAGCAACCACTACACCTCACGTTACGAGAAACAGAACAGGAAGAAAGATCAACTATCAGTCGAGTATCAGTGCTTCAAAAGCGATGTCGACTCCGACTAATTTATGCGCCTTCACTTCACCTCCAGACTCCCATCTTCCCCAAGTCCTGCCCGACATCACTGCCGGCAACATCGGCTCCAAACTGGAGAGGAGAGATCGACATGGGCTGGATAAATGCCTGCAGGAACGATGGACATGACACCTATTTTTCCGTCCAGGCACACCCCGCTTCCCCAATCATACCCCAACACTACTGTAGATGTTCCTGACGTGCTCGTCGATGTCGACCGTTCCATCTTTTTAGCCCGGTCTCGGCAGCAGGAGGATTGATCTATTGTGAAGAGAGCCTGTATTGTTTGTTCGCCTAGATACTTGGCAGTGAGGAGATGTGTTGATACAAATACGAAGGGCTTGCTCTTGTGGGCCGTGTTGGATTTCAATCTGTGAGTGCAGTCATGGTGAGTTTCAAACAGGCCGTTGTGGCCTCTATCTACATTGCAGCTGCAACAGCTGTCGACATTACCGTCAGTCGATCTGGTGGGAATGCAACTGGAGACGCAAGACATCACTATGGCTATGGCTTTCTTCACGAGGTGAGAATACCACATGTACTGGAATTGACTCTGCTAACAAGCACTGCTCAGGACATAAACAACTCCGGCGATGGAGGCATCTACGCCGAACTCATCCGCAACCGTGCCTTCCAATTCAGCGAACAGTATCCCGTGAATTTAAGCGGATACCATCCAGTCAACGGCGCCGCCCTCAGCCTCCAATTCCTCCAGCAACCACTCTCAGACGCATTACCCGCTTCCCTGCGAGTCGGTCCAGGCAACGGCACTTCATCCAACCCCATCGGCTTCGCCAACGACGGCTACTGGGGCATCGACGTCAAGCAGCAAAAGTACACCGGCTCCTTCTGGGTCCACGGCTCCTACAAAGGCCAATTCACCGCTTCCCTGCAATCCGCGCTGACAGACGACGTCTTTGGCACTGTCAAGGTCGACTCCAAGGCTCAAGCGGGTCAATGGATCGAGCATGACTTTGAGCTGACCCCGGAGAAGAATGCACCCAGCTCGAATAATACTTTTGCCGTGACATTTGATCCTAAGGGGACGGCGAATGGGACTTTGGATTTCAATTTGATTAGTCTTTTCCCGCCGACTTATAAGGGGAGGAAGAATGGGTTGAGGATTGATATTGCCGAGGCTTTGGAGGAGATGAATCCAGTGAGTTCAGCTTTTACAAAGCGTGAAGGTCCTGTTTTGCTGACGTTGTGGCGAACAGAGCTGGCTTCGATTTCCTGGTGGCAATATGCTCGAAGGCAACACGAATACCACTCACTGGGATTGGAAAGATAGCATCGGTCCCTTGAAGGATCGGCCTGGTTTCCCTGGTGTTTGGGGCTATCAGCAGACTCATGGACTTGGTCTTGTGGAGTACCTTGAGTGGGCGGAGGATATGGATTTGCAGATGGGTATGACATCTCTCTTTCAAAATATGATGGGCACTGACAGATTTGCTTTACAGTCGTCGCTGTCTGGGCTGGCCTTGCCCTCAATGGAGACGTCACTCCTGAGGACCAACTCCAGCCTTTCATCGATGATGCCTTGAACGAGATCGAGTTCATCGTCGGTCCAGCAGACTCAACATGGGGCTCACGCCGCGCTGAGCTGGGCCACCCGGAGCCTTTCAACCTCTACGGCGTCGAGATTGGAAATGAGGACTGGCTCGCCGGCTACCCTGAAGGTTGGGACTCCTACAAAGCGTATCGCTTCCCCCTGTTCCACGACGCCATCCGCGCCGCATACCCAGACCTCCAAGTCCTCGCCTCAGCAGCAACCTCAGACCCCGCCGGCGATGGAGCGACGAGTGGACCAAACATCACCGACGGCCTGCACTTTCCCAAGGACACCATCGGCGACTACCACCCTTACCGCGAGCCAGATGAGTTGATCGAGGAGTTCGACCGCTTCGACAACGACATCGGCCACATCATCGGCGAAGTCGCCGCCACCCACCCCAACGGCGGAACCCGCTGGTCCGGCGGCCTCCTCCCCTACCCCATCTGGATCGGCGCAATAGGTGAAGGCGCCAGTCTCATCGGCTACGAACGCAACTCCGACCGCATCCGCGGCACCTTCTACGCCCCCGTCTTGCGCAACCTCAACCGCTGGCAATGGGCCGTCACGGTCCTCCAATTCGCCGCTGACTCCGCCCTCACGACCCGCAGCACGAGCTGGTATGTCTGGAGTTTGTTCGCGCACCACCCCATCTCGAATACCCTTCCCGTCACCTCAGACTACGGCCCAGTCTACTATGACGCCGGCCAGGACACCTCCCGCGGCGCGCTCGTCTGGAAAGGCATCGCGTACAATACCACCGACCACGCTCCCGTTCCCGTAAACGTCAAATTCGAAGGCGTTCGCCCAGGCACCAAAGCCGTCTTGACGGTTCTGACGAACGCAGCGGGAGATCCTTATGCGTATAATGATCCTTTCACGCAGGTGAATATTGTTAATACAACCAGTACCACGTTGACGGCGGGGAGGGATGGCGGGTTTGTGTTTGAGCTGCCTGAGTTGAGTGTTGCGGTGCTCGATACGGATGTGGGTGTTAAGCATCCTTGGGGTGGACATGGTGGAGGTTGGGGCGGGCATTGGGGTGGTGGGTATGGGCATGGGGATGGAGGGCATTGGGGTGGGGGACATTGGCGGTGAGGAGGAAGTAAGATTTGGATGATCGGGCTAATGAGAGTCGTTCTTGGGATAGCGAGTATAGGTTGAAAATCTGAATGACTGACCGGAGTAAAAAGAAATACTTCAAGACCCTCAAACCCTCCAAACCATAACGTCGTGCCAATACTTTCAGTGCCTGCATACCCGGCAGTCCAACTCCGAGAGTAGGTAGATTAGCGAAAGCGAGATCACGAACACGAAAAAAACCTCGCAGTCATAGCTGAATCGATCGCGTAACGACCTGCCAAGCGAAATAGACCTGCATTGGTGGGCTGTACCTGTGGAACCCGGGTCAGTTACGTTCTTGTCTGCATTTCAGCTGGAGACTTGGTCAAAATTACCGCAATGTCTTGATTTATATCAAGCCTTCCAAAGACGCTGGGCTCATTCACTCACGTTTCGATCTAATCCTATCTCTCTACCAGAAGCGCTAAAATGAAACTCACTGCACCAACCTTCCTCCTCTCGCTCCTCACAACAACAACACTCGCATCACAAAATGACACCGAACCCGCCCTCCTCCCTAACCCAACCGGCCCCTACGCAACAGACATCAAAGCCCTCGAACTAACCGACCACTCCCGCATCGACCCCTACGATCCAAACCACGGACCACGAAAACTGATGGTCTCAATCTTCACCCCAACAGTCCCAGCGAAAAAATGCTCGCACTGGCAAGCCTACCCATACGCGCCGCCTCGCACGGCAGAACTCCTCGAACCTTTGCTAGAAGCGTTCGGCTGGCCGAACTCGACGGAGTACCTGAAACGACTTCGCCTGCCAATTTGTCCCTCTCAACGCCAGTCATGGCGAGAGAAGCAGTTCCCAGTCGTCCTCTTCTCGCACGGTCTAGGCGCGATCCGTCTAGCATCCTCCTCGCAAGCCCAAGCCGTCGCCGCGAATGGCTTCGTAGTCATCACCATCGACCACCCCTACGACGCCGCCGTGATCGAATACCCCGACGGAAGCATCGTCACTGGAAGGAATCTCACATCGTCGCAGGAACTCGACGGCGACGTACAAACCCGCTCCAAAGACGCCAGCTTCATCATCGACGAACTCAGCAACCGACAAAGCATTCTCCACCAGCACTGCGGGCCCGTCGCTAAATCGAAAGTCGCCATGTTCGGGCACTCCCTCGGCGGCGCCTCCTCCGTGCGCGCCGCCTACGACGACGCCCGCATCCTCGCCGCCATCGATCTCGACGGCTCGCCCTACGGCTTCAACACCACCGGCACCACCGAAGCCGACCTCGCCTTCCACCTCCCCTCCATGCACACCCCGTTCCTCCTCTTCGACGAACCCGCCTTCGTCGACACGGCAGGCTTGCCGACGCTCTACAACGCTTTCACGGGATGGAAGCGGCATCTGGCCCTCGAAGGGTCGTTTCATCTGACGTTTACGGATTTGCCGTTGTTGGTGGATACGTTTGGGTTGAGGGGGACGTTGCCCCCAGCGTTTGAGGCGATTGTGGGGACGATTCCAGGGTTGAGGGCGAGGGATGTTGTTAGTGAGTATGTGGCGGCTTTTATGGGGAAGTGGTTGAAAGGGGAGGATGGGGGGTTGTTGGATGGGCCTAGTGGGGAGTTTCCGGAGGTGGAGTTTGTTGCTGTTGGGTGAGGGAGAGGGAAAGTGGAGGGTTTTGAGAGGTCAAATTTTGGGCAGAAAGATGGAAAGAACGATTTCATCGAAGTCTGAACGTCAATGGTGAATCTTCGTCTCATCGAATCTCGGTCGTATGCTCGAGATCAACGTTCCCCTGCTCAGCTTCGAAGCTTACCTCGTACAATACCATTGTTCACTTGGGTATCCCATTCACGTATCGACCAGGTTTGGCTGTGTCGACTGCTCAAGTGAAGTCAAGGATACCTGACTCGTGTTAGCTGCACGAAGCTGCGGTGTTATTCGCATCGCCAGCATTGAGTTTGGTCTTATCAGCCGTAAGGAAAAGTAGTGGATTGGAGAGTGACGCCGCTTGCGTCTCGAGAGCCGCTCTTGCTCGCTGGTATGGCATTTCGATGGCAGTCAGAGTACCGGTCTGTTGCCATCTACTCATCCTTTGTGCCACAGGGGGGAATCGTTATCGTAGATGCATTCGATACTTTCATGTCGAGTCTAGATCCCGAGAAACTTTTGAAATCGGCCGGCCCCTGGCATGGTGTTTATTATAGCCAATAGTTGAGTATTATTGAGGTGGCTGGGAGGTTTTGGAGGTTGCGGGATTTCGGCACACCCTCGTTCACAGCGAGACCTCTCAGTCGCATTGCTGGATGTTCTTTGGATGCCTCACGTTGACCCTTCCAGAACTAACTCACTCACTAGCAGATTGGCAGACTCACCGACATGGCAGCAATGACCTGGGAAGGGGCGTTCACCGAGATAGACCCTCTCACGATGCGTATTGCCGTCCAGATGCAGCTCGAGGATAGTGAAGAGCTCGCCGCCAGGGCGAAGGGCAAACAGCGCGAAGACGACGACAAGACAGACGGTCAAATCGCCATGGAGATGTACGTTGACGATCTCAAGAACTGCGACGCTGCTCTTCAGGATCGCAACATGGCCCAGAGCCTCGCAATGGCTATCCTGCAGGACGGAGACTTGATCGCCCAGGCGTATAGACAGGAGCAGCAGTTCGCGCAAGATCGCGAGCTCGCTGTACGTCTGGCTGATGGTCATAACGTGCCTTACTCTGGCCCTTCGGCGGGAAAGCATGCTGGTCCAAGCAAGGCGCAGAAGAAAGAGCAGAAGAATCCTTGGGAGGACCAGGAGTTGCTCGACAAGGTGGCTGCAATCTACATGCAGCTGGACACCGAGCCGGTGCTCCCAGAGCTGGCTGATAACGATGATTCCGACGGCACCGTTGCGGAGTCTTCTGCTTGGGCAGCTTCACGCAAGGAGTCCAGGAAGCGCCCTCTGCGGGCCTGCATTGCTTGCGGAGAAGAGAATGACTTCTTCGAAGTGGCACGCGTGCCTTGCGACCATGAGTACTGCCGACCTTGCCTGAAGGAGCTCTTCACTTTGTCCATGAAGGATGAGACTCTGTTCCCGCCGCGCTGCGATAACCAAGAGATTCCGCTGGAAAGCGTCCGCTTCTTCTTGCCTTCGGATGTTGCGAAAGAGTTTGAGTCGAAGTATGATGAGCTGAGCACCCACAACCGGACTTATTGCCATGACCGCTCATGTTCCGCCTTCATCTCGAATGAGCTTCACACGGGGGACACAGCCGCTTGTCCCAACTGTGACAAGACGACTTGCACTATATGCAAAGGGCCGTCACATTCTGGTGACTGCCCAGATGACGAAGCGCTGCAGCAGCTCATCGAAGTTGCCAACGCAGCCCAGTGGCAGAGGTGTTACAGTTGCACCCGCTTCATTGAACTCGAAACCGGATGCAACCACATGAGGTATGTCCTTACTCCAGCATGATGAGAGTTGACTGACGGAGGCGGCACAGATGCAAGTGTGGTGCAGAGTTCTGTTATGTTTGTGGAGAGCGCTGGAAGAGGTGTCGTTGCCCGCAATGGGAAGAACAACATCTGCTTCGCAGAGCTACGATGCTCGTTGACCGCAACCCTCGACACCGCATCTTCCAGCCACCTCGGGTTGCCCATGTTCAGCCTGCTGCTCGTCTCCCAATATCATCATCGAACACGCCGACTGTGGTTGGTCCTGCGTCTTCACGTCCAGCAGTCCTTCCTTCAGCAGCAACGTCGTCGACTCTGGAAGTTGATCACTCAAGCCTTGCTCAGCGAGAAGACAACAGCACACCAGATGACCAAGATGAAGTGCTTTCAACCACTTCTACTGATCTCAATGCGCAGGGCGACATGACACCAGCGCACGACATCGAACCAGCCAGACACATGACCACTCGTAACAGACGTATCGCCGCAGCCATCGAGCATTTGAGAAACAATCATGCATGTGGACACGATAAATGGCGCTTTGTCAGAGGGGGCCATCAATGTGAGGAGTGCCATGATTTCTTGAGGGAGTACATCTTCGAGTGTCGACAATGCAACTTGCAGGCGTGCAATCGTTGCCGCAGGAACAGGCTATAATCTGCTGGGTCATGATGTTTGGGAGCCGTCGGAATTCCCTAAGCCGACCACAAGAGTGAAAAGCAGTCCCATGTACGAAGTCGTTGAGGAGAGCGACTGTAGCTTCTAGGACATCTACCCAGGAGGTATGACGATGCTATGCAATATCATCGGATTTGCCGTTCAGAATTTGCCGTTCAACGGTATATTCGCAAGGAGCGTTGCATCACATTTTCAGCCACGCAGAGTCTCGTGTGTCTTCTCTCCGTGTCCATTGGCGCTTCAGTCGTCATATTCGTAGGCCATATTCCAAAGCGGTCTGGTGCTGTTACTGCAGGTCGTCGAGAAGGGTGGAAATCTGCCTGAAGGTTTTGAGCCGGATCCGAAGGGCATCATAGCCAACGCGGCCTCATCAGCTGCAAGCATACATAATGAGTACGATGTCCACCCCGCGTTGCTTAGGCAGACCCTAGGCGAGGTTTGACGTGTATATGTTGCGGAGGAGGGAGGGCAAGTGAGAAGGAGTCTCTCAGCTGAAGATCTTGACCATCGGCTGAAGCCCGAAGCCCGTCTTGGCTCGGCGCTTTCCCGATGGCTCCGACCTCACTGCTCCCAGCCTTTAAGAAGGAACATCGGCATTCTGCCATTTCATCGGTCTTTCTTCAGTCCGCAATATCATCGCCAAGACTGCGATTCAACATGGAACAGGCCCCGGATGCGAATGGATCAGGTGCTGACCAACCCCAGGACTCCAGGCCTGCCAAGCGTCAGAAGAGATCCAGCGGCGATGAACCCAGCGATGGAAAATCATCGCGACATAGCAAGTCTTGTGCCAATTGTCGCAGACTCAAGGTCAAATGCGAGGCGTCAGACCAGGGGACCGACTGTTCGAGATGTACCCGGCTTGGATTGACCTGTCTGCGAGAGAAGAAATCATGGATCAACGCCGAAGAGGACGTGGAGCCTACTCAAGTCGCCCTCATGAAACTGGAGAGGGCAATGGAAGATGTCTTGCAGAAGCTCAAGATGCCTGCTTTGGACATGTACACTGCAACAACAATTGCTAAGCCGCGACAGCCGACACGATTTTCGAGAGACAATTCGGAGGAAGCTGCGGATGAGAGGGAGCGAGATGTTTCCCCGGATCCTATGAACAGTCTCATTGAAGCCACCAGGCTCAACGGTCTTCGCAGCCAGCTTCGGTCTGTCAAGCAACGACGAAAGGGTGGCATGCGGCGAAGGGAACACGACATTGTCTCTGAGAAGATACTTGCAGTCGAGGAAGCCGAGGAACTTCTTTCTTACTTCCAGAAGCATCAGTCCCACCATTTGTTCTCTGCCACGATCGCCACAGATGCTACTGTCGAGTCTTTGAGGAAGTCATCGACAGTATTGTTCACGGCGGTGATGCTAGTGGCGGCGCTGCTTGTGCCTGGAAAGGAAGCTTTGCACGAAGCAATCCATGCTCAATTCATTGGACTCGTATCAGCCGCCATGTTCGATCGCTTCCACACGCTTGATGACATACGGGGGCTTTGCATAGCAGCATTATGGCAACCCTACCTAAGCTGGAAGCTCTCTGGGCTGAGCATTCGAATAGCCACTGAGCTCAACATACACCACGGCTTCTATTCGGCCTTCTACGAGTCGAACATCACTCTGGACGAACGGAAAGACAGCCTCGAGAAGACGCGCCTCTGGTATCTACTCTACGTCCTTGATCATCAATCGAGCATCGCTTATGGACGACCACCATCAATGTCAGAGCTTCGGCCGATCAAAGACTTCGAGATTCTTCTCAATTCTGAATCATGTACTTCCGCCGATCGAAATCTCATAGCGCAAGTCACCGGACTTGTCGGGCTCTCCAGGGCTTTCGACCTCTTTGGTCTTGAGCCCAGGCGGACAATGGATGGCGACGATGCTTCCGTCATGAATCACAATAGATTCACGGAAACTATCCAGTCCTGGCGAGATCGATGGGCGGGGCAACTGGTTCGAACCCCTGGTAACTACATGTCCGGATCAGTAGAGCTTCAGTATCTCTTCTCTAACCTAGTGCTCAATTCCCTGGTACTGCGAGGACGGCCGCTCGATAAAATCTCCGAAATGCCATCCAGTTTACGTCCACTAGCCTTGAAAGCAGTCGAAACAGCTCATGCCATCTTGCAGTATTTTTTGGATGATCCGAAGTACGCTGATGAGATCGTCGGCATGCCATTATACCTTCACTCGATCATCGCCTTCGCCGTTGTCTTCCTCCTGAAAATGGCGAGAAGATGGCATCTTATCGGCATCACAATCGATGCATCGCAGCGAACGATCCCGCTGGCCGAACGAATCATCGAGATGCTGCAAAGCTGCAAAGCCGGTGCAAATCATATGGTCTTCAGCATGGCGAAAGGCTTCGAGAGAATGCTGCGACAGCTCAAGAAAGCCAGCATACCTGCCTCCTCAAGCATACAAAGCCCACCCCTCTCAGACCAACCCCGATGGACGACCGCGAACCATGACCAATCCATAAGCGCTGGCGGAAACGTACAGTACCCCGTTTTGAATTCAAACGGCACGTACGACATGTACGGGTCAGGGTTGCCTGTTAGCGGCGACTTCACCACTACGACGCCTGGGACGACGAATTCGGGCATCTCGTACACGAATTGGGGCTTTCAGGATGAGGAACTGTGGTCTGTGGGGATGGGCTATGATTTGCTTGAGCCGGGTGGTCAGGGGCTGTCTAGTACGGACTTTCCTTTGCAGATGACTAATTGGTGAATGAATGTTTACGAGAAAAGACATCAAGGTTGACATCAATGTCCATTGGATACTTTTTGAGAGACGACCACCATCTTGACGCGTTCCTCATGTTTCCAGTCACAGTCTATGTACACCCATCTCAGCACGCAACTCAAAGAGAAGAAATCGGCCTGCGAGGACTCTTATACAACGTCCCCAACTTCCACACATGCGTCACATGCTCCGCATCCGCCAAAATTTTCAAATCCTCCAACGGATTCTCATCAACCGCGATAAAATCCGCATCAAACCCCTCCTTCAACTGCCCCGTCTTCGGAGCCTGCGGCCCCAACGTCAAAGGCCCATTCGCCGTAGCCGCCTCAATGGCCTTCAAAGGCGACAGACCGGCTTTCTCGAGCCAGTGCAGCTCTTGACCGTTGACGCCGTACGTGAAGATGCTGCTTCCCGGGATCGAGCCGGGGATATCGCAGCCTGTTGCTAAGGTTACGCCTTTCTTGATGGCGATCTGGAGCGCTTCCCAGTGCGCTTTGGCGGTCGTTTGCATCTTCTCCCAGCCTCGTGGGTTGAGGATGCCTTTGCCGAGTTTGAGGCCGATTTCGATGATTGTGCGGGTCGCGACGAGGATGGCTCCTTTTTCAACCATTAGATCTGCGGCTTCTTCGTCGATGTACGAGCCGTGCTCGATCGTCTTGACGCCTGCGTGGAGCGCGGCCATGATGCCTGGTTTGCCGTGGCAGTGAGCGCCGATTACTCGTCTGGCTCGCGCGGCTTCTTCGACCATGACCTTCATTTCCTCGTCGCTGAATTGCTGGTCGATGGGGTTGTCTAGTTCGCTGCCGACGCCGCCGGAGCCGCAGATTTTGATGACTTTGGCACCTGCGCGAAGTTGCGAACGAACGACTTTGAGACATTCTGGTACGCCGTCGGCTAAGGCCATGGGCATGCCGTGAGCACAAGCATCGTCGAACCAAGGCCTGTGCAAAGTGTGGATGTCGGCGTGGCCTCCCGTTGGACTGATGATGCAGTTTGAAGAGTAGATCGATGGTCCCACGAGCGAGCCTTCATCGATAGCTTCTGCGAGCTGGATCCCGTAGCCGGCCATCTCTCTGACCTAAACACAAAATCAGCCAAATCGTCCATCAAACACCGCCCACCAAAAGAACCATCCTCACCGACGTAAACCCCGCATTCAACAACAACATACAATCCCTCGCCGTCCTCGCACCGCTCAACACCGGACTTTGATGAGCTTGCACGAACGCATCACTAGCAATCTTATGAATCCCGACCAAATGAACATGACAGTCCCACATTCCGGGCATCAAAACCTTGACATGCGTCTTGGGCAATTCAGAATAGTGAGCGAGTACATCGTCAGCAGGGCCGACGTGGGTGATCTTGGTATCTTTGACGATGATGCAGGCGTTGTGGATGGGTTTGCCGCGGCCGGGAATGAGGAGGTCGGCGGTGATGCAGAACTCGTTGGGTTTCGAGGTGGTTTGGGACTGGAGCTGGAGAGCCGTCATTTGATGGGTTAGGATGTCGGTGTTTCTCATTTTCGCTGTTGTAGGAGGTGTTGTTGATGGTTTGGGAAAGTCCAATGGAGGGGTGAGCTCTCGAAGTGGGCGTTCAACTCCACCTCCAGCCTCCAGGATCCTCTAGCTCAGAATTAAAAGGATCCGCATGCTTACGATACATTTCCGAAGTGAGGGTTAGGTTGATGGGCGTCTGGTTCACGGCCTGAGTTAGTTATTGACATTGCCGATCCCCGAAGACTTCTTCGTGTTGGAATGCTTCTATGTCGAAAGAAGAAAGAGTGACAAGGAGAAACAAACACTCAAAAACAGTGACTTGCAATTCGAAAGGAAATGGAGGATGCAGGAATTGAGTTGCATTGACAACTCCGGATTGACCAGATGCAGGGAATGCCACTTTGCCTGTCCGTGTCTTGTCATCAAGACATTCCTTTCGTGCTCAAATGCTCGCTTTTTAGCCGAGAGCTTCCAGCTCTGACAGATCAAAATGCCTTCTTGATGTAGTCTTCAACATCTGCAAGCAGTTCTTGAGGCTTCTCCAGAGCGGCAAAGTGCCCACCGCTCTCGTGTGCGACCGTCGAGACCATATTGCAGGCTGTCTTCGCCCAGCTGATTGGAATCGGCATGAGCTCTTGTGGGAAGAACGAGTAGCCCGATGGCTTGGACACATAGGGTTTGTTCCAGCCGCGCTGTAGGTGTTCGTCAGCTAATGGTCACGAATCAATGTCGGGAATTGTGCGCACCTTCGAGGTCTTCGCGATTTTTGGTCGCTCGTCATCGCCCGAATCGCCTCTGTATGAGTAGAGGCATCGAGGCATCGTTTCAGTGAACCAGTATAGTGACACGTCGGCGAGTATGAAGTCGAGAGATGGGTCTTCGTCTGACCAATCCAGAAACTTTTCTGAAATCCTGCTTATCATCAGCATGGGTCCGCCTCACAAATGAATAGATAGCATACCAGCTCAGAAGAGCCATGGGAGAGGCGCTCAGGGCAGCGCCAACCGTGGCCGTCCTCGTGCCGTGCATCAATGCATAGGCAGATCCCACGTCCAGAAACCAATCGTTTCTAGGCAAGACCTTTTTCTCGATGTCCAGCAAAGGCAGCTCATCCGCATTGTCTGGTCGGATGATACACATGTTGAGATGTATACCTTTGCAGGCACTGAAATGTGCTCCCATGTACCGAGCGGTGTGCGAGCCAATGTCTCCACCTTGCACAACATAGTTTGAGAGGCCAAGACCAGTCATGAGCTTATCAAGCGCCAGAGCTGAATCTTCTACCGCCCAGTCGTAGTCCTGAGGAGGGCCAGATGAGTAGGCATAACCGGGAAGACTTGGAACAATGACGTGGTACGGAAGTGTGGCTGGTGTGTACTTCTTCTTCAAGATGTCGAGAATTTGGGTGAATTCGAGTATCGAGCCTGGCCAGCCATGAAGCCTGTATCAAGCATGTCAGCCTCATCGCAACGAAACGATATCGGGCCTTCACCTACATCAGCAATGGGGTTGCATCCTTCGTCTCGGAGAATAGAGCAATGAAGTGGATGTCCAGTGCATGGCCCGCTTCGTTGAAGTCCTTGACCCGAGTGGTGAAGTTCGGATAAGAATTGATATGCTCTTCGTGCTTTCTCCAGTCAAATCGATTGACCCAATGGTCTTTAGCATTGACGAGCCACTCATTGGTGACGCCATACTTCCTGCCATGTAGTCCACCGTTCTCGAAGGTTCGTGGGCCGACAGGAGAAAGCTTGGTCAGCTGCTTGAAGTCTTGCAGCGCTTGCTCATCAACGTGCGCTGTGAAGGGCTTGATGTCGAGAGAGACAGATGATGGAACTTTGCTGAAGTCGGCCATGGTAGTGGAGATTATTGCAGACTCGCTGTTGAAGGAGTGGCTGGAACGAGATCTTCGCGATTATAATAAGCCCGTGATCCACTTACTGTGCGGTGAGGGAAGAAGGTTGGATTAGCAATCTGGTCCTGGCGGCGTCACATACGGTGTTTTGAAGACCTGACGTCGAGGGCGTACAGCATACCTCGCGTGAAAGTGGGTGGAAAGGAACAGGGCAATTACACGACACACGCGTCTGTTTGGGGGCGCCGGCTGAGTAATGATGCTGATCTAAGTCTTCCTAGGACTAGCGTGATCCGGCGCTCGACCTCACTGTCACAACAACGCGTTCTTCATCACGCACTCGGTATAGCAACATCGGTGGCATCAAGCTAACCAGGGCTGCATTACACGGCGTTCTGTCTCCTGGGTCACGAATCCGCTTACGAGTGCTCAAGAAGAGAGGATGTCGTGGACTAGCATGTGTCGACATGTGATCGGGAAAGGACTAAGTAAGTGCATGAATGCCATCAAAGCTACAAGAATTGTGACGCCCGCTGAGGTCCTCTACATCTCCCGCTGACTCTGTTATCTCTGATCTGTAGGTTCACATGGCGTGAATCAAGACCTCTTGTTATCCTGCGGACTCTGAACAGCCACCGCATGTCCGAGATTCGCCATGACAATCTCCCCAGCTGGTCTCTGCTTCCTGAAAGCCCTCTCAATCGCATCAAGAGATTTGCCTTTGGTCTCGATCATGTAGAAAAAACTGACAATCGTCGCAATAGTTGTGCATGCCCCGAACAGAAAGTACGCTCCTGATGCGCTCTTGGCCAGCAGGATTGGGCAAATAAATGCAACGAAGAAGTTGCAGACCCAATTGAAGCCTGCAATGTATCAGAGATGGTCAAAAATGCAGTGATCTGGGACTTCAGACGTACCATGTGCCAGACTAATGGCTTGAGCTCGAGTATGGTTTGGCTGGATTTCCGGTGCCCAGACTTTGATGCTAATGGCCCAAGTGGTTGCCTGGATCACGCAAAAGAGATAGATGCAGACAATCACAACCCATCTCCCAGCACCAGATTGAGGTTGAACTGCGTGCCCTGCATAGAGGCTGCCGATCAACAGCATCGTCACAGAGAGCCCAAGCCCGCCCACGACTGTGCTGGTTCTTCGACCCCACTTGTCGGCATACAGTGTCGCTGGAATGCTTGTCACTACGATGACGATAGCAGATACTCCAGAAGCCTACACAATGATCATTGTCAGCTTTTGTCCCGCCTGAAGAGCAGCCATCTCACCAAAAATGCGGCCTGTTGTGTTTGAAGCCCAGCTTGTTGGAAAAGCAAAGGTGCGTACTGCAACAAGTCAGCGCCTGCCATGAAATCGTGACTGAATACGACATACGTATAGCACGGCATCGATGCCACACAACTGCAAGAATCCCATCATGAACACAGCCAGAAACGTGCGCCTGCGAACGTCACGAGCCCAGAGGTCTGCAAAGGTCGCATGCTTCTCATTTGCCCGCTCGGCAGGCTCTTCCAGAACTTGAGATAGTGCGATTTGCTCTTCTTGGTGCTCACCCTCGTCCATGGCTTCGCGGTCTTCGCGTTTTACGCCCAGCAGATCCCAGACTTTGTCAGCCTCCTGGCGTCGACCGTTCAGAATCAGCCAACGAGGCGAGTCTGGCAGGAGGAAGAGGTTTGCGAGCGCGTATGCGGTTGACATTCCGGCCGTGATAATGAATCTACGAAGGTCAGCTGGTCATGAAGAGGTCATGAGCCTTGTGGTATAGAAGTACTAACGGCAAGCGCCAGGAGAGAGATCCTTCAATGTTGACGGTGCCATAGCTGCAGAATGTCAGCTTCGTTCTCGCAGACGAACGAGTCAACGTACGCCGTGAAGAAGCCTATGACCAAAGCAACACAGGTCATGAATTGAGGCATGGTGGTAAGCACACCTCTGATCTCCGGAGGAGCAATCTCGCAAATGTAGACAGTCTGGGTGCCAAAGTACAGCCCATAGCCAAAGCCTTCGATCACTCGGCCAATTGCGAACATCACAAGACTGACAGCGGAAGCCTGCAGGACCGCACCAATCGTGAAGATCCCAGCGCCGAAAGCAAGAGCCTTGGGCCGTCCGAACGCATCTGGAGGTCGACCAGCAAAGAACGAGCTCACCGCGGCGGCCAGCAAAATCGAGGAGACTAGGATGCCATGCACCACGGATGAATGCTCGCCGAATTGGTTGGTGAAGCTTGTCATGACTGTGACCGGACCAATGATGCTCATGTCCATTCTGGATGTTCTATTAGCACTTTGAATCATACGCTTTTAGATTCGACATACCCCAGCAAGAGGCCCCCACAGGAGCACACAACACTCGCCACGGTGTACCTCGCCGGCATGAGCTTGCGTGCTGGTGAAAATGCCATTGCGGGAAGTGGCGAAATGTTTCTGGAAAAGGATGAGGTTTTCGCTCGTGCTGATTGTAAGTTGCTAAGAAACCGACCTCTTGTTGCAATGATCTGGTCCTTGGAATGGGGCACTCTTTGTATTCGATTGCGACACGCGTGTGGCATTCCTATTCGGGACTCCGCCATCGTGAAAGCTTCTCCAAACGGCTTAGCGGGGATTTGAGCTTCATTCAGCATGTGATCGACTTTGAGGGCCATCACGGCGCTCGCGGTGTCTTCTTCGACGGAGAGGTGAAGTTCCAGCAATAGACGACGAAGTGATACGGTGTTGCAATCCTGCTCCCAATACACGACGGCTTCGGCAAACAAGAAGCGACAATGCCAAAGCGCACACGACATCCCTGTCTGTGTGGCAAAGCTAGCAAGACACAGCCTTGGTGCTTAGATCGATGCGCCAAAGATCCCGCAGCTTTAGAACTGGATCAGACAGTGGGTCTCTTGTGACTTCACAATGCTTGCATCTTTTGTCGTAAAGCTTGCCGTTTCACGTTACTGACTTCATCAGATTACCCACAGTGCTCGGCCCAGATAAGTATATTAGAGTCCACTACTGTGTTTTCCACCAGCACAGTCTACACCCTCTCAACCATTCTTGTACACCATCGAAGATGATCACACCCACGACTTTGCTGGTCGTTGCACCAATCGTTTTCATCTCTGCCCCCTTGATCTTCTTCCTCCGTCTCCTGTTTACCTATCTGCACGACGAAAAGGGCTTCCGAAAGTACCCCACCGAGAACTGGGCATCTGGTCTAACCCCTCTGGCCTACGGCTACGAGTGTGCCCGGCAAGGCAATGTCTACGACTTCCACACCAAGCGTCTGCACAACGCTCTACAAGCCTACCCAATCATCCGAATCGGTCCCAACTGGCTGTCCTTTGGTCGATCACAGGCCGCCAAGGACATCTATGGCTACACCTCCAAGAACGTCAAAGCCGGACCCTACGATGTCATGTCCGAGGGTGGTGCAAACCTGAACAACATTAGCGAGAAGTCGATTCACTCTGCTCGCAGGCGTACAGTGGCGTCTTCCTACGCACCGAAGAACATCGAAGTGTGGGAGCCGAAGGTCGCTGCTTCGATTCTGGACCTGAAGGCTCAAGTCGACAGACGTTGTGTTAATAAGACGGTTTTCGACGGCGTTCATTGGTTCTTCCTGTTCTCTGTCGAAGCCGTGATCAAGATCATGCTGAGCAAGGATATGTACTTTCTACGGAATGGGACGGATCATATCTACTTCACGGATGAGACTGGAAAGGAACGAGCTGTACGATCGATTGATCGTTTCCATGCGGTGCAGCGTGCGGCTTCGACTGTGATTTGTGGGTAACATCTTGATGTTCTTGAGATATAGCGCTGACATGAAACCGTCTGTAGGGGACACTGAGCACCTTGCATATTGGCAAAAACTCACGAATACTTTCTCCACCAAGTATGCGGACAACTGGCAAGCCGGCAAAGATGCGAATGCTGCGTTGGGTTCGCTGGTGAAGGAGAGGCTGCAACGCCATGAGAATGGAGAGGAGCTGAATGATCTCTTTCAGCCCCTCGTTGGAAACATCAAGGGTGAAGACGCTGGTGTCTCGTTCAAAGACCAAGTTGCAGAGGTTGAACAGGCCGGTGAGTTCCCTCGTTTCTATAGCTCATGACAGAAATGGACTGACTGTTGAGCAGTGGGAGCTGGAACTGACGGACCAGCGGGCTCTATCACCATGACTATGTACTATCTGCTTCGAAACCGACACACCCTCGTCAAGCTGAGAGAAGAGCTTGACGCTGCCTTGATAACAGAAGACACAGTGGCGCCCTGGGAAAAAGTCAAAAGCCTCCCCTACCTCCGAGCCTGCATCGACGAAGCCCTCCGGCTATCACCGCCCGTCGCTGCCAACTTGATCCGCCGCACTCCACCGGGTACATCCACAGTCATCGACGGCGAAGTCATCCCCCCAAACACCAACGTCTCCATCTCAGCATACACAGCCCATCGGGACCCCACCGTGTTTGAAGAGCCAGAGCGATACGAGCCCGAGCGATGGCTAGCGAAGGGATCTGATCGACTGAAAGAGATGTTGGCGGTGTTCATTCCGTTCAGCGCTGGGACGAGAGGGTGTATTGGTAGAAATATCTCGGCGTTGATGCAGATGACGTGTGTTGCGACTTTGGTGTTTTGGTATGAGTTTGAGCTGGAGGAGGAGGGTTGGGAGATGGAGTTTGAGGAGTGGTTTAATCTGTGGCCGTTGAGGCTTCCGATGAGGGCGAGGAGGAGGGAGGTAGTTTAGAGGCGGTCGTCTAGAGGTGTCGTTTAGAGGAGGCGTCAAGAGGAGGCCGTCTAGATTAGATCGTCTGATTGAAGTAGTCGTTTGAACAGTCGCAACCGTTCGCAAGGATGCTCTTAAGCCTTCTTCTCACTCGATGCCCTGTGATAAGTATCCAAATCGGTGTACTTCGCACTCGCCACTTCCGTCGCCAATGATCCAACATTCTGACTGACCTCTCCGACAGCAAGACCAGTCAAGTATGTCGCCGCATTCGTCGCCCCAGCCTCAGCAAACTCCTGAGCCGCAAACTCGCAGCCAGGCGCGAACCCCATCCCAACCGCCGCTCCAGCACCCACAGTGAACGCGGCAAATGCAGTATCCTTCCAATCTTCAGCATGCTTCGTGTGTCCTCGCCTCATCAACTCCGCGTGAATCATATCTAATCGTCGTTTGGCGACATGTCAATTTCGAGCCGCGATGCCCACGCCGATGAAGCTGATACCCAGTGTGAAAGGGGCTTGAGCCGTGCCGACCCAGGCGCCGAGCTTGCCGCCTTTGCGTTTTCGTACGTTGTGCTTGTCGCTGAACTTGAGCTCTTCTGTAGGGGTCTTTCGAAGTCTTCTGACGAACTCGTCGTCGTCGAGCCAGAAGAAGTCTCCCAGTGTCATCGTGGCTCGGCCGATTGTTTTTGATGGAGGGGAGAGTGTAGGCCGTTCCGTGGCTTGAGAGCCCAGCTCTCTGGCAATGAGAAAGTCTTGCGTGAAGCTGGATGGACGGCAGGATGGTTGGACGCGGCACTCACCATTCTTATTATACTTTGACCACGACTCCTCAGCCTGATGAGGCTTTCCATGGTGTGGCAGGAACCGCACCACAAGACTCACCTCGCGCCATGGGCACAACACAAATGCTGTGCTAACAACTGCTGTGCGCGAAACCCCATTTCCAGATATGTCTGACCAAATCCTTCACCGACATGTTCGCTGTGAGGCTGAGAACAACATCGAAGCTAATGCTGTATAACCGCAAGGGCGACTATCATTGGTGCTTTCGAGGCCAAGCTTTTCCGTAAATAGGTAACGAAGGTCGCATGCTCTGTTGTTGGGGGCCAAAAGACGGCTGGGGAGTACATATGTACTCTGCCGTCTGCAAGCGAGCTGATGAGCCACAGAAGCTGGGTTACGGCCGGTATGAGATGTCGGATTGGCTTCTTGCCTTACCTTCCGTCCTCACCGTCCTCTTCAGAAATCGTAGAAACAATTTCAATCAGACTGGAGAGCCAGACAGAGGAAGCCATCGTGCTCAGGAGCCTTCTTCCATAAGACTGCAGCATTCTAGTGAATGAAGTTCGTCTTGCATCGCGTGTCTCGTGCCCCTGAGCACAGGACCATCAAGAACGCGCTTGTTTTCCAGCATGGCTGCTAAAAGCTCGAGGTTAGAAACATGTGTCCTCCGGTAGACTCGTTGTGCCTGTGCTCGCGCAATCCAAGACCTTCGTCTTCTTTCGAAGCCTTGAACTTCACAAAGGTAAAGTGCGGATACTAACCCCTTGTTGGAAACAGTACTCCTCGGAGGTACAGCGTCGCTCAATACGCGGCAGTGGCTTGCCCGGCGCAGATTGGTTCAGGCGGTATGAGATTCGGTTTGACGTACACCTGGGTAGTAGCACGGTGCGACTTGAGCGTTGCTTGTGCGAATGAGAATCGCCAACACAGTAATGACACAGCAAAGGAGATAAGATGACATCCCTCAAGGCTCGAAGCATTAGAAAGGCATCTCGAAACTCATGGTCGTCGGAGCTTCGAAGATAGAGGTCTTTATGAGAAGCCGAATGTTCGTTGGCCTGAAGTGTTGCGCCGATGCGCCCTGGTAGGACAGAATTCCAGTGGCTGTAGCCAGATGCTTCCAGACTGACAAAGTGTGGTAACAGTAATCTCCAGCTTCTTTTGACATGGAACTCAGGAAGGCGAATGTTGGTTCGCCAGGCAAGGCTGCTGAATTAATGTTGTCCTCCTGCTCCAGAACGCCTCCATTTTACCCCCAGCAGCCGGTGAGGCGTAGTTCGTCATTTGTGCAAGCAGCGCAAGAAACACAAAGGTCTGAAGAAGAGAATGGAGATTCAATGTTTGTCGGTGACGTTCATCCCTGATGCCAAGTCGCATGCACCGAAATTATCCATGGGAATCCACGTTCAGGGGCACATACATCCTTGCCCGCGTATATACCGGCCCAGCTTGAAAAGATCTCTAAGCTCCCAAAATGGCTGAATTTGTACGGATCACGAAGGCTTGTCTCTATTGGCGTATCCCGCAATAAGAAATTGCCATTGCCATTGTGGAAGGGTAGGTGCTGTCAGCTTTCAAGGCTCGTCTCGGTCTCGCCTTCTCTCCTTCAACAACATTTCGTCTTTCATTTGTGTCGGCGTTCAAGATGTTTCGGCATTTGCTTCCTTTTGTGTTCCTCCTGGTTGGTTCCCTGTCGCCTGTTGTGGCTCATTCGCATGGACATGCCCATGCGCATTTGCACAAACCCCGTCAAGCACAGCCTCAGGATGCCAAAGCCCGATGGGAGCAGCTGCACCAGAACTACTTGACCAATGTGAGAGACAGCCTGGAAGAGAATGGTCAATGTACTTGGGATAATATGGTGGTGCGGAGAGAATGGTGCGTACCGTCCAAGAACGTGCTTGGCGTGGCGATTCTGACCAAATAGGGGTGACATGAGTGTCGAGTCTCGAAAAGAGTACATCTCGGCCTTGTACTGCTTAAAGGATAAGCCAGCACAGACGAACCAAGACGACTTCCCAGGTGCTCGTACTCGATGGGATGACTTTGCCGTCGGCCATCTGATTAATGTCATGAGCGTCCATCGCTCTCCGTGGCTGGCGGTCTGGCACAGACACTACAACTGGCGACTTGAGCGTGCTCTTCGAGAGGAGTGTGGTTACACTGGAGGTGCGACATCCAATTAACTCGTCACCGCCGGCGTATTACTGACCCTCGTCTAGGCTTGCCATACTGGCACTGGTCCAAGTACCTCGACCAAGACATCAACACCTGGCCGCTTTTCGACGGTTCGGAGACCTCCATCTCCGGAAATGGCACGCAGACTGGACCGCAATGCGCCTGTGTCGGAAGCGGGCCTCTCGCAAACTGGACAATCAATCTCGGACCGCAGGGAGAAGGAACTTGGGGATGCAAACGAAACCCTCAATCCGATGGTCGCGGTTAGAATCCAAGCTGCATCGAGCGGACGTTCAATCTTGACTCCTTGGCTAACGTCAAGTACTCGGATATCGTGTATACGATTGATCAGGCGCCGGGTAAGTGATTCTCCAATGGTGAAAGGAGCAGCACTGACAGATCGCAGATGCAAATGCCTTTGCCAGATTGTTGGAGCTGGAATCCCCGGGCACTCACAATGCGCCCCATCTTTTCATGGGCGGGACACAGATCGACGTGACGTTCTCTTCGCAAGATCCTTGGTTCTTCTTCCATCATGCGATGGTTGACTTCGTCTGGACGGTTTGGCAAAGTGTGGACTTCGACGCGAGAACGACGACGCTGCCGGAGCCTTCCATATTTGATGAAATGAGAAGTCAAGGATGTGAGTCGAATATACAAATCTGGTGTCAGCAAAGTACTGACGATTGAATTAGGGGGTTTGCCTACACCGCGAGTCAGTCTCGACAGCCAGATATACCTTTCGCCAGTTTTCAACAACATTACCGTGAGGGAAGCAATGTGGACGACCAGGAATCTGTACTGTTACAGATATGAGTGAGGAGCAAGTCGGCGTTTCGGTCGATGTGAGTAATGTAGTACAGCTAATGTATACGCGGAACCGTAATAGGCCAAGTTTCTGTGGCATTTCTTGGCTCTCAATGTTTCGTTCAGCGGCAAGTGCTACGTTCTTCAAAACTACACCTCAGCTGCCACTGCACACAGCTTCTTGTTCGACATCATTGCGGAAAGTCGTATGATGATGCCTTACAAAGACCTATTCCCAGGATAGATTGTCAGCTCTCGGACAAGTTCAAAATCAGCAAAATCAAGCCCACCATGAGCACCAACGCCGCCCTCACGTTCTACGACATAGCTTCAGCCCCGCCATTGAAGACCTTTGCGCCAAACCCGTGGAAGACCCGCCTGGCCCTCAACTTCAAAGGCATTCCATACCAGACGAAATGGGTCTCAGTACTGGATATCAGCTCGCTGAGGGAAGAGCTTGGTGTGCGAGCAAACCGCACGCTTCCGGATGGCACTCCGCTTCACACGCTGCCCATGATTCAGGACGCCGTCACTAAAGAGATTGTCGGAGACTCCTTTGAGATCGTCTTGTATCTCGACCGCGCCTACCCAGACAGTCCGAAGCTCCTCCGCCCGTATACGGCAGGCCTGACCGCTGCCTTCAATGCTCACATGGACGAAGTCTTCACCAAGCACCTGGGATTGTGCACTCGGACGTCATTCGATCCCGCAGTTGTGGAAGAAGTCATGGCCATGTTTGCCAAGCGATTCGGTGTGTCATCCCTCGCCGACATGCAGCTCAGCAACGAGCAGCGAGAGGATATGTTCGTCTCGTTCGAAGTCGCACTCGGCGAGCTGACAAAGGCCTACAATCACACTGGAGGCACGGCGGATCGCGTCTGGAGGACTACAGGAACAGCAAAGGAGCAGACGCAGCGGTCGGGTCGTGAGAGTGCAGGATTGTTCCTGGATGGGGAAGAGCCCGCCTACGCCGACTTCATCGTTGGTGCATGGCTGAAACACTTTGAAGCAGATATGGTGCCAAAAGACTGGGAGCGGGTATGCTCATGGCAAGATGGACGATGGGGAAAGATGGTAGCTGCTCTGGATCAATGGAGTGAGATGAAGTGAAAGGTGAAGGGTGAGGCATAGTGAGTGATGCCCGACAGGCGCGTTACGCGTAGATCAAAATACTATCGTCATTGGCTCGGATCAAAGTTTCAGCGACACCGAAATCCAGCCACATCATATCAAAAAATTTGACCGCTTCTTCTCCACCGAACCAGTGCCCAATTCAATGAACTTCTCGACTGCAAAAAGACAAAACATTCAGCACCCGGTATTCCCACGTGGTCACCCACCGTAGTACTAATCAGGCGATTACGTGCTTAAATATGCGAGAGCGGACGGGATCGCTTGCTTTCACGCATCTGTGGCCGAATGTGGTGGAACCGTGTTTGCACAAATTAAGTAGGTAAAATCATGCGGCCACCAGGAGGATCAACCGGAAGTGAGCACGATCCGTGCAACTTTTGCAGGGACAGGCGATAAAGACTGCACCGGCATTTGGCTGAACGGATTATGCCTAGCCGGAGCAACAGCCGAGGATGAACAATCAGAGTCGAGATGGCCTCTTGTCATCTACCTATGCCCGAATGTGCAAGGATGTTCTTCATCCTATCTGAGCATGGAGATTCGCGGATTACAACTAGATGAATTCAAAATCTACTCTATATAGCCAAACGCCATCAAATGCATCTACCTCTATTCCCTCTTGAGCAAAAACGAAAAACCAATTCACCTGTCCCTCCCCACATCTGATATCTCCTCGAAAGGATCCAGACGTTCTCTCAGTAAACAAAAGGAATGATCCGATACGGCACAACCCGACAATACTCCTCCCACTTCTCCCCATACTTGTTGCGACACCTCCTTTCGTCCCTCTGGCTGCGGTGGTACAGCAGAATGCACATGTAGATGAAGTATGACCAAGGCAGGATATTCTTGAACCCGCACGTCGCACACCAAGCCCATGTCTGCACCAGATCGGCGAGGTAGTTCGAGTGTCTCGCGAGACCCCACCAGCCGGACGTCAGGAGAAGAGTATCGTGCACTTTGCCGTCTGCGGTTCGGTAGCTGCAGGTGATGAAGGTTGCTTTGCGGCCCCAGATGCGTGCGGAGTCTGGGTTCGTACGGACGTGGTCTCTTTGATAGTTAGACTCGCGGAAGATGGCGTAGCCGAAGAAGCCGAGGGCGACGAGGGCAGCTGCTTGGATTGGGGTGAGATATGTTGGGTATCGTGCCAAGTACTGGAATTGCAGGGTGTAGAATGTTGGCAAGAAAGTGCTATCTCCCCACGCCAGCATAAGTCCGAAATGATCGTGGCTGATGTCGATGGTCCTGAGGTACCAGTCTTCGTTGTAAAAGAAGTCGACGACGTAGGTGGTTTGGAGAATGAGGACGATTAACATCGACTCGGTGACGTGTCCAAGAGTCTGGTATTGATACGCCGCCCACGAAAGACCGATCAATGACCACGCAACGATACCAGGGCGTCCGTTGTGGAAGAACTTGAAGTCCCAGTACTCGCCAAATCGTGGGTTGAGCTCGACGCCAGCCCAGAAGTCGGAGATCCAGGAGCCGCTGAATTTGCGGTCTTCGGGGTGCGAAGGGAACCAGTAGGCTTTGATCTGGGCGAGGAATCCCAGGAAGAAGCCGTACACGTTGACCATGACCAAGAGGCCTTCCCAATGCTTGGCGATCATGGCTGGATCGATAAGGCCGAGCACGGAGGCTGAGAGGAACAGGATGTGCGTGACTGCCCAAGCCGCGAGGCCATTCGTGGTATAGCTGAGGAGATTGCCTGCGTGAAGATTAGCATGTTGTCAAACTTGAAGATTTCCTTGCTCTCTTTCGATACCTCCTGGTGTGCGTTGACCGAACGCTTTTGCACCTGGCAACACTCCATACAGCAAAGTCTGCAAGAGCAGCCAAGCGACATAGCCAGCAAATGTCACTACGGTCGGGCGTGGGAGATTGTGAACAAGGAAACGAATCGGCCCCTGAGAAAATGCGGCCCGAATGGCACCTGTCAAAGATCCTCTATACTGCTCAAGTGCGATCCAGTTCAGAATCACCAAGGTCGGGCAGCCGATGATGAGGCCTAAGACGCCGATGGTGTTTCTCTTGCTCGCCGTGGAACTGATGCCCCAGTTGACGAAAGGGACCTGTTTGGCCGTGTCTGTGGCCATGACCTTGGGTTTGGGGGTCGCGAGTACCTTTCCCATGGCTCTGGTTACTGATATGTCGGCAGGCTGTATTGAATGCGTGGTATTTCGTGGAATGATGGAGATGGTAATGCGTCTTGATCATGGTGGCGCCGACTCGAGGGTTTTATGTTTTCTTGCATTGTGCAACACAGCCAGTGCTCGTTGCTGTCCATGACGAAGTTGGTAGTTGGTTGATTGTAGGCTGCCACATTCAGAATCAGCCCATTCTGTCATCGGCATTAGAGATTTTTAGTCCTCTCGCTGTATACCGTTTAAAGTGTAGCGGAGCGAAGAAGACCGTCTGCGTGTGCCCTAAGAATCATTGGAATGAAGTCGCTGCGCCAGAATAGATCGCTGGATGCGGGAGCAGGCAGACCCACTAGCAGTCGAGCCAATACCAAAACTGAAGGCTGTGGTGTCAAGGGTTAGTCAACAGCCCAAGGGATTATGTTCCTCCTGACAACACGAAATCGGCCATCGATGGCCGGAGTCAGCGCACCGACATCCCGCGTCAGGGCAAAAGAGACCGTATAACGCATGAACGGATGCGTGCGTATTCGGTGAGCAGAAGCGTACCCGACGCGAGTTGTGCGTACTATGAATGCGATTGTCGAGCGTATGCTATGCGGCCTTCCTTCACACTGGTCAAATCAACGTATGGCTTGACGCTGGGTCAGCTGCCGCTCAGGAGCCGAGTTATGCAAGCGTCATCGTGTTTGCCGTCGAGGTGAAGAGAGAGAGAGAGAGAGAGTCAGATGATGACGCGCGAACAGCCTTCACTTTAAAATTGAGGCTTGACCAAAACGAGTAGCAGGAGATCGGCATAAAAATTACCGATTCAGTCCTGGGGCTGACAAAGGGTATACCAGCTCTCGCACTTCTTCATCCATTGCCGTTAGTCAACATTGCTTTGAAAGAGGCTTGGTTGACATTTTCCCATAAGGTGGCGACGGTGCATAACTCTGGGCAGGGCTGTGTCTTGGTTTGATTCCTCATGAAGTCGTACGATCTTCGCAGAATGTTCAGATAAACCATGGCCAGTCCTGGTAGTTGCACTCGCTGCTGCGGTTGATGGCGTGTTCATCGAACCCTCATACCTCATTGAGTGGATTCGGTATACCAGCAAGACTCATCTTGAATCACTCCGACCAATCGCAATCATGCTGGCCGGGACCGAGATCCTATTCATCAACAAGACCGCTCGGTCAGGCAAGCTGTCGAGAAGTCGAGGAGCGGAACGGGCACGCATATACAGCCACGTTCAACGTGGCCCCCACAATCAGGCTCCGCTGAAGACCCCCAAGCCGGACGAGGTGCTGTACCAGCTGCCTGACTCGTGGCCAATAGAGCCGGTTCTGGGAGGATCGAATAGCCCGCCGATAGGTCGCCAGAAGCAGCGATCTCCATTGAGCGCACGCAAGGCAAAGGGCGAGGTACGAACGGATAATGCAGCAGATGCCCTGCAGGCCCTGCAGCTTTCGCCAGAGCCACAGAAGCTAGCGCCGCTGAATACTCTGAGTGGAGGAGTCGGAGATCCCTTCGACAGCCTTAAGGCGCCCATGAGCCCGTACATGGAGGACCTGTTCAAATTTTGTAGGCCTTGCACCATGAGTTTTATGATCATGGCTGATTCAACTCGCAGACAGCAGTGATGTCGTGCCTCGCATCTTTCCGATAAAAGAGGTCGCCAAAACCGCTCGACTTTACACTCTCACGCAAGCCTTCGAAGACCCACTCCAGCGCGATACGTTGCTATGTACCACGTCTGCGGCAATCTATGCCGATAGTGGTGTCACTCGGCATGGCATCGCCGCAATGACCTTCAAAGGCAAGGCGCTTGCGAGTCTTCAAAGTCGGCTTGCACTTCGCAAACGAAGCAAAGCGACCACCTTCTCAAGCATGTACGCGGTGGCGTTGTTGCTCTTCGTCGAGGTGAGGGCCAGCCAGTCAGTCGTGATCATCGCAAGTCTCTTTACTGACCAGTTATTTGCAGTGCCTTCTTGGCAACGAGGCCGACTTGGAAGCGCACATAGCAGGGCTGAAACAGCTCGTAGACGACTCCGACATCCAGCTTGTCGACAGTCCTCTCTGCATCTTCGCGACACTTTTTGCCTGTAGCTATCTCGGCGCAGCATTGCTGGACGTTGCTCCGAGTCTTAAACCAATCCATTTCAGCGATCCGAATCAACTTTCCGAAAAGGCTCAGATAGAGCTGCATGGCGTTCTCAATGGGCCATCACCAATGGCGCCTCAACTTCTCGGCAAATACGCAGATTTCCTTGGCCCTGCACTATTGGAGGTGGCGACTGAGCAGCGGACCGTGATGCACTTCCGCTGTATCTGCGGGCGTGGCGTTTACGATCCATCTCCAGCAGACGTGCAGTACATCTACGGCCAAGAAATGTCGGTGGAATACCAGCTGACGGCATTGCGGGCGGACAAGACACTCTCACCGGCTCAGCATGCCGTAAGGCTTGCTCTGTTCGTCTTTTCGCAGCCTTTCATTCTGGTGGCTAAGCCGAATGCTGCTTTCTGTCGCGCCATGACAAAGCGAATGAAGAACTGGCTGGAAAAGTCCGACTTGGTCGATCTTTGGGCGCCAAGATGCGATCTGTTGTTCTGGGTGCTCTTCGTCACGGCGCATATCTCGATTGGAGAAGCAGAGTGGCCATGGGTGCTGTCCTATCTGTCTACATTGATCAGCTTTCTTGGTCTGCAGTCGGTTGAAGAGATGGAGAAACTTTTGACTGGCTTTTACTACAATCCGCTGTTTTTCAGAGTAACGGCGGAGAAGATTTGGGCGGAGCATGAGATCTTTATGTCATCTAATGACCTTCGACATTGAGCGACATCGCATTGCCCGGTAAACCATCAGCAGGATCCATGTTGTCGGTGTCAAGACACCAACAGGACCACCGGGTAGTGAAAAAAGAATAAATCGGCTCGTACACAAGACTTCTGTGATTGTCCTTTGACCCGGAGTCTAGATTTGTGTCGTTGTCCGGACTGAAAAAGGAGGTGACGTTGGGGTGGCTGGAAAGCGCGACATGGTCCATGCGTTCGCGTCGCCTTCGTGAGTGCCCAAATCCAATGACTTCCTCTCTAACTCTATCATCAACATATTCTATATCTCATCAGTAATTAATATACGAACACATGGCCGCGCTCGTCACCGCCTCTCCGTTGAGGAATATTCAGCATCAAGCTCAGCCGGCTCCCGGGCCTCGCCTGAAAGCTCAGCATCCACGCCTCTATCAGTGCCCAATTCATTCCGACCTGGTCCATATATCTCCGCAACAACAGCTGTCTTCGTCTCTGCCGGCGTCTCAGGGATCTCGCGCATTTCTTCGTCCTCGAGTTGTAATGGTGTCGGTTGAGCACTTCGGTCCCATCGTCTCCGGAGAAGGAAGAATATGAGTGCGGCCAGCAGTGCCACGCCAGCCAACACGCCGATGACAACGCCTGCTATTGCACCGCCACTCAGTCCTGATCCCGATGAGCTATCTGGAGCTGCGGTCGTAGACTGAGTTGCAGAAGCAAGTGTTGCGGGTGATGTTGTCGTCGCGTTGTGCTCTGCCGGCCCGTCAGCATTTAATCAAGGCGCCATGTGAACGCTACCAAACTTACGCTGTTGGCGGTGTGGAAAACGGTCACTTGCGCTTCTTGGGCAGAATATCCGTCCATAGGGTGTGCGTAGACTTGTGCGCCAGCAGCTGTTGCTGTGAAGGGAATCGTGGCGCTAATGCTCTTGTCGTTGTATTGGGTTACTTGCGTAAGCACTTGACCGCTACTGAGATCCGAATAACATGTTCCTACAGGTCGGCAAATCACGTCAGCAGAGACACACCAACTATGGAGAAGCCACTGAGCGATCGCACCTCCAGCCTGGACGATATCCATCCACCGTAGTCTTAGGACTGGCCAATGAGTAGTCTCTACGACGCTCGTTAGCGGATCATCTATGCATTGCGGCGTCACATCCTCTCACTCACGGTGGACAACAAGCGATGTAATTGCCTGGAGCCGTCATGACCGTTTCCCAGCTCAGCGGGCACACCAATGGGATCATCGCAGGCACGATCGACGACACCATTCCGGTAACTTGGCCCGTGAATGTTGTTGACGTTGTGGTACTGGTGTAGTCTTCAAGCCATTCGGATGGATAACAAGTGGATACTGTACCTCCACTAACTGGTACAGGCTCGTTGATCCAGATTTCAGACCGCGGCGCAAGCATGCCGAACATCAACGACGTCTGAGTGCATCTTGCTGGCGGTGTGAAAGCCGTCGTCAAGGCACTCGCATCTCCGGTGGCTGTCGTGGCAGCGGACGTCGAAGACGCAGCTGTGGTGGTCGACATCTCCCAAAACCGTCTGCTCTCCTTTCCCGGATTGGATGATTCTTGGTTCTCGGTATTTTCAAGAGACTTGTGGCGTCGCAGAAGCAACGAAAAGATCTCTTGGTTGTCTTGGGGAACTTGGAGACGAGACACCGGAGCGCGACAACATGGGCGAAGCGGCTCGAAGGATTTTGGTTATATGAACCTCCATGTCTGGTTGCCGAGACGAGGACATCAGCCTAATTTGCCTAACTAAATTCGACTACATGATGGATTTCAGGCAACCCACGATACTGGTCAACAGCACAACCCGACATTCTCACGGACTATTTGTATACCAAATGTGGTTCCTTGCCCTGCTTGGCCGAAAAAACAAACAGGGGAATTCAAGCCGCAGCATCTAGTCAAATCCTTCAACATGCTTAAGCGGCTCTAGTGAACTAGGCCGAGGACTTGCCAGCTTTAAAACAATCATTCGCTCGTACTAGAGAACCGGGGACCTTTCAGCTCCCCCACGTGTACGTGTGCAGTTGAATGTACGACTGCAGTCTCCAAACCCACGGGTTTAGTAATCAACAAGCATACGACTTCGTGAACTATTCTTGAACTCAGTCTATATGAAAGCTGAATTGGGCACATTCGTCCCTATGGGGTCAGCCTGACCCACACTCCATCAAGAGAAGCATCTAAAAGCAGTCAGCCTCACCCTCGAAACCTCGATCAGGTTCGCGACTCTACTTTCATTACTTGCCATCACTATGCACACCAACTTTGCCACCAAAGCCTGTGCTATAGCAGCCCTGCTACCAACAGCGGCGATTGCCCAAAGCGTCTTTGCTCATGTCATTGTAAGGTCACCGCGAAGACGTTTACATTCCTCAAGGCACTGACCATACCAGGTCGGCAACACAGCGTCCTACACAATCGAGCAATGGACCTCAGAAATCGAGCTCGCTCAAAGCTACGGCATTGATGCATTTGTCTTGAACATCGGCACTCCCTTTGAAGGAAACACAGCAACACAAGCGGTCCGTCCAAGATCCCCTTTACGCACAATGCCCTGCTCTAACACCCACCAGAGCTATGCATTCCAAGCTTGCAACGCCCTTTCGTCCGGTTTCAAAATGTTCTTCTCCTTCGACTACAACGGCGGAACTGACGGCCCATGGTCTCAAAGCGACATTATCACAATTCTGCAGGCTTATGCTCCGAATGGTTGTCATTTCCAGTACGATGGCAAGGCTTTGGTCTCGACTTTCGAAGGTACGAGCACCGACGAGATCAATGCATGGCCGTCCATTCGTGCTGCAGTGAATCACGGGCTCTATTTTGTGCCTGACTGGACTTTGTTGGGGCCTCACGGTTTCGACACCAGCTTGGTTGATGGTGCTTGTACGTGCGAATCGTTGCTTGACATGTTTGCGGTCTAGTGACGAAATATAGTCTCTTGGGACATGTGGCCAGCAGGCGCACACGACGTTTCAACGACATCCGACGTAGCTTGGGACGAAGACTTCCTTACTCCAGCAGGGAAAACCTACATGATGGGTAAGCAAATCCCACACTCAATCACATTATCTTCGTCATACTCACCTATTCCACTCAGGAGTCTCCCCCTGGTTCTACACCGATCTCCCCTACAAAGCCTGGGTCTGGCGCGGCGACTCCGCCTGGTCCCTCCGCTGGAACCAGACCCTCCAAATCGTCCCTGAATTCGTTGAAATCGCCACCTGGAACGACTACGGCGAATCCCACTACATCGGCCCAATCGTCTCAGCAGGAATCCCATCTGGCGCCGAACGCTACGTCGAGAACTACCCACATACCGGCTGGCTCGAGACTCTGCCGTACCAGATTGCTGCGTATAAGCACGCCTACAGTGCTGCGAACCCGACACCAAGTGTCGCTGCTGGCGAAGAGAAGATTGTGTACTGGTACCGTACCAGCCCCGCCAGTGCTGGCTCCACGAACGCAACGGGGAATTACTGTCCTTCGCCATACAATGCGGGGGCGTATCAGAGCTGTGTGCCTATCACTGATATTCTGGAAGATGAAGTGTTTGCTATTGTCCTGGCTTCGCAGGCAGGCACTGCTAGCATCACGATTGGCGGGTCGACGTCGACTTTCAGTGTCTCTTCTGGCAACAACTTCGTCCGCAAGGCTTTTCAGGGCAATACTGGTGTAGTCTCGGTCGGTATGGGCAGTGTTTCTGGCTCCGGGGTTGAGATCACTGCGGCGCCTGCTAGTGGGATTGCGAACTACAATGCTTGGGTTGGCTGCGCGGGATCGTGCCGTTCGATATGAGATGCATATATGAAGCGACGAATGAGAATCAAAGTGTTCTGAGAAATTAACGTGTGGACAGTTCCATCTTCAATGGCTCGATTGCTACTGGGTCATAGACTTTGTGAACGAGGCGTAGCAATGAACCGAGCCTGATCCCAGCAAGACGTATTGGGATATGGATTACTCGCCAGCTGGGAGATGTTAGAAAAGCGAAAAGCCACACTGAGACCAAAGGACACTTACTTGGCGATGCAGTCATTCCGTTCTTGATCGTGGTGGTTTCGATGCCCTGCAAAGAGATTCGTCAGTCTGTGTCCTCATGTGGAGACAGAACCTCTGAGCACTTACAATAGTAATGTAAGCAAGGACACCATTCTTGTAGTCAACGCCATCGAGAGGTTCAGTGTCGACATCTGCCATCGCGCCAGCTACGATTCGTCAGTGTTTAAGTTCGGGGGTTGGACGACCGATGCGTACACTTCGTCACTTGCGAAAAGATACTGTCGTTGCTGTTCTTCAAGCGAGTGATCTCCGTATGGCTGACATAGGGTTCTAGGGACATGATCTGCTCTGAGAGGTCTTCGGCAAAGAACAGTTGTCCAGTCTCGACCACTCTACCAGAGTCGACGGTCCCGTTTCTTTGGACAGTCCAATCGGTGTATGCTTGAACGTGAATATGGATGCTTCGATCAACCTGGCAGAGAGTTTTAGCTGCACATCAGAATCTCAGATAGTGGAGAAGACTGCTCACGTAGAAACCCGGGAAGATAGACTTGAAGGAGCTAACGCCGTGCTTATCGGTCGGCCACATGCCGCGCAGGAACGTAGTGTCGCTGTTGGAGAGGAACTGAGACTGAGTGAGCATGCTGACATGTTTTACGCCTTAAGGTGAGACTTACAGCCCAATTATCATAGCCTGAAGGGTCATCAATTCCGTTTTCCTCAAGCAACGTCTCGAAGGGAGTGTTCGGGTCATAATCGAACGAGCTGTATGACCCAGAAGCGTTGCAGTGCCACAGGCTCAGCAGCACATTATCCAGAGGAAGACAGGAGTGAACATCAATGATACCGATCTCAAGCTCCAGAGGCACACCAACTTCACTTTCGGTCATGTCCTGGCGTAAAAGCTCATGAGGTGGATACCAGTAGGGACCTTGGGTAATCTCTGGAGCCAGGATACAGGTATCGTTCTTGAGGAAATCGTACTTGGGTGCTTCAGCATGGATCACATAGTCGGTAGTCGTGTCATCGATTCCTTGACGCAACCCACGCTTCTCGAGGTCTTGTCGCTTTCGTATTTGGTGTCTTTTTGCTTTCATGGCTCCAACTTGGCTACTGCATTTCTTTGCCTTCTCGGTACGCTCCTGAAGGATTCGAGCACCATTGGGAGTGTGTGGGTGGGGGTGAGCTAAAGCGTGGTTAGTTGGAAGTACGTGATTGAGATAGGAAGATATATTGTACCTTCCACAGCTGTAGTTAAGAGCAGGCATGCTGCGGTCAGGAGCGAATGAGCTAGAACCATGGTGAATAGGAAAAGTGACTAGAACGATGAAGAAGAGATGTTCGGGACATCCTGCTTGCCTTTTAAACGTCTAGAGCAGATTCACAACTCTGCTGCTACGAAAGTGCATCACTGCGCTTTGCGTGTTCACGACCACTCGTACCGTTCTTGGCAAAAGTGATCTCCTCTGCATACGATACCGAATGACCAAGTCCCTGCGGCGAGTCTTGCTCGCATGTTTGCTGGTGGCCAGACCAATGTCTAGTCAAGGAAACGGACCAGGACACTTGCACATATGCCAGGCAATCGCGATATATGCCAGTATGACAGGACCGTGTCACAGCGGTTCGCAACAAATACGAGTGCCTCGAGGCACGGAAAGGTAATCTCGATGCTGCGACTGGCCCAGCGTAGTACCGATTCGAGTGTTTCAGGAAGCCTTTCTCGCTGGATCAGACAAGCATGTTTGCAGTGACCACGCCTCATTGGTGGCAGATTTTTCCAAGATCATTGAATGTATCGGGTAGAGGTGGGCGGCGGTGGAATCCTCACGGTCCACCTTTGAACACTGCAGCAGATGGCCGCCGACGCTCATGTCGCGGAATAGCACGCCATGAATCCGGATTTGTCGAATCTTGATGTCGAAGGGGCGGATCAGATCTACCAACTTTGGAGGTGCTAAGCAGAATGAAGAGAAGAGTGCATAAGGGAAGAAAGCGTGAAGGAGGAGGTGAAGTGGGTCGGACGGTCGGGCCGAGGTGCCAGATCCTTCCCGTTCTGTGCACGTGCCACGAGCTTGCTCTCCCTTTCAACCTCACGGTCTTTCTTCCATCAACATTGTACACACGAGCATCGAAACTTTAGGCGATCTATCATCTGGGTCTGAATGTCCTCAGATACTATTTAAACAGCAATGTCCGCTATGAGTACAGCTAGACTTGTCGTGAGCCTTAGACCAAATCTCGAGAACGCAAGATTTGTCTTCGATGCAACGCTCCGCTCAATACGGAGACGTCTTCTCAATCAACTGCTCGAGCCTGAAGATCGATGTGTGGCATGAATAGCCCCATGGCTCCACGTTTCCTTGATCTGCAGGGATGTATGAGACCCAGAGCGAGATCTGGGCCCATCGACTGCAACCGCGGCGAAGATTCGAGTTGTAGGACTGCTGACTGCGGCGGGAACGAAGTAGACAGCCTGATCCTTGTCGACGACCAGTACTACCAAAGCGGGGTCGACTTATTCCCAAGTCCTGATCATGGTATCCGGGTCGATGGCTTTAGCTAGCCTGGTAGAAATGGAAACGATGACATGGACAAGAGCTTGAGATGAGGAGACCATCCTGGTCGACCACGAGCTTCCCCATGACAGCCTCCGCAACACCTTTGTGCATAAGAACGCTATGCCAGTCGTGCGAACGTCAAACGTGCTGACTCTGGTTGATAGACAACATCGTTCTTTTATCCAGCTAACAGGATAACCACAAAGGTCACCGCGATGCCTCTATACACACGACTTCCCGACGAGGTCGAGACTGTCGACATTATTGTCGCTGGAGGTACTGACGGCCCGAATCGTTCCGTATCGCAGCTCACCTTTTCCTGTAGGCGGCACTGCTGGCTGTGTGCTGGCTGCACGGGTAGCTGAGGCCGATCCCAGCCTCTCTATTCTTGTCATCGAGCAAGGCATAAACAACTACAACTTGCCGCAAGTCATCTATCCAGCTTTGTTCCCACAAAATTTACTTCAGGACAGCAAGACGGCGCTGTTCTGGCAAGGCAATCAATCATCCGAGCTTGCCAATCGTGCACCCATCGTGCCCTCGGGAGGCACGCTAGGTGGTGGAGTAGGCGATACCATGTCAAAAGACTGATACGCAGCTTACAAAGTCTCCAGAGCAGCATCAACTGGATGGTGTATACACGAGCACAGCGTAGCGACTTCGACTCGTGGAATACCCCGGGGTGGTCAGCGGAAGAACTCTGGCCATACCTCAAGAAGGCGAGTGTTTCCGACTGTCCATGCAACCGACAACGCTGATTCGACTTTTCGCGCAGTTCGAGACATACCACGGCCGCGGCGAGCGCGAGCATCATGGATACAGCGGTCCCATCAACATCTCAAGCGGCACCTTCAGAGCCAAACGGGCAGAAGATGACTTTATCGATGCAGCTGCGCAGTTGGGCTACAGCGAGCTGAAAGATCTACAGAATCTCGACGCAAACAATGCTACTGAGAGATGGCTTAGATATGTTGGGCTCGACGGTAAGAGACAAGGTGAGTACTGAAACGAGAGGGTGCGTGGAAGAACGTACATTGAGACCCTTTGCAGATGCGGCCCACAGGTTCATCCATCCGATGCTTCAAAGCGGCGGATATCCAAATCTCCACGTCCTAGTGGAGAATCAACTCATACGTGTTCTCGTCGATGAGAACAAGCGTGCTGTGGGCGTTGAAATCCAGCCGAATCCGAAATTCCAATCGGTGCTCACGCCCATGCAACAGCCAGGGAGCAACAAGCAGACCGTGCGAGCCTCAAAGAAGATCATTCTTATCCGCGGGCGCCAATGGCACGCCTCTGATTCTTGAGCGATCCGGCATTGGAGATCCCAACGTGCTCAAACGAGTTGGGGTGCCACTGGTCGAGGCATTGCCAGGTGTTGGCAATGAATACCAAGACCATCATCTTAGTCTGTGGGCATAAAGGACAAGTCTGTCTCCACGAGAGTGCATCAACGGCTTCCAAGACGGGCGATGGGACGTCTACGAAGCAATTAGGCGGAATGATGAGCTCCTTGGCTGGAACTCCATGGACGCATCTGGCAAATTTCGACCAACCGAAAGAGACGTCGACGCTCTTGGTCCAGCCTTCAGGAAGTTCTGGGACAAGCATTTCAAGAACGCACCGGACAGGCCATTGATGATCATCGCGCTGTACCTCGCCTTCTTCGGCGACCACGCCACACTCCCAGACTCTGCTGAGTATGTCTCACTCGCATGTTGGACAGCATACCCCGAATCCCGTAGGTCGATCCATATCAAGAAACCCTTCATCTCCAACGAGTATCCAAACCCCGTGGACTTCGATGTCGGGTATCTCAACGACGTAGACTCTGTGGACGTCAAGAAACACATCTGGTCATACAAGCTCCAGCGCGAGATGTTCCGGCGCATGAGCATATACCGTGGCGAACTGGCTTCTTCCCATCCGAGCTTCCCGCGAGGATCGAAGGCTGCTGTTGTCGAGAGAGCCAATGGGCCTGTCAGTGACGACACACCAAAGATTGAGTATACCGAAGAAGATGACCGTGCAATTGAGCAGAAGGTTCGAGAGACGGTCTCGACGACTTGGCACTCATTGGTAAGCTCCATGCTTTTCTTGTGAATGATGAGAAGTAATGAATGGCAGGGTACATGCAAGATGGCGCCAAGGGAGAAAGGTGGCGTCGTCGACAAGAACTTGAACGTGTATGGTATTAGGGGTTTGAAATTGGCAGATCTCAGCATCCCGCCAGAGAATGTCGGAGCCAATACAAACAATACTGCTTGATGATTGGAGAGAAGGCTGCTGATATTGTCTTGAAGGAACTGGGTATTAAGGCTAGGATTTGATTGATTCCGAATCGAAGCGGAGTTACTGGGTCGGCAATGGAATGTCACTACACTTGATGTTCGAGACTTGCGGTCTCTCCATGCTTTTTCGATGTGCTTCCATCCAACTCCCGTCTTGCTGTTGAGCTGCCAAGACCCATGTCATCGATCATCCAAACATTCATCTGCAGTGACATCCTGCCAGCTTCTGATTGGCTGAACGCCCCTGGCTTTTCCTGCCGACCCTGGCCGACATCATCCCGACTTCACTTCAAGGCAACTCTACATCGCATAAATATTTGACGTCCTTCTCGATACTTGACATCCATTAAATCAACTACTTACCAGGCCATCTCAACCTCTTCCCAAGCATCGGCCACTCTTCACAAAACACGAATCTAAGACCACCATGGCCTCAGCAGACGTCTACAACAAAGTCCAAGCCCACTACGGCACGGCAGCGAAAGACATCGGCAATGCTTCATACGGCGAGCGTGTAGCACGAGAATTCGGCTACAGCAAAGAAGAACTCGACAGCGTCCCTCAAGACGCCAATCTTGGTTTGAGCTGTGGCAACCCATTGGCGTTGGCGAACATTCGAGAGGTGAGTTGCTTTCCTTTTCCATTCAAAGAGGGTTGGTGGCTGATCGAGATTTGTAGGGGGAGACAGTTGTCGACCTGGGAAGTGGAGCAGGCTTCGATGTCTTCCAAGCGGCGAAGAAAGTCGGGAGCAGAGGCAAAGTGACTGGAATTGATATGAACGAAGTGAGCCCTGCACCCCAACATCTTCTTTATTCGCCTAAATGCTAACGCACCCCACAGGACATGCTCTCCCGCGCCAACCAAATCAAATCCAAACTCGCCGCCACCAACGTCGAATTCATCAACTCCCGCATCACAGAGCTCGCCCTGCCAGACTCATCCGCCGACTGCATCATCAGCAACTGCGTGGTGAACCTCGTCCCAGAGGAAGACAAGCACCTCGTCTTTAAGGAGATGTTCCGGACCCTGAAGCCGGGTGGACGTGTTGCGATCAGCGATATTCTAGCGAAGAAGGAGCTGCCGTCGGAGATTAAGGATAGTATGGCGTTGTATGTGGGGTGTATTGCTGGTGCGAGTCAGGTTGGCGCGTATGAGAGGTATTTGAAGGAGGCTGGGTTTGGTGGTGAGTTTTCCGCAGCTTTTCGGAAGTTTGAGATAGATGCTGATCATGGTCGATGTAGACTCCGTCATTGTCGACGCGAAGAGCGACCTTAATGTGTATCGACACGACGACGGCACCAATGCAGGCTGCTGTGCCCCACCACCCGCGGCAGAGAAGACGAACGGTTGCTCAAGTTCACAGAAAGTGAGTGGATGCTGTGGGCCTTCGAAGTCGACGCCTGCACAAGCTGCCACCGTGGCGGATTTCGACAACATTGACTTCAACGAGTTTGCGGGTAAGTCTTTGATGTTTATGCAACTTACCATGACTTCATGCTTACTTGCGAAATACAGGTTCCTTCAAAATCTACGCTGTCAAGTCGTGATATCAACAATACGGCAGACTAGATCATTGCCGGTAGTCCATTAACGATAGTATTGACTTTTCATTCACCTCACGAAGGCTTCCATCAACCCTATCAACCGACAGTTATCTCCCTCGCACCAGTCAACGGCACATCAGCCCTCACGGTCGTCTTCTTCCCCTCAGCATCGTACTCCGCCCCCTCAACATCCCTCTGCTGCCCATCCTCAACACCCAACAGCGTAATAACCTCAATCCCCACCCCAGCATCATACTCAAACGTCCCACTAATCCTCAGCTTCCCCTCAGCATACTTGAAATCGATCTCCGACACAGCATCCTGCACCAGCGACTCTCCATCATCGAGGTACAGCGAGCCCTCAGCGGTGCCGTCGAGACCGGGCGCGATGACGATGTTGAAGCCTTTGGTTCGTAAGGCTTTCGTCGTGTTGGCGCTTGCGACTCGTTGCGGGAAGATGTGCCCGCCTTTGTAATGGACAGTGATTTCGTCGTAGGGGACTTCGGCGGTGATGTAGGCGCCTTCGCCGCGGATTGGGGTGCCCGTGGTGAAGTCGTAGAAGATGTCGTCGGGGAGGTAATATTCGACCTGAGATAGAGAGTTAGCGACGAGATAGAAATGAAGGTTGGCTTACGTACTGAAGTCGAGTTCTCCTCTGTCACTGGGCTGACCAAAATGCCGTCACCGTAGAAGAATTGCAGATCGATTGGATAGGTGTTCGCATCCTCAGGGTAATTGAAGAACAACGGATTCAAGCAAGGTACTCCCGTCGTGTTCTGCCTGTAGATTGCGGTATAGATGTAGTCAAGCAGCAAATAACGCATGCGAATACCATTCCTGGCAGCGCTGGCGACGATTGGCCATCGATAGAATTCTTGATAGATGCTACTGATCTCAGCGTGGTTGCGGAAGAAGGTCGAGAAGGATCCGAGCGTAGCCCATCTGGCACAGAGGGTTGAGGTCGTGTTGCCGCCGAACCCGCAGACGTCTGAGCCGACGACTGGGATTTGGTAAAGGGAGGCGAATTGGAGTTGCTGACTGATTGAGATGCGGTACCAGAGCCAGCCGGACACGTTGTCTATGCATGTTCGTTAGCTTTGATGGTAATCGAGATTGAAAATCACTCACCGCCAAGCCAATGCGAGACGTCTTTTCCAGCCCCAGCAAAAGTGCTTCTTGTGATAACAAGAGGACGCACATCAGGCCTCCTCGCCAACATGGCATTCTTGGATAGAGTGCTCATCATGGATCCGTAAAGGTTGTGAGTATCATACTGTACGAGTCCGCCATACTGGAACACATCAGTGTCGGCGGTGCCCTCAGCGAGCGTCGGTCCAGCACCGTTTTGGATCATGTATGGTGGCAGGATGTACTCGCGGTTTGGAAGTCCTAGACACTGGCCAGGTTCGCAGCCAGAGCCTGTCTTCTTGTCACTCTGCCATCCGTGGCCGCCTTGACCCCAACCTCCTGAGCCCCATTGGTGTCCGTTATTGCCCCAGTGTCCCCTTCCACGGCCATGGCCGCCGTGGCTCCATTGACGTTTCTTGACGCTGGGGGCCGAATCAGCAGCATCGTCAGACGCGAAATTGGGCTGAAGGCTAGCGGGAAAGCCTGGCAGAGGGCTTGCAGGGCCATCACGAACTGGTGGTGGATCAGGCGGATTACCCTCTTCTTCTGCGAATCCCAACGGGTTGTTGCAAGGATACGGGCGGTTGCAGAAGTTCGCAGGTTCGTTCATGTCGATCCACAAGGCATCGATATCGGGACCATTCACACCATCGAAGAAGGTCCTGAACATCTCGTTCCAGTAAGTGCCTGCGTTGGGATGGAACCAGTCTGGGAAGACTGTGGGGCCAGGCCAGACGACACCTTCATACAGAATGCCGTTGCTTTCCTTTAAGAATGCGTCGTACTCAATGCCGCGTTCAAGAGCAGGATTGGAGCCAGCTGACCAGACTGCAGGGTCGACCATGACGAGGTAATGTTGATCTCTTGAGTGGATGGTGTTGACGAGATCAGTGACCAAGTTGGCTGGGAAGCGCTCGGGATCAAGCGTGAAGATTCTCCTCAGCTCCATGTAGTCGATGTCGGTCCACATTGTCTCGAGTGGAATGTCTGCCGCGCTGTAATTGGCGACCACCTCAGCGACTTGGAAAACGTCTCGATATCCATATTTGCACTGGTGGTAGCCAAGACCCCAGTAAGGAGTCATCAAAGGGAGCTGGGTAATCTCAGAGTACTGCACCGCCACGTCCTTAGGGCTCGGGCCAGCAACGAAGTAGAAATCAAGGACGCCGCCAATGATATTGTACTCAAGGTGTTGGCCACCCTTGTTGTCGATGTAAATATCCATACCATTTGAGTTCAGGAGAAAGACGCCGTGAGTACCGCTCCCTTGGCGGTGGTCAAAGTAGATTGGGTGAGCTCCATACCTGTACATTCGTTAGTCAATGGGTGGCTGGCTCCTCTGAGAAACTTACAGATTCTCGCCTTGCGGAACACCGTATGAATCACGGGTCCAGATGGTCCTAGTGTAGTTCGTCGTGTTGAGCATGAACGAATCGCTGTGCTCTCCAAGTCCGTACAAATGCGGGTCTTCCGGCAGCTTCGTCTTCAGATACAGGTACTGGCTCTCAAAAACGAGCTTGCTGCCAGAGGTATCGAAAAGGACCTCGCCCGAATCCTTGCGAGACACCGAGAAGGAGAATGGGTCTGCGTTGAAGTCGAACTTGAGTTTCGAGTCGCCATGGGAGCACCATTGTCCGAATCCCGGACGCGGAAAGATATCGTCAGGAACTTGATAGACCGTATTGTTGGTATCCAAGATCTTGACGTGCAATCGGGTGTCCGTCTGGTATTCAACCTCTAGCTTGAGATTGGGCAGATCTTGGCCGTAGATGTTGCATGCGTCTCCCGCAAGTTCCAGGTCTGCGTAGAAGCCTGATCTCGTCTCCCGGGGTTTGGTAGCAACATAACCAGGGCAAGATGAGAGGTCCTTGGTGTACAGATCTGGTTCTGCAGCTTCTCCAGAGGTGCTGTCCGTGCTCTCCTGGACTTGAGCATACGCAATGGCAAGCCATCCGGCTGTCGTCACAAAAGTCTTTGGCCAATGCATTGTCGAAAATGAGACGATCGTGGGTGCCTTCTCTGCCTGCCTTCACGGCGACGTGCTCGCATTTTATGCGCTCCTCTCGTGTCGGTCCTTGGCATGATGCCGGTGTTGCAGGGCCAGCGCATCTCAATAATGGCACAGTATGATCAGTATGAGCGGTGCCAAGGTCAAAGGATGCGAAGAGAACTTGAATGGGAGTACTTGCGGCAGAACGCTTCGCCAGTTAACCACTCAATCTTCTCCGCTTGTACGACGGGAGCATTTTCGGAGCCACTCCTGTATTGCCAAGGAGTGGAGCCCCACAGTCGAGTGAGGGGGAAAGCTTGAGGTCATGAGACTGTGAGACATTTGCGCCGTGCCTCCACGTGCAAGATCGTGATCTTTTGTCAGTGTGTGATGACTTGGTCTTGATGCTTACCGAGCACAAAATCAGAAATGTAGGGTTACTTCAGTCAAGACTCATTTCATGACTTCAATCCTGCTTGACCATGTACAATATAAATCTGCGTTTCAGACCGTAACCAAAGGACAGGCTAATGACCCGAGAGTGCCTCCTAGACCAAAGAGTGGGTTGATCTGATTTACGACCCACGCAAGCAACCTGGCGTCCGGAACATTGGACCCGCCTGCTTGAGCGGGAATGTTCTCGGTCAGGAGTTGATACAAGAAGCAGGCGATTCCGGCGGGAGTGGCCTTGAGGGTGCTATTCGAAGTGGTGATCCCCGACGTGCCAATGCCAACAAATGAATCAGGCACACCAGCGTTTGCACCAAATGGGACGGGGTCCTCTTGGTACATGGCTAAGAGCTCTGTGACGACATCCAGCAGACTGAACTTTTCGCTGCGTGAATACCAGTTGGGAGGTAGCTGCTCTTGCAGGAAGAAGTAGTTCATTGTCGTCTGGTCCGCAACTCCAGAAGGACCACCTGAGGGAAACAGTTCACTACAGATCGTCAGGTGGAGTTTTGTTTATGCGTGTGAAGTGACCTACTACAGGAATGTCGCCGCTCCGTATAGTAAGACCGATTTAGGGTCAAAGTAGAAGTTGCCATTTTCGTGAATCGACTGCGCATGTCGTTGTGCTCGGTACGTGGCAAGAGCCTTGCGATTGAAAATTCCGTTGGAGACAGACCTGGCCACTTCAGACATGTTCTCGTACAGCGATGAGTTGAAGCTGAAGTTGTCTCCATTGTCTGCGCGAAACAAATCAGCTATCACGAAGTTCGAGCACTGTTCTGTCCTTACCAAGGTAATAGTCGTTGCGTGTGAGCGATGAGTCTCCTTCGAACTTGAGATGGCCATTGAGCCCAGGTTCGCTAAAGCCGGTAGAGGAAGTCCTAGATGTGGCATCGCATCCAATGCTGAGCTTCGTCGTACCCAATGGATCTCCATCTTGGCCAACTCCCAGCACGGCGAGGACGACCGCAAGGTCATAGCCTACTCCATATACATTTTGCTGGGCGTCAATGAGCTCTGTAAAGTTGGTGATTCCGTCGTGAGAAAGAAAGTTGTGATTCGCTGCGACGTTGAGGCCTGGGCATCTGAAAGAAATCTCAGTGAGTGCTCACTCGTTGTTCGAGCATCGGAGATCTTACGGTCCTCTGATGTCCAACGGCCCTGGAGGTACAAAGTAGTGAGCATTGTCGCCCTGGACATGTTAGCAACTATCGAAATGCAGACCGGTAATGCATTACATACCGGCGCAGGTACGATGTTTCCAACGCAGCGCGTGCTGCCAGGCTTTCCATTTCTCGCTCCGCAGTATGGATAATCAGCACTATACGGGACAGCTCCAGTGTGATTCGGGTTGTTGGGACAGTTCGCTGCAGACGGCGACTGACGTAGTCTCAATGGCTGCCGGCTGTCTACGCGCCGGGGGTCGAGTGCAGCATGGTCAACGACCCAAGGATAGCCAGCTGCGAACCCTGTCCAGAGAAGCGCCGTGAAGATGCTGTTCTGAGGCATGTCGAATTGACCTACTCCCAAAGGCAGGCTGTCCGTAGTGATGGAGAACGAGAGGATGGTAAAGATGGCCCTGCTTTGTGAAGATCAAGACCAACGGTCGCTAAATTGACTTCGTGTAGCCCCAGCTTTCATCTTAAATGTGCTGGCTTAGCTTTTCCCTACTGTTCATTGGTCGTGCTCATAAACGCAGATCAGAGCCCAAAGTCTTGTACATCGATTTTGTCGCAGCGCCCAGCATCGATCCCGAGGCTCCTAGAGTCAGGAGCAGGGTACCCATTCGTCTGCTTGTGGTGCTTGCAAGAGGCGCGGCGAAGTCTTTCTTCAATAAGCTTGAGCAGTACATGCCAAGACACCTCACGCAACCCCGAAAGAGATAGTAGAAAGCTTAGCGGTCCGCGTGTGTGTGCTCTGAATAGTAAGGACTTGAGGTGTCCGAGGTTTGCACCAGCACCAGTGAACTCTCATTGGTTGGGATCTAGGACTTCTCCTTCAACACGGTGAATTCTGAAGACAACAGGGCCCAGCCACATTGGCAACCACGGTGATAGACGATATTCGAGGCGACAGCATGCCAATGCACTCGGCGCATGCCGTCTTGAACTGGATCTCCCTTGGGCATGGCACAAGTCGGCGACTGTGATCCAACATGCCTCCAAAGAGTATTAAGATTCACCGAGGCGATGGTGGCGACCATGGACCTGTGGAAGACCGGCGGCCATGGGGGGTCGAAGGGCTTTTGTTGATGATTCTCCAGCGACAAAGATGAGGTGACGTTCGTTGAAAGCTTCCACCTCCCGGACTGGACCGAGCACCGCTCACGAGAGATACCCATGGCTCCCCACGAGGCTGGCTATGGCACATCTCCTGCTCTGGCAAGGCTGTCGCAAGTATTTTTCGATGTTGAGTCGTCTCTTGTGCTGTCGATTCGAGAAGATGGGGCCAAGAGAAATATGGACAGGTGGGCCGTGCACTCGCGTCAGGTTCTTGCCAATGCTCGTGGAACGCAACGTGCTTCTCATCGTCTCCTGCATCGATATCATCTTCTGGTCGTATAAGGACTGGTCTTCCAAGCGCTGACGAGCGCGCTGTCATGAAGCCGCAACACTGTCTCCTCGGGGTGACCTTGCCCACATCGAGCAGGCGCTGCAAGACGAGAGCGATCATCTGACAAAGCCTACCTTCCCTCTTACGAGCGCTCGAAAATCCCCTCGACAAGGCCAGCTTACCGCCATGATCATGAGAAAGAACAACAGGTTCTTAAGAGCATTGAACACATTGGTCAGCCTTGGCGAATTCCGGCGCTCGAAGATTGGCACAGGGCAGGGGCCAACACCGGACACTTCGAGCATGGGATGCAGTCTGTAATGCACATTGTGTAGGGAATGGGTAGGCTTGCGCTGCGAGGACATTACATACATAGATGTGTGAGTGGATCTTTGTGGGTTGAATAAACTGGCGTGTAAGCAGGTCTTGCGGACGACGTGAACCGAGCGAGAAATGCCGACACGAGCTCAATCAACGCGCGCTGGATCTTACAGGCACTTGCAAGACGATCCAGGATCCTCAGAATCCTCTTGCCGTCAGAACGAAATACATCGTACATCGATCTCGAGTGCAAAGGAGTGTGGCTGCTGAGAAAGCGCGACACTTTCCAAGAACGATAGTCTGCTGAATGGACCGCTGTTGAGGATCTCGAGGGCTTATCGAATATCGCATCCCGCATATAAAAGAGTCGAATGCTGATGAAGAGCATTCTCTCAAGAGAACATGGAGTGAGACACCGATTGTGGGAGCGACAGATGAGCACATTCGAGCTGGAGACAGCCACATCCCCGAACAACCACCGCTTGTCGGCAAGGAGGCATCTGCAACTTGACGTCGCTCGTTCGCTGGGGAACCACTCCATCGCGTACAGCCGGCCTGTCATAGGATGCTTCGTATTCTCAGCCCCGGCAATCGGCAAGCTTTGTGCCGCCCCCAACTCATATCTCCAAGCTTCCCCAAGCTCTAGTCGCAAGCATTCCCCGTGGAGCTTGCGACTCTTTGCCCCGATTGGCAAGGATGTACGGTACGACGCACGTTGTCGCACATGGGTTGTGAAGTCTTGCAACAACGTGAAGCATGTCAGAGGCGTTGCACGCGAGGTGGGGGTCATCAGCTGTGACTCCTTCAAGGCTGCGTATTTTGAAGAGTAGGGCGCCATCGCAACGTTTCAGCCTTCGTCTTTTGATTTTTGTCCATTTCGTCTCTTCATCTCGCTCACCGGACTTCATTTCCTAACAATGGCTGAAAAGAAGCATGAGGATATCTCTCCAAACGAGTCGCTCTCAGCAGACCGGCACGAAGAAAAGATTGGCATCGAACGGCAAGATGTCCTCGATGTCCCTGCAGACCAAAATCTGAGCACTGTCTTTGAGAACCCACTCGCCGGCATTCCCAGAGAGAACCTGCTGAAGAATGTGGAAGAGTTCTGCCAACAACATGACCTGATGGAGCACATTGAGGTCTTCCGCAAAGGTGCCTTGATCGCACAACGGCCCAATGCTGTCCAAGAGATCGACGACTTGACGGCGGAGGACAAAGAGCAAATCGCTCGCGAGCACACTCACAAGTGGGATCAGCCGTGGATGCTCTACTTCCTCGTCTCCATGTCCTCGCTGGCCGCCGCTGTGCAGGGCATGGATGAGTCCGTCAACAATGGAGCTCAGGCTTTCTATCTCGAAGAGCTGAACGTCTCCCCCTCAGACCGCTTCTCCCAGTCGATGCAGCAGAATCTGACAGGCTTGATTGTCGGTGCTCCGTATCTGGCGTGCGCTCTCCTTGGCTGCTGGCTCACTGAGCCGCTCAATAGAGTCTTTGCTCGTCGAGGGACCATTTTCATCTCGTGCTTCATTGCTGCTGTCGCATCGATCTGGGAAGGAGTCGCCAACAGCTGGGTGAATTTGTTCCTGGCTCGCTTCGTGCTGGGTCTCGGCATCGGCAGCAAGTCGTCTACAGTACCTGTGTATACTGCAGAATGTGCTCCTGCTCCGATCAGAGGTGCTCTCGTCATGCAGTGGCAGATGTGGACCGCATTCGGTATCATGATGGGTGAGTTCCTTCGACACGCAACGCATATGTATGATCGCCGTAAAACGAGTATTAACGTCTCGGCCAGGTAATATCATGGGCGTCGCTTTCGGAGGCCTCCGCCCTGATCTCGCCTGGCGTCTCATCCTTGGCTCTACGGTCGTGCTTCCGGTAGTCGTCTGGTAAGTAGGTCGATTTAGCAAGTGAACAGAACTAACACCTCCTTTCCAGCGCTCAAATCTACTTCTGCCCCGAAAGTCCACGTTGGCTCCTCCAACACGGCAAGATCAAGCAAGCCTTCAAAGCCTTCCGCATTCTTCGCAAATCAGACCTCCAAGCAGCGAGAGACCTCTATTACACTCACGTTGGAGTCGAGATCGAGGCCAAGATCAACACGGGCAAGAACTTGTTCACGATGTTCTGGGAGTTGTTCAGCATCCCTCGCAATCGACGTGCGACTTGGGCGACGTGGATTGTTATGTTTGGACAGCAGTTCTGTGAGTCCACGAGAGAATGTTGATGTGTGGCGACGTACTGATAGATCAACTCGCAGGTGGTGTGAATGTGATCGCCTACTACAGGTAACCTTGCCACAAAAGCATCGGACTTTAAAGAGCTATACTGACCACCTCACCTCCATAGCACCACCATCTTCGAAGACGCCGGTTACGGTCGTAGCAGCGCTCTCCTCGTCGCCATGGGCACCGGAATCCTCAACTGGGTTTTCGCTCTTCCCGCCTTCTTCACCATCGACACCTTCGGACGTCGGCCCTTGCTTCTCATAACATATCCCTTCCTGTGCATAACGCTGCTCTGGACGGGGCTCAGCTTCTTGATCCCTTCGACCCAAGTTACCGCGCGGACTGCTATGATCACGACGGGCATGTATCTCTTCGAGGTGTTCTATAGTCCCGGCATGGGTCCGGTTCCGTTCTCGTACTCGGCTGAGGCTTTTCCGATGCATGTGAGGGATGTGGGGATGTCGTGGGCAACGGTAAATATCAACATATTCGTGGCTTGTAGAGCACGCGCTGATTTTTCGAATAGGCGACGACGTGGTGTTTCAACTTCATTTTATCGTAAGTTGCCACAACCTTTCCTGCCATTGCAAAAAAGTTACTTACCTGCTGCCAGCTTCACCTGGCCATCTCTCGTAGGAGCCTTCAAACCCGAAGGTGCATTTGGATGGTACGCAGCCTGGTGTCTCATCCTCTGGGTGCTGGTCTTGCTCTTCATGCCAGAGACTAAAGCACTAACTCTCGAGGAGCTTGTGAGTCTTGCTGCCTTGCATTTTCTCCCAGAACTGACACAATGTACAGGATCAAGTCTTCAGCGTGCCAACGTGGAAGCATTCCAGGTATCAGCTGAAGGCGGCCTCGCGGTTCATTAAACGATTTGTCCTGTTTCAGAAGAACGTGGAGCCGTTGCCACCTTTGTATCAGGGTGCTGAGAATCTGAATGAGTCCTGATCTTCTGAAGGGAGATGATGGGTGTTGAAGACGTGATGGCAAGCTTAACAGCAGTACTTGCTGTAAGGAGTCGAACCCACGGCAAGATTTGAACGCTGCTAAGACAGAACTCATTTGCGGCTCATTATAAGTATCGGTAAATATGGGGAGGATGAGACGTTTGACGGAACGACTACCGTATAATGAAAGTACCAAACGCAAAGCAATTTGATACTCTTTCAATCAAGGTAATGAACGCTAGACGATTTGATCAACCACCCCTCTCCTCCCAAGCCTCATTAATCGCCTTCCTCAACCCCTCCAAACCCCCCTCACTCGCCTCAATCACAATGCCCTCCCTGCCCCACCCCACCAACCTCAACCCAAGCAATACCAAACTCCCCTTCCACCGCCGATCATACTCCAAAACAGTATGCTTGCCACTCGGCCTCACAGAAACCCAATGCACCACCCGTTGGCCATACTTGAAATCCTCGCGATAGACAAATTTCCAGTGGTCGTTGCTGACGACTTTGGCTTTCCGCACGCCGTCTTTGCGGAAATCCGGGGGTGTTAGTTCGAGGTGTTCGTCTGGGTTGGAGAGGATTGCGGAGAGGTAGTGCCCGTTGCGGGTTAGGCGGAGGGCGTCGAGGGAGGCGGCGCCGTTGGTTGCTTGGACGGTGCGGATGAAGTCGAAGTCGATGGCCCGGGTATGTTAATTGATTCCAGTGAGAGTGTCTGGTGTTGCGAACGGTACCTTTTGCTTAGCAAAATCCGGAGGGGCTGCAACGATGCAGCTATCCGAGGTTCCAAAGCTGGCTATCTGAGGTGAGAGAAGTATGGCGAGGACGACTGCGACGATGGCGAACGTCGTGAGTCGTGATGGCATGGTGAGTAGGTCTGTCTGGAGGACAGTTGAAACAAGATGATGTCTAGGTGAGGTGGCATTGAGGCTGCTGATCACTGCTGAAACTTCCTCGGTCTTTCTGTTAGTCAAACTCTAAAGTGGTCAATATATTCGAGGGCCCGATGAGGCGTTGGAGTGCATGCAGATGAGTGTTGAAGAAGAGAACTAATTGATCCATTGTACTGATGCTAAGATGTATGCTTGCGAATTGTACAATTGTGGTGCCGTGTATCCATCTCAAGCGCAACCTACAATTTGAGTCAGCTGGCGTTCAATATAATCACTGGAATCTTATGTCTTACGTGCACCATCGTTGCTCGTTGCCGACGATCTATGTCTCTCAAGAGTCAGCTCCACGTCTTCACCCATGTGTTACATTGGAGTCTGGCCGTTCTTACCCTACCGCCACGAATTCGGCTCTGTATGGAGGAGACGTAACACGTACGCGATAGATCTATGGTATCGCTGTCAGTCACACTAGTTTCCTAAGGTTCTGATCATGAGACCATTGCATACCCTGCCACTAAAGTTCTCAGCTCCCGGAAGAAGTCAGCATCCACTCCGAATCGACTTGAAAGGCATGCTTACCGTAAAGATAGCCGTCGGCCGTAGCATATGTCGCTCCGACGTGTGCTTGAGTCTGGCCAGGATAAAGGGAGCCCAAATTGGCCAACAAGGTGCCTGAAGGGTAGTATCAGAATTTCGATCGAGTGCCGTTGATTCGAAGTTGACTCACAGTTACGGGAAGTCATGCTGAACTGCATGAGATACCCGTTCGTATCTGTCGTAGATTGCGCAGATGTTCCGATGGCGTAAAGGTTTGAGCCTCCTCCAGGAACGTAGGCCCAATCGACGAAGTAGTACCCACAATTGTTTGCTGTCCCACTTGATATCAAGCTCCCAAATGTCGAGCTTTGTGGATTCATGTTGAACTGAGAATAGGTCAAAGTTGTCGTACTGGGAGGATTTGATGGTCTAAAAATTTCTTAGCACAACGATCCTGACGACGACGATTCACGCACAGAGCAGCCCAGTATTGTCCGTTGGAGTCGATATCGCCCAGTAACCAATAGTTCGCTGTCGAGGCGAGCACGCTCTGTACTGTGCCGTTGCTAGCAATGCGGACCAAAGTTGCAGGATTAGTATTCCTGGACCCATAGATGTAGCCATCCAACTAGACGTTGAAGATCAGCGTTGAATCGGGAAGCATTGGTAGACATCGACATACCGAATTGTAGCCAATGGCGTTGTAAGAGCGCCCTGACTCCAAAGTAAGGAAGCGGGATACGCTGCCATTGCTGATGTCTACCCTAAACATGTTGTTCGTCTATAGGACCGTTAGAGAGCTCCTTTCGGACATGAGTTAAGGCATGGGCTGCGGCTTACCTGAATCAAGTATCCGTATTGGTTGCAGGAGAAGGCAGGGAGCGCTGGTGCTATCGCAGCGTTGTTGCTTGCACATCGAGTTCCGTCAGCACCGACCGCCGTCGGTCCTTGGGAAATCAAAGAAGCGCTGAGGGTGTCCGGGTCGTATGAGAATCTCCAAATTTGTCCTGTATGGCAAGTTCGAAATGGTCAGTGACAAATATCTGAGGATCAGGCTCTGCTGTAGTCTCTTACCGGTTGTTCCTTCTGTTGCATAAATGTACCCATCGTTCGCGCCGTACAGAGCAGTGAAACTGAGCGGCGAGCTCTGCCCAGTGACAGTATTTCCGATATCAAGCGCTGGGTTCCATACTCGATTGACGGTGTCGTACTGCTGCAACCGCGTATAGCCGTCTTGGTCAATCTGCAGTGCATAAAGGACTCCCGGCTGGTTGGGAACAGACACCCAATCTTGGACGTCTGAGTCTGGCGTGTTCTGCGACACACCCTGCGCCACAACTTGCCTGCAACAGATCAGTATGTAATAGCAACGTGCTCCATGGAGACAACTTACCCATAGACGCTACCACTGTTCGGATTGACATTCACTTGCGCCCAGTAGAAGCCATCGGTGGTAGCAGCGGGCTCAGCTACCCAGAAATTCCCTGTTGAGTCCACACTTGGTGCGAAGCTGCGTTAGCGATGTGTCGGTCCAATAGTGTCAATAATTCGGGGTTTAGACTCACTCTCCAGCGATGAAATTGTAGCCAGAAGGTAGTGTGGCGTCAATCTGTGTCCTACCCGCCGCTCCTATGCGATACAAGACCTGTGGGTTCGATCCACGCCCTACAGCGTATATGTATGATTCGAGCGGATTGAAACCAGCGGCGTTGAGGTCGCTCGAGGTGACCTAGAAAGGTTGTGAGTCTCATCCTCACGAGAGACCATCACGATCGGTCCGACTTACGTTCACATTTGTCGTTGACGAAATAGCGCCAGAGCTGAGATCGAGGTTCTGCAGTGATGTTCCGGTAACCAAGTAAGCGTAGCCAGCGCATGCGAAAGTGGCAAGGGGCTGTTGTATAGCAATGGTACCTGTTGTTGGGCCGGCTAAAGAAAGTTAAGTCAGCTGAGGGAACATCTTGGATGGAATGCATAAGGCTTACCAGCTGTCACCGAAGTCGAGGGGCGAGTTGTCTTTTGATGCCACATTAGAACAAGTCTGAAACATCGAGTGCTGTGGTCTGCGGAGGAGTTCTTACCGTTCCTGGATCGTTGTAGGGTCACGTGATCGTCCTAAATGCCATGAGTGCTTGCCTTTGAAGCGCACGATGTAGTACTCACGTATATCTGACTGGTTGTTGCACAACGACCGTCGCAGTCGCTGCAGTGTTGGTCGCCTCGGAAAGAATTAGCTTCTGCTATTCTGGAATTGGGATCATGCCTCAAACTCACTGCAGTACTCCTTGTCGTTCCTGAGAAAGTGCCCGAGGGGGTTATAGAAAGACGTTGTAGTAGTCGTCCTCCATGGAGAGGCTACAATGACCTAAGCAATCAATCAGTGCCGTCGCCGTTATCGAAAGAGCATGGATAGAGCATACTGTTCCTCCAGTGGTGGTGGTCCTCGCAGCGCCCGCGTAGTAGCTAGTCGTGGTGAAATACGACGTTGAAATGAAGAACGTAGTAGCCGAAGTCGACGTCACAGCAGGTGCGATCGCCGTGACGCACAAGAAGCAGTAACAATCGTCAGCGCAGACGTCGAGGCTGTCGACCGGCCAGTCGTCGATCCATCCACAGTACTCGTGATCGATGAAATTTGGGTTCCAATCGATGAGAACGTCTGGAGCGATGTGATGACGGTTTGGGCGCTTGCAGTGGAAGTTACAGTCGATGGCTGAGAGGAGATTTGCGTCGTGGTTCTCGAAAGACCGGGCTGCGAGGAGATCAGAGTGGTCGTTTGAGTCAGCAAACTCGTAGTCGTGAGATCTGATTCTGTGAGTAGGGTCGTTGTGTATGGACTGCTGATAGTCGTCGATCGCGTCGATGTCTGAATAATCGTGGAAACAGGCAGCGTCACATACGATGGGGAGAGCGTCGAGGTTTGAGCAAATGGAGCGGTGGCCGTGCTTGTAGGCAAGACTGTGCTTGCTGTGATCTGCGTTGACGTCGTTCCAATGCCCGTAGTCGTCCCTGAAACGGTCGAGGTGATGCTGCTTTGAAGTGATGTCACGATCGAGTGCTATAACGGTCAATGACTGACCGCGATTTGATGTCCGGATTTTAGGACTCACTTGCTGTGCGCACAGGCACACCACAATATTTCTGAACAATGACGGTGATGACTCGGACGCCTGGCACACCATGTCAGCGACCTCTCCACCGCGCGATCTTGCTGCTGCTTCCTTACCATCTTGACTGGCCAAAGCCACCGCGGTAAGAGCTTTGAGGCCGAGGATCAAACGTGCGGACCTCGTCTTCATTACCGCGAACTTCTTCGAGTTCGCCGTTTCCGCTGTACAGTAGATATCGCATTGGATACGTTGTCACAAAGTGTCACCTGGGACAACAGAAACAGGCGGCCACCTTCTGACGCATTCCTTGCTGTAGCCATGTTTTTGGTGGCGACGATATTTTCTGTGGGGCTCATCCAGTGCAACGGCATCGCCATGAGGGAAAGAATGTTCTTGTTCTTGGACTTCGTATTCCGGCTACGTTGCCAACGTTCCTCACCTGTGTCCAGTCCAGGTGGTATGGCATCATCATTGTTTAGCCTTATCACTTACTAAATCATTGCAGGGCAGTCTGACGAGACGAAGTTGATGTTAGCTGTGGATGCTGAAAAGAGGAGTAGTTGCAGCTCTTCTGCCCCTTGCCATGGGTGTAGATGTATGCCGCGCTACCGCCTTGGGCAGGTCTTGGAGGAGCCAAGTCCGGGTCTCGAGGATACATGATGATGAAGATGGCCGCAGAAATACCAATGTTGCGGTACACGGCACGCCAGAATGCGGATGGCAATGCAGCACGAAGTGAGGTCAAATAAGCTCTCGAGCTACGCTTCAAACAGTAATCTAAGCGAGGATAGCGTCTGTTAGCGCGTCAATCAAAACACGTCCCGTCCCTTTCCTCCCCTTCACCAGGTCATCTTCCCTGCATTCTCACTCATCGGAATCGCTCAACGCAACTGGACCGATGTACAAGCATCGCCGAAACCTCCAAAGTAGATGCACGCCTTGTCATGGATTGGCCGGCCGGGCATAACTCAGAGCTTGCTCGTTGAGACTACCCTTAATGCCACTGTACCAAAAATGGGCGGTAAACCTGTCAGCGAAGGCATCGGAGAACACCAGGCCCAATGACTCTCGAGGCTGCACTTCGAAATGATACATGAAAACGAAGAATAGATGCCTTACATCATCCTGAGAGTGAGGCCGAGATCGAACAGGCGGTATGTCGTCAACGAACATGCGAATTGTGAGAGCCCGGATGTAACATGTTATACTTCAGGCTTTGGTCCTTCACCATAGTTCGAGGGCGCCGATACAACCTTCAGCGATTAGCGACGCGTTCGCTTTGTGTTTTGCTACTAGTACCGCACTGAAGTCCACACCACAAGACTATTGTACAACCCGGCTGCACATCCATCAACTTCGAACTTCGTCCTGTCGCCAATGCCAATCAATTGCTTCTCCGCTGATTCTGGTTATGTCAAGGTTCATATTCAATGAGGCTGACGGCTGCTGACATGGAGCTGGTGGATGCTTGCCCTGGTCCGGACGTATGCCTGTCTTCTTCGCCGACACGTCTCATGCCTCATGGGATGTTCTTTGCCGATATGAAGACATGCAAGACCTTTTATCATCGAATGGCATTCTCACTTGATGCAGCTGGCCGTACCGTCGGAAAAGCGACACCCGGAATGGCTTGCAATTCACCGAAACGGAACAAAACGAGCCTCAGCCTCGTCTACTACGATCCTCCTCGATGAATCAACTTCACGCTCGAGACGTCGACGCTTTCAAGTCTTGACTGTTACCAAAGCGCATGATCTGACGGGCTGGATAGGACAGCCAGCCACGAGTCGCATCACTTGACTCTGAAGAACGAGTGGACATTATGAGAAGCTGTTCACTTCCGACTTGTGCTTCCGAAGCGCTCTGAAGACGATGTTGCCCTCTTAGCCTCTCAATCACAGAGTCTCTCAGCTGACGAGGAACAGCTAGGAATCGGAATCAAAATTGAAATTTGTTCACGATGTCTCCGCAGGAGTTCAGCGAGGCCTTCACACTCTCGTATGTCGTGCACGGCCGATTGACCGCGACGCCACGATGCGCAAACATACGAGTCGTAACATCCGATGAGATGGGCTGCAACGATTACTCCCTTGGACCTGAATTTACCGGATCGACGCCACCGGGGAAGCCATCGTTACGCATCCCTTCCGTCATCTGGCGGCCACACCCTGCAGGCTGGAGAATCCCGCATCCGCTTTCGCGACGACTTGCCATTTCACAGCGGTGTCGAAAGTGCGAGTTGTTCTCACCGATTGCATGGCGAGGAGTTTCTTCGAAAGAAGACGACAAACCATGAGACCCGGGAAGCAAAGTCTAGAGCATTGATGAGTGCTCGCAGATGACTGATATTCGTTCGTTCTTGGGTCTCGACTTACGGCCCGGCGGAGAAGGATCCCGGCCCGGCGGGAGCGGTTGAACAGCCGAAGTGAATTGCCAGCCACCTGCCTGTTTCGGTCAACGCATGCAATCTTTCTGCAAGGGTTACACAGAAATTATGTGCCTATCCAGCCAGTGAGCTGGCCTGACTCGTGCACGGAGTCTTTCTGATCGCCGGGTGAAGGCAATTGCTTCGTGGCGAATGGCTCGGAATGAATTTCGAATAATTTCGAAGCACTCACAGGAGCTCAAGGTCCGATGCACACTCAAGGGGTGAAAGCCCTTAGGAGGATTTGCGATCGATCGGAGGCGTTTTATATACTTCAGAGTCACTGTGCCCGCCCCATGATCTTGGCATCAACCACATCCTCCCAAGTAATCATAATGGCACCCATGGCACATCCCTTGGCGCAATCGGATTCTAAGGCCAGGTTCATGAACCGGCTTGGACTAGAGGAAGCTAACAAGATGCATAGATATTTGTACTCACTAATGAAGGTTGGTAAGACACATCAATGAATGGTCTGATTCGTAGCCTGATTTTATTTCAGACTGAAGCCGCTGAAGGATGGTCGAGAATGACGAGCAACCGCGAAGCTCTTGCCCCGGCCTTCAAGGACAACCCTGCAGTGGAGCCACCTTACACATTCAGCCAGCTTGATGAAGCCGCTGTCAACAGCGAAATTGTCTATATCTACCATTATGCACGGCCAGAGACAAAGATCATGTACGGACTCGGCCACGACCGAGACGGCAATTACGAAGACAACTGGATAATTCGGTGGCTGTTGTGGCACGTGTTCCGCTACCGCGATGTATGTAAAGAACGTTGCACAAAACCTCTGCTCTCATACTGCAAGGATGCTGACCTTTCGCCCTCCGCTGTTAGGATCGAAACAGCGGGTCTAGTCGAAAGCGCGGCCAGTCGGCGGGCACTGACGTGGCGGTGGATGATGACAATGTCTCTGATGATGTGCCGGAGTCTATCAATGAGGCGTCTGGAGTAGCCGCGGCCTTGGTCGCATCTCAAGGGCCCGCTCGGATGGAAGCCACTACCTCGACTGCAAATACGCCAACGTCAGATCATGCCAGCACCTCACGGTTTTGGGATCCAGTCAGGGAAGACTTCAAACGCTGAAGTGGATCGCTTAGCACCATGCAGATGCGTACCAGGAGCTTTTTGGTTGGTAGCAGAATGGGGTGCCGGCACGGCTTCTTTGCCTTGCCTTCACTACGCGTGTGCAAGATGCGACAGCTGCTCCAGAGACGTTCGGCTGCCGTGGCTGCGCAGCGCATAACCTAGTACTGGATTTGCTACGGCCTCATATGGCCTGTTCTGCCGCCTGTGAACAACACCACGGGCATCTAAACGAGGTCCTCCCGCGAGGGCTAGCACAACAGGGCGAGACCTTCTGTTGCGGTCAAAGCCAGACACAAGTCTCCCACCATGCACACGGCATTGTGCATCTCGGCCTGGCGACGATCGAGTGCATTGGCAGGCACAGGGGATTCCATGTGGACGTCACCCCCGCGAAGCTGCAGCGACTACCTAGTACCGCCCGCAGTCCTAAATTATGCATAAGTTGCGGCTCCATCATCTCAGAAGGCTCTGTTCAGGCACGGTTGTTGCATTCACTCACCATTTATGCACTGTTGATCGGAAAGTAGAGTACCCGAGCCATTGCCGCGCCCGATTCTGCATAACTTGCACAACTCGAAACATGTGATCCTAGCAGCTTGCCCTGTCGACGTCGAAAGTCTATACGATATTGGCCACAGTACCGCTTGACATTTTGAGACGGCCACAGGACTACTCGACATTTCGCGGCCTCTTGCCCAAAACGGCCCGCAAAGCAAACATGTCTTTCCCGGCCAATGTCTGCATTATTCGCTCACCGTGCTTGTTCGATGTATTTGTGCATCGAAGCAGTCCATCTTCCCCACTCGCACTCTTGCGCCATCCTCGTTGGGAAAAGGACTACCCCAGGGCGACTTGCCAGGGTCAATCGGCAGCACACAGCTTTGATGGGTATTAAAGACAATTCCCAACTTCTCACCTTCGTTGGCAACGACCTACTTCTCGCAAACAACTGAGCCTCTCCTATCATGGATCACGTACCTCCATCAGCCGATATGGCTCTTCCTCGCCCTACAACCATACCAGTATCTTTACTTGGTCTCGTCGTTCTCGTCACTCTGGCAACAATCTACTCCCTTCTGACTCGGCAACGACCTTATGCCGGATTTCCAGTGACTACTCTTGGAGAGAAAGGGATCAAAGCCTGGTTACTTCCCCATATGTCCTGGATGTTCCGCCCCCTCGAGATCAGAGCAAAAGGAAGAGAGCTCAGCTCCGGTTCAAACATCTACCAGATAGCGACTGGTGCTGGATACAGGATCGTGCTTCCGAGGAAGTTTGCAGATGAACTGCGCAACCACAAAGACTTGGACTTCAGCACATCTGCCGCTAGGGACTTTCACGTTACCCAGGTATATTGGTCGAATGGACTGTGGGTCGGGGACATGCACTAATATCTTGCTAGCCTGGCTTTGACAGCATGAGAGAAGGACTCCGTCCGGATGGGCTCATGGTCGATGTGGTACGGGTCAAGCTTACCCAAAGCTTGGGTCTAGTCACGCAAGACGTCGTCGAAGAAAGTAAATTCAGCATTGATGAGTGGTTCGGCGACCACAAGGAGTGGAGTACTTTCGAAATCAAGCAGGCGCTACTCGACATCGTGGCGAGAGTGTCAACGCGCGTCTTTGCAGGAACTGACCTCGCTCGAAATAAGGTGAGAGGCCTTGCTGGGCAATCTGGACAGCGCGACCAGATGGCTGATGTGAAACTTTTACAAAGGAATACATCCACATCGCAAAGGAGAACACCGTGTCGCTGTTTACAGGCGCAGCAACCTTACACCAAATTCCTGCGCTCTTGCGGCCAATCGCAGTCTGGTTCATACCCCATTGCAGAAACCTTCGTAAGCAAGTTGCAGATGCTCGACGGCTACTGGCATCACAGGTGCGTAAATCCCAAGAGAGTGCCACTCAAGTCGATCAGAAATCAAGCAAAACGGCAGATGCTTTCAGGTGGATGATGGACATCGCCAAAGGCCGCCCCATCAACTTCGTCGCCGGACAGCTGATGCTTAGCATGGCCGCCATTCACACAACAACTGAGATGACCACAAGGGCCATGATGCAATGCTGCCAAGCTCCAGAAATCGTTGATGAATTGCGTAAGGAGATTATCCGGGTCTTGAAGGAGGACGGCTGGGCCAAAACTGCACTCTACAAGATGAAGCTGCTCGACTCATTCCTGAGTGAAGTTTCCAGGTGCTACCCCATGGGTATTGGTGAGTCGTCCCATCTGCAGAACTAGAGTCACAGCCTAACTAATCTATGATCGCAGGCGGCATGGGTCGGTACACCAAACGTGAAATAGAGTTATCCGACGGCACGATTCTGCCTGGAGGCAGCCTCGTAATGGTCGAAAACGATGGGCCCGGGGACGCGGAAGCATTCCCAGAGCCGGAGAAGTTCGATGCGTACAGATTCCTCAAGATGCGCGAGCGACCAGGTGAAGAGACCCGTCACCAGTTCGTCACCACCACACCGAGCAACATGTTATTCGGTCATGGCCAGCATGCATGTCCAGGTTCGTCCCATCCATTCAGATATCTTCAAGGCTTCACAGAACTAATACATCTTCAAGGACGATTCTTCGCGAGCAATGAGATCAAGATCTTGTTCTGTTTCTTACTGCTCCAGTATGACTGGCGATACGAGCCGGGGTACGTTCCGCCTAAGAATGTCTACTCCGAGATGCAGATAACTGTGCCGCCGAATGTTCAGGTGCAATGTCGCAGACGGCAGCCGGAGATTGACTTGATGGACCCGAAGGAGGTGAAGTAAGTCGTTGCATTACAAAGGCGTGAAAATCATCGAATTGACTACAACGAGGATACGTGTGTTGTTTGGAGTACTGGTAGAGTGAAATAGAGGCGCTGCATGAGGATCTGGCGTCAAAGAGCAATGCAACCACGAGCCTGGTGCTCGACTCCGCCAAAATGACACCCACCCTTCCTTAAACCTCCAATGCTGCCCAGTCGCTAGATGAATCCGTTGTAGAACGACTCATCATATCACGAGTCTTCTCGTTCGGTGCCCGATAAGGCAACAAACCGGCAACACTGTCCCTCCCCCGACCGGCCTTGCTGTAGCAGCACATCTTCCTCAAAACCGATTGCGTCTGCCGCGCCATCGCCGGGAGACAAGCACAAATGATGCCCAAGTTGTTCTCGACGATCGACCACATGATGAGTTCGATCGAATACCAAGTTCGATCGCGCATCAGGGCGGCGGGCACGATGAATTGCATACGAAAAATCGCCGTAATGCAGACGCTAAACCTTGTCAGTCCGGTGATCTTCCATGCATATCAGCACAACTTACAAGATCCCAATTCCAAAAAGCCCACAAAGCGCTGCCATACGTGCTCTCCCCATCTGAAGCCCGTCGATGTACGGCGGAATCCCAAAGATCGACGGCATCGGTAATACAGTCACAATGAAGTATGTGATGATATTGAAGTTCGCCCGAGCCTTCCAGTACGCATCGATATCGAAGCACTTCGCGGGAATAGACTGCCACGCGGACGCAATAGGATCGCATTGAAAGATGGAGGCGAAGATCGAAGCGAACGTGAAGACCGCAATGGCTCCCACAAGACACCGGCAGATCATTCTGAATCGTTTCTTGTTGTCGGTGTTGAAAATGCGGATGTACCAGACCAGGACGGCGATTTTGAAGAGACCCATACACATCTGGTAGATGATCTGGTCGGCGAAGTAGATCTGCAGCGTCTTTTCGATCAAGATCTCGCCGTCGCCGAAAGGCAGTTTCTCTGGTGGGTATGTGTGGAGGTCGTGCTCGTGCTTTCCCAGGCCCCACGAACATCCTCTGATCATGAGGACGGTTCCGGGGAAGGCCAGGGTGGCAGCAGCGATGAGAAGGTAGTCATCGGTCCAGAGTCTGCCGGTTTGGATTCTGCCGCAGACGCATCTGGCGAGGACGAAAAGAGGCGTGAGTATGGCGAAGATGATCGATGGTATGGCGATCCGGTTGGAGATGTCTTGCAGTGGCGCATAGCTCGTGAGAATTCCCATGGTGAAGATAGGAATCTAGTTCTCTTATTTTATGATGACAATAGACCGTCTGACGATTGTAGTCGAGAGAAGAGAAGTCGAGAAATAAAGATGGCGCAGCCGTTGTAAGACCACATGGTCTCCAGTATTGCCACGCATGTGAGACTTCAAAAATGAGCCAATACGTCTTTTATGTGATGGCACGTGATGCATCCTCGCATTCTTGACTCGTGCACAAGCAAAAGTGAGCGAGGAAGTGAAGTCGAAGCTGCCAAGCCCCTAGCCGTAAAATCCACTTCACTCAAGCCCCTTATCACATGCTCACGCTCAATGTTGCTAGCACGTGCCACGTCACTTCTCGACTGTCCTCAACCAGTCTTGCACCAACCCTCTATAATGTTTGAGAGTATACGGCGTCATAAGATCCCTGAAATTATTGCCCTTCCTCTTCGCCTCGAGACCCAAATCCCCGAGGAGGATATCGACGTACGGTATACTGTCGAAGACCAGATCAGGGAACTTTTCACCTGCCCCGCCTGCGATTTTCGGTCGACGCAGCTCTTGGTATTCCGACTGGAGGATCGTATCATGTAAGATTTGCTTGTGATCCAAGGCCGAACCGCGCATGTGCGGTAGTCTGTCCTTGAAAAAAGCAGTGATCCAAAGAGCCTGCGCTTGTGCAAGGACAACGGTTTGAAGTGAGAAATCGATACCGACGAAAGCGAGGTTCCTGGCTCCTAGCAGTCGCTCGCTGCTCGGAACCACATAGCGGTAGAGTCGATACGGAGTCGTTCTTTCTTTCGAGGATGGTTTCTCCCCCGCCACAGTGTCCTGTACCACCCGAGAAGTGTTGCGCAGATATGGGCGCTTGTCCAGAATCCAGTTCTGTGCCTCCCGCGCGAGCAAAGACTCTGATTCTAGTTCACTCTGCGGAATACCCAGCAACTCCCTGGCTTCGGAGGGCAGGAAATCAATCGGCGGTAATGCGCTCCAGCCAGTGCAGCAGACCAAGGCATCAACGTTCTCTACAAGCCTGTCTGTCAGTTTTACACTGTTTCCGGAAAGAGAAGCCACATCCGCATGATGTATCCGTATATTCCCACTCTTCGCAAGTTCAAACCAGTCACTCGGGTAATTGAGAGTGCTTAGTGAGTTGCCCATCCAATACGTAGACGCCCAAGGTTCTAGTTTCTCAGTTCCGATGTGTTCGCGGTAGCCGTTGATTCGACATATGTGTCGCCCAAGTAGTTTCCAGAAAGCGTTGGTGATCGCCAACCCCAGCGTGGATTGATGTAAGAAGTCTCTGACTTTGCTCCAGATCGTCCCTTTCTCGGCGAATGGCCACGGGTCGAAAAGAGTAAACATCCGAATCATGGTAAGCCTTGGTAAAGACGTTTGCCATCCAAACCACTTTAATCTCCTCGGCCAGACCCAACTTGGCCCACCTCCTGAAGGCCTCATTACCATGTGTGCTTTTCCTCCACGTCGAGCAACGCTGTAGCATACATCCCACGCTGACTTGTTCCCGCCAATTACCACCACATTTTGGCATTTCGAAAGATCATCGGCGCGAGGTTTCAATTCTTTCGAATGTATTCGCAGACCTTGGAATGAGTCCTGTCCTTGGAATGTCGGCATATACGGCTCGGATGTGAGGCCAGTAGCGATAACCAGCTTTCGCGCAAGCAGACTGCTCTGCGAACCCGGAGACAACGTGGAAGAGCAGGAGAGTTGCCACAAGTTGTCATCTCGTAGAGTCGCAGTTTCAACTTTGGTCTGTAGGAGCAAGAAACGTTCGAGGTCAAAGTACTGGACAGCCTCGCAGAAGTATCTATGGACTCCTTCACCCGGAATGTGTGCCCTTTGCCGACTGCCAACCAGAGAAGGGTCCATTGGAAAGTCGCTGAACTCGTACGATCCCAAAATATTGTCTTCAAGGAACAAACATCGTCAGCAATCTCCGAACCCCATCATCATTAGCTTCAGATTCCTCACTCGTGTTCAACCCAGGATACACCCTTTCCTTAGCCCAACATCACCCTACAGAGTCCGCGGTGTCAATGATGCGTATCGTGGCAGCTGGATGCGCTTCGTGGTACGTCTTCGCCATTGCAACGCCATTCCAACCACAGCCGACAACGACTAGATCGACCGCATCCATCGTAGCCGTTGTGTGGGATTCGAGTCGTGTTCCAGAAACTACCACCCGGCCTTATCAAGACCATTCCCATGAAACAGCGAGCGAGCCTCCTCTTCTCATATGTCTTCCACGTCTTTCCCAAAAAGCACAATCTCCGTCAGCCTTCAAGGCTAAGCGAAGCTCAGTGGCTTACTCTCTCCGGAACCCTCTGTTATTACGCGACAACTGCTGTTTCGAGATAGATGTACCTGAGACCAGGAAGCTGACCTGACGAAGCGGGGGAGTCAGCAGCTCAGACGAAGCTGGATACGAATCGCGGCACTTATCGAAGTCGCATAATGCTTAGCCATTCGGTGCGGTTACACAAGGAACGCCATTGTCAGATGTTTGTTCCGACTTCACCGCTGGATAGGGCTTCAGGAAGTGAGTGTTAGGGTCCGAGTCGATTAACATGGTGGGCTGCCTTCGTGCTGGATCCGGATAATGATGTCGATATTGGCTACGCTTCTTCCTCCTGAAAGCCGGCTCTCTTTTCCAAGACTCACTCAGCATTTGGTGACGCCTGGGCATATCAAGCAGGTGTTCGCCAAATTGCCTTGTTGAAGCGCAGAAGATCAACTTCGGCTCCTCCTCGTAACTTCTCGTCTACCCCTGCCCATCCCTTGACGAGCTTATTTGGACATCACTCCATATCAACTTGCTTAACACCGAAACCTTTAGACTGCATAAGAATATCTTTATGAAGTATAGCAAAGTATGTACAATGCATATTCTAGTTGTCCCGCAACTTCATCGCATGCCAAGTCATGCCGCGCATCCAAGCATTCCTCATGAATCGTCATCATTCGTCATCATTCACTTCAAAATCGTTCCTTCAATGCAACGCTATGCTTTTTGATTCGATCCAATCATCTACGCACCGTTGCCGTTGTAGGCGAGGTAGTTCTGAGGACGTTGTTAGCACAATGACACTCGAATGTTTGGACTTAAAGATTGGGTACTTACCGGGCTGCCAGAGCCAGGGTTCACAATCGTGTTCTTCGTCGAAAGCGACTGAATGCGGGAGCAGAGAGCAGCGGGGGAGCGGGTGCCCTCAAGAGCCAGCAGGTAAGCGGCAAGACCAGCAATGTGAGGAGTGGCCATCGAGGTGCCGGAGATGGTATTGGTAGCAGTGGAGCTGCCAATCCAAGTAGACTGAATGTTGACACCTGGGGCGAAGATGTCGACGATGGAGCCGAAGTTAGAGAAGCTGGCACGGTTGTCATTGATATCGGTGGCACCGACGGTGCAGGCAGATCGCTCAGAGGCTGGGGAGTAGTTGGAGGCATCCTTGCCATCGTTGCCAGCAGCGACGGCAACGAACATGCCGGCAGCGGTGGCCTGAGCAACGGCGTTGTTCGACTGGGGATCATAAGCTCCGCCGAGGGACATGGAGATGACTGAGCGCGAGATGCGGTTGTTCTGCTGGGCGTTGCTGACAGCCCAGTTGATGCCGGCAATCACATCGGAGTTGTATCCAGAGCCATCGCTGCCGAGAACCTTGACACCAATGATGTTGGCGCGCTTGGCAACACCATAAGTGGTAGAGCCAGTAGTACCAGCGCAGTGGGTACCGTGGCCGTTGCCATCAGTAGCACTCTCGCCCTCGACGAAGTTGGCACCTGCAGAAGCACGGCCTCCAAAGTCTTGGTGGCCAGTGTAGACTCCAGTATCGACAACGTAGATGTAGCTGCCAGCCCCAGCAGTGTTGTCGTAGATGTAGTTGTTGGCACCACGAGCGCGGTGAGAGATACGAGCAAGACCCCAAGTCGTTGGGCTCTGCTGAACGAGAGCGCGAGCGTCGATCTCAGCCGCTGGGACAGGGGCGCTGGCGTAGACCTTTCGGTCTGGCTCGACGGACTTGATGGCACCGATCGTCTCAAGGATGTCTAGGACACCATCGTCGCCGTCGAAGGAGAAGCCCTTGAACGAGCCAATCTCGTACTGATGCTTGGCCTCGATTCCAGCAAGGGTCTGGATAGTCGACAGAGCGCTGGCAAGAGGAGAGTCCTCGTTGATCTGGGCAATCCATTTGCCGGGCACAGTGTTCTCATCCTGGCGACGGTTGATCTGAGGAGCGGCAAGAACTGCTGGCACAGCCAGGAGGAAGTTGAAGAACGACTTCATGTTGAGAAGTGAAGATGCTGAATGCTAGGCTGGAGAAGTGGATGCTGGAGCTGGATGCAGATCGTAGTCTTGAAGGCGGGAGAGATGATGGTTTATATAGACGACGACGACCTCCTTCGAGACACCATGGGCACATTATCGCCATGCTGCAACCGAGGCGTTCGCCTTCTTGCCATCTGCGACAAAGGAAGGCGTGGCCGCTGACAGAATCTCGCGTGCTGGCTCGCTTGTTGGGCGTGGTGGGAAGAGATATGCAATCACCAGCCAGTTGCTACCTTGCGGAGGTGTAGCTCGAAAGCATATTGTCTCTGTAAACTGGTAAAGTTCACGGCTGTAGGATCTCCTTCCCTTTGCGGAAGGCATGGCATGCAGCGAAGGGCCAGGGCAGTGTTCTGTTGCAGCAATGCTGGCGTGCATCTTGGAGCTCTTGGAGCGGACATGGTCGAAATCGCGGCGTGTGGTTGGAGGAGAGAGGGTGGTCTGTGGTAGGATGCATGATCTCCTGCCGAACGGTCAGGATGAACACCTGCATGCCCGTCGTCGGGGTCTGCCCCAAATCTGCTGCGTTCAATGTTCGCCTGACCAGCTCCCGCGCGCTTGGCTGCAGGTCGATCCCTCCCGCTTTCCGTAGGAGAATAAAGATGCCCAGCTTTCAAGGCTGGGCACTTTCGACATAAACGGTTTTAGCTGCCGTACCAAGAAATATTACCACCGTTGACGGCCACAAGCACAAATTTCACCTGCCACTTGCGGTCCAGTTGCTCTGCGGTCCAAGCCTTGCCAACAAAGAGCTTGTCGCAGTAGGGTTGTAACGTCGTGACTCTGTGGCTTTGGCATACTTTGTTCTCCAAGATAGGTGTATTTCGCGGTCGGCGTGCACAAAGACGAATGGCTGCAGATGGCGGTTGAAGAATCGGTGGTAATGCCAACTGTGGCGAGCTGGAGTGCGTTGTCGATCCTTTCGCCAGCCCACTGGTCGTGGAAGTTCGGTAGCATCTGATAGTCAGTTGGTCGATTGATCGTCTGCAGACAGACAATGTCTTGTGCATACCCAAGTTTACCGCTCCGATCCATGTCTGCCGCTCGGTCTTGACACATTGTTCCTGCAGCCTTCAAGCTCACAGCTTGCTTGCCACAAAAGCCGGCAGCATCTCAATTTGATACGAGGCGTTCGAGGCGGGTAACACAGCAGCAATTGGTGATTCCACGCGAGAACCTCCAACGTCGACGTCGTCAACGGCTGGATCGATGACAACCACGATCGAAGTGTTTGAAAGAGCCTCAAGTCGGCCCCCACGCCTTTCACGTGCGAGCGACTCTGCAAGGTTCAGGCTGTCGAAACTGTCCACGAGGACCTCGATAACGCATGAACCCTACAGGAGTCCGTCGCAGCTGCTAGGATAAAAGTGGCAGGTTCGAACAATCACGCTCATGACTAGGCAGGTTGTAGCCCATCCGCGCTAACGCTGAAGGCTGTCACCTCCTCCTAGCTCAATCGCAATCAATTCGCCGACATGAAGCACGCTATGCACGCTTTTGTCAATTGCGCCGTCCAATCGACGAGCAAGGACCGGGGCAGAAAGTTGAGTCTGCCAATATATTAGCATGCAGCAGCTATCTCTTGCTCTCTCGTGCCAAGAGGTGATATCTATGACACCTACCTCTCTTGCTCAAGTGTCAATCAAGGACCGTGAGTATCCGTGCAGAGTTCCCGGCATATTGTCTCGTTTTCAGGATTGCGCCGGCTTTAAGACGATATTGCATGTTTGCGTGATCTTTGCACTTCCATCCGCCATTACAGTGCCTCGCTCGAGGAAGTAGGTTGGGTTCCCTTGAAGATGCCACCCAGCACTGGACCAGAACAAGCTAAGCGAATGATTTCGTTATCGCGGGAAGGCGGAGGGGTGCACCGCTTTTGAGCAGTTGGCCGAAATCATTCTCGTTTGGCAGACACTACGGATGGCATACGCCATGCTGTGGTGATTCTAAAAGCACCTGCAGACAAAGTGAAGCTGAAAGGCTTCAATGATTTTCTTGTTGGAGGCCATCCATGGGTCGAATCAGAAGCTCAAAACTCTATCGGGAGCCACATTTCCACGTTGAAGTTGAACCACGAATCGATGTCAAACTTCCAGCCATGTTAGCGAAGGGTGTCTCACGAACCGTGGTTACCTGTCACGAGGCAGCACTTACTTCGCCTGGTAGGCCCTGATCGCCGGGATCAGACTCTGGGGCAAACTGTGGCGGTTGATGCGAGGCAGTATTCGAGGGAGGTGCATTGGTGCCGTGTTGCTTCATCGATCCTGCTGTAGCGACCATCGTCCTCGCCAACTGCGCGACTTCCCTCGCGAATGAATTCGACATGACTGATTGTGTAGCAAATTCCAGTCTGGCAAAGTGACCGGCCACAACATCGAGCAGAGACAGGTCACTCTGAGTGGACTCCCGATCGGGATATTGCAGGACGTAGGTGAACAGATCGATGCAAGCGGTAATCGGCACTGACAAGGCGTACCTGAAAATCGTTAGCACTGTTGTATTGCAGAGCCATGAAACCTCTCACCAATGTTGGCATTGTGCGCTCAAGTGCATGTTCGCACAAGCCAAAATCACACCGCGGGACGTGGATGCTGCGATCTCTGTTGAGTACAAGACCTGGCATTGATACGGCCCACTTTCAGCTTGACTTGGACAGACCAACCGAAGCCACGGCCGTGAGATGGCAGAGTGTAGAGCGAAGACCAGCTCGGAGTACATTAGTCGAATACGTGAAGTCTGCTCTATAGTCAGTCCGTTCACTCGTGGCGCGATGCTAGACGACTGTTTCAGATTGACAACGTCTCTCAATGAATCTGCAAAGGCTTGGAGCTCTTCGTCCAGATCTCTCACACGACCGAGCGCAACCTCGGGGTGCTGCCCCATGGCAGTTGCACTGGAGAGCTCTTTACCAATGCGGGAGAGCAGCTTGGCCATTTTCACCATCGTTGTGCAGTACAATACATTGGCAGTATTGGAAGTGGGAGAGGAAGTCGGAATGGGACAACTGACTTCATCATCATCCACGGCCTATTGCTTGTCAGCGGGTACCTTTCGACAGAAAGCTCAACGAACAGATGGTCGACCTGAACGGACTGATATGTGCTTGTCCAGGCAATAAATGGCCCAGAAGATCCAACTGCGATGGGATGATTCGTCTGGATGCAGCTTCCATGAGGGGCAAGGCTGGCGGTGTAGTCCCTTAGCGAAAGCCAGACGGACAGCACAAGCAACAAGCATGTGTTGCAGAGAAGGCCCTCCAAGAGTCTCGGTGAAGCAAGCCTATGTAGCTTTAGCCAGACTTGCAAAGATTTTGCATCAGGATGCATACAGACCATTATGATCAGGGCTTGCAAACCCACGATTGAAGTGCGAAAGTACAAAAGGTCAGTGTGGACAGCAAGAGCATTGTAAAACCATCCTTGGGACTCCTCGTTGGCTTCTCGAAAAGTCGCAGTCTTCGACAGGGAGATCCGACAACCATAAGCGAAGACAACATTTCGTAGAGCATACCAAGCCGGGTCGTATTCAATTGAGTGGGTACCCTGAAAGTGTTTTCGCAGCATCCTCTCGAATCGAGCACGATCGACGACGCCAAAAGCACCCTCCGGGGCTTCGGTAAAGTAGGCAGCTGTATACCTCCAAGCATCTTCAGGAGCTGGGTCGAGCTTGCGCTCGAGTGGGATCGACTGTGATGATCTCAAACGAGTGGTGATATTCCGCAGCAAGCGAGCCGCAACCGGCTGGAACGAATCATTTCGTAACTGACTCGAGATCCACGACATAGCAGGAGCGGAGCAAACAGACAGAAAGGTTCGAGGGCCTACGTATTCCAGGTTGCTGGTGTCTGCCGAGAAAACGCTGCCGTCTTCTCGGGCTGGAGAGGCTCGCTCGGGTGCAAGATGCAGCGAGACCAGAGAAGAATCTGGAATTGTACTTGACGCAGGCGGCCCTCCAGGCTTACGAACATTCGTTTGAGATGTCGGATTGTGCACTTCTCTCGAAATATTTGTGGAATCACCAGTGGAAGTGGCGATTTCCGAAGGCCGAGCTGATTTCTCGTCTAGCAAGGCCTCGATGCGTGATAAGCGTTGAGTGAGGGGATCTTCTTCTTCAGTAGGATACAGTCGCCGTTTCGACTTCTTATCGGACAAGAAGCATTTCTCACCACGGTCCAGGCAGTTAGTACATGGAAGCTCGCCGTTGCCTGTATAAAGTCAGAAAGAACGGGCCTGTCTGTCCACAGATGAGGCTCACATTTCACCTTCCTCTCCCTACACAAGTCGCAAGCCACAATACGCTTCCGCTTGGATGCCATAACGTGTTGAAAGTGTTGTGAGAGAGGTGAGGTGAACAGAACGCTCGCCGGAGCGCCGAAAAACGCCGAACTGGATATTATCTCAGGCCACAGACCATCTATACTCAATAGGCTTAGATCAAATATCGCGATGTCTGAAATAAACTCAAATTCTCAACGCCTTCGCTTCAGCTCCTGATGAGAGTCTCAGCCGCACAACGATGTCTATACCTCCGCGATACTACAACTGGCATCTCTCGCGCTGGCTTGAAAATGGTGGGCCAATATTGGGCAGGCTATTCGAAGCTATTGGACACTTATGCCACATTCCTCACGCCGGCATTCACTGCCACAGGCGGACAAGATACATCGCTATGGCCGCGAACCCAAGCACCACCGCTATGTTCCGTAAGGAGTTCATCAGCGCTTTCACAATGAAAACATCTATGCCCGCCTTGGTGGTGTGCGCCTCGTTGCGGTGCGGGAACGGCACATTCGGCACCGGTTTGTCCAAAAACTTGCAGAGTGGCTCCCACCCTTGACCCAGCTCAAATTCGAGCATCCTCTCCTTAGGCACCGTATCTCGCACACGCTCATAGTGTCTCCGATACGATGCTCGAGCGTTGGCTTTGGCTGTCTGGAACTCCATTGAGCCGCACAGTGCCTCCATCCATCGCATTCCGCAGCCTGCGATTCTGGCATAGTACCATGGATCCGTGTATTGGAGTACGTATCGACTGAAGGGGTTGAGGATTCCTTCCAGCAGGACTGAGATGCTTGCGACCCATTTCTCGACGTCCCGTTCCACCAGGATGATCTTCGCGCTTGGATAGTACTCCATGAGTTCTTCCCAGAACAGGATCGAGGGAGCATCTGTCGTGGCGCTGACGTGTCCCAGCAACTGATCGAATTCTTCCTTTCCATATTTTTGGCCCACGCCCTTGAACTTGGCACTTATGGCGTCTTTCCACATTTCGCCATCTCGACAATTGCGGAATATCGAAGAAAAGTGGTAGGTCGGATAGCCGAGGATAGTCAACGCTTCTTGCATGCTCTGCGTGCCTGTTCGTGGCAGACCGAAGCAGAGTACTTCCATTGGAACTTGACGAGTGCATTTTCGACGGTCGATGTTCTGGTCTGGTTCCTTGACAGACGCCCAAACGCCCATGCGCCGATAGTCTTCTGCCGTGGCCATATCGAGGGAGTGTCGCCGTCGAATTGCAACAGACTGTGGATGGGACGAGCTGAGCCATTTATATTCCTGCATCAAGCCTCCTTTTCAGCTGGCACTTCCCGTTCTCGATATATTTGCGCTCGGCGTTTCGCGCACAGCGCTGTTGCATAACATACGAGCTTGCACTAAGCTCGCATTGCGTTCAGCCGCAGCCAACGTGTATCTCTGAACGCCGAACCTTTTTGGATAACGCTGCAAGGTTCTTGACAGAAGTCGCTTGGACGGGCGACTTGGTCCTATTCAAATCATTAAGCCAAAGCGAGAGGTCATTGTGATCCCTTGTCCCAAACCCTCAATGTGGCAACTGTCAACCTCGAAATCATGTTCTGTGCCGGCTTGAGTCGATCGCGAGGATAATGTGTCTGGTAGGAACTCCAGCTTTAAGGCCATTAACAGCTTATGAGCATTAGATGCGAACGTCTCCCCAGGCTCCGCAAGTTCTTCATCATCGCACCGGTTCCCATCCTGGAGCAGCAAACGCATATCACACCTCAGAACAAACGACCATGCACGACCTCTTCCACAATCAGCACTCCCCAGACTCCTCCTTCCCTTCCTCCCCCCTCCCAGCCCTCCTCTCCTTCTGCCTCTCCGCAACCTTCCTCGGCTTCTTCGCACTAGTCGGCCCGTCCGCATGTCGATTCTTCCACATCCCTCCATACCGATAATGAGGAAACTCCTTCTCAAAGCCGCGAGCATCTTCCTCGCCACCGGAGACGCTTCGCCAGCAGGCGCCGGGGCAGACGAAGTGCCATTTACCTGTTGAGTCGGTTTGGCAGCGCACGAGGATGTCGCGGGGGGTGGTGCAGAGGGTGCAGGGTTTGCTGTTGGGAGACATTTGTGGCGGGTGGTGGGGAAGGTGTGAAATGGTAGAGGTGGTTGGAAGAAGTGGGAAGGAATGGGATATGTGGGAGGTGGGATCGATGATGTCAATGAGGTTGGTTTCGGGCCCGGAAAAGACCCCTTTTTCGATCTTCTATCAACGAGAATCTACATGACGAAGTCTGTACTCTAGCAAAGTCTTCGCACCTCACGGTGATGGACCTTTCTACGGAAACATCATCCAAGGGTCAAAGCAGGTTCGATTGGAACATTTCCACATCTCCCACCAAAAGCCGCAATCACTCCATCTCAGTCGTCCCAAACAACCTCGCCCCCGTATCCGTCCCACCCTTGCCCGTGAACTTATTCTCCGAAGTCCTCAACGAAAAGAGCGTAACACCACCACACCCCGCCAGCTTGCCCGGCAAATTCTTCACAGCATCCTCCTGAGTCACACCACTCAACGCCACAATCCTAACACTCGGACGCAGCTCCCGGACACGCTTGATGAACTCGACAAGGGAGTCGCCTGAGTTGACCACGCCGTCTACGAGAATGGCGTTCGCCATGCCTCGAAGATGCTTCTTCTCGATGTCTGCGGGTTGTTTTGCGTGCAGGAATGCTGCGAGGAGGAAGATGTCGCTGACTCCGAAGGCCATGGGTTCGCCGCGGCGCATGAGAGGGATGAGGAGGGTTATCTTTTCGTGGAAGAGGCGGTAGCCGTCTGCTGATTTGCCTGGTTGAACATGCTGCGTCTGGTATTGTTGCAGTCCCAGGTATTCGGAGAGATATTCGGTGGCGAGGTAGCGGCCGACGTTGCGATGGGCTTCTCTGAGGGCTGGGCCGTGGACCGCGGCGTCTCGGTTCGGTGTCATGAGGAGTTTGGCGGCGGTTTTGCCGGTTGCTTCAACATGCTCAAAGGTGCCGAATAGGGCATTGGTGACGCTCAAGTCCTCGAGTCGAATGTGTGGCAGCTTTTCTCCGTCTAGCCTTGCAGATACCGTGGGCGGCAACAAGATCTGTCGTGCCTGAAGACAGTCTTTAGCGATAGCTCTCTTCACCTCAACCTCCATGGACTTGCTGCGGCTCTTCTCATCTCCAGTGACTACAATAGCCTCATCCGCCTGCAGCAGCATTGGCAAGTCGATCACACTGTCGCCCAAAGCAAGAACGTAGAGGCCATTCTCTTTCAGAACCCGTGCAATCATGGCTTTGATCTTGGGCGTGACGACGTAGTCTTTCTCTCGTCCACCACCGATGGCCCTGACGACATGAGACAATTCAGCCTGCTCCAAGACACGCTCCCAGATGATACGAAGGCCAGACGTCACGACGAGCGCCCTGACCGATTGTGAGCCAGCGACTTGTTGCAGTAGATACACAAATTCCGGGTGCATCTTGACACGCCGGACGACCTTCTCACACTCCCCGATGAAGTGAGCATCGCTGCCCTCCTTCTCATACTCCATGGCAGCTTCGCGGAATCCCGTGAAAGTGTAGCCGTGGGTGTTGAAGATACCTGGCAGAGGATCTTTGCGTGGGCCTGGGCCTATGATTTGTTTCTGGAGTAGAGCGCCAGTGTCGTGCGGTGCCAGAGTTTTGTCGCCGTCGATGAGCAGGACTGCGTCCAGTGCAGGAGACAGGGGCTCGAGAGCAGCTTTCAGTGTGGCCGCCACTCTGTCACGGTTGGACTTCTCATCGTGATTCCTGCCGTCTATCAACTGCTTCACTTCGTCTAACGTCGAGTTCATCCCTTGCGTCACAGTCTTGAACATGACATCCTTGCTGTTGTCAGCGCAGTGCTTCTTCAACTGACTGATCTCCTCGTCCCTCCAGTAGTCCAGTTGATCGGCGGGCTTGAGTCCTCGGTCAGGTCGACTCTCATCCTGCTCAACAAATCCCGCCAATTTCTCGCCATCAACAGCCAAATAGATGACATGCGTGAAGACCTTCGCATCCGAATCCGTCCACACTTCAGCGTAGTCTCGGGCAACATCATTCCAGAACGAGAAATTACCGGCAACGACGGCATTTTTGTTCTGCTCCAGACACTCATCTCTGATCTTCTCGGTGGCTCCACGGCGGATGCTGTCCTTTTCGTGCTCGCCGAGCCGTTTGAAAGCATCTAGACCTCCCTCGACGAGTTTGGCGATGACTGCTGAGCCTTCGATGATCAGGAAATTGCTGTAGCTGGGATCGGCTCGAAGGTTGTCCAGAATCGTGGACTTTCCGGAGCCTGGTAAGCCGTACAAGCCGATGATCGTGGGCTCCTGCTCGACGACAAGTTGAGCCATGTGTTGTAGCTAGGGCACGCGTGTTTCCTGACGGATGACCAAGTGACTTGTAGGCTGAACTGTTCACCTTATAAGTAATCATCGTGTGGCCTTGCCTCTGTCTTCGTTTGCTCGTGAATCGCTTGTCATTTCCCTCATCTCTTGGTGCGAGAAAGCTCCAGCGTCGTGTCTTTCGGAAACGAATCACAAAGGATTATGTTTGCAAAGATAGGCCATGTTGACAGAAGTGAGACAAAACTGGAAACGACAGGTACGTTCAAAGAATATGGGCAAGCATCATGCAATCGTGGTAGCAACTGACAAACACATACCACACATTCATCTCCGTGACCCCTTCTGCTCGGCTGAAGCATCTCCTAACTTTGAGAACCTAGCTGGTATAGGCGTTGTCGGCGAGAAAGGCCTACGACCCGGTGGCGTAGCACTACCAGTACGATCATAGTACCAGAACCCCGGCGACGATGAGCTCTCTCGGATTGAGGTGCTGCTCCTTGGGGGAGGAAATATCGTAAAGGTTTGCTCTGGGTGCTTCACTGGGGTATTCGGCGGTTGCGCGTCGTCGATGGGTATTTCGCCAGCAGGGCCATGAGTTTGGTGGTGAGTAAACTGCACACCCGACATGCCCAGCTGCTCCGAATCGACACGATGAATCGAGTCCTGTTGCGAAGACCCCATCGATCGAACGGTATATCCAGACTCAGCAGCCTTCAAGCCATCATGTCCAGCATCCATCTCATACTTCGGCGGCGAAGACTCTCTCCGTCCCGTCCACCTCATCTCCGTGTCCACGGTCTCCGTATGCTTTGACGATGTGCCGAAATTCGTGACGACCGACCAGAGGTTCCTTGCGATTGCTCGCCAGTATCGACGGATGAGGCCGGCGGCAGCGGGCACGCAGCAGCAGACCATGGTGCAGTAGACTTCGATGAGACTCCAGAGACCGACGAAGGAGTAGGCGTAAGTGATATTGGTGACGTTGGCAGTTTGGTAGATGTAGAACATGCGGACGATGCTGCAGATTGTGACGAGGAAGCCAAGCATGAATGTTGTTAGGACGCTGTAGACTGTCAGCCTCCTCGACCTTTTTCAACAACAGTGTTCAGTCTTACCCAATCTTCTCGCCCAAGTTGATATTCAACTTGATCAACCTCGGAACTGGCAGCAACAAGACAACAAAGTCGAACACAATGTTGATTGCACCAAGAGAGTATCCCTGCGCCGTCCGATTGGCGCACTTCACGTCTTTTCCCGTGTGCAAGTTCCAAGCGCCCTCGATAGGAGTACAAGCGAATAAAGAGGTGAGCACGAACACCACCATTGTTATAATCAACAAGCCTGCCGTCACCCAGCAAGCCAGTCGAAATCTTGACCCATTCTCCAAGATATCTACACTCCAGATGCGCAGATATAGCAGGACGAGGGATACTTTCGTCAAGCAGGTCACGATAGCATATAGCGGCTCGCCGGCGTATGCCCACTACAGATCCACGTTAGCTTGGTCCTTGACGCAAGAGAAAGAGCGGCTTACGATGAAGAAGCTCTGCAGCTGGTCCGCACTCAGAAGCCAGAGGTCTGTACCAGATCCATACTTCGCAGCATAATGAGCCGTCACCGTCATACCCGTTGCGGCGGGAAAGCAGAGCAGCAGACACCAGTCATCCCATCCGTAGCCAACACCGTTCAGGGCCGGGAGACGATATAGCATGCGCGCCAACAGGAACACCACAACCACCGCGAAAAGCCCATATGCCGTAGCCTCAGTCGGTGGTGCATTTGTGTGCGGTTTCAAGTCGCAGACTTGCGCTTGTAATCTGATCCCGGCCAGTTCGTCATCGATGTTGGTGCAGGTAGATGAGATGCAGAATGTCATCGCATCCTTGAGAGGCCCCTTGGTATCGCAGAAACACTCTGCGCTGCTGCAATTGAACTTTGGGAGAAGCTCTGTCACGCATTGTAGGAGACATGGTGGCAGGTCGAGAAGGACTGTCGAATTGAGCGATGATGTTTGGCCTTCATCGAGGTTCAGAGCCGTGATAATTGTTGCAAGTGTGGTGAGAAGTAAAATCGTAATCCTCATGGCGTCGTTGTCGCCAAGGCATGGAGCGTAGGAAACAATTGCGAGTAGCACTGCGTCGAGAGTTGGGCAGCCCTCTGCTATACATTGTCGTGCGACGAGAATGAGTTTTGCGTCTTGCGAGTGGAGGTCAATATAGGCGGAACGTTATATCAGATCAGGTTTCCTGCATAATGCCTGACTCGTGAAATTGGTCGGTTGTTGCTGAATCGTGCATGGGTGCTTCTACGTGGTAGTTGTGCAGCACGGTCGTACAGAAGAAAAATGTGAGAAGTGACATGACGTGGCATGCATTGTTGGCTTCGTGTTGCGACATCATGTCGGGGCCTCGATTCTGGTAGCGAGCGGGATGTGAGTCGCGGTGGTTTCCAAGACGTGTCCGATCAGACTCTCAATGGATGATACTAAGTCTGTACACGTTCCTTGGGCGTGTAGGGTTATGGTTGCAGCATCAGGAAGTGAGGCAAAAATTCCGTGCAATGTTTCTGGCAATCGTCAAGTTGTCGTTATGGCCGCAAGTATCTTCAAGACGGTGAGCCTCCCGTCAAGTCGACAATCGTTGAGTTCCAAGCTTGACCGGGCCACGCGAAACCGCCCAGCACTGCCATCCAGTCGTCCACGGTCACGCAATTTAGAGATTGAGCCAGCTTCCGCGCGAATCGTCGGGTAAACTCAAGCTGAGAGTAGGTTTGCGCAAATCGCGACGCAATGGTCGTAGCCCAAAGAGCCGCTTTCCTGTCTTCCTCCGTGGCTGCAGGGTCACTCGCCAGGCCAGCCTCGTCCACGGAGGTCAGGACTTGCGCGAGTTCATCGATCATGTCGTCCGTCAACGCGCCGCCCATGAGGAATCGTCGAAGGTAGAAGAAGACGTAGAACAAGGCCGCGATGCACATGGCTCGGTTGAGCATGACAGATAGATCTTGATTGTTCAGTGTCCGATCTCGTAGCTGATGTCGCAGGCGTCCGAGCTGACATTCCAGGACGGATCTCTGGTTGCTGAACTGCCGGAATCGGGCCTGGTCGACGCCTCGAGTGGATTCGAGCTCGAGTCGTATCCGGGTCAAATCCCTACACTTTGCCAGTAGCGTGGAGAGCTCGTGGGAAGTATCGACGGCCGGCGCTCTGGGCACCTCGAGAATAGCAGACCAATGACTCATATTCTGAAAGGCGTAGAAAGCTCCAAGTTGCCTATCCTAAACGTCAGCCTTTCGTGAGCAATCCAACGGGCTGAGCTGCGCATACCACAACAAACCCATCGGTATGGGAGAGTCATCGCTGATGCTTTCTCGCCCACCGCGCATTGATACCATCCTGTCCAGAGCATGCATGTGGGTTTGCATCTCGCTGGAGCTGCCCGTGATGATCTGGTACTTGTCAGGCAAAATTTCCAGTATGGTGAAAGTTTGACACATACAGTATTTGCAACAAGCATGAGCACCGTGCCAATAGCCTCGTCGCCCACGCCGTTCGCCAGAGACTCATTCAAAAGGTGAATCGTCTGGCTTTGGAAGTGCAATGCTCTGGGCGAGAGCTGCTGGCCTTGCACATCATCGAGGAAGGCCGCAGCGTGGCTACAAGTCGCAGCCAACATCATTGGAGATGTTACGGACTTGCGAAGCCATTGTGTCGACCACGATGTCCCGGGCTGGTGAGCATCGTCTGGGAGAAGCATTGGTCCTATCCTGTGTTGGAAGTACAACAGTAGGTCCTCGTGCTCGTGGAAATCCGGTGGAAGTACTTTGAAAGGATCGATGGTGCTTGCGTCTATGTAGGCACTCCGATCCAAGATCACAGTCTGCGCGGGTTCCTCATCCGGCTCTTCTTTCTGGACGACTGCTTGGCCGGTCTCCCTCTCGTACGCCTCCACGTTACGAAGTCGTTGCTGGCGTCGAAACGATCGCATCGCCTGGACATGGACCTGCCGCTTGTAGTCCGGATTTTTCTCGCCCGGCGTGACATTGACAAAGTCGAAGTTCTTCTTCATGTTGGCAGAGTGCGGCAAACGCCAACGGTGAATGATGATGGCCATGTCTTGGCAGTGTTCGATGTCTTATACAGACCAGAGCCACGCAGGACGCAGGACGCATGTCGTATGTCTTCAAGTTGCCCATCGTACGACTGACGCAACGTTTTCGCTGACTTTGCACAGGACCAGTTCTGCGCCAGCTTACCAAACAGCTGAAGGGGCAATGTCACCGGACGCCGGTGCCCATTTGAAGCCAAGATCTTGCATGTTGAAGGCAGATATTGACTCCAAATGTTCCTCCAGGATTCGGAAAAGGTGGTGCCTGGGTGGTTATTGCATTTAGGGATGTAGACCCGGTTCGAAAGCAGTGCCTTCCTCGCACGGTGGACCAGGAACCCTAACTGCAATCCGGTCCTTGTGGAGACATGCAGCATTTCCTTGCCCTAACCCAAAAATAATGCACTAACAACTCTATTGTGATCCCTCGAAGTTTTGCTTCGGGAATAACTCGTCGATGTATGTCTATTGTGTACACTGCCACCGTGGTGCGTCATGATATGTGACGTGTGATCCAGAGGCTTGTGATACGCCAGGTAATGGTCTCTGTGCAATTTACAAGAGGGTGTTTGTCGCGACAAGGCACAAGCTTTTGTACATCACATGTCGGGAAGGAAGCCGAAAATACCGAAAATGACGGCCAGACTTTTGGACATTGAGGAGCCTGAGGCATTCATTATCCCCATTCCTCTAGTTGAACACAAAAGATCGATTCAACTCCTTTGCTTTAACGATATACCCATAGCCTGTCGACTTCACTGCAAACCACAAGCACTACTCGCAGTCGCCAACCGCTTCGATCAAGACTCATCACTGGTGCGTCTCCTTGTGCCTCTTAAGAGCATCTTTTCTTGAGAACCCCTTCCTGTGGTACTTGCAACTGTTGTGTGGGCATTTGAGAGGCTTTTGGTCGGTATGCATTGATTGCTCGTGTCGTCGAACATCTTTAGGAAACTTGAACGCCATGCCACATGTCGGACAAAAGTGTCTTTTGTCGACGGCGTAGGTGCGCGAAGTTGAAGTCGTTAGCATTGCGAAGCGTTGCAGGTCGCTGTGTAACGAACTTTAGGGAGGAGTTGGTACTGCTCCGAGGTAGCTCTAAGTCATTTTGCCGTGACCAGATGTCGTGTAGATCGACTTTGTCGTCCCCAGTCTCGTTGAAAATCGGCAGTGTAGGATCATTGGAGGGTGTAAAGCCGGTTTGATTGTCCAGTTCAGCGGGCCAAGCAGGGAATACGTCAGTTTCAAGATCCCAGGGCAGGATCCATGTTTGCTGGAGTGGAAAGCCTTGGTCTTCCGGCGCATTGGGCCGAGTTGAGTGGCCACCAGTGGAGGGACCGGCAATCTCATCTTGAGCAACGACAGGGCTGTTAAGCCTGTTATAGAAGGTCAGGTCGGCAGTGGTTGTTTGGTCGTCACCATCCAAAATAGGAGGGTACGCTGGCCCACTCGAGCCCAAGTCTTGTTCAAAGGCTGCGAGACTGTCGGATGTATCGGTACTTTGGTCGACAACGAAGTCGAGAAGGTCTTCCCAGTCAGGAGCAGGGAAGGAATTTGAGAGCAAGTGAGTGCCTGAGGCATGAAGCTGCGAGGAATGGCTGAGGCTCTGCTGTGAAGAGGTGCTACTGGCGGCCTCAGCTGGCTCGGGCGGCGAAAGGGTGACTGGGGCCGTGCCAACGCCGGCTTGCCGATGGTCAACTTCCATGACAACACCACAACAATGTTTCTGTGCAGAACAGAGCAGAAATGAGCAGATTGAAAGCCAGAGACGTCGTTTTCAGCTCCAGCGGCCTCAATTTCGTGGCTATGGCGCAGATTCTCTCCTGGCCGTGTTGTTCATGTGGAAGATGAGGCGGTCACGTGATAAAGTAAATGCCAATTGGCTGGCCGGGAGTATCCGTTGCTGCACCTGTTCCGCCCAACTTTGTTGATCTCGAAGCCCACCAAAGGTGCCGACTCGTGTGGTGAATGGCCCATGTTTTAAGATCACGTGAAATGCGGGTTTTCCAAGTGAAAGCAAGTCGACGGGCAAGTTCGAACCATAAGCCACTCTCATGCTGGAGACCATGGCAGTGGGATCCTAGGCCGCGCCAGAAGAAACAGGGTCAGAGGAAGTTGCTCGAACCTCAACAGTCCCAGCATGAAACTGGCGAACATGGCGATTGAGCGAGTCTCCTCTCTTGAATCCCACAGTGCGGTACCTGCAAGTCTCGACAGAGCACTTGAACGGCCGATCCGTGGTGTGTCGTCGTCGGTGTCGACGAAGGTCCTTGGGAAATGAGAAAGCGCTATCGCATTCCGGGCAGATGTGTGGCTTTGGTCGAACTCGTCTTGGAGAGGGGTTTGTTGTTAGCTAATGGTTTGTTAGACAATGGTGTGGGTGAGAGGGACGTACTGAGTGGCGGATGTTTGTGGTGGACTGGATTGAAGAGGATCGTGGGATCTTTGGGCGTTGTCCGGGCCAAGCGTGGCGTGCGCATTCTTCGGAGAATATTGATGGACATTTCGAAAAGAATCCACCATGTCTCCAGTAGAAGAAGCTACATTGTCGAGACCGTTTGTGTCCCGGCTTGAGGAAGGAGTCGCCCGGTTGACTTGATCGAAAGGAGTCAAAAGATCAGCGATGTCTTGTTCGGTAAGATCGAAAAGGTCTTCGATTTGATGAAACTGTTGGTCGAAGACTTGTTCTCCATTGACTGCGGTACTGCTGTTATGAATTGAGTTGGCGACAGAGTCCGCGGAAGCGTCGTTGAATGGCCAATTCGTAGTTGCCCAGGAGGCGTTAACAGGGTTCCAGATGGCCACAGGAGCGAAGTTTTCATGCTGAAGAGGGGCCTGTTGATCCAGAGGGTTCGCGCTGAGTAGATCATCGTTGTCATTGTCGGTTGTGCTCAACAATCTCCCATCGTTCTGGAACCTTTGTAGCCATTGTTCGAACTCCTGCTCCACGTTCGGAAAGGCTTGTGTCATTATCTTATTCTTGAAAATATCAGCATGTACTTCCAACAAGCCAGAGAGGAATATGCTATACCAATGTATCGTATATAATTCATATTGGAACAGATTCGCAAGGTCCAAGAACAAGAGAGACAGAACGCAGCCTTTTGAACATCTCTCCAAACTGACATGCAGCGTCAGCGGCCGCGGCGGCCACCCAAGCAATCTTCATCCGTGCCTTGTGTTGTTTTTTGTGCCATTTGCATGTGTATATGATCCGAACTGGATCTCTGGGGGGCGGTATTGGACCGGGCAAGTTCACGTGCTGTGGCTTGGCGGCGAAGGCGCGCTGCGCTGCAGCCCTAAGACGTGCATTTCGTGTGTAAGGATGCAGATCCTTGTGCCGCCGGAGATCCTTGTGCCGCCCGAACCTCACCGGTTTGCCACGGATCATCGTAGAGCCTCAGACCCCTCCCCAAATGCGCAAAACGCTTCACCAATGCGCAAAACCTCCGCTTCTTCTCACCGGCGAATTTTCTGGCCCGCCAGACGCAGCCGCTTCGACGATCAAGACTGGCGGTGGGCATCGCCACAAGCCTGCACCTCAGACGATGACATTCTTGCAAAGTATCACTGTCGCAATAATGACTTCTAGCTTTGGCATCGTTGCCCACTCCGGATTAGGCCACTTCCCAGAAAACTTAGCAGCGTTCAGAAGAGGTTACTGATTCAACCCCGAACAGGAATCAGTCGCATCTTTATAAGCTCGATGGAGCTGTGCCGAGTATGTGAACGGGGCCATGCGGTTGAAAGTGGTGATTGTTGCTCATACGATCCATCAGATTTTCGTTGGTAACGGTTTTGTCCGCGGTGACCTGTCCGGAAGGCGCTTGTGATGTATAGATATCATGGCTCCAGTCTTCCAGTTCCATTAACAGCCTTGCGAGCTCTTTTCGTGGTGCTGGAGCAATATCTCTCCCCAGCCTCCATTTGGTGGCCCGTGCTCGAAAAAGGCCACGTGAAAAGTGGGTCGCCGCAACCAAAGTGGATCCGAGTGAATGAATCGACCACGCCCCGTCTCTCCGCAGCCATCATGAATGTTTGAGCACTCAAATCGTCTCAAGCAATGATCGCTCACCTCGAAGCGTACCATCAACGACAGTAATCGTTCACTCCTGCACCACTGATCCGAGTTCTTGCGCAGCATGACAAGCCCTCACATGCCGCCGGCGGGTATCCTCTCGCTTGAACCCAATGGTCGAGTAGAGACAGCCTTCCTCTTGACACATGAACGGCCGCTCCGAGGTATGAGTCGTGCGTCGATGGCGGCGAAGATCCTTGGGGAAGTAGAAGGACTTTGCGCAGGATGGACATGAGTGTAGCCTCTGGCGTCTGCGAGATGGTGTTCTTTGAGTGGTCAGTGGCAGCATAACAAAGGTGATAGGCGGCGTACGTGTGGTTTGTATCTTGGTTCTGATGTTGTGTTGATGGGGATTGAGTGTTGGGTTTGGCGAAATTCGAGCCAGAGCTAGGCAGTTCGGACCCAGGACGCTCTGTCTGAGTCTCCAGGTTGTCCTTCGTCTCTTCGTCTTCGACCAGTGTCGAGTAGATCAAGTGTTGTGGTGAGACTTTCGAGGTTGCTGTACCGGGAGACGAACATGGTTGGAGTGCTTCCGAATGGTGTTGACGCAATGGCACCTGCTCGTCAACGCCTTCTTCAGCGGAGGGCCGAGTCACATTTGGATCTGTCCACGGAGTCCCCGTATATCCATGTTCATCAAAGTCGAAGGAGAACGGAAAGTTCCAGTCAGCCGAGCCATCATCTACGATCCAATCACTTGATAAAAAGGTGGGCATAGGATTTTGTCCTTGATGTTGATCAGCACGGCCAAGGACTGCAAGGTTGGTGCCAAAGTTGTCTTCGAATAGAGCGGCATCATATATGAAGCCATTCGTCAACGTCGAGTCCAGATCAGAGGCCATCGGCAGCTTGTCGGATGTCGTACCATAGGTAGCGCTAGGCTCAGGCATAGCTCGAGGCTCTGTGGAAAACAAAACAGGTGAGTGTATCATGTGATCGTTCCCCGTGGATCTGCTAAACAAGCATGTTGACAAAACAGTAAGAGCGGACTTTGGTAAATGGGCTTCATCTTTTATGTTAGAATCGATTTGGCGGCCTCTTTGATCGAGAATTGGTAACTCTTAGACATCGTAGCGGCGGATTTCTAGGTATGCGAAGCAGGACGGACATGGAGCAATTCTCCCGTTAGCGTGATGTACATGTGTTGATGCGCGGTGAAGTGCAGCTTTTGCTGACAGCTCAGCCGCTGATTGGCGTGCCATTGCGATCAAGATGTCCGAGCCTGCGCCACACGTAGACATGGATCTGATAGGTCACCCGCAGCGGTCATCTGTTTGCCTGCAAGCCCGCGTCATGTCATCAGACTCGACGGCCGTTTGTAGCAGCCCGTTTGTAGCAGCCTGACCTATAGTGAATCAGGAATTTAACGCAACAGAAGCGCCAGCTAACGCGATTGGCCGGCCGCAGAATGTGCGTCTTGCAAACTATCAACGGCCACGGCAGGCCAGCAGCCAGAAGGAAGAGCCTTTCTCGCACACTCACTGACTGCTGACGCGGAATGCGGGATGCGCGACTAGGGACGTCCATCGCTCGGGCGTTGCTGCTGCTGGTGACTGACGGCCGGATGATACGAGACGACACTTCTGCCAGACTGCCCCATCGACTAGATCCGGAGGGCCTCATGCAGCTGTGCTTAGTGTCCCAGAGATGCTGCCCGTCTGCGGCCAGCCTGTCTCTCTGCCTCGACTCCCGATTAATGCAGCAGCCAATCTTCCCACACTCTCAAGGCGGAAGCTGAATCTTGCTGCATCCTTCGACCAACGCTGGTTGTCTGTCGCTTCCAGATCAAAGCCAAGACGCCCTCTGACCAGTTTCCAGTGACCTTCCTCCTGGCGAGCACGACGACATGACCGAGAGACTTGGTAACCTGCCAAGCCGAGCGACGGAGTGTGCATCGATCCCAGGGATCCAGGATCGAATCGATCTATCGGTTGAAACAAAACGGCCACGACTCCCAGTACCTGGCGACGGCGGGTCTCCCGGGCAGAAGCGTGACAGATGTGCCTGAACGACATGAGGCTCCGCGCTTTCGAGACGCGAAAGATAGGTTGTCGTCGTCCTTGAAATCTCTTCTGATCAGCTCAATCTCGAACATCAGAGACAGTATAAACCCCGTTACTCACCTCTGTACCAGTGCCCCGAAGTCGCAAGGTCGCAAGAAAAAGAAAAGGAAGGGGGCCTGAACAGAACGATTCCATCTTCGCGAGGTTATAACTATATGTATAACAACGTGCATAGACTGCCTTTCGAGAAACACCACGCAATGCTCAAGACGACAAAATACCCAAAAACTCCCTCAAAACACTACCGGACGTCCGAGCCTTCGACCTTGGGCTCCTCGTCTCTATACCTCTCCTCCTTCGCCCCACCCACATGCCCTCTCCGATCCTCATCCTCATCATCCTCCTCATCGCTATCCCCCACAAGGCCAAACGCCTCCCCCTCATCCTCGCTCCCCTCCGCAAACGCATCATACAACTCGCCAGCCCTCCTCGACCTCTTCTTCCCACCATTAGCAAGCGACGCGCTCTCATCGAAATCATCATGGTCGACCATCTCGAAGCCATAGTCGTCGCGGTTCATCCGTCGCTTCTTGCGGCGGTAGAGGATGATCCATGCGCAGAGCCCGACGAGGAAGAGGACGATCAGGGCTGAGGCTCCGTAAATCCAGATCTGCGTCTTCTTACTTACGCCGAAGGTCGGGAAGATGTGCGGGAGCCAGTGGGAGTCGTCGGCTGTTGAGGTCGGTGTTGGAGTCCCGTTCTGTTGATCCTCCTCATGACCGAGGTCTAGCGGTGAGGTTGGTGTGGCTTGGGCGGAGGTGGATGTTGGTTTGCCTGGGTGAAGTGGTCGAGTAATGTGGTCGGTCGGGTTTCCTTCAGGCTCGCCGGTCTCCGTTGGAGCAGCCACAGTAGTGGTATGCGCAGAGACGGTTTCCGTCGTGTATTGATCATGATCGTGGTCATCATCGTCGTGGTCGGTAGGCATGGGAAGAAGCTCCTGCTTGTCACCATCGATAGACTCTCCCCAAAGTTTCAGGTGCCAGTCCGTGAAAGTTCCACTGTGCTCATTGACCTTCGTGTCCTTCACGATGACAGTCCACTTCCCGATACCTGACTCTCCCCAATGAGCCACACTCATGAACGTCCAGTCAATGTATCCCGAGTTGGCATCGTCGTTCCTGCGGTGAGTCGCAATGTGGCTGACCATTCCCGTCGGACTCTTGAGCTCGACTGACAGGTCTCCACGTCGGGCGTGCTCCACGTTCATCGTGACGGTGACATGTTCCAGGCGTGCCAAGTTGGCGTCCTTGATCATCTTCTCCGTCACTTCAAAACTTGAAGCAAGTCCGGTTTCTCCTTGAGGGATGGGGTGGTTGACGTGCAACCAAGGGCTGTAGTACCAGGCCTGTGGCTTAACGTTCTTCCAGGTCTTGGCAGCTTCGACGAGCGCATAGGCGTCGGCTTTGCCATAACCAAACTGATGGCTGAAGTCCTTGCCCATAGCTTCGTTCTTTTGATAGTCACTCTCTTGGTCGATCTTGACTGCGGTGATGACCGTAAGCCATTGGATGTCTCGCCATGTCAACTTGGGGTTTGTCTCGAGCATGAGAGCGTAGATGCCTGCCACCAAAGGACCAGCTGCAGAGGTGCCGCCGTGGTTGACGTAACAAAGATCCTTGCCCACGTCCGTCGTGTGAATAGCATCGCCGGATCCGCTTGAGTAGGTGACGACCAATTGTGCAGAGCACTTCTCGCTGTAGTACGGATGCAATCCTTTCCTGTCAATTCCGCCCACAGAGACAGAGTAGATGCTGTTCGTGTAGCCGTCGAAATTGCAGTTATCATCATTTGCGGCTCCGTTTCCTATCGCAAAGACGAAGATACTGCCAAGGCCGTCACGACCTTTCTGTATGCCGTTCACCATGGCCCTTCGGATCAAAATCCCAGGTTGTTCCATGGCCCTGCCATCGTCAGGGGGTCCCCACGAGCATGAGTAAATCTGGTTCTTCTGCATCTTGTAATTCAATGCAATGGCTTCATCTGCGTCCGAGATGACCTTGGAAAGAATGCGACAACCCGAGACTTTTCCATCGTATGCAACACCAACTCCACAGACGTTGTTCCGGACAGCACTGATCTCTCCAGCGCATCGGGTGCCATGCTTATCGTCAGACAACCTAGGCTTGGGGTCATCGACCTGATCGTTGAAATCGTAGCTCCCCTCGGCAAAGTAGTTGTCCCTTAAGTCGTCGCTGTCCATGTCCAGTCCATCGTCCACAATACAGACGGTGCTGTTCTTGCCAGTGATTCCCTGCTGCCATACTCCCGTAACATTGATATCATGCCCGAGCTCTACCGTGTTATGCAAATGCCACTGCTCCTGAAAGATGGGATCCTGGATGCTGAGATTCTTGGCAATAGCCAGACCCTCCTGAACGGCCTCGGCATCAGCCTGTGCTGCCCCAAAGGCATTTCCCTGCCTGACTGCGAATGGAGAGGGCGCGCGGCGCTTTACTAGTGGAAAACGCTTGTGTAGCTCCTGCTTTTGTGATAATAGCACGTGATCCAAAATGTGCGGTTCGCCAGCGTCAGCTTCTCGTTTCCTTCGCCTTTGCTGTAGATCGCGCTTTGCGGTTTTTACATGGTCGTACTCGTGCCTTTTCTCGGCCGCGCGGAGGATGTAGTGGTCGTCCAATTCGCCGAGGGGGCCCTCCAGATGCATACCAAGCTGCCGTGAAACGAGCTCTGGATCAACACCTGATCGGATGTGGACGGCATAGTAGTCCTGCTCGTCGTAGTGGCGCTTGTGATGTGCTGCCTCTGCCGACAGCAGCAGCAGGGGCAGGAAGCTGGTCCACCTCATCGTCGGCAGCGGATTACGTTGTTGCGGGCAGAGGGGAAGGGCGGTTCGTTATGGTCGAGCATGCGCGGCGATGGCGGTTATGCGGAAATCATGGCTGGGCGGAGTGGTAGCGTTGCGGAGTATCGGTGGCTGCGGAGGCTGTATGTAGTGATGCGGTGGTGGAATAAAGAAAGGCGAAGGTGTCCTTTAGTGCCTCCATGCCGGGAGATCGTCCTGGGGTTAAACTCTAATCCCAAGCAGCCGAATGCCAAGACAAAGAATGCCTTAGCTATTGAACTCTCCTTGCAGTCTTCACGTGCGGTCAAGGGTCGAAAGTCCCGAGACCACGTCTGTCTCGGAAGAAGCTCGACAATGCTCTTTTTTTTGAACCAAATATTTACAAGAGAGTCATGCTGAATACATTGATTTGATTTAATCGTCCATTTGGCTACGTCGATCCCGGCTCCATCAATTCAAGATTCGGCCCCTCTCGCCTCGTGGTTGGCTTGCCATGGGGTGATGATGGTGGAGATAGCTGCCAGCCATCTCGTCGGAATCTTGATATTTCTCCCCCCAGCCACTCTTCTCCCCAAATAATATCCGTGAATTGTTGCGTTTTAGCGATGCTTTCATGGTTGTAATGTCTCACTGCTACCCTTTAATTACTTCCCGCCATGTCCAACGACCGACGGCAGAGCGGTCTCTGGCACCGCAACCCAGAAAGCGGCTTCTACGAACAAGTCCCCATCCCTCAGGCTCAGATCCAACCCTGTCCGTACCAGTACTACCAACCCCCGGCCCAGAACGCCTACGACACCTCCCGCCGCTCCTACTCTGATCGCGCCGCCAACGAGCCCCTCGCCCCAACCTCGACCGACATCGATCGATCGACCTCCAAAAGAAACCAAGATGCGAAGCTCGCCGCCGCGAGAGACGTGGCACAGAAAATCACCGATCCCGTGAGAGATATGTTGAACACCCATCCAGAGACTACGTCCGAACAGCTCGCACAGACACAGCATGTCAACAGCACCAAGCTGCCGGGCTCGTCGCAGCAGCCGCCACTGAGGCTTGACCCCGACTACGCCCCTGACAATGTACGCGCACAAGCCTGGAGCCCGGATCCCATGTCTCCCAGAACGAGGACAGTACAGCCGCAGCAGAAAGCGAGGCAGACGAGCAATGCGTCCAACAGGTCAGAGACGTTACGAAGAGGGTCGGTCCCAGAAAGGAGCCCACTGCAGAATCTTGAATCCTGGAGCCAGGAAGAAAAGCGCGCAAGAGTTGAGTTGGCTGAGCACAAGGCTCGTCAGAGAAGCATTGCAAGCGGTAGAGGAGAGGGCGAGTTGCTCAGACAAGGCACACTGAGAAATGAAAAAGCTAGGGTAGTCAGCGACGGCGCACAGAGAAGGCCCAGTCAGCGCGATGGGAAGGACGAGAGACCCAGGCAGGTTTCTGAGCCACTGTCTCCAGCACAACGATTTCACGACGCGAGCCAAGCGCTGAGGGAGGACAGCGCTCAAGATCAGTACTCTCCACGCCAGACGCAGCCGCGACCCGTAAGCGACCAGCTGGAACAAAGTGAACGCGCGGTGGGAGCTGCAAAAGATGGCCGGGTAGACGGGGTCTCACGAAATGGAAGTTCCGCAAGTGCTGCTCGTGGCCCAACAGACCTTAGCAGGAACGAGAGCGCCAAATACCGTCATCGTGCAAGAGATGCTGGATTCGCAGGAGCTGCAGCCGCGGCGTCGGGAGGTCCAATGTCTCCCTACGATGGCGCAGCTGAGCGAGGCAAGGCGGCGTATGAGCGACGAAAGGCTTCGATGCAAAGCTCGGCGGCAGATTCGCCGGTGAGCCCAATCTCACGCGACAGTGACCGAAATGGCCTTGGTGTCGGCAGGAACGACAGCAAGAAAGTGCAGAAGCGCTCACCTCTGTCCGACGAATATGGGACGCGCAATCAGCTCCAGTCAGACCGCATGGGCGGCGTGGCTGGCAGTAGAAGAGACCGAGACACCGCCAACGTCTACCAGCAACCTGATCCTGTCCCGCGACAGCAAGTCCAAAATGCACCCAGCAATCCAGTAAAATACGCAGTGCCTCCGCAGACTGCCGCTGGCCAGCAGGCGAGGGAGAAAGTGAGCTTTACTGACGATGTAGCACCTGCACAGACCGCGAACAAAGACAAACATCATCACTTCAGCGATATGTTTCATCGACATGGGCAGGAGAACCGCAGATACCAACCAACGAGCAAACCACTCGAAGACTGGCGGAAGGCCAAGGCCGCGAGACTCACTCTTGAAGATCTTGACATGGAACAAGCTGCAGCAGCTGCTTCAAGAAACAACAACCAACAAGACGGCGCTTGGTGGGAGAAGCCACGGCGCGCAAGCTCAACGGGCTCAAGACAAGCTCCGCCCAATCTCCCTCAATTCGATGGCCCGTACGAGGAGAAGGCAATGGCCTTTCAGCCTCCACTGTTTTTGAAGTGTGGGCCACTGCTTCGCTATACTGGCATACGTAAGGAGACAGTTCAGCCAACCCAGGATAGGCGTACGAGCGCGATGCAAGAGCGACAAGTCTGGAGAGGCAGTGTGATGATTGTCACAGAAGATGATTCATCAGACTTGTCCGCCTCGCCTGTGTTGCGACTCTTTGCGCAGCCTATGGATCTGCATGAAGTCGCACCTCCACGTACCTATCAAGAGGGGCAGGAGTTGCCTCCTGAGGTTGAAGACCCTGTGGCAGGGCAGGTCAAACTCTCACGGACCGGTCGAGCTTTGTATGTGCGGCCTGTGCATGATATTGACGGTGATGTCGATCTCAGTCGTCAAGAGAATAATAACGGCCTCTTCTCAGCAACTCGAACGCCAGTTCTGGGTCCGCAGTCTTCGATTGGACCCGATGGCCGTCACAGTCAGCACATCACATTCCAAGACAAATCTCGCATCAAGAAGCGCGATGGAGAGCGGATGGGGCGGTATCGCGATGTAAAGGCTGTTCGTCTTCACACCGAGCAAGGCTTCACATTCTGGCGCTTCAACCTCGAGATCGAGCTCGCCTCGAGACAGCACCGTGTAGCTTACCGTATCAACAAAGGTCCTGCGATTGGATTCTGGGTACCAGCACGAGGAGAGACGATGAACATCATGTTCCATTCGTGCAATGGCTTCTCGCTGTCAGTTGACCCCAAGACCTTCTCAGGCCCAGATCCACTTTGGCGCGACGTCCTTAACCGCCATCAATACCATCCATTCCACGTCATGATAGGTGGCGGCGATCAAGTCTACAACGATGCTGCTATGAGGGACACCGAGCTTTTCCGCGAGTGGCTGCAGACTAAGAACCCAGACCACAAGCACGGCGCCGACTTCTCACCCGAGATGCAAGAAGAGCTCGAACAGTTCTATCTGGATCGTTACGCAATGTGGTTCTCCCAGGGCTTATTCAGCATGGCCAACTCCCAAATCCCAATGGTAAACATCTGGGATGACCACGACATCATCGACGGCTATGGCAGCTACCCACATCACTTTATGAGCACCAACGTGTTCACTGGTCTTGGCGCTGTTGCATTCAAGTACTACATGCTCTTTCAGCACCAGAGTTTGGCAGCTGAGACCGAACGCGACGAGCCCAGTTGGTTGCTTGGCAAGAGCCCTGGCCCGTACATCAACGAGCTCAGCAGAAACATTTTCATGTCTCTCGGAGAGAAGGTCAAATTCTTGGGTCTGGACTGTCGAACAGAGCGTATGCGAGATGAGATCTTTTCTCAGTCTACGTACGATACGATCTTTGACCGCTGTCGAAGAGAGATCATTGAAGGCGAGACCAAACATTTGATTGTGCTGCTTGGCGTACCGATTGCATATCCTCGACTGAACTTCCTGGAAAACATCTTGACTTCTAGGATGATGGACCCTATCAAGGCTATTGGACGCACTGGAATGCTCGGTGGCTTTGTAAACAAGTTCGACGGCGGCGTGGAGATTCTGGACGACCTGGACGACCACTGGACCGCAAAACACCACAAAGCCGAGCGCAACTGGTTCATCCAAGAACTTCAGGAGCTGGCGGCTGAGAAGAGCGTGCGAATTACGATCCTTGGAGGTGATGTCCATCTTGGCGCCATTGGGCAATTCTACACCTCGAAGAAGTTGGGAGTCTCCAAAGACAAGGATCATCGATACATGCCCAATGTCATCTCATCGGCGATTGTTAACACCCCTCCGCCGACGATGATGGCGGACGTGCTAAATCGTAGGAACAAAGTGCATCACTTGGATGCGGAGACTGACGAAGACATGATACCCATGTTCAGTCATGATGTTGATGGCACGCGAAGGAACAACAGCCATCTCTTGCCGCGGCGCAATTTCTGTGTCATCAGAGAATATGTCCCAGGATCCACGCCACCAGGCACGCCAGTTCAAGAGAAGCTACAGCCCAGCACACCAGCCTCGGCGACTTTTGGCGCCGATAGGGATGATGAGAACGCTGCAAGAGACAAACGATTCCCACCTGGAAGCATGAAGCGGACTATGAGCCTGACTCGTGGGCCAGTGAATCTAGTTCGTCGACTTTCGGGGTCGTCTAAGAGTCGCAACCCGCCTGTGTCACTCGCACCAGAGCATGTCAGGCCATACAACGCACAAGAACAAGGACCGCCGCCGATGAAGAGAGCTAACAGTCTCAATGAGCAAGGGTCGAATAGCTACTTTCCAACAGGTGAAATGGGTGAGCGACCAGTCAATACATTCCATCGCCGGCCGACGAATCTTTCCATCAAGGAGGCGAGAAAGGCCGCAGCCAAGGTCAACGCGGAGAATGGGCTGGACGGGCGAGAGCCTGGACACATCGACCTTGAAGGTGGCTTGGACATTTCTCTATGCATGGAAGTCAATCAGCACGATCCGGTGGGAAAGACGGTGCCGTATCGATTGTTGGTACCCGCGCTCTGGTACGAGGGCACTGGCGACGTGAACACCGCTCGGTTCAAGAGTCACAGAGCAAGCTTGATGGATCGCTTATTGCGGAATCGCAAGCGCGAAGCTCCTGCTGAAGATCGATCGTGGACTGAAAGCGAGGGTAGCAGAAGCAGATCGCCGAGTTTTGAGGGACGACCGTCGGTTGATAGGTTCGACTCGACGACGGAACGTAACACGGCTGCGAATGCGATGGGCTTGACCAGCACTGGGCGTGGTGCCGTCAGTCAACAGAGTGGACCCTATGGTTCGCGTGTCAATGGCACTCCCACGGGCATGAAGAATGCGACGCCGCGCCAGATCCCATCGAACGGCTACAACGGCAATGGGCCATCGCACACGTCGTCTGCCTACAGCAAAGGCTACAACCTGTCCTCGCCGCCCATCGGCATCCATCAACAGCAGCAACAGCACCAATACCCAGGAGGTGGGCAAGCCCAGCACCAGTATCACTCCCAAACCCAGCAACCACAACCCCGAACCGCAACGCAACCTCCCTCAGCAAACAACAACCCCTACCCCCAATCCGGCTACCGCCGCGTCAGCGCCCCAGCACCCTCCAACACCAAAGCCCCTCCTCCAGCCCGCCAAGGCTACGACGGCGCAGACTACGACAGCGAAGGCAGCCTGACGCCCAGCGAAGACTTCACGGACTACGATGAAGACGAGGCGGAACCGCGAGGCAACAAACCTCCTGCGCCGGTGCGGAGGGGTAGTAAAGCGGAGAGGTTCTTTGGGATTGGAGATGGTGGTGGGAGGCACTCGATGGATGGTGGGAGGAGGTCGATGGATCAGGGACGGCCGGTGTTTGGTGGGGGGTTGTTGAAGAGGAGTAATACTGCGGGTGGGGAGAGGAGTAAGTGGAAGATTTGGAAATGAGGGACGGGAAGGAAGGGGGGTTGGAGAGGAGAGGCGGAGGGGGCAATTGTATGTGAGTAATGTTTCCTCTAACGGATGGTATGAATTATGAGTATGATTTGACGATGGACTTGCGTGCCACACAGCCTTTTTCATTGCCTAGTCGTGAATGGTCGCAGCTTCACTAGGTAAAGATCACATGCGAATCCGGGATGGCCCGCGGAAAGTTTACTTTCTTGGTCTTCACTTGCAGATGACTTCAACACAACTCCACCAAACACAACAACACTCCAGAAACCGCAATTCAAGCTACACGAAGGCAAACATGAAGCCGTTTCCCTTCTTCCGCCTTTCGCAAGAGGTGCGTGATCAGGTACGCGATAATCTTCGAGGATGACGCTACAATGAATGATGTGCCGACGACTGACTTCACACTTAGATCTACAATGAGCTCGAGATCAAGTCCGTCTGGGTCAGCGTCATAGTCCCACCCCGCGCCTCAGACATAAAGTCGGGCGACAAGACGAGCGTGGCTATCAAATTCATGGTCAAAGTCTCACCGATGCCAGTCACGAACTTTGCACTCGTGTCTCGGACGTTCAAGTACGAGTACGAGACGGAGTTGCGGCGGCACCTGCGTCTTAATATGGGATCCGTATCGAAGCGCCCCTTCTGGCCGGAGTCTCTGACGGAGTACGATTCCAGGGTTCGTCGCTTGCTGCGCGGGGTTCTGGAGGCGGAGGCGAGGATTTGGCATCTGGGAGGGGCAAGCCACGACGCTGGTATGTACTTTGCGAGATGGAAGGTATCTGGTACGATTGCTGACCCGGCCACAGAGGCATACTGCCGCGTCCGTGAGCTCCTTCTGCCCCTCCTGCCGAACGTGAAATCTTTCACGCAAGACCTCCTCTTCCAACTCCCCGCCACCGCCTTCGACCCCGACGATAAGCCCGTCGGACTCCTCGACACAACCTTCTTAGACCAGCGCCTCCCTCTCCCCGACCAGGCGCGCAAGATCCCCCTCAAAACTCGCGTCTACCTCACCTCCGCCCTCGTCAGCATCAACCCAAACTACCGCCCCACCGCAGACGACATCCGCGAGTTCTCAATACTCGAATTCGAGAATCCCGAGGCCATCAGGTCTTGCATCAAAATTTTCCCACGAACAACATTATTTTTCGAGCTGCGCCGGCGGAGGAGGATGGTGGAATGGTTTGGGGATTGGATTTGGTGTCTGAGGAGGGTGCGAAGGTGTATGATTGGCGAGTACCCATGAGGGTGCAGCAGACGCGTTTTGAGAAGGCGGCGAGGGAGGGGTGATTGGGGTTTTGGTGATGGCAGGGGAGGCAATGTGAGAGGGAGGTGGAGTGGGCATGCCATTCGAGAATTGTGGATAAGGACATTTCCGCACGGGAGAGATCAGGACCAAGACGGTGGTTTAGGTACGATGCTATGATATTTTCCGTCACAGCACACTCCCCCTGGGCTATCACATGTGAAAGTGAAAGCGACGACCCCGGCGCGGAAGCGGCCGAGCTAGCGAAGCGCTGTGCCTTCCTGCCTTCCGAGAACTTCGAACATCTTGACTCCAGTTCGAGCTACGCACAACTTCCCACGACAGGATCAAACGGCGAGCACCAAACGCTGTCGCTGATCACGCCATGACGGCTTCCATTCCAGAGGGCGATGTCTTGGGGCTTTTCGACAGCTCCGAGTACGGGTTCTAGCCTTTAGTGCAATGATCGAGGAAGCAGAATCTGGATGTGGAAGAGAGCACCGGATAGGGTGGTATGACGAAGTGCAAGACACTTGAGAGGTGATGGAAGATGAGCACGAAGCGGTAATGTGAACGAAAGACACTGGGCTTCCGCGCTGATCATTTCCCCAGAACATGCTCCCAGACGTAGACTCTAATCGGGTCTCTATATTAAAACTCTCTCAGAAAGGACGCCGTAGATATCCACCCTGCTGCATACATGTATGGAAGCGCGCATCCCTGCGCAGGGCGACCGGCTAGCGCCGTTTTGCTGCACCTCCTTGCCTTCAACAGCGCACGACACGACACCTCTTCGCGTCCAACACTTTCAAGACACCTTCGACGTCTGAAAGACACCATGGCGAAAGCCTTCCCATTCTTCCGCCTGTCGCGGGAATTGCGCGACGAAGTAAGAGTTCATTTTGCCAGACAGCACTGCCGGGATGCGTCACTAACCTCACATTTTGCCTTCAGATATACAAGGAGGTCGGGGGAGACACTATCGAGTTCAACCTCATTCCTGCGCCAAAGGACAGAGATTCCACCGCTGAGGATGAAAACCCGACCATGGCCGTCAAAGTCGTCGGCGCGCCGACCCTGGCCCCTCTTCTCGTGTCTCGTGACTTCAAACACGAGTACGAGATGGAGGTGCGGCGCGAGATGGGTCTTGTGGCTATAGGACCGCTGGAGAGCGAGGTACAGACGCTGGCTTTGTATGAGGACGGCAAGGCCGATCGCTGCTTGCGATGGTGTTGTGCCTTGCTGATTCAGATGTGGAAACCCACGGACTCGCCCACTGTTGGTAAGTGGGCATCTTTGCGAGACGCGTTAACAAGCCCCAAAATGCCAATACTCTCCAGAGCGATACGATGCCGTGCTCGACCTGCTACTACCATACACGGACAATCTCCAGATGGTGACATACGCCCTGCTCGACAGACTGCCTACGGACGGCTCAGAGCAAGTCATGCCAGAAACCGTGCTGGATGCGTCCGCCTTCGACGAGCGCCTAATAAAACCAAAAAACCAAATCAAGGACATCCGTCTCACCAGCTGTCACTACTTCGAGGGCCACAAGCTCTCGCTCCCCCAGTCTATGCGACCGTTGCGCGATGTTATCTCAAAATATCCCCTGTTGTTCCGCTGGGCGAACCAGATCGGATGGCCCCGTGTCAGAGGTGTGATACAAGCTTCTGACTGCAACGTCATGGCTTACGAGGCTGTGGCTGTGAGGGACGAATGTGGCGGGTTTGTCGGGCTTGATTATTTGATCGCACCTTGTGCTGGATTCAATCATGAAGGCGTGATGAGAGGGGTTGAGGGGGTGCTGGAAGAGCGTCGTGACAGGGGTGCTGGTAGAGCGTCGTGACGGGGGTTGAAAAAGGGGACAAATGCAAGGAAGTATGAGTTAGCGGATAAGGTGTGGGAAGGGTACCAAGAGATGGACGCGAGCATTGGTAGGCTGGAATGGAGAATGTGATCAAAGTATTAGGCAGGATACCGAAGATGTTGTCAATTGACTTGAGCTGAGTTCACTCGAACTTCTCTCCTGAAACGTAGCAAGAGAACTTGATTCCCATACACATACGCACGCCCATACGAAACGCCCTCGAAAGCGCAACGATAGGTGACACCAAAAGGCACAATTTGCGAGCACAACTCCACGATGAAATTGAAAGCCCCTCGTGCCTTCCTAATCACATGCGAATTTGCTGACCCCTGCATGGGAGCAGCCGGCCCGCTAAGGAAGCTCCGCGGCTCCTTCACGATTTCTTGATCCACTGCGCTCGACACAAACACGTCTGCACCTTCAACAGCACAAGGTAGAATGGCGAAACCGTTCCCGTTTACCTGCCTCCTACGCGAGCTCCGCGACCGTGTCAGTGCACTAATGCATCCAAGAGAAATGAGGCTTCTACTAATGTGCTTTCTACAGATCTATGCAGAAGTCGGAGGGAGAGACGGGCATCACAATTTCAAGATGCCGTTTGACAGACCGAGCCACGAAAGCTGGTCGGATGGGAGCCTTGGGCCGATCCCTATGATCGCAGAAGTGGTCGTCAACTGCAAGCCAATCTAGCACATGCTTCTCGTTTCCCGCGACTTCAAGCACGAATATGAGATGGAAGTCCGCCGTCATTCGACACTTCAGATTCGTACTCTCAGGGAGGATGGTGAGTCGTTCCTCCTTGAAGGCCAAGACGAAGAAGTCTCTCCAGACCATTACAGCTTCCGCTCCATTCGAAAGCTCGAGCTCAGACTCTGGGTCATTCCCAGTGAGCCAGACGAGGCTACTGGTGCGCATTAACAGACTTGAAAGACTCCAAACTTGGAACTGACAGGCAGTAGATTAGCATGAGAACGTTGTCCGCGCTTTTCTACCCTCCATGCTCAGCTTGAACAGAACCGCCTACATGTTCCTCTTTTATATACTCGACAACATACATACCGCCGACGTTACAACTCCAGCCCTGCCGAAAACCGTCTACGCAATTCTCAATAGAGACGGGTCGCTCTAGTCGGATAAAAGCATCACAGTCCTAATTACGAATCACGTCTATTTTAAGTCGCCCTTGTTTAGCGTGCGTCAACTTTTCCAGCCTACCGCGACTAAGCTCGAGCGAAACGCGCTCTTCTACGAAGAGTCGACTTACGAGAATATTAAGTATCTAATTAAGAATTATGAACTTAACCACATCACCTATCGAGCAACTTAGTCGGCGGATGACGGCCAGTTCTAGGGGTTAGAGCTAGTCGTTTACGGGCATATTGCCGACGTCGACTTCGACCGGTTCGTAGAGGATACAGAGGTATACTTTGAGGAGCATAGTCCAGAGGAGACAGACCATGGTCGTGGAAGCAGCTACGATTCTTACGATGAGGGCACTCGAGTCTACGTAGGCAAGCAGAGAATTTGTCCAATTGAGCATTTGGAAATGAGGAAGTGGCTCCAGGTAACGATCGTACAGTGACCGTGACCGAGCATTCGCGATCCGAAACACCTGCAGCAGCTAGACCCAGAGCTGGTGAGTTCGCGATTGTCAGATGAATGCATAAATAGCACCCTCCTGGCTGTGTCATAAGGGACGTTCCTTGTGGCCAATGTTGTCGCTCGTAGGTCATAGCGTGTTTTCTATCAAATAGGGCTTATTGATCAAAAGCGGCTTATGATAAGTGCAGCCGCGCAAGCACACTCGGGTTGTCGCGAAAAAAAACTATCACACAAGATAGCATCGGACCGCGCCGCTCCAGGATGTATAATTTCAGACAGGCCGATGTATGCTACATTGCATTGACCTTGCGTCTCCTGCGAGGTCTCCCACGAGACTGAATCTACGAAAATGATGGTTCAAACTTATCTCAACTCCGGCCTTCTGCAAAATGGATTGGCCAGCCTCACATCTCCTGCTGTAATCGTATCGCTGGTGCACGCAATCCCAAGACGCTCGTCCTCTCTGATCTCTGGCTAACCTCATATGCCCAGGTCTTAATGCCGGTCGTGGTGAAATGCATCTATCGGCTCTTTTTCCATAAGCTTGCAAAGTTCCCAGAACCAATACTTGCGAAATGTAGTTCATTCTACTTTCTGTATTATATCTGGACAGGCTACTTCCCTCAGCAGTGCGAAAGGCTATTCAAGAAGTACAACACCGATGTTCTGCGAGTGGCCCCAAATCAGCTTGTCTTTAACGACCCCCGCTCATTGAAGGACATCCCGGGACGTAGCGATGTTTATCGGGGGGACTTCGCCCTACGTGTGATTGGGTTTTCGGCGGTCAACGTGAGCAACATTCGGGATCCTGGTGAGCATAGACGAAAGCGTCGTGTCATGGCCCCTGGATTTAGCAACACCGCCTTAACAGCACAAGAGCCGCATATTGTCGCACCCATCGTGGACAAGCTGATTTCGAAAATACGGGAGACGGAAGGTGGAACTGTGAACCTTGCAGACTACTTTGATTGCGCCACGACCGACATTATAGGCGCCCTATCCTTTGGGGCGAACTTCGGCATGCTGGATCAACTACAGAATCATCCATTTCTGCATGTCCTGCCAAACGTGCTTCGCCTTTCAGTTATTGCGCAATGTATTCCAGAAGTATTCCGGACCCTTTCGTGGGCGAACAATCAGCCTGGCCTTCAATGGACTGTACCAAAGCCAATGCGAAAAGTCCCTGACTTCGCTGGCTATCATCTCGCCGAACGCAAGAAAAGAGATGCGCAGGAACTTGATAAATCCGGGCGTAAGGACATTATTAGCATAATCGAGGCAGGCAATGAGAAGTATAAGGGCCAGGAAGGCTATATACAGCTCGGAAAGACAGAAATGCTAGGAGAGGCGGTAAGCACTAATGCTTCTGTCCTCATTGCACGCTAACGAATAAATGTTAGACCACTCTAGTGACAGGTCTGTGGCTCACTTCGCTTTCTCTAACTGTGTTCTAACGAATTCTAGGCGGTGGCGATAAAGTCGCAACTGCGCTCACCATGACCATGTACTTAATTGGGCAACACCCTCCCGTCTACCAACGATTAGTCTCGGAAATACGAGCGACCTTCGATTCGTCAGAGAGCGTTTCTAGCACGACTGCCGCAACCAAACTACCATATCTGGACGCAGTGCTCAACGAGACAATGCGAATCTCTCCAGTCCTCCCAGGCCCAATGTGGCGACGTACGGATCACAGCATTCCAGTAGCAGGCTACGTTGTCCCTGCTGGTACAGAGCTTGGCGCCATGAGGTACAACATCTTCCGTCACCCTAAGGCTTTCCATGATCCGGATACATTCAAGCCAGAGCGATGGTTGAGCGACATGGGAGATGACTTAGAAGCCAGTCAGCCATTCGGTATGGAAACATATCAGAGCAAGAGACATTTGTCAGCGGTACTAATGATTGCAACACTTAGGCGTCGGTCCACGCACGTGTATTGGACGGAATATTGCGTGGATGGAGCTGAGACATATAATGTGCAAGCTAATATGGAACTTCGATTGGGCCCCGGTCACGATCAATTATCAAAACCCGGAATACCTTGTCCAGTACCGCGGGCCAATGCATATGGCAGCGTCTTCACGGAAGAGCAGCTAGGAATCCGAAAATCTCATGGCTGGTCCAGGTATTTGAGGATTATTAGTTCGTTCAAGAGCCATTCTCGCGTCAAAGGTGTCAATTGTATGATAGATATTGTTGTTTCAAAAGGTAGAGAATATGGAGCTTTGTTCACGTGAGTCTCAGGGTCGCATTAACTCTTCAAAGCCATGGAGACACCACGTCCATCAAAATCATTCTCGATCTCTTGGTGCCTGTTTTCTCCGTTCCTATCTACTTATATTGAATACTCAAGAAAATGCACTAAATATTCACCTTCCCGTTCAATCACATGCTAAAAGCGCTAACGCCTGCACGGGATCCGCCGCGTTATCTAGCCGTCTTCTTCGAACTTCCAAGACACATACGACATCGCTCGAAGACTCGACGAAATCGAGATACAAGAAATACCTCGAGCCTCGATCACATCACTCGACCATCGACAGCGTCTCTTAATTCTCCGCGTTAAAGGGCCACAATGTCTCAAGTCTTTCCATTCTTCTGCCTCCCTCGAGAATTGCGCGACAACGTACGCAAAATTATTGCCCATCTACAGGAAGCAACTCCTACTAATGTGTCTGTTCACAGATCTATGCAGAAGCTGGAGGCATTGACGTGAGGTGCAACACTGTACTTCCTCGCTCAAAAACCAAGGACGACGCCGAAATGAACTTCCTGATCGTACTAGCGACCGCCACTTCCAGGCCTAGGCCGAATCTGCTCCTCGTATCTCGTGCTTTCGGCGTCGAGTACGAGCTCGAAGTTGGCCGTTACACCGTCCTTCGAGTCCACAAGCTATAGGAACTTGAGCTTAGCTTCCCTCTCCGACGCTTGATCAAGAACGGTCCACTTCATTCGCAGGATGAGGAAGTTCCAGGTTAATTTTAAGGAAGCGCTCGATGATGAGAGCCCCGTTCTTGGTAAGAAGTAGTGCTTGTGCATGTGAGGTGATACTAACGAGTAACAGAGGATTGCGATCGCATCGTCCATGCCTTCACTCCTCTAATAGACAACCCTCAGAGCGTCGATTGCCCATCCAACTTCCGACTGACCGGCCACGACATGGACATCCGCGGAGGAAATTTGCGCTACAATCTTCTCCTAAAAGCCATCCTTAAGAGAAACCGAATCCCCTAGCCGGACGAAAGTATCCTCGTCCTAGTCACCAACTACATCTACCTTACAGCACCTTTTTTCAACGTCCGCGAACCCTTCCAGCCTACTCCCGTCGAGATCCAGCGCCACGCCTTCTTCGACGAAACTATGCTAGAAAACGAAGCCAGATATATCATTCAGTGGTCTGGGCTCAACCGGATCACCTACGAAGCGACGTTGGCGGCTAAAGAGGGCAGTTTCTGGGGTCTCGATCTGGATGTGCACGATCCTGGTGTTGTCGCTACCGACTTTGGGGCATACGTGCAGGCGGCGGAAGTGGAGTTCGATCACGAATTTGATTGAAGACGACAGGGAGACCTGCGGATGGAGGGGCTGTCACCCTGATCTTGGCTTCGAGACTTACCTGTACGAAGGTGGAGGCGATAGTGATTACAAAGGTGAGGATCTGGTGAGGAGGTGGAGGAAGATTGAGCCAGCGAAGAGGGCGGGACGAGGCTCAATGAAACAGTGGGTGGAGATGCATACCGAAGGGGCGAGGGGAGATGGCACACATTTTACTCCTCGCCGCACAAGACGAATTATCACGCTTTTATTGCTTTACAAGGTTGCATTAAAGCGATTGCTTGAAATGGAAACGGGAGCTTGAAAGTTGTTGAGTTGAACATTTTCATTCAGTGGCCACGTTCGACCAATCCATCACACTATCAGACAAAAGAAACTTCCATGCCATGCCATGCCACTCAAAACTCCCTCACAACAATGCACTGGGTATCCTCGCATCTCAAAAGAACCATTTCATAACTCCATCCCGCTTTCCATATCGCATCATGATCACAAAAGAAAAACCCCTTCATGCTCCGCTTAGAAGGCAAAGTAGCCCTTCTCCATCGCCTTGCTCATCCTGCTAGTGGAGCGAGGCTTGGCCTCCTCTGCTGCGAGCTTGGCCGCCTCAGTCTTGCGGACTGGAGAGCGTGCTCGTGGGGTCGATGGGGTTTGAGCGCCGGAGACTGGGGTTTGGGAGCCGTGGCCCTTTGGTGAGAAGGTGCCGGCCAGGAAGGCGCGGAGCTTGTCGCTGGACTTGGCGAAGGGGAGGTCCTCGACGGTGGAGACGTTGGCGACGAGTGGAAGCATTTTTGTTGTTGGTTGGTTGGTTGGTTGGTTTGGTTTGGTTTGGTTTGGTTTGGTGGTTTTGGTTGATTTGGTGGTCGATTGAGGAGCTTGGTAGTGATGCTCGAGAGTGTGTTGTTGGTAGCTTTGATGCTTTTGCTTTGAAGACTGTTGTGTTGATGCTGATGATGAGAGAGTAGACAACAGGAAACAAGAGAGATCTATATATCCTTTTCGACAGTCAGGCATACCACTCACCTTCCTCGGCAGCACACATAATAGCCGGCCCAACACATAGCACTCTGACGGTTGGGAAGATTCTCGACACGAAAAAAGTCGGCGTAGGCAAACGAATTCCCTCCGATCGGATAGGGCAGTATAGGGCCTGCCTGGAATCACTCTAAGGCAGCACATTTTCGTTCTCGGGTCCCAACGTGGCGTGCCGTTCCATCGCCGTCTCTCAATGGCTACAGCAGACATTGAGTTGCCGTAGTGCCTTTCGTCGACCTCGGCAGAAGCGTTTTGGCTCTCAGGCACCGGCTTTCGATTGGTCAGTACGAAGGATGCCTTGTGGCGAATGTCGAAATAGACGTGTGAGTGATGAGTTATCCGAAACTCGGAGGCGTGTGAAGATGACGGGTGAGGCGTGTTGAGGCTGAAGGAATCTTCGAGATGGGCCGGTTGTGTGGCCGTCGTAGCCGCCTCTCGGGAGGGATTTCTGATCTGCTTTGCATGTACGATGGATGCCACGGATGCCGCGCAGGCAGAGATGTTTCTGGCATTTTGCGACTTCACGTCGTCGTTCTTGTGGCGGGTGCGAGAACGAGCGCATGTGTCTGTGGCGTGTTCAGTCTTCTGATGATGATGTGAACGATATCGATATGTGTTTGCCTGGAGGCTAACAGCACATTCCATGACGATAATCCCGTCTGCGAGGACACACACTGAGACGATTGGTGATCGACCGCACACCGACAGAAGAGTCCCCGTCCAACAATAGCCGCCTCGCAGGTGTTGAGATTACGAGAGTCGACAGCCGCATGTCAACCGACACAGCAGAGCCTCCAACCACCGGCTATGTGCCTCGACAGCTGAACAACCAACTCGTTGGGATACAGTCAGAGGCTGAGAGGGAGTGCTTCTGCAGGAGTCGAGAAATTATTCCCGTCGACTCGTCTTCGCGGTTGCCTCTTTAGGGTGCCTCTGCGACCACGCGGCTCAAAGTTTGTGTCCGTCTCGCTGTCCGGTCGAAACTCGAGAGTTAGCCGGGTGGCGAGAAGCGAGTTTCAGGGTTTCGAGGCCATCAAGCCATGTGGGAGCATGGGAGTCGTGCTTCTGGGGCTTTTGTGGTTCTTCTCGCGTGGGATTTTGGACGGTGTTTTCGAGTTCCAACAGTCTTTGCTCTCTATATGATCTTCCATCAGCAACTCGATTGACCTGATGGATAGGAAGGCCTTCTCGTATCCAATAACCTACTCCGAGAACCTCTCATCCATCCTAAACACCGAGTTCGCCGAGAAGGCCATTCAATCTCGGCGGCAGGATTGCAGATAGCGAAAGAGCAGAGGTTACAAACGTCTGGCAGCGATCAAGGCGTCCCAGAAGATTCCGAGTCCTTGGCTTGAGGTCGTGCTTTGACGGCGAGTCTGCATTCTGCGTATGTGGTCTCTCGTGTGAAGACGGAGGCTTTGGCCAGTTGAGTACACTATACATCGGCAAGATAAGAGCAGAGTCTCGGTATGCGAGAAAGTGTAGGTATCTTTCCACGAGAGGACCGAAAAATGAAGAAGAAGTAAAATACGACATAACGACACAACCACACACGAAGTCCTCGATGCAGCTCCTTCCTTCCTTCCCTCCCCAAACATCCCAGATCCCTGCTCCACGACCCAATCTTAACCTCACCTCACCTCACCTGACCCCACCACATCACATCACTCCCTCCCCTCCTCATTCTCCCTCGCCGCATCCTCAAAAACCCCAAAATCCCCCTGACTCCAAACACACCACAGCACAAACCTCTCAAACCTCCAAACCCCCTCCCCCTCATCCAGCACCAAATCCCCCTCATACCGATTCCCCATCAAAAACCCATTCCCCTTCTGATAAGGCCGTCCCTCGCCGGGCCGGAAATGCTGCGCGTACGTATAGCACGTCAGATGCGCTCTCTTGCCATCCGAGGAGATCTTGGTGCGGAAGTTGGAGAGGGTGTGGGTGGTGTCCATTTTGCCTACGGCGGCGAGGAGGGTGGGGACGATGGTGGAGCGGCCGGTGAGGAGGCCGAAGGTGAGGCCGAGGAAGGAGAAGGGCCGGAGGTCGTAGGTTGCGGTTTCTGTGAAGGCGCTGGTGAGGAGGGCGGCGTCGTTGTCGTCGATGGCTTGCACCATGCGGATTGTGGCGTCGCAGATGGATTCGTGGGGGGTGAGGTGGGTGGTTGACATTGTGGTGGATGACATTGTGATGGTCGGAGAAGTTGTGGCCGGAGGCGAATATTTGGATGTCTTCTTGACTGGCTTGGGTTCACGAGTAAGGGACTGTGCGTGAAGTCATTCGGAGGTGGCTTGTTGTTGATTGATATCTCAGGCACGAAATGGGTCCTGGGTATTTATCAAGAAGCTGCCACAGCGCTAGCAAGAGCTTCCTAGCGTCTGAACACTCTGTGTCTTGACTCCACGGCCTGATAGGCTGCTAATCAGCCAGGAAAAGACCAAGTCTGCTGTCAACAGTACGAAGTGCCAGATCAGTAGGGACTGAGTTGTGTTGGCTACGCCCTGTGTTAGCGACAAAGAGTTAGAAGTTGGATGTGTACCCGCTATGATCGACCATACTAGCAGAGCTTCTGTATCAAGGAGCTTAGTAAGTGGGAGGCCGTAGTTTGGTCGCCTGAAAGATGGTTCGGTGGGTTTCCGCTCCGGAGCTACCAGTGCTGCGGAGCTTGTGTACAGAGGAGCCTGGCTACAGTGGCTACGCTGTTCAACAGGGAATACGTGGAGCGTTACATTCTTGCGATCCCTGGCCTCGCGATGTGATCAAGTTCCCGGTCTCAACGCTGTGTCAGTCCACAATCATCTGTTGCTTTTCAATCGTCCCATCGTGTAATGCTCATAACTCCGTTATTTGCTGTCCTTCGTTATACACGCTCAATGCTCTCATCATACTTAATCCCGGCCAAACTCCTTGCTTGATCCAACCAGTCCAGGACCCTCAAAGACTCCGCCTCGCCGATGACAATTCCCTTTTCGCCTTCGCGAACAGCTTTTGCAATCACATCGCCTTGATACCACAAACCCCAGCCTTTGACCTCCATCTTGATGACCTCGTCTCGTTCTGTGCCGTCTTCGTTGACAACGTCGTTGCCATACCACTGCACGTGCAGTTCTTCCGGTCGAATTGAAGGGAAAGGGATGGCGACTGATGCTCGCGAGCCTTCGATGCGGACAGCTTTGCCGGATTTCGTTGCTCCGAAGCGCATGTAGAAAGCACATTTGCTTGAGCCGGGTCCCGTCATACTGGTCGTGACAAGAGCTGTGGCGTTCTTGTTGGTCAGTATTGTGGTGGTTATATCGTCGATGTCACCTGGCCGATCTGGTACTGGCAAATAGTGAGAGTACGCCACTTTCGTCTCCGAGTCATAATTCAGCCCATTGAAAGCGAGATCCACCCATGTAAGTGCATAGCATCCCATGTCCACGAGGCTTCCAGCGCCAACAGACTTGTCGAGGAAGCGAGATGATTCCGGCATCTCGTTGGAAACTATGGGGAAAGACCACTCAGAGTAGACCCGGCGGACTGGGCCAAGCTTTGGGAGCAGCTCTTCGAGGAAGTACTTTGTTGCAGGCAGGTATCTCGTCCATAGAGCTTCCATGAGGACGACATCGTTTTGCTTCGCCAGCTGGATACATCGCTCGTATTGCTTCTTGTTCATAGCAGCAGGCTTCTCCACAAGGACACTTCGCTTCGCCTCCAGGGCGGCAATCGTATGACCATAGTGCAATGCTGAAGGCGTCGAGATGTACACGACATCGAACTCGGCTTCCTTCAGCATCACCTCCCACGAGCTGTAAATCTTCACAACATCATGTCGAGGGATCTTCAAGCCTTCTAAGAGCTTTCGAGCTCGTTCGTCCGAGCCCGTTGTGCTAACGCACCAAAGCTCGTGATTGTACTCGGCATCCTCTTGGCGGAGTAAGTCCGGAAGGAAGACTGTAGCAATGCTGCTCAGAGATAGTGCCGCCCAGCGACATGTCTTTTTCGGGAGCGACATGCCGGGTCTTTGCTTTTGGAAAGCTTCATTTGCTGGCGTTCTCGATCCTCGTATTCAGTCCGGAGTGCATAGAGTTCCGTCTTTCCTCTTGTCCTATTCGTGTGCTGAGAATAGCACCAGAACCCGGGTCATCAGCAATATGGTAGAGGACGAAGGCTAGGCATCTCTGCACCTGTCAGCCTTGTGTAGCTGTCAATAATGCTGTCGCAGGGAGTGGTGGTGGGCGGGACAGAGCGGACCTATAACCGAGACATGTGCGGAGTCGTCAAAATAGAGTTCACGCTTTCGGCGGGTGGCCGTAACTCCGTCACGTGCTGCTGTTAGACGTGTTCGTGAGGAATTTGGACAAAATTCAGAATAGCATTATTTTAGGATCGCTACAGCCAAGGACTGCCGAACTCAAAGAAAAGCCGATCGCTTGTGGGAGTAATCAATCATGCTTTAGTAGTCATCCCCAAATCCAAGAAGGCCTAGTACCTTACATCTCATAGTCGTCGCAAGTCGATTAAGGGGGTGAAGTCGGAAGAGCCGTGCTGTCAAGTGGTCGAGTGGGTTTCTCGCTTGTCCATCTGCGGCTTCCATCGCCATTCGTCTTTCCTCTTACAGCACCGCAAATGCTGCGCCAATGGCACCCAGAGCAAGTGCTTGAGCGGTGCACCCAGCCTTCATTGCAGCGCCAGTGTAACTGGAAACGGTAGGCGAAGTTGGAGAAACAACAGTCCCGTTCACAGCCGAGGTACCCGGGGTACCAGTCAGAGAGGCAGCTGCGGAAAGTTGGCTTGTGCTTGATGCGACTGGGGCCGTGGCATCGACCACAGAGCTGCCGACAGTCTGCTTAGTGAGATCAGCGCACACGGTGTATGCCGTGTTGCCGATGGTAGTGATGTTCATGCCAGCAATTCGTGGACCGCAAGTGCAGTAAGAACCATCAACTACCATGGTGCGAGTGCTGTTGATGCCAGGGGTGCCAGGGACCATGGCGGTCTCGGTGATGCTGGCCGGAGGTGGAGAGCTGGACATTGGTCAGTCATCTTGCTTGCTACCTCTTGAAGTATAAAGACTCACATGATGGCGGTGCATTGCACGCTGGCATCTGCCGTTGTCAGGCCGGTGCTTTGGACGGAAGAGGTGCTTGGGATGGGACTCGATGTGGAAGAAGTTGGAGGCTGCGCGGGGGTAGTCGCATTGATGATCGAGGATGCATTGACGATCGAGGATGAGGAGCATGGCAGCGTGACCGTGGTGGTAGTGGTCGTGACAGCCGTGGTAATCGTCGTGGTCGTGGTCGTCGTGGAGCCAGATCCCTCAGAGCTGTGCGCCATTGTGCCGCAGGCGAGTGCGGCAAGACTGAGGACAGTGAAACGCATGTTGATGGGACTGGAGCCTGTTGCAGCTTGGTATAGTATTGAGGGTGGGTTGTCGTGTCGTGGCGTAGAAGTGTGTTGATTGAGTTGAGAGATGCTGAGTGTTGAACGAGTGACTTGGATGAGTGTCGAAGAGGTTGGATGTGTGTGTTGGGGAGTGGGTTGTGAAATGAGAGCAAGATGAGGCAAATAGTAGACGGAACACTGAAGCACATGAGTTCACGTGTCTCATGTCCAGGAATGACCGTACCACATGTCACTATCGTGCCAATCCATTGACAGCCAATGAAGCCGGCAATGTGTTCTTTACATGTGATACAGCAACAACAGAGAAGCATATGAAGAAAAGGCTCATTGTGAACCGTAGTGTATAGGAGAATAAGTCAGAGGCACAAGATGAACGTTACATTATCCATTTCGCTCCGAGGGGTACATCCATCAAATTTACCCACGAGCTGTCGAAGCAATTCAAAGCAAGTCCCAGAGCTTGGCCGCTCTCAGAGATTGTAGATTGGCATATCATGCGACAGCTTGGAGCGTGCCAGCAAAGGTGTTAAATGAGTGGTAGAGGATAAGGGATCGAAGTCTGATGAAGGATGGATGCAGGAAGATGTGTGCTGAGAAAAGAGGGAGGTGAGGTGGGCTTGAACCCCGTCTCATGGCTTCAGACCTCCTCGCTAGCCAATCAGCCCTAGCTTGCCAAGCCGGCTCTTCCGCTGAGACAAAGCTCCTCGCACTCGAATTCGACCTCAATCTCGAATTCCATCCGCCAGCGCTGCCACGACAAGTCCGATTCCAGGATCCTTTAACCGCCCACCAACACCGCCAACATGGGTCGTCTTCACAGCAACGGAAAGGGTATCTCTTCGAGCGCCATCCCATACTCGCGCACCCCTCCATCATGGCTCAAGACCACCCCCGAGCAGGTCGTCGACCAGATCTGCAAGCTCGCGAAGAAGGGCGCCACCCCATCGCAGATTGGTGTCTACCTCCGTGACAGCCACGGTGTCGCTCAGGTCAAGGTCGTCACTGGTATGTGGAATGCGATGCGTGGAAACATTGGCGATGGGGAGAATGGCCCGCTAACAAAGTTGTGCACAGGTAACAAGATCCTCCGTATCTTGAAGGGCAACGGTATGCCATCTCCACAACTCGTCCACCCGGTGTGAAGAAGAAGCCTCGAAAGAGTGGCTTGCAAAAGATGGAACACAATGCTGCAATTCTCGCGCATTCAAAACAATATGCCTCTGCTTGGTCATAGACTGACAGAGTGATTACAGGCCTCGCACCAGAGATCCCAGAGGACCTTTACATGCTCATCAAGAAGGTGCGTCTTGACAAACCCCCTGTCGTGCGGCAGAGGTCATTCCGTTTACTGACATGGTTGAACTAGGCTGTCGCCGTCCGCAAGCATCTCGAGCGCAACCGCAAGGACAAGGACAGCAAGTTCCGCCTCATTCTGATCGAGTCCCGTATCCACCGTCTCTCCCGCTACTACAAGACCGTTGGTGCTCTCCCACCAACCTGGAGATACGAGAGCGCCACTGCCAGCACCCTCGTCGCATAAGCGCGTCTCTGACGTGTTGCGAAGGAAGATGGTTTGGCTGTTGCATTGATGAAAAGGAAGCATGGCGTCAATGGGGAAAGTCGGCATTATACCGTGCGGGTGTTGAAACTCAGCGAAAGGGGAAAGGCCTGAGCAATTCGATAGGGATAATCAAATCGGATCATGCGACCACGCAAGGACAAGCTGCGTTCTCCAACAAAGAGGCGCATCTTTCCAGACATCCTACGGCTTTTCTCACCGTCTACAACTCGTCCCATATACTCCCCAATCAATGCACTATCACGAGACCATTCCTTCACCGCCGGGCTTTCGCGACGCTTTCTTCGTTGCGTCGCCATCGACAATCCATTGTCATGTTTTCAGATATATTCCTCTTAATATCTCCACGGCCTGTGTAGAAGAGTTCTTCATGCCCATTGTCAATTTCTACTAGACAACCGCAGAAAGTACCGAAACGGCAAGCGCAGCCGATGGGCGGGATCTAACAGAATCCTCTTCGGCGAGATAGCAGCACGCCATTTGTTCGACATCGCCTGGAACCATGACTCTCTTATCCTTCTCAAGCTTTCATGAAGCTCGTTCTCTATTCCTCTTCACCCGTATAACATGAATAGCCGTTGACCAGGGTAACCCTTAACGTGACAATGGCCGAACGAGACGGCCTCGCCACGACCGCCGGCAAGACGAAACACGACGGCCCGGTCATCGAAGTGACACAAGACTACAACACCTTCACTGCCGTAGCGGGGCCTTCTGGTTCGAATGACCACGAGGGAGATTTCGTGACGGAGAATGAAGACCGGGATCTCAGTCGTGGACTTGAGCAGAGACACATCTCCCTCATTGCCATTGCTGGAGCGATTGGGACGGGCCTGTTTCTCGGTCTTGGGTCTTCGATTCAGACGGCGGGGCCGCTTGGTGCTCGTAAGCTATATCTTTGAACGTATACCCATGCTCATAATTTAACACCTCACTCCAGTCCTTGGCTACGCCACCGTAGGCCTCATCGTCTGCGCCGTCCAATTCGCCTTAGGAGAAGTCACAGCCTTCCTTCCCGTAACAGGAAGTTTCGTTCGACATGCCGAATTTCTCGTCGATCCCGCTATGGGTTTTGCTATCGGATGGAACATTGTCTATGGCAACTGGCTGAGTATTCCCGCTGAGATCTCGGCCATTTGTGTGTTGTTCCAGTACTGGACAGATGTCAATTCCAGCGTATGGATTGTGTTGGTTATTGCAATGACTTTCTGTGTGGGCATTGCATTTGTGAGGGTCTATGGAGAGGTAAGGAAACATCGTTTTAGCAAGGGTGTATGTCTGTGCTAATGCTTGTGTGGCAGGTCGAATTCTGGTTCGCCCTCCTCAAAATCGTCTTCATCATCTTCCTCATCATCCTGGGCCTTGTCATCAACCTCGGCGGCATCCCGGGTGTTCCCCGTCTCGGATTTCACTATTGGAAATCGCCAGGCCCCTTCGTCGAGTATATCGGCACAGGCTCCTGGGGTCAGTTCCTGGGCTACTGGGCTTGCATGTCTTCCGCTGTCTTCTCCTTCGCAGGAACAGAATCCGTGGCTATGGCCGCCGCTGAAACACGCAACCCACGGCAAGTCATCCCGAGGGCTTGTAAGAGAGTCTTCTTCCGCGTGGCACTCTTCTACATCCTCTCCGTCCTTGTCGTTGGTATGCTAGTATCAAGCCAAGATCCCCGTCTCGATGACCAATCTGGCACGGCGGCTCAATCCCCCTTCGTTATCGCCGCCTCCGAAGCAGGCATCAAAGCCATCCCGTCCATCGTCAATGCAATCGTCATAACGTCTGCCTGGTCGTCGTCAAATCAAGCACTACTCGCCGGCACCCGTGTGCTCTACGCCTTGGCCCTGAAGAAGCAAGCCCCCCAGGTCCTCCTCCGCACAACCCCATGGGGTGTCCCCTACGTCTGCGTCATGGTCCAGACGACATTCATGTTCCTCGCATTCATGTCGCTCTCCCAAAGCGCCCTGACCGTCTTCTGGTGGTTCGTCGACCTGACAGCGTGCGGTGTGCTCATCTCCTGGATCTCCATCCTCATCAACCACCAACGCCTCATCCTCGCTTTCAAGAAGCAGTCGATCCCGCTATCCTCCCTGCCCTGGCACAACGCCTGGACGGTCTTCTCCACGCCCGTGGCATTGTTCATGTGCATCATCATCCTCTTCACAGCAGGATTCTCCAACTTCACCAGAGGGAACTGGAGCACGAGCGGCTTCATCTCGAGCTACCTCGACATCCCCCTGGTCCTGACAGCGTTCGTGCTCTGGAAGATCTTCAAAAAGACCAGCTTCGTCAAGCTAGACGAGATCCCCCTGAAAGAGGCATTAGAAGAAATCGAACGAAAACCAGAAGAATCCGAACCCCCAAAGAAAGGCTGGGCGAAATGGATAGGAATCCTCTGGGATTGATGATAGTCCACTCGCACAAAATACAAAACCCGCATTTCACCGGCAAAACCCCGGCCCAACTCCCAGAATTCCAATGCCAAGCCATACAACCCCCCTCCAACGCATGTCCCTCAACCTACACCACCGAATCGCGAGGTTTGGCGGTGTAGGTTGTAATGCAAGCTAACTTGGACGTGGGTCCCCATTGATCAGCTGACTTTAATCACCAGGTTCGATCCACGACGACAACAACCGGCGGAAAAAAAAAAGTAAAACTACCTTGGGTGGTTTTCTCTAGAATCCTGAGATGGGGTTCTAGTTCTTTTGGACTTTGTTTTGTTCGAGTTCGAGTCGAGTGAGGGTGAAGTTGTGATGATGTGGGATTTTGCATTTTGCGTGTTGTGTTTTGATTTGGTCGTTTGAATGATGTTTTAGAGATATGCCCAACCCGCGATTGCCAGAACGATACCAAATTAACGTCACCAGTATCCAACGTCGCCATTTGATGCGCGATGTGTCACTCTTCGAAACGCCTGCGACCTGCGCAGGCGCTCCTTCCTTTCCCAGACATGATCCCACCGTTTGTCTACCGCTTGGATCCTCCGCTCCGGCTTGCGTATCACCTTCCTCTGCGATCAACATTTCCGAAGCATGCTTCTTGTTAGAATTCACTTCGCCCATTATCAGCCTACTTGCAGTGCTGCTACCTCTCGATACCTTTTTCTCGCGGTCATCCTTCTGCGCCTGCTCGAACAAGTACTTCGCAACTTGGACATGGCCATGCTTCTTCGCCCGCTGATACGGCGTCTGACCATCCTCGCCCCTCTCATTGAATGGCACGCCAGCTTCCAACGCCTTGCGAACGACTTCGAACTCCCCCAACTGCGCAGCAGCTCCCACGAGCCAGGTCGTGGTTTCATCGTTGGCATCGATAATCGCTCCGTTTATGACGAGGCAGAAGGCGATGGCGGGGTTTTGCCGATCTATATGGATGTGCAGGGGAGGAATATAAGGATCACCAGGCTTGCTTGAATTGATGTCTGCGCCTCGTTGGATGAGCTCCTCCGTGACTGCCAGTGAGTCGTGAAAGACGGCGGCATGCAACGCTTGAAAGCCGAATTGGTCGAAGATATCGGTCCTGGCTCCCCTGTCGAGCAGCAGGCGTGCTTTGGGCCCCAAATCCCGTCGAGCGGTGATATGGAGAGCTGTCTGCAAACATATGCAGTCCAATGCATCGATGTCGAAGCCTTGTTGGGATCGCTCATCCAGATACGCAGTGAGCTGTGAGACATCCATCTGTACCACAGCAGCATGGAGAGAGACTTCGCCGTCCCATAGATCAGTGCGTGTGCGAATGACTCGGGCTGTCAACTGGAGATCTTCCTGCCTTTCTCTTGATCGCGCTGTCTCAAGCAAAGGCAGTGTGTTCTGATGGAAACCTTCTCTTGCGAGACTGACTGGTGTAAGACCGTTCCTAGCGCGTACATCAGTGCGAGTGCCATATTCGAGCAACACCTCAACGCATTCCACATAGTCGTGCTCTACCGCAACATAAAGTGGCGTGGCTCCACGCACTCCTTGCACGTTGACATCAAGGTTTTGACCAAGCTCCAAAAAGAATCGCATCAGATTCGGTCGATTGCAGACAGCACAGAAAAATAATGCGCCTCGCTGCTCATTGTTGCAGGCGTTCACATCCGCGCCACGTTCGACCAGCAGCCTGGTCACTTCATCAGGGGCAGCCGGTATTGAGCTCAAAAGCACTGTGGCACCTTCATTGTTTCGCGCCTCAAGGTCAGCGCCGTTCTGGAGCAGCAGATCTACGACTGGGACGTGTCCTTGTCGTGCAGCTGCCGTCAATGCCGTGTCTCCGTTGTCGTCGGTTGTGTCAATTGGTATTCGTCTGTCTGCCAAAAGCGTCTCGATGAGCTCAGTCCTTCCGGTGGCAGCAGCGAGAATCAACGGGTTGTTATTATCACGATCTTGCCAGATTCGAGTCTCATCGACATAGCCATTCCTCAGTAGCGACTGGAGTATGGCGTCGGATCCAGTGTGAATTGCCCAGGCAAGTGCTTTCTTTTTCCCGAATTGCTCATCTATCGCCGAAAATGCGACATCCTTTGAGCACTGTAGCAACAGCTGGACTACTTCGACTCGGTTGTACTGACAAGCTCGGTGCAATGCGGTACGGCCCCTGTCGCAAGTCCTCGAGGGATCGGCACCTGCTTCGAGAAGCACTGCGATAGTATCTTTCTCGCCCTTCATTGCAGCGTACATCAAGGGTGTCGTGGCTTGTCCATCGAGAACATCGACATCTTTCGAAGACCGAACAATCTTGGAGACAGCGCTTGTGAGCCCAAAGTAGGCTGCCAGATGCAAGCCGTGGACATTGTGTGCACAATCCCAATCAGCATCGTATTGCCACATCAATCGTGTCATGGTCTTTACAGCCGAGTCATTCCGAAGCAAACATAGCACGCAGTCTAGGAACCGATCTTGGTCCAGTCGAATGTGAGATGCCCAGAATGATGTTGCGTAGCGTAGGAATGGGTAAGCCTTCTTCGTCTGCTCCAGATGGTCGTATTCGCTGTCGGGATCACAGACAGGATTTAGTTGTAGATACGCCATGCAAGCGTCAGCCAGCAGGCGGTCACCGTTTGGCATATCTACAGCACGGTGCCTGATGTAATCAGCAGCGGTCTCATGAGCCAATCGAACGTGGTTCATTTTCCCATCAATCACGATAAGTCCAAAGGCCCTAGAGATGAGGCTTCTCATATCGGGGATCTTCAAGCTGTTGACGTCGGTATCACCAGCGGTGATGGACATAGCATGTTGCAGAGCCACAAGGGTGAGAGGACGGCGTGCGCTTGCCACTACGGCGATCAAATTCCTGATCTCGGTGACGAGAACGCCTCGCCGGAGGCTGTTGAGACGCGCAAAGATTCGCTCATACACCTCATCCATTTCGGTAGGAAGGGTCTTTAGCGCCGACATTACATCCAAAGGCGACACCTGGTCGGCAAGAACATCCATCTGGTGGCCAACTAGAAGAAACCTGTGCCTCGAGTCAGCAGCGTTGGAGTTCTCCACATGAAGCACCTACGTATTCTGAGAATCAGCCCTGACCCTCTCCATTATAGCTGTGCGAAGATCAACACCTTTTGCTTGTGCGCGTTTTATGTTCTTTGTCAAGTCGCCGCTTCTGTTTATTCGTTCGTCCACGGCCCTCTCAATGTCGTCGTGATGAGACGCGACGTTGACCTCAGAAGGATGTGTCCACCTGTAAGAGGCCCTGGGCATTCTGCAGCCAAGGCAGGCATCGTGTGCATCGTAGCAATACACACATATCAGTTTGTTGCAGCTGCAACACCGATAGGAGTTGCTGAGCTTCCATTTGTCGTTCGTGTTGTCCCCTTGGAATATTTGGCCGCCTGACTTGTTGCTCATGTTCGTAGATCCAACGCAGCCCTCATGCAGATGACCAGGCAACTCCACGGAATGCTGAGAGTATTCAATGCGGTAAAGCCCTTCGGTAGCGTACTCGTAAAACCAAGAAGTGAGGTCCGGCAGCTGACGAGAAGTGACTAACAGCTTCGGACAAGGCAGCATGGCCTGCAGTTTCTCGAGAAGCAAAGTCATTTCTGATCTGTCCACTATCTCATCCAGGCCGTCCAAAATGAAGAAGACTCGCTCAAAGTTTCCCAATTCTGAGGCCAGGACAGTACATATCGTTTCAACTTCAAGAGGTGGTCTCGCGCGATTGTTGCCATATAGCGATTGTACTTGGTTCGAGACTTCACCACGGAACGGTACTGCTTCCTTGAGATAGGTCGATATTATGTTTGTAGCGTTTTGGGCCTCGCCGTGATCAAATAAGCAAAATGCTATCAACACTGCGACGTTCCGCTGTGCGTGCTTCGACTTGAGTTCCTCGAATGCCGTCGAAGCAAGCACCGTCTTGCCTGCTCCTGGAATCCCGTGACACCAAAACAGCACGGGAGCCCTAGTCTCTGCCCAGCCTTGGAAGGATGGCCCGTCCAGAAACCATCGCACTGTACCAGGGAGTACCTTTCTCCGTAGCGATTGTTGGTAGGCAAAAAAGTCGTGAGGTGAGATGGCTTGCAATACATTGTCGAACTCGGCCTGCGAGGCATTGAGCATCAGAGCCTTGGTGTCCTGTAGAATCTCTGTCTCCAGGTAGATATCTGCTTGAGCCAGTGCTAACACAATGTCTGCTTTCGCTCGCTGTATCCGCAAAAGCAAACCTCGAACCTCTGACGATTTGAAGGGCCATTTGAACGCCTTGAGGAGCTCCTTTTTTCTGTTCTCTGGAACTTCGAGGGCGGCTTGAATCCTTTTCAGGGTCGATTCCAGGACCGACAGTGGACCTTCCTTCGCAGACAAGGGCCGAGTGAGCTGCTGCACATCTTGACCAAGGAAGCCACGCGATGACAGTCGCTGCTGTAGACCCTCAAGGATGTTCCTCGAGTTGACGACTTCGTTTGCCACTGCACGCCACTCCTCGGGCGCCTGACGCACATCGCTGAAATACTCTATGAGCTTGTAAGCAGCCCCTGTGAGCGCGATCACGTCTCCGATGCTCGTCATGGTATTCGAAATGGCAGATGGCCGAGTAGCAGATGGAGCGAGAGGAGGATGGACTCATTGCGAGGGCTTTGACCTGACTGCGACGCCGCTTCGTTTCGGTTACGAAGACCTGTGCCTTGATTCTGCGGTACTCAAAAGTGACGTGGTCCATTGTTCGCGAATATGGAAGTCGCGCCGCTTCAAAGTATGGCGAGCAACGGCAAGCCGCAGCATTGTGTTCCTTGGTAGCAGAGTCTCTCCAATCCACGGCGACGATGTGGTGTATCTGTGACTCTGTCAGCCTGTTTCAGGTGCAGTCGTCCATTGTACAAGAAAGAAAGTGGGGACATGAGGTATCTCGTTAGCGCCTGCGGAACCAGAATCGCTGGCCGCAAGGCAACGACGTAACAAGTAGGTAGGTACGACTCAAGCTACCTCACCCGCGCACCTATCACATCCATCCATCCATTCATTCATCTATCCACGCCCCTCTCAAAGATACCCCAACCCCCCACCCCCAATAATCTCCAAATCACTCCTCAGCCCCCAAGCATCCGTCCCCGCCCTCGCCAGCACATCCGCCCGTCTCAGCGCCCCTAACTCCCCAATCCTCCTCACAATCCCCCCATCAACCACACCCTTCGCGCCAGCGAAACTCTCGCTCTCGATCGAGCGATAAGCCCTCGGGTTCAAACCCGCGGCATGTTCCAGTATGGAGGTGAGATGTGTCTGTAGAGCTGAGAGGCGGCGGTAGGCGGCTTCGTCGAGGGGGGTGACGAGGCCGATGGAGCCGGAGAGGGAGGTTGTCAGGACGTGGAAGAGTTGGGTGGAGGTGGATTCTTCTTCGGTTTCGCTGGTGCCGTTTGTGAGGGGCTGTTGTTGCTGTTCGAAGGGCGCGAGAGTGCTTGGGAGCAGCGTCATGCTGGTGGGGAAGTGGCCGACGTGGAAGGTGCTGCGGTGGAGAAGTCGGAGGCCGTTGACGGTCTTGGGGTTTTCTGGGTCGTATTGCAGGACGTGGAGATCCGTGTTTGCGTCCATGATGAGGAGGAAGAGAGAGCCATCGAATGGTAGGAAGTCTGCGGAGACGACTTCCATGTGAGTCTTGGGGCTCTTACCCAGAACTGAGATCTTGTACGGCTCTTCTGTGAAGCCGCCGAACCAGAGCCCCTTCCACGCATCGCCAGTGAGCCACATTCCCGTGCCACCCAGGGTCTTGATGGTATCCGTATGGCACTGCGCATCCAGGAACGCTACAGGCAGACAGGAACCATCTTCCTTGATTCCTCGCACCAGGATCTTCTGGCCCTGTGCCGTCCCGATGAACCCGCCAGGGAATGCTGCCAGTGCGGTGATCGCGCCTCGAGCTTCTTCGCGAGCAACAAGGTTCATCTTGAATCCGCTCTCTGGTTCATCAGGCTCTGGGACGACGTCGGTGATGTCGAACACCATGACTGTTCCCTTTGCTGGCATATCCTCTCCACGCTGAGCAGCTGTCGCAACGACGACCCGGAGTTCTTGCTCGTGTGTGTTCTCAGAAACCTCTAGCGGCATGACCATGAGCGCGGTGATGGTCTCTAGATAAGGCATGTCGACCGTGCTGATAATCTTATGCGATTTCGAAGAAACGAGGTGTACACTGTACTGCGGAACTTTTGGTCGCAGAGAGATGTCTATACAATGTCAGCACTGCTTCTCCAGAAATCGAGAAATGGTGTTTGGCATGTATCCTTCGTATTGAAGCACAGACCCAGATGGAGCACACAGGCTGGCTGAACAAGAAGGCATGTTCACTTTTGCATCCACTGTAGACGCCTCTCCTCACTAATGCTAAGGAGGACGTTATGCTAGCGATGCGTGTCTGTGAGTGCAAATGAAATGAAAAGCGAGACCTACCATCTTGCTCGGGGTGCCTGTGGTCCTCACTCGCAAAGTAGAAGTCGACGTCCTCGCAAGTAGCTACCACGTAGACACCCCTAGTTTCGTGATATGCGAGGTATCGCACCTCTCGTCCTTCAAAGTTCATCTGCTGTACACTCCAACCAGTTCCGTACCAAGTGTCCCGAGGTAATTGGCACTCTTGCACTTCTTCGTCAGTTGTGACAAAAGCGAAGCCTCTCTCGCAGCCATGCCGATGGACAGGCGACAGACTCGTGACTTTGTTGGAAGATTTCGGTAACCTGACTTCCAGGATTCTGGGCAGACTCGAGGGTTCTTTGAGCAGTAGCAACGGCGGTGCCGCTGGGATGGTGACCGCCTGGTAAGATCCAACGCGAATTGCTGCAAGAGGTGGCGACCGGCCGCTCTCCTCTTCGGCGAGCGTATCATTGTACTTCGGAATATACGACAGTGGCACTTTCCTGAATCGCAAATTCGACTGCCACGAATCAGACTCCTTTGGCGGCGGATAGCGAAAGGGTTCGTACAGTATCACGTCGTCGACGGCTGTTCTGAGGATGAGATAAGGCTGTGTGGAGCCATCCTGACCCAAGTCTGCGACAAGCAGTTCTGCTATCGCCTCTTTGGTGCCAGCTCGTCGCTGAGCACCGTCTAGAGATAGCACTGGCAGGAGCTGAGCCAATGAAGGTGGCGAATAGATCGATGATAGATCAGGAAGACTGAATACGTGCATGCTTCCATTTGCATCGAGCAGAAAGAGGGTAGGATTGTCTCCTGTGAGACTGCCAGAATAGACGCACCCACTGAGCCATTTCTTCTCCAGCACGGGTCCATCGCCTTCGAGTGGTTCGATCTCCTTGCCTTGTACTGACAATACCTGAACGCTTCTGTCATCACGTATGACAAGTAGATATGGGTCGCTGAACGAAAGGTGCACGATGTTGAACTCCGCATCGGTCTCATCGTCCATCATGGGGATGATTTGACTCAGAGCCAAGTTTGCGTCGTAGGTCCTGATCTCCGTACGCCGACATTGAACAACGATCGTGTCATTAGCCAGAGTCCGCATGTCGAGGGTCTCGCCGTCCTGTTCGAACTCAGGTGGCGATCGCTCGACATAGCTGGGCTTTCCGTCGTCGCTCTGCGCTATGTCGTAGACCTTCGTATCTTCGCCATCATAGACGAAGAGCAAGTTATCAAAGGGAGAGTCTTCTTTGGTAGATTTTGGATCTACTGCATGAACAGCCCACGCACGCTTGGCTCCTTGAAGAATGGTTGTGTGAACCGACTCAGGAACGATGTCACGATTCAGGCCAGTCAGCATGTTACTCCGCTCTCGTCCAGAGCCTAGAAGCAGTTGAAGCTTGTCTTTAGGGCTGTCTTGCGCCTTTCCCAAGCATATATCGTTGATCGTCGCTATTGTGGGCAGCGAGTCTCTCACATGGAAGCTTGTAACGGCATCGGCTGCTACTGTTCCAGTGGACATGGCTCGTTTCTTCGTTTCAGGCTCGGCGTCGTACAAGTCGTCATCTTCCTCTTCGACCGCATCTTCATCGTCTTCATCGTCCTCTTGTCCCAACATCCGCGCGTGAGATCTTTTCCGGCTCAACGAAGCGGTGGGTCTTGTCCAGCCCACCAACGACGACACACCGTCTTCACTGCCGATGAAAAGGCTCCCGTTGGCCGTCTTCGTGATACACGAAGGTGCTGCCTTTACGACGTCGCCACCATTCTCCGTCACTACTTTCCTGACATTCAACGCACTAATGCTGCGGCCCATCTTTTGAAAGTAAACCGTCGCAAGCGAGCCATCTCTTAGCACTAGAAGTAGTTCTCCCGTCTTAGAGTCCAACACTTCTACAGCGCAGTCCTCCAGCTTCAGGTTCAAGTGCGATTGGTCGAGCATGCCGAATTCACTTTCCAACTTTGCGAACTCATTGACAGCGGTCGCATTTGCTTTGCCGCTCTGGTCGATGTGGAGAAGCTCGTTCGTGCCAACCAAAAGGGCCCCGCCAATCGGCAATGGTAGAGGAACAACTTTCCACAGAGTCGATGGAAGCTTGCCAACAGTGAACATATTGGTCGAGGCCCGTTGTTCGAGGTCCAATGTGAAGATGCTGTACGTAAGTATATCCTTGCGCTCTTCCAGTAAAGTGGAGGAAGGTTCGACTTGTGACGACAGAATGCCTAGTGTAGCCTCACGGTACTCGTGGAGGAACGCCAAGTGTATCGTATGGCTCAGACTGGGATCCAATGTTGTGAGAGGAACCACGAAAGATGCCATGTAAGGTGTTTCCACTGTTTCCCCATTCTCAATTTGTTGTGTTGATTCTCGCCTCTTTACTGTTGCTGATGTCGGCTCTGCATCGAACCCATCCTCTTCCTCTGCCCCCAAGTCTTCTCCAGACTGCCTGAATGGCAGGACCGCAAGCTGCCTTGCGCCAAACTTCAAGGCTGCGCATCGTGAATTCGGATCGATGGTCAGGATGCTGTCCCATTCGCTGAGGGTCGGTCCAAACGGCTGGGTAATGACATTCTCGCCTTCGTAGTAGTGGATACTGATGGTGCTGAGTCGATGGTTCTCCTGATCCCACTCTACCAGACTGAGCTTCGCATCCTTGAATGCCAATAACAACGCATCTGCCCCTGTCTTGGTGTCGATGGTCTTGACGCGCGCTATCGCAGTGACCGTCCCCGCCAGCGAGTACTCTCCCACAAGCACCAGCTTCTCCGAGGCGTTGTCGGAAGCTGGTCGCGTGACATTGAAGACCTGCAAAAGGGAGGTCTTTGCGACGACCAGATTGTTGGCTGCTGGGTCCAGGAAGGGTAATGCCACGGCGTGGGTGACTGCCGTGGGCGGGACCAGTTCAGTGTAGCACTGCATCTTGCGTATTGTCTCTCCGTCTCTCTCTTCTCCTCATCGCCTCGTGCCAATCGTCGATATCGCGTGGTGAGGTGCTGTCACGAGCAGCAGCTCCAAAAGTCAAAAGCGCGCGCCGCCGGATCGAGCAAACGCGATGGAGCACTCCGCAGCAGCAGCTCAAGCCGCACGTCACTGCTGCGAAACGAAAGCTTGAGCTCGAACGACCAGCCGCTGCCTTGTTTCTCCTCTTCTTCCTCCCTCTTCCTTCTCACTTACACCTTGGCACGAGGAGGTAGTGTTGGGCGGCAGTGTACTAAGAGGAGAGAAGCCAGAGAACGTGCTGCAAGACTCGAGAACGACGCTCTCCCACCGACTAGACACCACCAACATTCGGAGACTGCTCCGCGGAGCAGCAGAACCAGAACCAAAGACTCGAGACGATCCACGCATACGCAAACCGCCAACATGGCCCTTATCGAAACCTCCCTCATCTGGGTCGCCTACGCAGTCTGTCTGGGGATCCTCTTCTTCATATCCGCCATCTTCGTCTTTGTCTACCAGAAACCCGGCGAGCGCACCATTGGGGTGACGATAATATGCTGGCTCACGGTCCTTGCGCTGCTCGCAACCGTGCTGCTGATGCCAGTGGACGTTGCGCTGGTATCATCGACTACGAATCGCAAGTTGGGCAGAAAGAAGGATTGGGCCACACCTGACAAGGTCGATGATACGCTCTACACCCTCAAAGTTGTTTATTACACTCTGTACAGCTTGGACGCTGTGCTGTGCTTGCTGGTCGTGCCTTTCGCATACTTTTACTATGAAGAGTACGATGAGGTGGCGACGGAGGAAGGCCAACAGACTGTATTGGGCAGATTATGGGGAGCGTTTAAGTGGACGATTGCATTCCTCCTGCTCTGCGTGGTCCTGTTCCTCGTTGGCTTCTTCGTGCCTGTGGCCAAGAAAGCAAGAGACGAGCACAGAGACTTGGACTACTTCAAGGATCTACTGACTGAAAATCGTCAGTTCTCGACCTCATGACCTCTACATGAAGCTCTTGCTGACATACGAATAGATGGCGAACGTGCTTTAACCTTCGCAATCGGTGTTCTCATACTGATTGGCACCATTGTTTACTGCCTCTACACTGGTCCTGGACTTGCTCTACTCCCAGTCTCCCTCATCAAATCTGCACCTGGAGTATCTGCCCCGCAGCTCGCTGAGACTACATCCAGCCAACTTGCTCAGAACCAAGAACGACAAAGACAGCTCGAAGGACGTAGCGAAGGGCGTGAAGGAGGTCTGGATCCTCGCGACCGCCGGGAACTTGAAGCTCTTGTTCGCGAAGAGCGAACCTTGAGACGCCGTGAACGACTGGCCGCTGAAAACACTGGCGAAGGACGCAACTTCTTCATTCGTGCCTGGCTCAAGCTGGAGGCCATCTTCCGACCCTTGAAGCTCATCTTCGGCTGGCTACTATTGATTATTTCGCTTATCGTGTTCGCCAGCATGATCATCACCATGGTCGACAAGATCAAGAATTCGGTCTGCAAGACTTCTTGCGGTTACCTTCTCGGAAAGACGAAGATCTTCCAGCCGGTCAACGCCCTGCTCATCTATACCGCCCGCGTTTTCCCGATCGACTACATTATCTTCCTGTTGCTAACTCTACTCTTCTTCTGCGCCAGCGTGGTCGGATTAGGTACAATCGGCATTCGCTTCCTCTGGGTTACGCTGTTCCGCATCCGCAAGGGGCACACCACACCAAACGCTATGCTGATGGCCACGGTGCTTCTCACCTTGACGGTCTTCGCGCTCAACTACAGTCTGGCAATGATTGTCGCACCTACGTACGCTACATTCGGTCCACAAACATTCTGCGACAGGCCTTCGCATACCCCAGACCTACAACCAGATTGCAGCAAGCACCGCAATGCGATCAAGCCGTGCTCCGAGAGGACCGACAACCCTATTGCCAAAATGGTCTGCACGCCGACTGTTCTTAGCACATTCTTGAACAGAATCACGGCAAACTTCCCCTACTTTGGCGTCGTCGACTTCTATGCACAATTTGCATTCCTGGGCATTTTCCTCATCGTATTTCTCGTGACACTTTTCAGGGTGCCCAAGCTGGACGAGGACCAAATGGATGAGGACCTGCGTGAGGAGGAAGAGGAAGGCCTGCTCGCAAGCACAGGACGCCGATTCGGAGCTACTTGGCAGGACATTACAGGACGTGCCAAGGGAGTCAAGCGCGCTGATTACGGTGCCACTGGCAGAGATGGAGCTGCCGCTGAGGCTCAAGAAGACTGAATGCGGCGATGATGCTCGACGGGTGTTGGAGTACGTTGGATGAGAATGATTACTGTGTACATGAGTTTCGGACCATGCGATACCCTGAGGCATATCGTTGTTTTCATTAGTGCAGTAAATATGCGGCAGACGTAGGAAGTATCAGACAGTCAATATCAGTTTTACACACTTTGTCGCGAACATTCATTCGAGTTTGTTGGAGATGTAGATATCTTCCCTGCGTAGATGTGAGCACGCTGTTTCAGCGGCGCGGGCCGGGCGCCACGCGAAAAGTGGCTTTGTGCAGCTAGCGCAAACTCAAATCCAACCCCAACTTCACGTCTCTCGACTTCACCAGACTCGGGAGAGGAAGTCAGACTTTGGCCTTGCGACGATACCGCCTGCGATACCTCCTTTTCTGATACATCCGGGCCCGATTTTTCGTTTCCTACACCTAACAGACGTGCGCAGTGAATGGGGAGGGCTGTCGTGGACGGATTCGGAATTTGGAAGGCGAGTGGGTGGAGTGGCGGAAAGCGATGCATCTCTGAGAAATCTACGAGCATCGCCAACAGTGAAAATGATGGACTAGACGTCGCGCGCTAGGTGAAAGCGCCACAACAACAGCAAAAAGGTAAGCTTGCTGCCTAACCAGCTTCTATCTTCACACAACTCCCTCCACCTCAACACAACAACAACCACCACCCCACCACTCCGACATCGTCACCCACAATGGCTGGGGAGTCGATGACGGACCGCGGCCGCAAGGCGAGCGATCCCCCATCCGACAACGACGACAATGCCCCTCTCATCCGCAGCGACACCGCCCCCAGCAGCGGCGGACCATCAACTAACACCTCCCGCAAGAGCAGCTTCAGCTCGCTCTTCAAAGGCTTCGGCTCTCATCGCCGCACCGGCTCCCGCAAGCACCGCTCACCACCGCACAGCGCTGGCGACCTCTACTCTCGACCTCGCACTCCACTCAGCCCAGGAGCGATCGACCGCTTCTTCGAGACACCAACACCAGCTCGATCTCGTTCATCATCCGTACTCGGAAGTAAGCATCCCTCTGGACGCCCACGATTTCACGTTAGAGCCCGCAGCGCTCGATCCGCAGTGACCTTTGGGCCTTCGCAATCTGTCGCAGACTCATCGAGCTTGCAGTCCGCTGCGGTTCTTTTTGCTGTTGAACTTGATCTGGCCCGAGAGCGGAGTCAATTTGCATTTTCACACTCCGCGGTGAGCTCCGAGGCAGCGTCCTCTCAGCAGGCTCACCTGCACCCGCACTTGCCTGCGGGGCACTTGAGACCTAGCAACGAATGTTTGAGCGAGCGGAGATTGTCCCTCCCCCTCTCCCCAGGGCAAGACCTGGTCTCTACGTTTTCGTGGTCGACGTCCTCCTCATCATCTTCGAATCTTGTTGACACCGTAACAGAGGTCGGAGCAGCATCAGGCCGTGTTCTTGGCGCTGTCACTGATCTTCGACCTTTATTCGGACGCAGGAACCCGAAGAAGGCTGCCAGGGCCGCATATCCGCGACCTGATCGCCCCAACGTCTTGGACAAGGACGACACCAACAAGCTCAACAAATTCTGGCATCTCTCAGAAGAACAAGCACGTGAGGAGACTGCCAACAGGGCTCGAGCTAGTGCCGAGCACTCTGCGCGCCAGCCTGGGCTCCATCTGCAGCTTCCATCCATATCCGAGCACCCTGGCGACAACGTGGGCTCGTTGCCAAGATCCAACATGGACAACTCACTCCTCACGCCTGGCTCGAGGCTTCTAGCCGACCAAGCGGACAAGCAGCGTCGTGTTCAGGATGCGAAGGACATGTATGCGACCATTGTCAGCAACGCTGAACGCTCCGACACACCATTGCCACCGTACGATTTCATCGAACTCATCGGAAAGGGCGCTTTCGGTCGTGTGTACAAATGCCGAGACCAGAGAAGCGGCAACCTCGTGGCTGTCAAGATTACCAAGATTGAGGAGTCAGAGTTCGACGAGACAGTCCGCGACTTTCAAAAGGAGGTCAGCATTTTGCAGCAGCTGAAGAGCAACAATGTCAAGAACGTCAATGTCATCCACGACGCCTTTGATCTTCATTCGCAGCTCTGGATCGTCGCAGACTATTGCACTGGAGGCAGCGTCCGTACGTTGATGCGAGCGTGGGAGAAGAATGGCAAGGCACAAGGACTACCAGATCACTTCATCATTCCCATCGCTCGTGAGCTTGCCATTGCGCTAAAGGGTATGCACGCCATGCACGTCATTCACCGAGACATCAAGGGCGCCAACGTCTACATCACCGAAGATGGAGCTTTGCAGCTCGGCGATTTTGGAGTGGTTGGCGTTATTGACGATGCAAATTCGAAGCGCAAAACGGTCATCGGTACGCCTCACTACATGCCAAGAGAGATGATCGAACAGATCGATGGCGAGGACGGAGATGTGAAGCAGGGCTACGGCACTGAAGTGGATATTTGGGCTTATGGCTGCACGATTCTCGAGATGGCCACTGGTCTGCCGCCAATGTACAACATTCCACAGCACAATATTGCACAGAACATGGAGACGAAGGGTGCCCCACGACTGGAAGGAACCGAGCACTCGACCGAGTTGTGCGACTTTGTTGCCTTTTGTCTCCAGCTCGATCCAAAAGCCCGACCTACCGCAGATGCCATCCTTAAGCATCCCTTGATCGCCAACACTAGCAAGCAGTACCCAACTAGCAGTTTGGTCAAGCTTATTGAGAAGTTCAAGATCTGGGAGCACGGTGGCGGCTCGCGTTCGTCTTTATGGGTGGCCGGGCCTTCCGATGCCGCACGAGGCATCACCGGCGACAACGAGGATGAGCAGCCTTCCAACAACGACGATTTCGACGACTGGAATTTCAGCACGTCTGATGATTTCGACAAGCGCTTTAGCCAGATGCCGAGGATTCAAGATGGCGACCTGAGCTATCTTCAGGCCCCAGAAGGCGCAGGACTCCCGCCAGGTCTTCCCCCACTCAATACGCAGAACATCAGCGTTGCGGAGCGAATCAAGCGCGAGCACAGTGAGCTATCGGCGAACCGAGGAGAGCGCTCACTTGCGCGAGTCTTCAACACCAACGACGATGCTGGCTATCAGCTCACGAGTCCTCCCATGGAGGAGACTCCACCACCGCCCGAGCCATCACCTCCCTCCGACCTGCCACTGCGCAACTTCACCAGCAACGCGCCGACTCGCGAGAGCATGATTGAGATTGACTTGAACGAGGCTGATGTCAACGAGACGGCAACCTCCACGTTCGCTCTGCACATGGATGCCATCAACGAGAATACTATCAAGCCAGCGCAGCGCAAGGCAGGTTTCGACGAGGAAGACGATGACGACTTCCAGTATGGTCAGCAAGAAGACACGTCGAAGCGCGACACCATGGCATGGACATTCCCAAGCGCAGCAGCTCCAGCAGCTCCACAGCCAAAGCGTGGTACTATGGACTGGACGTTCTCGACCGCCGAGGCAGCGCAGCCTGAAGAGCCCAGCATGTCGACGACTGCCGGTGGAGGCGACGATCTCCTTCCTGGCTTCCGTGCAAACTTGAATCGCACTGCTACTGAGCCCATTGGTCATTTCAGAGGATTCTCGCACGACGGAGGCTCATCTGCAGCTTCTCCCAATCGTGACTCGGTTGCCTCGATGATTGACCTCGACATGGGCATGGTCGATCCGCCTCGCCATCTCGAGGACCCAGCAGAGATAGTACGCCCATCGACGGCTAGCTCCGCTGCTGGTTCTACAATGACCGACATGACTTCCGGCAACCCGTTCGACCTTGAAGAAGACCCAATCCAAAACGAGATCGACCGCAACCGTTTCTCGTATCACAAGCAATGGCAGTCTGAGGGCGGTCGTGGAAACAGAAACAGCCACAAGACCATGCAGATGCATGCTCGTGGCAGTAGCCTCGCTAGCAACGAGTCCGGCGCGGAGAACAACCACATGGCCACCTCGAATGGAAGTCTGGGCGAGCCAATGGCACCATCAGCAGTCTTTGACAATGGCCTGAGCCTGGAGCAAGACGATGCGAATCAGTGGCCAAACTTCTCGACCTTTGACAGCTTCGACGCCAGCCCAAGCTACCTGCCAACTCTCAGCGATGTCCAGAGAATGAACGAAACCAGCTTCGGCAACGACCGCAACCTGCGTGCCAATGGCACCTCGACTCGATCCCGTGAGCCAAGCAGCGAGCCCCCAGGCCCAGAAGTCGATTTCCCAGACATCGTACCACCAGACCCCAACGCCCTGCACGAGGACGCCGACCCACGACTCCTCGAAGACGAATTCGGCCACGTGCTCGCAGATCTCGCCACCGCCCTGACCGGAGTCGAGCATTCGCTGCGCCAGTATGCCAACGTCGACGACCTAGACGAAGATGAGCCGGCCTCAGATATCGAGAGCGGCTTCGAGAGCAACAAGGAGACACTGACTGAAGATGAGGGCAACGCCGACTCGTTCCTCACAGCTCGTCGCAACAAGCCTCGCTCTCGCTCGCCGAACCAGTCGCAGGGAGAGAACTTCCAGTGAATGAATGGCCCTTTAGGAGATGGATAAGCGTTTTTCCTTTTTTGCATGCATGCATGAATTGGGGGGTATCGGCGTCAAAAGATACCCACGACAGACAGATGAGACTATGGATTGCAGCCTTGATTAGGTAGTTCTTGTGGCTTTTTGGGTGCATGAGATGGGGAACGCTGTGCGTACCTCTCTCCGTAGCGGTGTTTGTTGTATGAAACGACGGGATCAGAATTTGAGATTTGTGACTTTCTTCTCCGTTGTCAGAGCATGCACGATTACTCTTGACACAGATCTGGGGATGATCACGTTCGGATTTCTTTCTTCCACTGACTACAGGGACAGTCCATCGCCTTGCACATGAAATAGCCGAGTGTCTCTCCATCACCACACAATGCACGATTCCATTGAGGCTGCTATCGATGCCGTGATCGACGTCGAAGAAATAGAGAGGAATGAGAAATATCGAGGTGAAACAGCATCCCATCCCTCGAGCTGCATTATGCTAAATAGCGTAATAGATCTCGAAGAAATGGAGAGATCACTCCATCCTCAATCCAGCATCGCCACGCCATGAACATGTAGTCGCTCAAAGTAGAACACTCCATCTCCGCCACTAGGCTAGACAGAATTCGCCTCGATCAAGCACCTGCATCACCGCCAAAAGTCCGGGGAATTGGGGAGATGATTGAGATGTCGCTCTCAGGCTACAGCCATCGAAGATGTCCAGAACTTTGAGCTAGACCAGACCTCACCGTTCGTTCGCGATCGTAGAGTCTCATCGGGGCCAACGACTTGCTCATCGACGCTACTTGCTAGATGACCCAGATGAATCACATACGAGGTGGTAGCTGCGACGTCAGAGCAAGCGACACGACGCCGACCATACTTTCCCTCGATGGTCGATGTATGGTAAGATCTCGCCTACGTGCAGACGAATGCATGCTGATTTCACAAGAACGAGAGAAATTCCAAGCGGTGGTGGACATTCGCGACGTCTCATCCGCCAGCTTCGCGAAGCTACATGCCGGCATGCTCAAACAGTTCCTGTAGCATCACCCATCAACGATCTCAATTCATCACACACATCCAGTCATCTCCAAAGATCCATCGACCAACCTCAAGATAAACTTCGTCTCCTCGCGCATCGCCAAGCCCTCTTGATGCTGACTAGCTTTCCATCCTCCTTCCTCTTACAGGCCCTGCTAGCTGTCAAGCGCTCAAACATTCAAACAACCAGACCCTGAGACAGTTTTGTGACGCCTGTCAATGTCACAGCCGCCACCGTCACGGGGTTTCAGATTGCGAAACGCGCGACCGAGACGCTATTGTGCGGCTTGGCGGGCTATCCATGGGTACCGCTGCTGGACCGATGGTCGCCCGATACACTTTCATCTAATGGGCGTGTTGGGAGATAAGGTGGAGTAGGAGGTGCGGTCGTTTGGTCGTTCCAGAGATGTTGCGGATGGGCGACGTGGGGTTGAATGGGAGATTGGAGGTATTAAACCAGGGCGATTTTCTCTTGTCTTTCATTCCTTTCTGTCTTGTCGTCCAGGAAGTGTTGGTTCTTGAACCCCTTTCTTGGTTTCTTCTTGACTTCTTGTTGGATGCATCAACATCTGGAAGCCGGTGCTGGTCACTGGCGGATGCATATTTTTGGTACACTATGATGGAAACGTTGAAGCTGTGCTTGAGCACGGCACCTACCATCTACAGTGGTGAGATCAGAACTCCCGAGAAATTCAAAGATTGCAAGCTGACTGCGGACCAGATATGCCACTTCAAGATATGTTGGAAAGCCCTGAAACCCCGTCACCGGTCCTGGCCAAAGAGGAAGAGCACCCATGCACCGAGTGTGGCAAGCAACGCTCGCGCAGAGGATCCGTTGCCTCTTCCCCAAGACACGCCAACGCTGGACGTACGTACTTCCCTTGTACGAATTCTCGATGCCGAAAGGGCAGTGCCAGGTTGATGCAGCGGGACTTCGTCACCTGGGACGCCCACGGAGAGAATCCAAAGTGTGACTGCGGGCTCCCGAGCAGGCAGGGCAGATTGGGATTGGACGATCCGAAGCCTGGATATGGATTTTGGGAATGCGCTTTTGGAAGCTGCAAGTACCGTTCGAGGGACCGGAAGGGGCGGTCGATTGAGAACGGCGAGGTCAGTGCTGATCAGGTGCAGCCTTTTATCCCTTGGTTGGTGTATAGCGATGTAAAATAGGAATCTGGGCAGGGCTGGCGATCCCTGGATATGTACTATAGGCCATGCATCTTGCTTCATTTTGTAGGCTTGGTGGAAGACGACGGGGATGTATACCAATAAAAATCATAAAAATGTAAGATAGCAGGCGATTGCTTTCAGAATTCAAGAAATACCTCACTATTGATCTCGCCTAGTAAGTGTTGAGAATAGATGGTACTGTCAGAGAGTGAGTTGGAAGTTATTCGAGAAGCGTATTAGAAGATGTTCAGGGTTTGATGGGATAAGCAAGCTGGAGAGTGATAGAACAAGTGAGATCATGAACAATTTGAAGATTGCTGGTTAATGCAAAGAAGAGCAAGGTGTGAGTGAGTGAGCTGGAGGATGCCGATGCACAAACTTTGTGTTTTCTGCGGCCTCAGGCATCAAGTTTTGCCAAGACTCACGCACCGCTTCGAATCTCGACTTCGGCAGGCCAATCTCCTCGACCACGACGACAACACCCTTCCGTTCCACCACACCCCCATTTACCACAACCACCACCCGCCTTAAAACCCAGACACCCTATATCGTGCGTAGACACTATGGGGGGCAAGAGCGCAACCAAGGCCGGCTACTTCGACAAGCTGAAGGGCTTGCTCGAGGAGTACAAGTCCATCTTCATCGTCACCGTCGACAATGTCTCGTCGCAGCAGATGCACGAGATCCGTTCGTCCATGCGCGGCAACTCGGTCGTCCTGATGGGCAAGAACACCATGGTATGCGCCGTCAAGAGTTGGAGCGGATGAAGGCATATACTAAGAGAATACCACAGGTCCGCCGTGCCCTCAAGACCTTCATGGCCGACTCGCCCGAGTACGAACGCCTGCTGCCACACGTCAAGGGCAACGTCGGTTTCGTCTTCACCAACTCCGACCTCAAGGAGACCCGTGAGAAGATTCTCGCCAACCGTGTCGCTGCCCCAGCCCGTGCCGGTGCTGTCGCTCCCGCCGACGTCTACATCCCAGCTGGAAACACTGGTATGGAGCCCGGCAAGACCTCTTTCTTCCAGGCTCTCGGTGTCCCAACCAAGATCGCCCGTGGTACCATTGAAATTACCACCGATCTCAAGCTCGTCGAGGCCGGCAGCAAGGTCGGTGCTTCCGAGGCCACCCTCCTGAACATGCTGAACATCTCTCCCTTCACGTACGGTATGGGTATCTCCCAGATCTACGACCAGGGTCAGACCTTCGATGTCAGCGTTCTGGACATTGAGGAGTCCCAGCTCCTCAAGGCCTTCTCCTCGGCCATCACCGCCATCACTTCCATCTCGCTCGCCCTCAACTACCCAACCCTGCCTTCGGTCATGCACAGCCTTGTCAATGGCTACAAGAACGTCATCTCCGTCGCTCTCGAGACCGAGTACGAGTGGGAGGCCATCTCCGAGCTCAAGGACCGCATCAAGAACCCAGAGAACTACGCTGCGGCCGCCCCTACCGCAGCCGCCGCTGCCCCATCTGGTGGTGCCGCCGAGGCGCCAAAGGAGGAGGCCAAGGACGAAGAGGAGGAGCAATCCGACGAGGACATGGGCTTCGGTCTGTTCGACTAAGCTGCTTGTCACAACACTCAGCGTTGGTAGAGCATAGCAGCTGTCGACGAATGAAGAAAGTTGCGCCAAACATACACCACAAAAGATTGCCGAGGCGTCTTGATGTCATGTCAAATGTTGCTGGATACGTGATTTCGTGACCGCAAAGTCAACTCGACTCATCAACACAAAAGGTACGCGAATGCTTTTCTTCTTTACCCTCACCATCGAATGATTAAACATTTTTAACCCTGAGCTCGCTCTTTGAGGATCAAAATAGCAACAACACTCTAATTTTTTAATGACACCAACCCATCGTTCTTTCTCAACTTGATGACTTCTCGAGTCGAACCCAGACTGACGATTCTCTCAGGTTTACCATAGCAGACTTGTCGATCACGATATTGCCGTCCCACGAGTCATGTCGGGATGCATTCGCTGATGCCATCCAAAGTGTCTGTGTCTGTTCTATGTGATGACTTCGCTGTAGGATATCCACCACATGCCCCTCAATTCCCAATCACACTCAGATCGACCCTGACCCAATATACATCCCAATCACTCCTGCCCCCAATACTGCTCCCAACGCCGACACTCGCCGTATTTCCCTTGATGACATAGTCGTGCGCAAACCGCGGCACCCCATCCTCCCAAAACCTCCCCATCTTATCCCCAAACAACTTCGCCGTGACCCGCTTCGCCAGTCCTTTCCCACGCCACTCCGGCTCAACATGCAACGTAGAAAGCGATCCATCCACACCCACAAACGCCCACGCTACAGGCTCCCCATCCCCCTCCCCATCATTCGTAGAAGGAAAAATCCCCACATTCGGCAGCACAGCCAACGTCGCTTCCTGCCTCGGAATCTGCGTCCTGGACCTCACAAGCCCAAAATGCCTCCCCTCCAACTCCCCCCACCTCAACCCCTCCGGCAAACCCTCCACCTCCCCATCCCTCTCGAGCAACACCCTCAAAGGCTCCTCGTCCAAGCGGAAAACAAACGCGTGGTTGGGCACCAACCCCGCGAGGAAGACTTGCTTGATCAGACCCGTGCGTTGCAGGGCGGGGATGATCGCCTCGTGCACGGCGCCGCAGAGGAGGATGTCGGGCGATTGAATGTGCGCGGCGTAGTCGGCGCGGGAGGTGTTGGTGTGGTCTTTTTCGGCGTCGTTGGTTAGGAGGCTTTGCGAGTGGATGGAGGGGGGGAGGGGAAGGGAGCGGATTTTGTGGAAGAGGGATGTCATTAAAGCGTTTTGGATACCCTCGTTTTGTGGTGTTGATGGTGATGGTGAGGTCTCCCAAGAAGCGAAAATCCAACACTCCGTCTCCGGGCGGGGCGTTCGGTCGATGAAGGTGAGGATCCATTCATCTCCTTCACCAGGTCGACGTTCGAGGTTTGGCAGGTTTGTGAGAAGTCTGCTGTCGGGGAAGAAACGCCCGAATTGCAGGCGGCGGTAGAGGGGGATGCTCGTGGGGAGGTACGGGCGGAGGAGGGCGAGGGCGTTGGAGATTGTGGTTTTGCTTGATGGGGAGGAGGGGTGGAGGGCGTGGGAGTAGATTTGGGGTTTGGAGGGCATTTTGGCTTGTCTTGTCTTGATGGGAGCGGGTGTTCTTCTGCTGGAGGTAGTTTTCCTTTCTTTTCAGGTTGTGTTGTTTGGAGTGTTGTGGGGATTCACTGGCGGGAAACCCCAATGTTATAGAAATGAAGTTTTGGAAGAGTCAAATGTTCTTCCACTGACTCACCTACGCGGCAGGATTCAATGGTGACAAACTTCCCTGGTGGAGCCATGCGGTCCAGTTTGCCTCGAATAGGAAGGAGCGATATTATGTGGGCCACATCGGATTTCTTCCGAACGTATTCGATGGCAACGCAACTCAGTTCACATTGACCTTTTGTGAGAAAGGCACAGATACTTGATGGAATGAAATACTAGTAGTCACAATCGTTTCTACCACTACCAATCTCCAATGCCCACGCCTCAAAACGCCGAGAGTCGCCCCTACAACGACCATGCTGAAGAGGAAGTTAGGAACAGCATGTGCATGCAATAATGGAATCGTTCCCATGAGCCAAATTCTATCTCGTTTGTGTGGGTATCAAGCACGGCCAGCCAGAAAAGTGAATGCAGATACCTTCACTCCGACTTGCTTGCTTTCTCGCTCGTTGCCCCGTGTATCATGCATGAGCGCATGCCTGTCGTGTCATTCGCTCATCTCATCCCACCCTGTCTCGTCTCGTCTCGTCGTTTTGTGAATAGACTACGCCTCTTTCCCCGTTTACTGCGATGCACACTGTACTCTCTCGCCGCCAGCGCCCATCTCATCGTCATCCTCGTCCGTTGCAGCTCTTGCGCGTTCGCCCTCCCGCATTGGGTCGACCTTTTCTAGCGAGTAGTCTTCGGTCATGGCGTCTGGTGGTGGGATCGATTGTGGGGTGCGTGGTGGGAGGACGGACTCGAGGGCCTTGATCTGCTGTGGCTGGAGAGGCGTTGGGTAACCCTCGGCGTCTGGTGGGCCGTTGAGACGCTCTGGGAACTTGACGTCGAATTGCACGTAGAGATTGCCGAAGTCGTGGTGTCGGTATGATGGCATGCCCTGTCCGCGGATGACCTTGATCTCGCCTGTAAATGTGTTAACAAGGTGTCTGTTACTCAGAAATGAAAGAGATGCCTTACCTGGTGAGATGACCTCGCCTGGAATGATCTCCACGGTCAACCACCGCTCGTCGAGGTGCTCAATGTAGATGGCACCTCCAGCAAGTGCGGTCAGAAGGTCGATCTCAGCGTGGTAGAACAAATCGTCGCCCTTGCGCTGGAATCGAGGGTGCGGCTTCTGCTCAATCTCGAACTGCACGTCACCTGGCTGCACGCCAGGCATCTGATCACCCTCGCCACGGAAATCGATCTTGGTACCGTTCTGGACACCACGGTCAACGTGCACGTGCAGGACCTTTCGCTCGATAACCGTCTTCTTGCCGTTGCACGCCTTGCACTTGTCCTTGTCGCGGATCGTCTCACCCTCACCATTGCAGTCCGGGCAGACAGTCTGGAATCGCTGGATCATAGGACCCATCTGGCGCATCATAGTCTTCATACCCTGACCGTTGCAGCCAGCGCACGTCTTAACAGCGCCTTCCTTGCCTCCGCGGCCTTCGCACTTCGAGCAGATGACCGACTTTTGCAGGGCGAGCTTAGAGACCTTGCCGCGGTAGATATCCTCCAGTGACACCTTATGGACGTGGTGAATCGTCCGTGCTTTCTTAGGACCCTGTTCTCTCATGCCGCCGCCAAACATACCGCCAAGGCCACCGCCGCCACCGAAGAACTGGGCGAACAGGTCTTCAGCAGCCATGCCTCCACCGCCGCCCATACCGCCTTGCTCGAGACCCTCCTCACCATATTGGTCGTAGAGTTGGCGCTTCTGTGGGTCTGAGAGGGTCTCGTAGGCATGTGAAATTTCCTTGAACTTTTCTGCGGCTTCGGGGTTGTGGGCGTTCTTGTCGGGGTGGTGCTTGAGGGCGCCTTTGCGGTATGCGGTCTTGAGCTGGGACTCGCTGGCATCCGGAGGGACGCCGAGCACGTCGTAGAACTTGGTCTCTTTCACCATGATGGGCGTAGGAGAGTGGGGTGGATGGCGGGGGAAGTGGTGTTTGCTGCGAAGCCCTTATCGCCGAGGTGGTGTGTTTGCGACTATGAGAATGTTGATCAGGTGGGGAGCGGAGAGTGAAGTGCGCTGTGAAGGCAGGGTCAGCACGCGGTGATCAGATGCAGGTTGTGAGGCAGGCAGGCGGCGAAAGGCGAGGCTGACAATTGCGGCGGCGAAGAAGGGCGGACACGGCGCAACGTTGGACGTCGGGCGGCGCGGGCAGGCCTGGCTCTGGCACTTACCTCTCGGGCAGTCGAGCGTATGCTGAGATTGCGGTGAGTGGGAGGGTGGATGTGTTGGTTGCGGAAGAGTGGAGAGGAGGGTCACGGTGGTGAGTGTCAAAGTGCAGCTGAATTTCTATTCCTGAAGAAGTACGTCTTCGTCGGTGTCGTCAAACTTTCCCTCGCAGCTCGCGGCTTCTTCTGTCTGCTTCCATGGCCGTCGACAGCCAGTTGATCAAGATTTTCACCACAATGAGTGAGAAATATGTCACGAAGGTAAGTGTATAGTATCCGGTAGTCAATACTATCACCTCTACCAAGTCTACATATTTCTGTTTGATACTGTCGTCACCGTGATGGCAGTTTCTTCATTCGACGCTAGAGCCGTTCGGGTAGCCAACGGCAACCTTAAATAAACCTCCGATCGATATGGATTTGCTCGAACGGCGAGAGAGGAAATCACAGACACTTTTTCTCCGACTCTATCCCATTTTGACACTTCCTTGCTGCAATGCTGCACCCATATCAGTCTATTAGCACTGTTCGACAGCCTAGCCAGTCGAATCTTCTGATTGCTGCATCTGGCCCAAAAATCCTTTCATTGGGCTTGGAGAGCAATGCCATAGTCTCGGAATGGGCTCCAGTTGAAGCAGTACGCAGCTTTCTCACTTCCATGAGACTGTTCCAGTCACTGACAAGTTCAGGTCACTGTTGAAGCAAATGGCAAGGAAGAGGACAATGAGAATGGCGAACGGCCTGCCAAGAAGCAGAAAACGAGCACTGCTTCACCCAAAGCAGCCAACGTGATCAAGCTGGCCGTATCTCCTGGAAAACGCCACGTCGTCGCCGTGACGGACGACAAATTCATCCACGTGTTCGAGCAGGACCATGGCAAGTTGACGGAGCTCAGTCAGAGAGCAATGCCAAAGCGACCGTGCGCCATTCAGATCACCCCAGACGATGCCACGATCCTCGTCGGAGACAAGTTCGGGGATGTCTACTCGCTGCCTCTGATGCCATCTGAAGAAGGGGATGTAGCGGCTGGTGCTGCTCCAGAAGCAACACCGCAACCCGAGACCCAATTCAAGCCATCCGCAACGAACTTGACTGTCCATAGCAAGCGCAACCGTGATGCCTTGGCGGCGCAGATGCAGCAGAAAAACTTCACGCCTCGCAAAGAAGCTCTAAAGTTCGAGCATAAGCTACTACTTGGACATGTCTCGATGCTCACGGATATGAAGTATGTCAGATGCGAGAAAGATGTTCAGAAGAGAGGCTATATCATCACGGCCGATCGAGACGAGCACATTCGCATTTCGAGGGGTCCACCACAAGCTCATATCATTGAGGGGTTCTGCCTTGGTCATACAGAATTCGTGAGCAAGATCTGTCAGGTGGGCGGCAGCAATTTGCTCGTGTCTGGCGGTGGCGATCCATGGCTAGGAATCTGGGAATGGTGGCCTGAAGCGAAACTGCGAAGAAGGCTGACTCTCCCCGAGAAGATGAAGGTACCAGGCCACCCACTTGCAGTTTATGGGATCTGGAGTGGTCGCGTTGATCTGGGATCGGGCGAAGAAGATATCGTTGTGGTCGCATGTGAAAAGGTCAAAGCGCTGCTGATCCTAGACCGAACGTCAGTTGAGCAGGATGGGCCGGGGATCTGTGTCAAACTTTCACACAACCCAATTGATGTGGCGTTTGATGACCGTTCAATCTTGGTCTCTACCGATGCACGACAATCGTCAGCAGACGCTCGCGATCAGCGGATACAATCGCTTCGCGTGCAGAAGAAGACCGGCGAGCTTCAGGCCGAAGTTGACGTGTCTCCCCGTTATATCAAGGCGCTCAACGAGTACAGTGTCCAGTCCGAGAGCATTGTCGGGGACAAAGAGTTGGAGAGTCTACTCTATGGCGTGGCAGACCTGCGGAAACGAAGAGACCAGGAAGGTCCTGAGGCAGAGGCAGAGGGTGGAAACGGCGTCACAGCAGACGCTGATGATTGAGCTAAGACGTTCGACAATACTTTACACCGACACCACAACCATTCGACCTCCACCTCTCATCTCACTACGCCACCGGCAAAGCCTGACTCCCCAACACCGACCCAGCCCCACCCTTCTGCTGCACCACCCCACTATCCCGAATCACCTCAAAACACCTCCTGTACGCCTCCCGAATCTCCGGAACCTCCACCTCCAACCCCTCCGCCTGATACCCCTTGACCGTCTCCAACAACTTGGTACTATCCAACGCACAATTACTCCTCTCCGCCACAATCACCCCGGCCTGGTCCTCGAGGGTGAAATTCTTCCACTCGTAGCTCGGATCCACGATGTCCTTGTACAAAGATAGGACCTCATTATGCGAGATGGCGCCCGGGTTCGTGAAATTGAAGACGCCAGTCTCGCGGTGTTCGGCCATGGCGATCACCACGGGCAGCAAATTCGGGAGGAGAGAGTGCGAGTTGGGGATGTCGACGACGCGGTTGTAGTTCAGGATCTTGGTCACGAAGGAGCGCGGATGCAGGTCTGCGGATACGGGCATGCGGAGGCGGAGGGTGAGGCACGACGGGTAGTTTTTGAGGAACGTCTCGATGGGGGCTTTGGTGGCGCTGTAAAAGGAGCCTGTGAAGTTGGGTGCGTCGGTTTCTTTGAAGGGCGCGGAGAGGAGGGTGCGGTTGTCGGGCGTGTAGGTTGAGGTGTAGATACCTCGTCGAGATCAGCAGCCATAACACACTATCAAACAAACACGGCAATGAAAAGGCTCTGGAAGACACTCACACCCCGTCGCAAGCACACAACAATGCACGCCCCTCTTCTCACACTCGCTCACCAACACCAACATCCCCAACCCATTACTCTCCATCGTCTCGAGCTTGTGCGTCTCGCACCAGTCGACGTTCGGACGCCCCGTCTTGCCCGCGCAGTTGATTACGTGCGTGGGCTGGATCTTGTCGAGCACCGCGCGGACTTCGGATTGTTCGTGCATGCGCGCGGTCGTGCCGTGCGCGGTTTTGCCTTGTTGGTGTAGGAGGGACAGGAGTTGGGAGCCGATCCAGCCTTCGGCGCCCCAGACTAGGAATATGGGGGCGGAGGGGGACATAGTGGGTGTGGTGGTGTGGTGTGGTGGTAGTTGGTTGGGGGAGTGTTGTTCAGGGGGTTGATGATCGCAGGAATTTGTTCTTGTGGGAGAGCAGTGTCAGGTGGAGAGAAGAGGATGATCGAGAACAGGCTGTTGTTGAGCACACCGTCTCGTAAAATACATCTTCCTCTCGACATTCGTGACTCACCCAGCCTCGCAGCAAGGGGCTTCGAACGAAGCGGTATGTCAAGTCCCAAGCAAGGGGGACCATCCTCCTGACAGCTCCTCTTTCTCGTCACTCACTTCCTTGCCTCCCTCTGCGTAACGTACGAATACCTTGTACACAGGTCAGCCCATCAGCTCGATCCAGACGTTATTGGTCACAAAGATGGAAGGAAGGAAGAACTCACGAGATAATTCCCCCAACAGCCAATACCACCCCAACCAAACTCCCATCCCTGAGCTGCTTCCCACTAACAATCCACCCCATCGCAATAATCGAACAAGTCTTGAAATGTCCCACGACCGTACTGCTCACGGGCCCTGCCTCGTTGATGATCAAGAACTGTGAGAGGTTGATCAGACAGGCCAGACCACCGCTCTATCATAACACCATACACATTAGCTTCGTCCTCATGAGCATGCGAATAATGGTAGACTCACGACAAATATCAGCCCTCCCTCTCTCCACCCCACCCCATGCACAAACCCCGAAACATCATCCGCAAGCGGAATAATATACACCATAAGAGCAACACTAACCGGCGCCTGATTCATCAGCAGCTGCATGCTCGAACACTGCAGCGAGCGATGATACTTCCCAATCCACACCGTATGAATCGCACTCGCCCCAAGCGCGCTGAAAGCAAAGAAGACCCCCAGCGGACTCGTCTCCTTGACCTGCGCTGTTGTGGATAAAGCGTCGAAATAGCTCACCACCGCCACGCCCACGCACACGGGCACCAGCATCCCCGCCGCGCGCATCGGGATCGTGAGACCGTAGAGCAGCAGGTTCAGGAGCGCGACGCAGGGCGTGAGGAGGACGCGGACAATCTGGTAGAATTGGATGCTGGAGTAGGCGAGGCTGGCGTTCATGAGGACGACGTTGCCGATCATGGCAAGGGCGAGGGGGAGGATTGTGAGGAAGGGGAAGGGCTTGGGCGTGAAGAGGCGGAAGGGGAGGTGCGGCGTCGAGGCGAGGTGGAGGAAGAGGTAGGTCAGGGTGAAGTGGAAGGCGGCGAAGAGGACTTGGATGTGCCGGAGGGAGGGGTTGGTGAAGAGGAGTTTGTTCGTGAATACCTGGAAATTCATTTTGTTAGCTTGTTTTCTGGACGACAATTCTACAGTCTTGATGGATTTGGCTTACGATGCCGACGGTTGAGAGGGAGTTGACACCAGCCGCGATCCAGAAACGTTTGGAGAGGCCTTGGTTGGCGGTCTTGTGCATTGAAGCCAAAGTGTTGCTTGTCGTCGGGTCATATTCTCCTTTTTCTTCATCTTGGACGTCCACGAGAAATGGTCTCGCTTCGAGGTATGTCAACTCGGTCGAGTCTTTCTTCTCCTCGTCGTCCGATATAGTCATGTTGCTTCGTCTTGGATAGTGAGCGTTTCGTGTGACAATCAAATCGATCGTTTTGCGGTGCACTTGATGGACACTCTCTCTCAACTCTGTGTCTCCCATCCAGCTCTTCACCCTGGCGTATCATTCCGCCTGACTCTCGCGTAACGCGTAAAGCACCACATTCCACCTCCCACAATGAAGCACCTCCTTGCACCCAAGGCATGACTCCTGGCCTGAACGATGCATCCCTCGAAGACTATCAAAATGAATAGTGCTTCCCAAGCACGATCCTTCCACAGCCTTCAAGCACGCAAGAACAATGGCAGCCGACATTGCGGGCTGGTCGTCGAGCGGTACGTACCCAAGCACTTCTCTCATCATCCAGAACTGATAGAAAAAATCAGGAGGCAGTCTCGAATCCCGCTTCTTCGTCGACACGGGCATCTGGCGCGACGCCCCGCTCCTCAAAGGCCAAACCTCCTTCTCGCCCCTCCCAGACGTGCGAAACATCCTCGTAACAGGCGGCGAAGGGTTCATGTGCGTATCCCCCTCCACCACAAACCCCCCTCCCAACATCTCAAACCTCAAAACTGATTCGCATGGTCTTTTTCTCCAGCGCCTCCTGGCTCGTCCGCCACCTCGTCCTCACCTACCCATCCACCTACAACATCATCTCCTTCGACAAGCTCGACTACTGCAGTTCGCTCAACAACGCGCGCATGCTCGAAGGGCGGCCGAATTTCAAGTTCTTCCATGGGGATTTGCTGAAGTCCGGCGATGTGTTGAGGTGTTTGAGGACGTATGAGATTGATACGGTTTTCCATTTGGCGGCGCAGAGTCATGTGGATTTGTCGTTTGGGAATAGTTATTCGTTTACGAGTAGTGAGTTTTTTCTTATTCCTTCCTTTTGGAAAATCTTTTTGGAGGGAGATGTGGAAAGGAAGGGGATGGGAGTGGTTGGGGTTGAGGCTGATGTGATGTGTGTGATGATAGATAATGTCGTCGGCACGCATGTCTTGCTCGAGAGTGTCATTGCCGTCAAGACGATTAAGCGGTTCTATCACATCTCGACAGATGAGGTATGTCTATCCATTACTGTCCAAGGGAAATATATGAACTTCACTCACCTTTGATTTACAGGTCTACGGCGAAGTCGAAACCGACGCAGCAGACTTGACCGAACACAGCGTCCTGAGCCCAACGAACCCCTACGCCGCCAGCAAAGCAGCCGCCGAGATGTTCGTCACGGCTTATGTGAACAGTTTCCGCCTGCCGGCCGTCATCATTCGGCTGAACAACGTGTATGGTCCACACCAAGTGAGTACCGCATCACACAGTGACAGTCCAGGAGAGGCACTGACAAGTCTTCCAGTTTCCTGAGAGTTCGTGTGCCAGAGAGCCATAGATCGATCTCTGCTGACGATGGATTTTGTGGCAGAAATCATCCCCAAATTCATCAATCTCCTCCAACGTAAGAAGCCACTCTACATCCACGGCTCCGGGCACAATACGAGACGATTCCTCTACGCGGGCGACGCCGCAGATGCCTTTGACACCATCCTGCACCGTGGGGAGATAGGCCGGACGTACAGTAAGTGCGAAGGATAGCACCCCTAGACGAGACATGCATCGATCATGCCTAACATTCGTCAACACGACCAGACGTCGACTCCCGCGACGAAATCTCCAACCTCGACCTCGCCGCCAAACTCCTCTCCACCTTCGGCGTGTCAGACACGACATCCTCGATCCAGCACACCAAAGATCGGCCCTTCAACGACAAGCGGTACGCCGTGGACGGTTCCAAACTGAGACAGTTGGGCTGGCAGCCGCACGTGTCATTCGAAGAGGGCCTGGCCAGCACGGTGGAATGGTATGGCAAGTTCTCCGGGTGGTGGGGCGAGATTGACAGTATCCTGAGTCCGTTCCCGGAAGTGGTGAAGAAGGAAGGAGCTGGTGGTGGTGTCGATGGGGAGGAAGGGGAGGGGAGGGCTTCTGGATCGGGGCGAGAAGGTACAGGGACGATCATGCAGGCTGGTGTTGGTGCGGAGGCGAATAATGGCACCAAGAAGGCGAATGGTGTCAATGGGGCGAGTAAGAAGAGGAAGGCGGACGCTATGGAGGATGATGGGTAGGATGTAGCCACATGTAGCGACGTACCTGATATGCAGCTTGAGCCTGAGTGAATGCCTGATGACATGTCATAGGCGGTGCGAGTGGATGGAGAGGCCTCGATACAGCCAGCAAGCAGCATACTCCCGTCCGGCATTGGCATCCTTTTCGCAAGCGGTTCGTATCATCGTCGTGAGTAATGTCGTCGTTCGTGCAAGAGGCAGAGTCATGCCATCGTTCGCTTCAGCATCCCCTAAGCATATTCTTTCTTGGGTCAAAGACGAGAGCAAGGACCCTGCCTAACCACGCACGATTCACTGACTAGGCGGGGCGAGACACGCATTCCTGGCCCAGTCGTGCAAAGTGCGTCACGGTCCCACCCCAAAGGCATGGGAACTTGTCATGTGCACTTACACCATGCTCCGGAGGGTGAGCGACTCGAGCAAGCAAGATTTCGAAACCGGCTCCGGCTATGTGTTCATTCCCACCTAGGCAAGGGTCCAACGAATTTCTTGCGTTGTTGCGTGGATTGAGCTCCTTCCTTCAGAGCATGACATGCCCCCATGTTCGCGATGATGCTGATGGGGGAAGGAAGGGTGCTGCTTTTTATCGATGGTATTATTCCTGGACATGGGATCTGATTGTTTCTTCGTTCGTGATGACGTTCGGTGCTACCCCCGCCGTCCAATCATGCGTTCGTCGCCCATCTTTTCGTCTCCATCTCGTCGGCGTCTACCCGAACACTCACTCACGTGCGCAGATAGGACCAGGATATCACAACAACAACTCCACACGTGCCCATCATTCAAATCGTTCAACACTCCCTTCCAGTATTCCCAGCAAATCGTCCCCATGTAGAATAGCGCAGTCCTCTCATCTCCAGCAAAATCCACCTACCAAACCACCCCCCGATAAAACGCACCACATCGTCATCCTTACAGGGTAGCATCCACCTCGCAACGTTACATCGAGTTTTCCGACCCCTGATTGGGCGGCCGTTGCGGCAGGGGCCAGCCAGCAATCCCTCACATCCTGGCCAGGGTGATCGGCACGCCACTTACGCGAGCTAGCAGAGATGGTGTGCGGCGTGGCTTGCAGCGCGAGACTGCATCTCCTTGGACCCGACTGATTGTGTGTGAGAGCAGAGAAAGGGTCTTGATCATGGCTTGCTTTGCATGCATGCACTCTGCCTCGGTGCATGTCGGTAGAGCTCGACAGCCTGATCGTCGGTGAGCTGAGCTGTGCTGGCTGAGCTTTGTAGTATGTGAGTTTGGTGTTGGTGTTTGTGTGAGTGTTGATGGTGGTATGGTGATGGGATGAAGGTGGTCGTTTGAACGGTGTAGATTATCATCGCTACCCATTTCGTCCATATCATTCCCAGAAGGCCATTACGCCTCTTCCCATTCGCGTTGTAGCAGTTACTTGTACATATAGCGAGCGCGCTGATAGCGACCGTACAAAGATTCCACTGGACTTTTCAGCTGCCGTGCATATGTAAAATTGCAGTCTTCTCCAAATCAAAAACTGCTGTGGCATACCAGCCCATCACCACTTTCCCAGCATATACTCGTACAGGCCTGCACTGGTGCTGTGTGCGGCTATTTCCCGTACGCCTGAAAACGCCGTGCAAAAGCAAGCTGTCCAAGAATCTTTCCGCTGCCGAAAATTGGGGTATCAAAGTCGAAGTAAGCGATCGTCGTTGAAACAAATTCCAGAACCGAACGCCTGTCGATCCGTCGACTGCACGTCCGTGTGCCTGGTCGACTGCGCGCTGTACAGGGCGGCGATAAACATCGTATGAAAATCAAATAGTCGTGAATTACTCCTCGTCATCGTCAGGAGATGGGTGGTCTTGGCCCTCGCCCTTGTGGACCTTGCGATGTCTTCGCAGATTCGAGACGACGGAGAAATGGCGGCCACAGCCTTCAACATCACAGGCAAATGCTAGGAGGTATTAGTAAGAGTTGACAAAAGACACTCATCAATAAACTCACGCTTCTCGCCGGTGTGGCTGTACATATGTGTTTGGAGCGAGCTTGGTCGCGTGAATCGCTTGTCACAAATCTTGCACTTGTGCTTCTTTTGCGAGCTCGAGGAGACTTTGGAGCTGAATTGTCCCATCATCGATTGTGGTGCGGGTGGGAGCGCGCCTCCAATGAGACCGTTCGGGCGGGGGAGCGTTCGCGATGGCATGTCGACAGATTCGCTGGCAGAGCTGTAGTCGCCAACCGATGCTTCACTGACGGAGCTGTAGTACGACGTCGGGTAGGTGCTCGCTGATGAGATCGAGGAATGCGACGAATGTGCGGATGGGAATCCATATGAATCGGTGGAGCTTCGTCCTGAATTCGCACCACCATAGATGTTCCTCGGGGTGATGTCTGACTGGCTCATGGCGACCATGCCACGGCTGGCGTCGAGAGCATCGCTGAAGCTTTGGCGCTCGGCTTCTGAAGCATTGTTCATTCTGTTGTTGATGTCAATCAATGAGCTTTGGCGGAATTTCTGGACCTCAATGGGATCGCCCATGAACAAGGTTGAGGGTACTGACGGGTGCGACGAGCGCCTGTCGTATTGAGAGTACGCAGCAGCATATTGAGGTGCTGAAGTAGGCGCGTATGATTGGTGAGGTGGACCCGATGTGTATGGAGCACCGTAAGGCCTGGGAGCGTTCATTCCATCTTGATCGTACTGTAAGCTATTCTGCTGGAAGAGCTCTGGGTCCACTGGAATAATACCTGAAGCCATGGCAGGAGCGGAGATGTGTTGACCGCCAGCATACGCAGCCGAAACGTTGGGTGCCTGGACGTATCGCGCGTCGCCGCCCACAGTGGTCTGTGGCATTGAGGTCGCGTACATCTGCCCATGCGTGGTGGGAGGTGCAGACACCCAAGGGTTCGTGAACTGCGGTGCCTGGGGATATCTCATAGCGTCGTAGCCCATGTTGCTGAACTGATGGTGCTGCTGGCGGGAGTCGACGGCCATTGCCATTGCGGGTAGGTGATGGTAGGACGGTGGTGGAGAGATGAAGTCGTTGTGGGTATGGTCGACAGCAGTTGAAACAGCAGTATTAGCCTTGCGGCCACGCGTGAGGTGATCAACGCTGGAGAACGAGCTTCAGGAACGTGGAGAGACGATCGATCTTGGAGGATGTGCGGGATCAGCGTGCTTAAGTGTTCCGTCTCCTCGAGGCTGGGAGCATCCGCAGGCCAGTGGGCAGTGACAATCCGAAGGAGGTAGTGATCTGAGAGACCGGTGGTTCCTGGAGGGAGGCGCGAGGCTGTCAATGGACGGCGGGCAGACCCCTATGCAGCTAGAGGGCCGGGTTGAGAGCCGTCGACGAGAGCGGGCTCTGTGTTTCAGGCGGTGCAGGTTCCTGACGCAGGCTTGCAGCGTTTGCGACAGTCGAGCGGGTTGACGAACGGTTGCGCACGAAGAGAGTAGGGATGTGCGGTGAGGGAGGAGGTCGGTGGACGAGCGCGAGAATCGACAGGATGGTCGAGGACTAGCAGGCGAGTCTGTTGCAGCCCAAGATAACGCGGGCGCTGGTTGGAAGTCAGAGAGTCAATCTTTTGTGGAGCGACGCTGATCTTCCACCTAGACGGCCGCGCAGTCTTGATATGTGTGTTGGGCGGTGCACGCACCCTCGCACAAAGGATGACGGCACTGACGCTGTGGAGGAGAGGAGGAAGGCACGACGGCAAGCCAGCGACGCCCGCGCCAGAGCCAAAAGCGCGCGCCCACCCACGGCTGCAGCCACTCCCAGCGCCAGCACGCCAAAGGGTCTGTGTGCCGCACCGCTGAGAGGGCGTGCGCGAGAGGTGAAACGAGGCCGACGGGCGACAGATTCGTGGGGACTGCAGGGATGTGTGCGATCGCCTAAAGTGCCTGCCGCCAGCCCTGCGTCATTTTGGCAGGGAAAGAGCAAGCCAGCGCTGCCACCCACTCGCTCCCCCGCCGGCCATCGCATCACTGGGCAGATGCTCTCCACCATCACTTGATGCGCGATTCTAACTGACTGATGCTGTGGTTTCTTTTGCCTCGCTCCGCTATTGCTGGCGTGCGCCTTCCCCTCAGCGTCCTCGCTCGACCGCGTTTAACGTTTGCGCTGTCCGGAATACCTCGACCCGAGCCACATCCAGAGCACAACCCATCCATCCGCCCCGTCCAGACCCAGCACCGCAGCGTGACCACGCCAACTGTAATTGCTCGCCCACTTCGCTTGCCAACGTCTGCTGCTGTTATGTTTCGCATACTCATCTCCCAAGCGCAGGAATAGCAACATCGCCAACGGCCAGCCAGCCAGCGCCAGCCGGCTGATCAATGCAGCCTCGCCCGCACCCCATCGTCCAAGTGCCAGTGCCAGCACTTGTTGCGGTGTCTGGACGCCTTCAACGTCTGCAATCTGGAGCCCTCATCGGCACGCTAGCATTCATTCACCTCGCCCACTTGGCAGCGCGAAAAAGAGGGGTGGGGCCTCTGGAAATAAGCGAGCGAAAGCCGAAGCCATTGCTGTCCACTCCAACATCATTAGCACCCAATCGCCTTTTTTTGCACCTCTCCGCTATCCCACGCGTCTTGTCAGCTCTTCTCACCATTCGCATGCTCGCCCTCTCTTTGGGCCTCCGCCCCTGGTGCAATCCCAACCCATACCCGCACGCCTTGGGTCTTTCTCTACCCCTACCCTCCTCCCCCAGCGCCCTCTCACCCCCTAGCGCGCCACTGTCTCGCCAGCAGGCCCAGGGACCATTCACCTCTGTCCTCTGGTCTGCAGGTTCAAGCCACGGGCGGGCGCCACCTCTGTTAAGCTCGCTCCTCCGGCATCGCATTTCCGATCAGCCAAGCTCCTGCCAAACATGGCGTCCAGCCATACCGCTTTGGCCAGGCAATGACGGTTTATGCTTATGCGTAGTGCGAACCTTATGTGCCTACTGTTGACGACACCAGATTGGCACTGCAACCTTCCTGATGCGACGCTGCGACGCCCGCCGAACCTCGACTTTGCCGACCGACCGCGCTTCTTGCTGCTGCTGCTCCTTCTCCTGTCTCGTTCGTGCAGATACGGCTGCCGAGTCCAGCAAGCCTTGCGGAGATGCTTCTCACTTCTCGATTCCCCCCAGCTTCCACTCCGACCCGACTATCGAGACATCGAACCGCGGCTGTGAGCATTGCTTTCTTCGCGAGAGAGTTGACCATTCCCGCGAGCTGTCAGCGCTTGTGTCCGAAACGCGGCTCTTCCAGCAAGCCTTCCGCCCAACCTTGACTACGCTATCGGATTTGGCGTCTGCGCGCTGCTGGCGAAGGCTTCTTGACTCAAGTACGTTGGCGTCGCTGGAGAATGCCGTGAGCCTATTACCAGGCTAGTGCTCTGCGGTGGCGAACACCTCCGAGTCGTTGTCGACTCGACCCCGTCGGTCATGACCGTAACAAGAACATGCAACACGTGCATGCGATTTGCAGTCTGCACGTCTGTGTGTGCTCGGCACGCATCTGCTCGGTACGTTTCACCCTGACACTTTCAACACCTCTGGAATTCCCTCCTCTCCTTGAAAGATACGATGCGTGGGTGAAGTGCGGATTCCATCAAATGCGCCAAGCAGTGAGCACTCGACTACAACTAGCATCGACGATTGCCTTCTCCAAAGGACCCACCGCGCGACTGCAGACGGGTGAGGCGTCCATACGCCTGCTTTTACCGTTCAAAAGCGCACCGAAATACCACTCCCACATCATGCACGAGCCCCGGTTTCCTGCAAGATCGAAAGTCTGACCCGGAGGGCGTCGGCGCCACTATCTGAATCCCTCTGCGCCCGTGAGAGCGCCACCGCCCACTTGCTGAAAGGTAAGCCTCGGATGGACACCCATTTTGGCGAAAGGGTGAGGAGGTGATCCGAGCACATTGAGAACGCAACGGCTGCTAGAGATGGTGCGACAAACGATAGCTACCGCTTCTCTTTCTCGTGATAGCTTTTCCGTCGTCGTCGCCGAGCGAGTTGACATCCCACGCCGAGGTGCGGTATCGACAATACCCGTGCGCAATCTCCACATGCCGAGACGTCGCATCCTTTCTTGCTAGCAACTCTCGCGAGAAGCAGTTGCCAAGGAGAAGTTGGTATGCGAACCCCAGTAGTACTGTAAGTATCTCTTTTAACCTAACAGCAGCTGATTGAACTCCCGTGATTGCACTTTCATGTCTCACTTTCATCTATTCAAGAATAAATCTGTGATGGAGGCACCTCATCACGCGACATGAAGAACAAGGAGAGGAAAAAGGAAAAAGTCTCCCTGAGGTTTCTAAGAATAGACCAGCCCCAAAGGTTCGACATGCAAAGTCGAGAGGACTCTCCCCTTTCGTTCCAGTGTATGGAATTGACGTCTCTGCGATTCTCCACAAGCAACTGCGCTGCGGAATGCCCTTCAAGCTGCTTAGGCGGCCTAGGAGGAATTGGGATGCCACGCAAAACCATGAACACCTCTCTGCCGTACCAGCGGCAGCAGCAGCAAGTCATGAAAATAGAGAGAAAGAGCAAAAGAATGGACGTCTCCCTCTCCCAGCGTCTCGGTAACTTCGAATTGGAAAACACCAGACACTCTGGTTCATGTAAGCCCCCACATACAGCTGTCTTTCTCTGGCTCTGTCTCCAATTTCCAGGACCAACATTTCGAGTCGTGGCCGCGTAGTACATACATGTCTTGCGGAACCGAGTCCGTCTGTGAGCCTCAAAGTGAGACATCACCTCCTGATCAGTACTTACGGGTTGTGACTCCCTTTTTTGTTTCTTTTTGGGTGGTGTACGTGTCTTCTTCGCGGATGGGAGGATTGTAAAGGTTGAGGGGATGGAGGGAGAAAGAAGGGCCTGAATGGTGTTCACGACTGCGAGGCATACCGGAGATCATCAAGTGTGCGACGAAGAGGAAAAACAAATCGAGCCTTCTAAGCCGGCCAGTGCCTTACGGAATGTTGCAATCTTCGACTTGCCGAGACAGACGAGTTCGGACAGACCGATTCCACCATCGATCGAAAACTCTACAAGTCCGACCGAGGAGCCAAAAGGCAAAAAATCAATCGATCTGAACTGATCTTGAATGAATGTATGTGCATCGGCCGGGACTAGTCGTATGTCAGCCAAGTCTCATGAGACGGCAAGTATGTATATAAACACTCACATCGAACCCGGGCCTCATCAATGGCAATGATGAATTCTACCACTGAACCACCAATGCTGGCTATAATTCGTTCGAATTGAATGGAGTTATGAAATTGGAGTTGTGATATATAGGTTAGTGCGTGTGTGCGGGTATGAAGAAAAGATTTTCTCCGGCACGGGTTCGGCGAATCTGCCGAACGACACTACTTCACGGACACACGAGGAGGATGTTATGCAGCGAAGATCCACTAGAAAGAGACGGATGAGATGAGATGAGATGAGATCTGTCCTACGACTCGCTTCTACGCGTATGGGACGTCCGCGGAGCGTGCAGATGTGAGAGTGATTGACACGGAAAATCGGCAAGCGGACAAAGGCTTGGTTGGACTTCACCTCCACGACGACGATCGTGAGCGAGTGAGTAAGAAGAGCAGGAGAGATGAGGTAAGCGGGTGGATCGGATGGGTTGGGAAGGCTTGTCTTGACATTGGAATAAAGGTCTCTGGTTGCGAGTCTTCGAAGATGGGTTTATGTGTTGCTTTGGAAATACATGAGCGAGTCTTCACTCTTCAGTGCTCATCAAAATCTCCTCGAGGCCGAACTCCTCTCCCTCGCCACCGATATCCCCCGCCTGTTTCCAGAATTTGGATAAATGCCTCGTCCCGGAATCACACAGAATCGTCACGACTCTCTTGCCCTTCCCCAACTCCCTCGCCACCCGCGCAGCAGCAACGCAGTTCACCGCGCTACTCGCCCCGACGAACAACCCCTCCTTCTCGACTAGCCACCTCGCCATCTTCATAGCCTGCTCGTCAGTCACTTTGACAGCGTCGTCTACGAGGTGTAGTCCAGCGGACATGTTCGCCGTGAGTCGGTTAATCCCAATCCCCTCGACGATGCTGTCGACTTGATGTCTTCGTCTGGTGCCTTCTGCTTCAGTCGGGCTGAACATAACCCCATACTTGATCTTGTTAAACAACCCCGAACCCTGCGGATCCGCAAGCACGACTCTCAACTCCGGCAGGAGAGGCTTCAATGCCAGCGCCACACCTGAGAGCGTCCCGCCCGTCCCTGCGCCCGCGACGAAGGCATCGAGTTTCCCGCCCGTTTGAGCGTAGATTTCCGGTCCGGTGGTTTCCTGGTGCGCGAGGTAGTTGGCGGTGTTTTCGAATTGGTCGGCGAAGAAGCCTCTCCCGGGGGTGTTGGGGTCGGCGGTGTGTTCTTGGGCGCGGCGGCGGGCGGTGTTGACGAATTGGTTTTGGTCGACGATGGAGGCTGGGAGGACGCGTTCGACGGTTGCGCCGAGTTTGAGGAGGAGGTCGGATTTTTCGATGGAGACGTCTGAGGGCATGCAGCTGTAGAAGAGAGATGGTCTTAGATTATGTGAAGAGGCTACTATGTATTGGAGTGATTGTGACTACGTACATGTGGGCTTTGTAGCCTCGCGCGCGGGCTACAGAGGCGAGGGAGATGCCGGTTGAGCCTACTGTGCCTTCGTAGATGGTATCGCCTCGATCGGGCTGCAGGATACCGTCTTCTTCGGCATGGGTGATCATGGACAGAGCGACTCTGTCTTTGGGCGAGTTGCCAGCCCCATTGAGAAATTCAGCTTTAGCAAAAATCTCACACCCAGTAGCATCAGAGAGAGACCTCAGCTTAATGAGCGGCGTGTTCCCAATCAATCCCTCAACCCCAACACTGATATCCTCCCTGGACGCATCACCCTCGCCCGACCTACGCGGATCATCCCCGCCATCAGTCAAAGGGAAAATGGAAGATTTCCGCCTCGTGTGGTCCTCCAACCGCACATAATCCGACTCTCGAGGGCGCGGATGCGGCGTCCCTCGCAACTGCCGCACCCTCCTGCGATACGCGAGCTCGAGGTCAGGATACAAATCCTTGAAGCCCAATGTCACCAGGATGCCTAACAGAAACCCGCCGGTGGCTGTGAGCTTGTGCCTGTTATCGATGATGCTGTCCCAGATGCGATGCCATACGTCAGTGAAGAATGAGGCCATGTCGGGCTGTGGTCTGTGGTGGTTAGTGTTATTTCACCGCAACTCCATCGCTTCGAGGGCGGAAGATTTGGAATTGAAGGCGACGCGTGGAAAGGAGGTGGTTCGGTTGGGTTGATGTCGGGAGAATGTCCAAGGTGAAGTCGCGAGTTTTGACTTTGGTGGTGTCGCGTGGCCCAAGCTTCCGCTCTCTTCCCCGATCTATCTCCGCAAGGGTGACAGCAGATTGGAGCAGACCGCACGCACGAGGGCGCGCGGTATGGACACTTCCGCCCTGGTCGTCAATCGCCTGTTCAGACAATTGGCTACCCACCGATTCTGCCAGCATGCACGGCGCAGTCAGGCTGCTGTACCGGCGCAATGGCAATGCCAGAAGCGCCAATCCTCCACCTTGAAGAGAGACAAGGAAAGCACATGGCAGCAACGAACCGACCACTTCCCCAGCGACAAGGCAGAAGAATACAAGAGATACCCCAATGTCACGGCAGACCAGCTACGAGGGCGACGGCAGAGGCCGCGGCGAGTCAAGATGTTGATGAGGGACTTCATCGAGGACAGCTTGTACAACCCGCACTATGGCTACTTCAGCAAAAACGTCACAATCTTCACGCCCGGGGAACCCTTTGATTTCAGCAGGATAAGAGATGAGCCGGAGTTTTACAAGATCTTAGGGGAGAGATACACACAGTTTGAGGACGAGTTGGATGAGAAGGAGTTCAACGATGCCAGACAGCTTTGGCATACCCCAACAGAGCTGTTTCGCCCATACTATGGGGATGCAATAGCGAGGTACATGGTGGCCAACTACAAGTTGACTGAATACCCCTACCACGACCTGGTGATATACGAAATGGGAGCTGGAAATGGAACCCTCATGTTGAACATCCTCGACTACATCCGCTACGCAGAACCAGACGTCTACGCCAGGACCAAATTCCGCATCATCGAAGTCTCGACCGCCTTAGCATCCCTCCAAGCCCAGAAAATCCAAGCCACCGCCTCCAGCAGAGGCCACCACAACAAAGTCGAAATCATCAACAAATCCATCTTCGACTGGGATCTCTACGTACCAACCCCCTGCTTCTTCCTCGCCATGGAAGTCTTCGACAACTTCGCCCACGATGTCCTACGCTACGACCCGTTTACCGAAGAAGTCATGCAAGGCTCGGTCCTCATCGACTCGGAAGGCGACTTCTACGAATTCTACTCCCGCACCCTGGACCCCGTAGCCTCTCGCTTTCTCCGCGTGCGCGACGCAGCCTGTCAAGACAGACCATACCCACACCCGTTACGCCAATCACGCCTGATGCGCTCCCTCCGCCACCGCCTCCCCTTCGCCCCAAACCTCTCCCTCCCAGAGTACATCCCCACGCGCCTCATGCAATTCTTCTACATCCTCACCTCCAAATTCCCCGCCCACCGCCTCATAACCTCCGACTTCCACTCCCTCCCGCAAGCAATTCCCGGCTACAACGCCCCCGTGGTCCAAACCCGCTACCAGCGCCGCACCGTCCCCGTCACCACCCCCCTAGTCCAACAGGGCTATTTCGACATCTTATTCCCGACAGAGTTCGGCGTCATGGAGGACATCTACCGCGCGGTGACGGGACGCTTGACGAGGACGATGACGCACGAGGACTTCTTCACGCGCTGGGCGTATGTGGAGGATACGAGGATGAGGAGTGGGGAGAATGCGCTGTTGGGGTGGTATAAGAATGCGAGTGTTATGGTTACCGTGTGAGATAAATAAGGAAATGACAAGTTGTTGTTCTCGCACCACACACTTTGAAGTTGGTTATTCGTTTCAAGATTTTTCTGATACTGGCACTAGTATGATGTATAGCTTGAGGTGCGTCAAGCATGTTCTGACTATTGGAGATGGGAGGTTGTTCGACTTGGCCCCCGAGGGACAAGGATGTTCTGATTGAGCGTCTTCGATTGATATGTGTTAGCATCGCCAGCCGTGAAGCAGAGTGAGAACTACTCATCGAGGATTGGAGAGCAGAGCTCAACCCTGTCGAAGGTGAGGTACAAGGATCTATGTATTGATCGTAGGTGCTCGAGGTCGCAGCGCCACATACCGTACAGAGAGACAACTCTTGTGTGGGTAGAATGGGGTCGACTTCTGCTGATTTTGTATCTTGACTGATCATTCAAAGCAACTGCGTGAGCACTACTATTGTCAATACCGCCATATCTCTGCACACATTACCAGCAAAGCACCATCGTCCCACATCCCATCAGCAAACAGTGTCCCTCAAGCCAACTCATCCTCATCCGAATCGACCTCCCTCACAGGCGTCTCAACAACCCTCTTGCCTAAGCTCGAGCGCCTCGCACTAGCCACGGAAGCTGAGCGGCTCATGAAGATCGGTGACTGAGCCCTGACTGGAGTCTCCTTCATGAGCTGCGACAAGCGACTCGTAGATGGCCGGGGCGTGACGAGCTTCTTGGGGAGTGCGCTGGCGGGTGTGCGCGGCTTCATGAACAAGGGCGAACTCGATGGCACTGCCGCTGCCTTGGGATCTCGAGTCCTCTTGGAACTGGACGACTTGACAACCGGCTCGGCAGCATCCGAACTGAGTGGATCACGATTGATGTCCGAGGTAGGCAGGACGTTCAACGATCCTCGCCGCGATGGTGGGGATGTTAGCAAGTCGAGCTCATCGACCTCGTGAAGAGAGGCGCTCGGAGACAGCTCGTCCTCATCGTCGCTGTTAGCAATTTCGATAACACGAGGTGTCTCCTTTCTTGAAGTACCGCCATTCTTTAATATGCTCTTCATGGGTGTCTCTCGTCTTGACGTCTGTTGTCCAGGAGAACTGAGTTGACCAGATGACTTTGCAGGGGATGAAAGTTCGTCAATCGTCCCATCGTCGGCGGAAGTATCATTGGCGTCTCTGGCGTTGATGTTCGACATAATCCTTCGCTGCTTGGGCGCCACGTTGACGACAATGGTTTCGTCTGCGTCCGTGACGAATGAGGACTCATTGTCTTCAGGCACGTATGGATCGTCCCCGTTAGAATTGAACCTGACATTCCGCCGAGAAGGTCTGCTTGCCGGAGCTGACTCTTGACTGAACGAAACAGAAGGTCCGCCTCGATTCCCGTCTTGAGTTACTTCTCCTTCGTGCACCAGCCGCCAACCTGAACGACCTTCGTCAACGACTCGCTCGAAGGACGGTTTCTTATTGAGTGCCGTGCGAACGGCCAGCTTCCAATTACCGTCAGGAACGTGGTCCGCTTCGACCGCGGCGTAAATATCCTTCAGTGGCATGAAATCGCGATGGTCTGTCTTGAACACTTTTAGGATCGATTCATGTGGCGACCAATCGAGGTCTGATCTGCGAGGCCGACCTCGCACTTTCTTGCCCTCTGGCACAAAAACGAGAGCCCCCTGGTCGTTTTTGGGACTGGCAGATGGTTCCTGATCGGTGAACATGTCGGTGTCGATTGCCCTGCTCCTGCTGCTGGATGGAGCGTTGCTTGTTTCCACTCGAGTGGCACTAGTCTCACCATTGTTTTCAACTGGGAGTGCGAAAAGCTCGGCGTTCCGTCTTGAAGCATCGTTAAAGGCCGCTCTCCGTGGTCGCCTTGTACTGTTTGGCTGCTGAGATCTAGTGTCTTGTCGCTGCTCGCCGTGTTGCACTGCGTTTGCCTCCTCCAACCGGGCCGCAGTAGTAGTCTTATGGCGCCCCGCGACTGAGGTTGCCGCGGAAGTGAAGTCCGAGCCGTTCAGCTGCGACGCTGGTGGGCGTGTAGGTGTGCGGACTGGCAACCGTTGTGACGTCGCTGGTGGTTGCTGAGATGCCGGGGCGGCTTCTCCCGATTGTGACTGCGTCGCCCTGGACTGCAACAACCTCTTTTCGCCACGGCCTGCTGGCGAGGGGTCTACAATGTGTTCGAACGCACTCAACATGTCCGAGGTGCTCGCAGAGCTGGTCGAGGCTAACCCAAGAAGCTGATGGAGTCGGTCATCGTCTGGGTTCTTTTCAAAAATCTCCTTCACTCGGCTGAACAGAGCCGGGTTCTTTTGCTGGATAGCAAACTTTGTCGCAGCATGCATAAGGTTCTGGTACATCTGGTCATCGCCAACTTCGGACGACTCGGAAGACGACTCGTCCTGAGCCGCCGGTGGAGCTGCAGTGGCCCTAGTCCGATCAGTTGGGGATGGCGTCTGAAGTGAAGATGCCATTTCTTGGAGCAGCTGCTGCGACGGTGTCTCTGAATCTCGAGAGGAAGTCGTCTTCGACGGATTTCCATTCTGGTCAAAAGACATCGCCGCCGATCCCATATCAGAACGTCTGCGTAAGCTGTTATCCAGAGCTTTGCGAAGCAGTGGGTTTTGGGAACGCGAAGCAGACGGTAACGTGGATGGAAGGCTCTTGCGAGGAGGTCCACTCTTGTTCTTACCTTGTTCCTGGCGACCCGAGGACGCTGAAACAGGGAACATATGCTGAGGTCGTTGCGAGGACGCAGGCTGCTGGGCATTAGGCTGTGTTGGTGTAGAAGCTGCTGCGGTTTGTTGAACTGGCCGAGCCGGAAGTTGTGAAGAGTTCGCAGTAGTGGTCGGATCCAGAACAACTCTGCTCGTCACGGCTCGTGCTGGCCTAATGGTATCGGCGTATCGAGAAGAAATCGAGTTGACGCTTCTACCCGGAAGTTGCATTGCAATGTCTTCCCAGGACAAGCCCCGCATCTCCCTGAGTTGCAGAATTGCATCATCTTCATCTTCAGTAAACGGAGTCCGCGAGCCAGGTCCAGCCTTAGACTTCTTTTGTGGTGACTTTGGTAGAACAGCTGTCGTATCCAGCGACTCAGATACCACAGCCATGTTATTGAAAGACTGCTGCCGAGAAGGATGCAACGGCGGGATGCGAGGTGCAGTTGAACGCGGCCGGATGACTTTGTGACCAGAGGCTCGGATCGGCACAGCGGTCGAGGCGGCCGGTGGAGGCACTGAAGGCGGAGCGTTGAACTCAATGACTCCCATGCCTGGATAAGGCGCAGGCTGCGAATATTTGGATTGCCGAGCAGCAATGGTGGCAAGTCTCTCTGCTTCTTGCCGCGCGGCTTCAGCTTCAGCTCCATATTTGTACTCGTATCGATGCCTGGCAGCATCTGCCGTTCGTCCAGGCAGTCTCTGAGCAATAACCTCCCAGGAAAGCCAATAATCGTCCTTCATTGTCTTGATGAGACGATCCTCTTCAGGGCTGTACAGGGCAGCGCCAGCTATTCCCGATAATCGCGGATCGACAGCGAGCAGACGGTCTTCCATGGAGCCTTTGACAACATCGTGCTTGCTCGTTGGAGTGACCTTGCGTACCTGTGGTGCAAGGCTTCGGGAATATCGCCTCTGGATTGAAGCCAACGGACGGCTGCGAAGCTGCTTCCCTATTTCAGACCACTGAAGGCCTTCAACTTCCCTCAAACGGACGATTAATGCGTCTTCTTCTGGTGAAAAATAGAGCATCCAATTCGCGACCTTCTCTTCAGCGTCTGCGTAATCTTCAGACTTAAGCGTGGGCAGATTGTACTTCTGCTGGTGTTGTTCCATTCCTCGTTGGGCAAGCAATTCGTAGCGCTCTTCGACAGCTTCGGGTGAATGACCGGGCAACAGGCTCGCAATCTCGTGCCACTCAAGCTCTTGATCTTCGCGGAGCTCTAAAAGCAACTCATCTTGATTTTCGTTCCACGCCAAGTCTTCCCTCAATACAGGGTCAGGTCCTTCATCGTTGGGGTTGGCTTCGGCCTGAGCTTCCAACCAGTCACGGGCGGGATTGCGGCCAAACTTCAGTTCTCTGGTGTACCTCCCCGATACGGCGTATGGACTTCGATGGGGGAAATAAGGAGTTATCTCGTCCCAGGTTAGCTTCTCCTGCTCCTTCAAGCGGATGATGAGTATATCTTCCTCTATCGAGAAGTAGCCCTTCTTTCGACTTGGGGAGGTAATGAGTGTCCTCGAAGTATTGGCCAGATATCCGCCTTCAGACTGAACGCCAGTCTGTGAGCCTTCAGCTGCCAAGGTTACTGCGCGGTCAGCGGACTGGGCTTGGTGTTGCGGTACGGCTCTAAATTGTGCAGTCTCCTCGCGAGCAACATCAATCACATGATCCCGGGCCCACTCATGATCCTGGGTTCCTTCATATTGCTCGTGCAGAGTGGCCCTCGAATTGCGCAGGTGGCGATCACTTTGGCGAGACCGTGAATCATCGTTTGGTGGCTCCTCCTCAGATTCATCTTGGCCACTATCACGGTCCGATGTCTCACTTGCAATAGGGCTATTAGAGATCCGCTGTGGATACCGAGATGAGGTATTTTCAGGCTGGTGTTGTTGTCGGTGTGCATCGTCCGTTGCCATCCGGCTCTGGGCTGTGCTGGGACCAGAATGATGTTGCACATTTGGATCAGGGTCGGGAACATTCGTTGGGATCGGCCGATAGAAGTAAGATCCCGCCGGCTCCAGTATTTGCGTACCTCTGACATTATCATGCTCATCTGCATTGCCATCGGTCTGCACTCGCGTAGTGTTTGGCACAGGTACAACCTCGACTGGAGGAGTAGCCTGCCGTCGTCGCGATCGAGAGTGCTCCTGGGTGTTTCTTACGTCTCGATACTCCCGAGTTTCTTCATCTTGCTCATCGGCAGACGGCGTCGGCGAATCAAAAGGCTTCATGCGCCGATTGTGCAGATAATATCTCGCACATGATTCGCAAAGATCCTGTCCATGAGGGCCCTTCTGCCAGCCGGGAGTGGAAGTAAGGCTGCAGTTCCAGCACCGTCTCACTTCCTTTCTGCTCGTTCCTGCGCCCGAAGATGGCAACTGCAATCGTTTGCTTCTAGTCACTGCGGGTCTGGCTTGAGGCTGCTCTTGCTCTCGGCGTGAACGCTTTGAGGGACGAACAGAACCTTCGGGAGCCCAGAGCGACTCTTCTCCAGGTGAGCCAGGGGCTGGAGATGAGGGGAGGGGCAGTGCAATCGGACTGGGGCTACGACGTCGCTTCTTTCGAGGCCTTGGTGCAAGCTCTGGATAGTCCCAGACAGATTGCTTGGCGGCCTTTCTCTCTTTGGCTCGAGCTTCTTTGCGCTTGCTCTTCGATGGCCCAGCCATCAATTGTGCCAGCTGATTTGCGATGCTCACGCCAAGAGCTTCAATAGCCTCAGGCCCTACATCTGAGCGCTTAGCACGTGGCTGTAGAGCATGGATCGATTCTTGTAGCCCAGGCACTTTGCTAAGCACATTCGTCGGTGTTGAGGTACCAGATATGCTCTCGATCGAGGAGTCATCTTGGTTCTCCAGGCTTGCAGCCGTTGCCATGGCAGGCTGAGGTGTACCTTCTCCGACTAGTAGATGTGCCAAACGTGGAGCAGGTCGCGCAAGATCTCCAAACGCCCTCATTGCTTTGCGGGGAGAGAGGCGTCGCTGTCTTTGATGAGAGGCCGCATGTGCAGGCGAATGTCTGTACGCCGGTGTTTCCGATCTCTCATCACTGACTGACTCTTCATCTTCATCATCCTCAGTGCCATCATCATCCTCGTCTTCCTCATCTTCCTCTGACGAATTTTCATCCTCATAGCCCAGCTTCTCTTGAAACGTCTTCACGAATCTCGATGAAGCGCTCTTTCCTGGATCAGCCTCATGGCGCATGTGCTGCAGGTGTCCATTGTCGACCACGATGTCGCCGGAATCAATCTCGATCTCGTCCCCAATTCCCTCAAAGTCGTGCTCGTACTTGCGGAAGATGTGCTCAAACCGGGACTTGAGCTTCTGGTCGTTGTGATTTCGGTCCAGTTCCAGCTGTCGAAGATCATCAACTTCCGACTCCTCCCCACTCGACTCGTCGCGCTCGTTGCGCCGGTCCATGGTCGTTGAACGCCGCCCTGGCGTGTTGTTTGATCACACGTCCCTTTCGCGAGGGACGCGACGTGAAGTGGGAGGTGATGTCAGGCGCTAGTGGGAGATGGAAGGAAGGTTTGCCGGACGCTAAACCTTAAATCTGTTGACATTCACACCTTCCACGTGACGATGCACACACCTGCAACTTCCTACTCTGTCAACCCTACCTACTCTTGCGACGGAAAGGACTCACGGAGGCTGCAATGGGAATGCGATGCCGTTCGTGTCGATGGGATTAAGGATGACTTTTTCTTCGACTCCACCTGTCTGGAGCAACACATCGCCCGTTCGGAGGAATGTTTGCACGCGCCGAGGCTCGAAAGGAGGTCACAAAGGCTTCCGTACCATGACTGCTTCGTAAGGTACATCGTGCACAACTTATGTTTCGACAGATCGAGCAAGTGGTTTCGCGTTGCCTATAGGCATTGTAGGCATGCATTGGACTACCATTAACCCAAGAGGGCAAGGAGCATAACCACCCGCTAAGCAGAAGGATGCCCACGCGAGGTCAATGCGAGTTCAGCTTCTCATCAAGACTGTAGGGTGCAGGCCAAGCATTCGGCGATGTCGTTCCATGGACGAGCTGCTTGGAAAGCAGTGGTCAGCTTACCACTGACAGCAAAGAGCAGCTTACCGTTGGGACATCATGGACAAAAACATAAGATGCTCCCTTGATCGGCAGTGGACGGTCTATCAGTGCAAACATCCATTCGCACCAAGTCCTATCAGCCTCATCGACAAAGATTCATACAATGGCAACCACAATCTCCGCCCCGTTAGCTGGCAAAGTCGCCATCGTCACAGGCGGCAGCCGTGGCATAGGAGCCAGCATCGCCAGGAAACTCGCAGAGCAAGGCTGCACGCACATCAGCATCACCTACACCTCCAAGCCCGAAGGCGCCGAAGGAACCATCAACGAAATCCACAAGATCAACTCTTCAATCAAAACAACCGCCATCAAAGCCGACCTCCTAGACTCAGACTTCTCCGCCAAAGTCATCAACTCCACTCTCAAGGACCTACAAGTCAACCACATCGACATCCTCATCATCAACGCCGCAGTGATGGGCTCCGGCGAGACCAAACCCGACTTCGACAACTTCATCCACGGAAACGCCTGGGTCCCGCTCGAACTCTCCGAGGCCGCGGTCCCATACATGCCACAAGGCGGGCGCATCGTCATGATCTCCTCCGCCAGCTCCAAGACCGCCATGGGGAAGTCCATCCTCCAGTACGCCGCGAGCAAAGCGGCCATGGACGCGATTTCGAGGAATCTGGCCGTGGTCTATGGTCCTTCCAAGGGCATCACGGTCAACACCATCTCCGTCGGCGTGACCAAGACAGACGCCATGTTTGCGAATTCTCAGCAGAGTATGGAGGGGATGGATCGGGAGGGGTTTCTGCAGTTTGCGTCTGCTTTGAGCACGTTGCACCGGATTGGCGAGGCGGAGGAAGTTGCTGATATTGTCGTTTTCGTTGCTAGTCCGGCCTCCCAGTGGATCAATGGTGAGTCGTTGTCATCTCAGCATCCAAAGCGCGAAGCTAACCCTATGGCTAGGTAATCAAATCCCCGCGAATGGAGGTGTTCTGTCTATGGCTCAAAGCTAGAAATAGCAGAGCGCCTGTTGTTCGAACTAGTAGCAATGTCAATGTGATGCCTCTCCAGTAAAAGCAAAGTGCTCTGGCTAACGTGAGAACCAATTTAAGAACTGAAGCGAAGACTCAGGCCAGAAGTCATAAAGGAAGAACGAGCGAGGTCACGCTAAGGGCTCAGTAACAGCTACGGCTGTTCGGATATAGACTGAGTAGTCTTCGCGGGGTCTTGGAATTAACCTCAACATCAACCCCTCTCCAAACGGAGCACGTGAGATTCAATGAGGGCACTGTATAAGCACGAGGAACGACTGTGCACTTGTAGACTATTTGTCGTAAATGTTGTAGGAAGCTTTGTTAGGTCCGCGCCTTAATCGCAACCAAAATGGCAACACAAAAAACTGCTTATGTGACTGGTAAACGATTCAGAGTCTCTATTGTAGTTGATCAACGCTGACATCGATCCAGGCGGCGCAAGTGGCATTGGTCGGGCAGTAGTAGAGATGCTCGTAAGAAGAGGGTGCATTACTGATGGCCCTCGATTCGGATCGATATACCATGCTAATGTGTAACAGAGTCCGAGTAGCCATCGCCGACGTCAACCTACAAGGAGCGCAGTCTTTAGCCTCCACTCTCCAAGGCGCACTCGCCGTCGAGTTGAACGCCGCAGACTGGGACTCTCAACTGGCGGCCTTCAAGCAGATTCTGCAACAGTTCGGTAGAATCGACTATGTCTATGGCATTGCCGGTGTTGGAGAGCGCACGTGGATTCCAAACGATCCGAATGGTCTTGACTTTACGAAGCCGGATTTGACAACCCTGGACATCGATCTGAACGGTGTGTTGTACACCTCGGCGCTCGCGATCCAGCAGATGAGACGACAAGATCCTGATGAGCGAGGTATCAGGGGCAAAAGTAAGTTTTGAAGGCTAGTCTGGGCCGGACGCTGACTACATGCTACATATAGTCACCGTGGTAGCCTCTGTGTGTGGATTCTACTGTGTGCCAAGTTAGTACATCCATTTGCTCCATTGAAGGGACGAATCGATGCTGACCTTCAACAGCACTGCCGATATACACAGCAGCAAAACAGTATGTATCTTTCGCCGAACCGGCGAAATCGTAAAGCTGAGACTAGTACAGCGGCGTCGTTGGTTTTGTCAGGTCCTTTGGCAAGCACCTGCCCACCGATGGCATCACTCTGAACGCGATCTGTCCCGACGTCGTGCGCACGAACATATCCACCAGCGGATTTTATGATGCCCTGGAGGAGCGCAAGCTGCTGGTATCGATGGAATCTGTCATGGAGGCTTTCGAGCGGTGCCTCGATACCGAGATCTCTGGTGAGACACTAGAGATCGAGCCTAACAGTGGTATCACGCATCGTTCACCACCAGAGCCAATCGACCAGGACGCTGCCGAGACCATGAAGTTGCTGCATCAGCGTGGAGCTTCGTATCATGCGCCCAACAAGTTCAAATAGCGGAGAATTTGGTTGGTTCGAAACTTCATCGAGCATTTTTGCTGTCCGTCCCATCGGCGTGGCTGGCGTGTGCTAGTAAGAACTTGCTACATGTAAGCGTGTACTTGCATGCTTTGGTCCACTGCTCTTCTTGACCAAAATTCCCCAGCTTGATGCTCACGTCTCCTATCTTGTCCTTTACGATTGTGTATGGCATCTTTAGACCAGGTTGGCCTCCCTTGGGGGTGGTCCGCTCGACGTGCTCTCCCGCCTGCCGAAGACATTCCAAGAATGCGACCATGGCGTTGTCGAAATTGCGGTGCAAGAAACCCAGACCGAGTGGTAGGTCACCGCTGCTGAAAAGCTCTAGAATCGTCTTCTTCGGCTTTCCGTCCGCCGTGGAAGCAGTCTGTGGGTATTCCAATCTGATGACTTTGGATGTGGAGCCGACTGGTACCAACTCGTACCCTCTCAACTGGATGCCGAGCTTTTCGATAACCACGGTCAGCAACAACAAGGTCTGGCCCCATGCTGCGTTGATTTCAGGCCAGTCAACCGATTGATCGGGAGTCCTGCCAAGTCGAAGGCCGTTGATTGTGCCAAATGTACCATCGTGTCCAATGCAGAAGGTATCATTGTACACATTTGTACGCTTTAGAGCTTCGAGGACCTTGCTGTCGTGTGCAAGCTGGTTCTGAAGGCTGTCTCGTTCCTCCTGAAATGCCGATAGTTCAGCGGTAAATGCATTTCGTTCACGCCAGAACTGTTCTTCTTCTTCGTCCAGTTGCTCAGCTTCGATATCGAGAGCGGTGATCTCGTCTTCCATCCGCGCCTTCTCGGCTTCAAGCGCCTCGAGCTCCTCGAGTGCGCGCTTTTCTCGCTGCCGAGCATCCTCAAGATCCTGCTTCGTTTTCGCCTTTTCCTCATCCGTAGGAATTTCTTGTTGAGCTTTCTTCAAAAACTCAACGTAAGCGTCTCGTTCGCGAGTAACCCCTGCTTGACGTTTCTGGAGGCTTTCCAACAGCAAATCCGTACACTCCGAGCAGATGGGATGGTCGATGTCCGAGCGTGCAGAAAGTATTTCAAAGAGCCGAGTTGTCATCTCTCTATGTCGTCCAAGTTCATTAGCACCATCTGGGAGATTTTGAGGCACTGATTTGTTGGAAGTCGGCTTCTTCTTGGGAGCAGAGGCCGTCCCGTCCGAGCCTTCGAGTGGCGTCTGAGAATCTGAAAGCATGATGTAGGACATATCAGGGTTCGCTTTCCCGGTTGCAGCAGGAACATGGCGCTTATGCATGGGTGGTCCAGCCTGAGACGAGACTTGGTCGTAAAGCTGCTTTCGCTCCTTTGCTGCTGCCGAACGTGGTGCATCTGGTGCCTTGGGCTCTATCACGGGCGCTGCATCTGCGAGAATCTTGAACGAGGCCGGATTCAGACTCTCCAAAGAGCCATCGATCCTGAGCGGTGTCTTGCATTTCTGACACTGTAGTGTTGTTGCGACGGTGGCCATCCTGTTTCGTGTTTAGGAGAGGTATTCGATGGAGTCAACCGCTCATGTTTGACGTTGAGCAGCAAACACAATCACAACGGTGATCCTGTTGTGGCAGTTGTTCGCTCGTCTGTAAGCTGTCGAAAGATTGTTTGTTCCTAGAAACGCGATGTTGCCTCTTGGAAGTGAGGTGAGAGAATGACCAAATATACTCAAATGACTGTTTCCACACGCGTTGTATGGGGCACGTGGCACGCCTGCGGGTTGATTGAAGTTTGAACCAGAGTCGGGCGGCAGATCCCGAACGTCAATCTTCAGACGTCTTGCTCGACTTCAAGTTGCGACACAGGCGACACTCCAACCATTAAAACCTCTCCCTCACCCGCAAAGCAGTCGCAAACATGCCTCAAGCACAGCCAGAACTCAAGAAGGTCAGCCAAACTTCCCCCTATACCCAGACGATCCTCGCAAACTCCTAAAGCAGTCGCGCAAAATTGAATCGCAATCTAGCATGTGAAGACGAAATGCTAACACAGACTCCAGTATCTCGACAAGCGCGTCGAAGTGCAACTCAATGGCTCGCGCAAAGTCATGGGCACTCTCCGCGGTTACGACGTACGTTCGAGCACATAACGAGACCATCCGGAGTCCGCTCATATCTTTGCTAGGTCTTCCTCAACATTGTCCTCGACGAAGCCACCGAAAGCAAGCCAAACAACGAGAAAGTACGACTGGGCATGTGCGTTATCCGGGGGAACTCAGTGGTCATGATGGAGGCACTCGATCGCATCGGAGATGATCACCAGCGCGGTGGAAGATAGAGAAGCTTTGTGGTTGGAACGGGGAATGGAAAAAGCACGAGATTGCGGTAGTAGAGGAAATACCGAGAAGGACATGATACCATACTTTCCGGACGACACGCCGATTCGGATGGGGATTGCAGAGTCCAAGAAGGGCGCTCGGTCATGGGGATGGGATAACTGCCTTTCAGGCGCACGAGGCGTCCAGGCTAGGATAACGATTATCAAAACGTAAGGCTTCCACATCGTCACCATTCTATTCGAACTGTGTTCACAGCCTATCCTACAGTGCGATCCATTGTTTCCCAGCCGCTCCAGCGAGTCGTGCAGAGGGTGTAGCCCACGCTATACGCCCACATGCAGTCGCTTTAAAAGCTTTGGGGAGTAGTCTAGAGTCCAGACTTCTGCGTGCAGAGTCGAGAGTCGGTAATATAGAGTCTCTAACCCAGAGTCTCTAACCCACACTCTAGAGTCCAGAAACGAGCGTCCTAGCGTCCAGCATCGAGAGTCGAGACCTCTCCGTTTCTAATGTCACAAATCCTTCAACATCCCCTCCCTCCTACAACCCTCCCTAAAACCCCCCCTACAAAACCACCCCCCAAACCGCAACCCCAACCGCAACAACCACTCCCCTCCCCCTCCCCGCCGCATTCCCACTCCCGCTCCCCAAACACCCTCCACTCGCACTACACCTAACCTCCACCCTGCTCAAACCCCCCACGCAACCCCTCCACCCCCCCTAATTTACCCCCTCCCCAACAGGACAATACCGAAAGCACCCCTCACTAACCAACACAGGCCCCTCGCAACACCCCCGCAAACCCGGCACGTCGTGGGGGGAGGAGAGGCCGCAGAGCGGGGTGGTGGAGTGTGTGAAGCCGTAGGGGAGGGTGGAGGGGGGTGTGGTGCATGTGGAGGGGGAGGGGAGGGCTGGGAGGGACGAGGTGTTAGTTAGGTTGGTTGGTGGGCATGGAATCCCGGGGGGGGGATGTACGGTTTGAAGCGGTGGTCGAGGCGGTGGAGTACGGGATGTTGGCCATTGTGCTGTTGGGGTGGCACATTTGATGGTGTAGACTGATGGGACATGTCTCCAGTGAAATAATAGCCGAGCGGGATGTGATTATATACGACGATCCTTTCGTGCAGTGATCGTTAGTGGAGCATGCTTCATCACCGCTTCCAGCATGACCCATCACGTCCAACGACTTGGTACATAGCGGAACATCGCCCTGAACATCTGCGATGCCCGCACCATTTTTTCGAAACTCGCATCACTTCACAAAGTGCTTGTCACCTCGCAGATGTGCTATTTCCAGTACAGTCTCGACGCAGACAACGAAACTGACTCGAGGTTTCCGGAAGTAATCAAACTTCACACAACCAACGCCACAGAATGCACCCATCGCCTATCAAAAATCAACGAGAAAGTTTCGAGACCGTTTCAGCTCATCAAAGGGGACTTTCTGAATAGCAAGCTCAAAAACCAAAAAAAAATTCATTCTTCTCTTTTCCTTGAATTTTTCCAGAACTGCGCTGATTTCCCATCTTCAATGATAAGAATGTAAAACTCCTCGCTACCCCAACAGAAAATATCATCTCCAAACAAGAACGCTCCATCCACGTCAACTTTCTCCCTTCCCTCCCCAAATCGAATGCAACAGCCCTCTCATTCTCTCTCTATCCACAGCAACAGCAGCAGCAACAGCGCTCCAACGCTCAATCAACACAGCGCGCTATGATAGATAGATCAAAAAGATTGCTTGCTTGCTCTATGCTTTCCAAAAATCGAAGCATTTTTTATATCGCCAATCATGAATTTTTCTTTTTGCGCTTTTGCAGGCGTATGAATGCAAGGAGTCGTTTCGTCGTCAGAAAACTTTTCAGTGCACGCCGTTGGTGCGCACACCATTGGTGTGGACTCCATTGGTGCCGTTGGTGCCATTCGTGTGGGTCCCATTCGTGCGAGTTTCATTCGTGTGGGTTGTATTCGTGTGGGCGCCATTCGTTCCATTGGTATGCGTCCCATTAATCTGCTTCCTCAGCCCAAAAGAATCCCGAATCGCACTACCCAATCTGAAAATCGCCTCATCGATCTGATCAAACTTAGCAGCCGCATAAGTCGCACGGAAGAACATGGTGTTGCGCGGCTTGGTCCTCTCGGCGCAGAACCACGAGCCCTTCATGAGGAGGGTGCCGTGGCGGATGATGGTTTGGAAGATCTCCTCCTCGAGCTCGTCCATCGTCACGCTGCCGTCGATCCACTTGGGGTGCTGGGTGTAGTCGACTTGGATCCAGTGGAACATGCCGGCCATTGGGGGGACCCAGCTGATGATGTCTTTGGGGAGGTAGCGCTCGCAGGACTCCATCATGACGTTGCGGCGGCGCGTGTATTCCAGACGCATGTGGATCAGCCAGTCGAGGTAGCCGGAGTGGCCCCAGATTTCGTCGACAAGTTTGAAGAGAATCAGCTGGCTGAAGCCTGATGGGCCTTGAGTGCAGACGTCGGCGTGCGTGCGGAAACGGTCGCACATTTGCTCGGAGGCAGTGATCCAACCGACACGAGAGCCTGGTGCGATGACCTTGGAGAAGGAGTCAGATCGCATAACACGGCCGTCCACGTCGATTGAGAGGAAGGAGGGGACGATGGAGTTGAGGAACTCCTCGTGAGAGGCTGGTGGTGGGATAGGCGAGGCATCTGGGCCCTTGTAAGGTTGCATCTGCAGGAAGTAGTATGGTTCATCTTCGAAGCTGGGCGAAAGAATGTCAGCATTCGAAATGATTTCGATGGTTAGTTGAACTCACATGTAAAGATCATGCTTCTGACAGACCCCATAGATCTCCCTTCTCCGCTCAATAGGCTGCGTAGAGCCCGTCGGATTCTGCCCAGTAGGAACAGTGTACAACACAAAAGGCTTCGGCCCACCTCTGACCTTCTCGTCCCAGTTAGTCAGAACATGGTCCAGCGACGACGCGAGCATGCCGTTCTCATCCATGGCAACGCCAGCAACCTTGACACCCAACGGAGCAGCCGTCTCGACAGCCGCAGGAAACGTATATTGTTCACTCAAGATCCAATCGCCAGGCTGGCACAACATCCTGAGTGCAAAGTCCCAAGCGCAAGTCGATCCCACGGTCATGGTGCAGCTCCAGTCCTGGTAAGGAGGGTTGTGCACAATCTCAGTGTGCTCTACAATCCATCTCAAGAATTGAGCGGCTCCATGTCCTTGGCCGTACTGAGCAGCCGTGGCGATATCAAAGGCCGACTTCCCCTCGGCCATGTCGTGCATTCCAGCACGGAGCACTTCGCTGCCTTCTTCCCCCTGGGCACAATGGCCCAGGAGTGGCACCTTCACATCAATCTCATGGAAAGGGAAGTACTCGCTCGATGGCAGTCCACCACCAAGCGAGATCAATCCCGGAGTCTTGAGGTATGCCGCGGCAGCCTTCAGCGAGCTGCCACCTCTGTTCAAAGTCTCAGGGGTCAAACGATCTAATCAACGTCAGCAACGGCAAAATCAACAGGTGAGGTCAAAATAAGGCTAAACTCACGATCCCATCGCTTCGCATCCGGCTTGTGCCTGTGGCTCGTCCTGCCCTTGAATTGGTCCAAGTCCGCAGGCGCAGCGACCCCGGCAATCAACTTCCCGGACGCGGCGCGGCGTTTGGCCACGCTCTGAATCGTCAAGCGGTCGGGAATGGTGAAGGTCGAGGTGTCGGATTCAGGCAAGACCTCCACATCGATCGTAGCTGCGGGTGGCGCCATCGTATCGCTTCGTCCCTCCCGCGCGGCTCACAGATCTCGTCGTCGACACGAAACGTCTGGAGAAGCGTGTGGGTGGGAGCGATGTGTGATCGTGGGGGTTTGGGTGCGGGTTGCTGTGACAAAGGGGACCTGAAGAGCGGGGTGGTGAGGGTGGGTGTTGGTCGAGTCTGGGCGGTGAGAGCCAATCACCTTGATGGAACGGCAGCCGGTCGACGAGCAATCCCACGCTGACGGCTGGACAAGTCCCACGTCGAGGGGAGAAAGAGGAAAGTCGAGTGGGATGGGACAGGTTCAAATGCGATCTGATAAAGAGCGGGAAGCTTAAAAAGATACGCACGCCCTGGGGAGTAGAAAACGTCGTCCTTTTCGTCAACCTCTGACGCTCGTTTTCTGCCAGGCAAGGTGCTCGAAGACGATGCGGTGAGGACGAGGACAGTCGTACGTTTTCTCTCGTGATAGCGCGCGAGGGGAGCTTGGTCGACGGCCGACGGGCAACCCATTCTCTCGTAACAGAAAGCAATTAGACTCGCTCTTTATCGGTCTCCAGCGGCCAACAAGACGACAGGATGCGCACACGATCCAAGGATGGAGGGGTGCGGATGGACGGTCCCGGCAAACGCACCAGACATGCATCTCTGCCTGTCTGCCGGCGGCGGGTATTTGAGTTAGTTGACGGCCACCGCACCACCGCACCCGTCGTTCGCCCAGCTTTGCATCTGCTGCTGCAGTCGAGCATCCGCCCAGCGAACCGAGGAACCAGGCCACGTCTGCCGTCCCTGCTATAGGCGGTGAAAGTGCGATCTGGGCGACTGCTCCTCATCTGCATGCCGTTGAGAAGTACGATACGCGCCTCGACATGTGAAAGACACGACCACGATAACGCCGTGACGCGACGGAGTGAACGGCCATCATTAAAACTGAAGATCCGGTCGATATCGAGCGACTCCTGGCCGAGGACTCGTTGATCCATTGCACAAGGTGAGATGATGAGTGGTGGGCTTCGACATTGACGCAGCTGGAGGATGAGAAGACGTGCTTCTCGGAATCTGGCCGACCGTTGCTGCCAATGTTTCACGGCAGTGCGAGTGCCGGGACATGTGAAAGTTGTCTCGGTAGCGATCAGACGCTGTGCCTCCCATCTCGATATCAAAATCTTCATCGTCTGCAGCATTGCAGCGTGGCACAGCAGATGGTGCAATTCTGCCCAAACCTCCCACGCATGTGAAAGTATTACACAAACAGAAACGCAATGGCTATCTCAAAAATGCTCAAATAAGTATTACGATATCTACAGCCGTTCCATCTTCACTACAACTGCCAGGGGCTACGCTCAGTGCCAGACTGGACGAGCTGTCCTCCAATTCCCCAATATCAATCCGTAAGAGAGGGCGTTGCGCGTGCGCTTCACCAATTCTCGACAACGCCTGGGACACCATGCCAATGAAAACCCATTGACAACTGCAATTCGGGAAGACGCGAATGCATTACCAGCCGTAGAGCTTCCTAAACTCCGTCCTCGATGATTTTCCCCGTTCATCTAATACTGCTCATCGGGGCACTCATACGCCAGATGCCCATCCTTCTCGCAGAGCGCACACCATTTGTCCTCCGTCTTGCCATCCTTCGTAGCCTTCACGCCCTCATTCTCCTTCCCAGGGCTCAAGGGCAACGGCTTCTCTACCTCGACGACGTCCCTACCGCCAGCCTCAGAGTCCTCCGTCGAGGTCGTGTCGTGGTTCTGTTGGAACTGCGTGCAGTCGAGTGTATCGTGCTCGCTGGATTCGCACATCTCGCAGAAGAGCGCGCCGTTGGTGGATCTCGTTATGCCATTGCCTTCCCCATCCGCTGCAATGCGTCTGGCGGCATGCTCGGCGAAGGTGGCCTTGAGTGTGTTGCCTCGCGGGCGGACATATATTGCGTTGTTTGCGGTCGCAGTCATTTCGCTTTCGTTGCGGGCGTGGTGGCCGTTGGACATGGCGCTGTCTCTTCGAAGTTGCTCAAGCTCAGCCTCGAGTTGTTCCCGTTGCTTCTGGCTCTCGGTGAGTGCACCTTGCAACCTCTGCAGCTCGTCAGAGGCGTTGAACCCGTTCGGGCTGGTCGCGTCTGGACTCGTTGAAAACGAGTGGATGATGGCCTTCAATCCCCTGATCTCGTCCTCCTTCTGCTCCAATTCCTTCGTTGAGCTCGATCCGTTCACTGCAGACGCGGCCTTCTCCCTCTCCCTCTTGAGTTCTGATCGTCCTCGCTCAACCTCTCCACGAAGGAATTCCACCTCTCCTCTTGCCTCTGCCTCGCCCCTCCTCGCATCTTCCAGGCCTTCCTCGAGCTCTTGCACAAAGTCTTCCAGCTGTTTCAATTGCCGCGCCACATCGTCAAACTCTTTTTTGTTCTGATTCATGTCCTCCAACTCCTGATTTCGTTCCGAAAGCTCCTGAACCTGTGCCAAAAGGTCGCGCTTCTGCTCTTCGTATACACGCTCAGTCTCTGTGCTTGCCATCTCCAAGGAGTCGAGCGTGCTGCGGAAGTCAGCACGATGTGCATCAAACTCAGATGTCAAGATGGTAATCTTCTCGTTCTTCTCGCGCAGTATTTGTCGAAGCTGGCCTGTCGACTCGTCGCCCGTGATTTCTGCGGGCATCTTGCTGGTCTCGGTAGGAATCAAGGCCGAAAGCTCCTTGACACTGGCCTCCATGTCTGAAAGATTCGCAGCTTGCTCGGCCAGCCTCTTGTCGCGCTCTGCCAGTTCCGTCTTTAGCCGCAAGACTTCCTCATCTTGACCACCCGCACTGCCAAGACGCGAGCCTGAGCGAAGGGGCTGTGAGAAGGATGGCACTGAGCCTGAGCTAGTGGTTCGGCCATTGCTGGTGGTTGCCACTCCCACCGGTGTCCTCTCTTCTTCCGCGACAGTGTCTTGCCGGTGGCCCAATCGAGACCCAGTGCGCGAGTACGGTCTTGCAGGGCCATTAGCCGTGGAGGGTCGAGATGTGGAGGTCTTGAGGTTGTTCTTGCTCGGGGTGTTGGCAGAGTTGAAGCCCGCTCGCGGGGTCCCTCGTGTGCTGGTCGACAGGGTTCTCGCAGGGGTCGGGGCTAGATTCGGTGGCTGCTTTCTGAATGGCGATTCAGGTCGAGGCAACGAGGGTCTCTTAGGCTTGAAAGTTGGGCTTGATGGTCTCGCGGCTCCTGGTCCCACCGATTGGGAGAACTTCAAGGCAGACCTTTGCGGCGCAAAAGCCTCGTCGGAGCCAGTCCTCTGGCCGTTGATCGTGCTATATGAAGGTGTATTGGGTGTCCCAGGAAATGAGTCGACGTTCGAGCCGGTAGGTGAATGGCGCTTCTCGGCGCGGTGAATAGGCAGGAAGATACCAGCGCCTGGGATCGACGTGTTGAAGTAATGTACGCCGTCGACATCTCCGTCATTCTTTCCCCTAGCAGCAAACTCCCTGTCCAACTCGACACCCACAAACTTGCCATTTTTGCCCCTCACATTGCCAATGAACTTGACTGTTCCGTACATATCGCCCGGTACGTTGACTGTGTCGCCAACTTCCAGTTCTCCGCCGTCCATCTTTCCCGTAGGAGTCTGGTTGCCATTCAAGGTGCGCAGACTGGCTTTGCGGTTCACATCGGCGGTCGTCGAGGCCCGCAGCGATGGGGAGGAGGCGGTGTTTGTGTTTCCAAAGGACGGTCGTTGCAAGCCGCGTTGCCGGGGTGTCTGTAACGACATGGTGGAGTCGCGGCGGGCGTGTGTTTGAGGAGGGTGTTTGCGGTGTCACAGAGGGCAGTCGGGTGGTGGTCTCGCCCTTAAGACGGCCAGGGCGCGACCGAATTAGAGGCGGGCTGGTCAGTTAATAACACGATCAGGAGCAGGACGCGGACGGGAGAGATTGATTTGCTCAGAGCAGAACGTTAGCCTGGTCGCGCGTCACGTGTGGGCGGTCCCTGAGACATGCGTCGCAGCCGGGCGTCTTTGCTTAATCAAAAGCAGAGCCAAAATAGATTGCTGTTATGTATTGCAGCCCTCGACGGTGTCAACAAACAACATCAACACGAGCTAATGCAGCGACAGCATATTCCGTTGGGCTGCGCGTGGTGTCGTAACTGTGCGGCGGCGGCGGCGGCTCTGCTGCTCATCACTCCCGCCTGTTCGACCCCTGTCGCTTGCCATGTGCCGTGGAGAAGCGGCGGATCCAGCAGATTGTATTGTCTCGAACAAGACGACGTAACTGTTTCCAACTTCGCATGCTCAGAACGGTCTTGCACGGCTCGTTCGGAGACAACCTCAGCGAGAGGCTCCATCCAGTATTATTATCGATCGGGAGTTATTCTCAATTGACTCGCAGCATCACACAAGGACGAGTCAAGCCCTCGGGCTCGTGTGCTGACCCAAAGCCGAGGCAACTCCACCTACAGCCGACTACACCTCCATATACTCTACCTGTTTGTCGTTGACCATGTAGCATTACCCTGAGCAAGCCATTGCAAAATGGCAGGCCCTATAAGACAACCCATAGACCTGGACAGTCTAGCCAGGTACATTGACAAAACCGTTCCCGAGATCAAAACCCCTCTCGATGTCAAGCAGGTAGGTACAACTTCCACAAACAACAAGCAATCTCTTGATTAAACAACTTCCAGTTCGGCTACGGCCAATCCAACCCAACCTACCTCCTCACCGACTCCACCGGCGCCAAATATGTCATGCGCAAAAAACCCCCGGGCAAGCTCCTCTCCAAAACCGCCCACCAAGTCGACCGCGAATACCGCATCATCGCCGCCCTCCAGAACACCGACGTCCCCGTCCCCCGCGCCCTCTGCCTCTGCCAAGATGACTCCGTCGTCGGCACCGCCTTCTACATCATGTCCTTCCTGAACGGCCGCATCTTCGCCGACCCGGCCATCCCAGACGTGTCTCCAGAGCACCGCACGGCCATGTGGAAGTCCGCCGTGACGACGCTGGCGAAATTCCACCGCATCCCGCCCCGGAGCGTGGGCATGGAGGATTTCGGGCGCCCGAATAATTTCTACAATCGCCAGCTGAAGACGTTTGCGACCTTGTCCGTTGCGCAGGCGGAGACGAAGGATATCGAGACCGGGGTCAAGGTGGGCAAGATCCCGCATTACGATGATATGGTGCGGTTCTTCTCGAATCCGGAGACGCAGCCGAAGGATCGGGGGACGTTCGTGCATGGGGACTATAAGATTGACAATATGGTTTTCCATCCGACAGAGCCGTATGTCATTGGGATTCTGGACTGGGAGATGGCGACGATCGGGCATCCGTTGTCGGATATCGTGAATCTTACGGGTCCTTTCGCGGCGGCGAATAACCCCCTAGCCGCTGCTGCTGGACGAGCAAACGATGCTTTCAAAGACGGAGCCACACCTGGACTACCAACGAAACAGCAATGTCTGGACTGGTACCACGAAGTCGTCGACTACAAGATCACGCCGCAAGAATTGACCTGGGGCGAGGCGTTTGGCATGTATCGGGGTGCGATCATCTGTCAGGGCATCGCGGCTAGATATGCGGTGAGGCAGGCGAGTAGCGAGAAGGCGTCGGAGTACGGGAAGGCAATGTACCCCTATGGTGAGTTGGGGTGGGAGTTTGTGCAGGATGTTAAGAGGCAGTATGAGGCGGGCAAGGGGAGGTCGAAGTTATGAGCATACATCTACGAAAGTGTTATGGAAATGATATATGTTGCTTATACGATTTCTTTGCTTTGACTGTAAGTTGTGCTGTGAGACCTGAGCCGGTGTGTCGAAGGATGCCATGCATGTATTGTTACAGCCCTCACTCGTGAGACTACTTCCGTCCTTACTCTAAGACTTACTATGCTCTTTTATCAGTCTTGAGCCACTTTTGTTCATACTCCTGTCTTGCTAATGTATCCACTTCTCTCTTTACTGCCATCCTTGCCTACACGCTTACCTGTACACCCTCTTTCCAAACCCGAAACGAAGCTCATCTCGAACCCTCAGTCATTACATCTCCAGACAAAATCCATTACCTCAAAGAAACCTCCCAAGTACCAGCTAAACCCACGTGCAATCCTACAGTGTACTAGCAACAAATCGCTACCCTTACAAGTCCAGTCCCATTTCAAATCTCATAACATCATACAATAACCCCAGTCATATCCGTTCTGCCCTGCCCCATCCATCCCCCTTCCCAATCCAACCCCAAACCCAACCCCAACTCCACCCCATCCCATCCCCCCATCACCACACCAACCCCCTCAAATCCCCAAAGGATTCCCCGCACTCCCCTTCCCGGCACTCCTCACCGCATTCGGCGCCTTCTTCTCCTTCATATTCGGCGCACTGCCCTGCCCGGCAAGACCAAGGGGATTCCCCCCCGTCGACACGCGAGGCCCGCCGACGCCCACGGCGTCCTTGATGTTGTTGCCGTACCCCGAGACGCCTTGGCCCCAGCCGCGGGTGGTGTTGGTGATGCTGTAAAAGAGAAAAAATGTCGTCAGCTTCGTAGTTCGACGGCTATTTCTTCTCGCTGGGGGAGTTTTGGTGTTGGGCTTTGTCGATTTTGTTGGGGTAGAGCCTTAATTCTCTGTAGCGACCTTTCTCTTGGGAGGGGAGGAGAGAAGATTTCACATACGCATTGCCCAGCCCATCCCCGACTTTATTCACGCTTCCCCCGACGCTGTTGATCAACCCCCCGACATACCCCCCGGCGCCCGCGACGGTGTTCTGCACGGTCTGGTTCAGCCAGTTGCCTTCCTTGGGGGGTGCCGCTGCTTTGGCGGGTGCAGCTTTGGCGGGGGCTTTGGTTCCTGAGGGCGGGTTGCGTGGTGTCGGGCGGACGGACGAGCCGGCGGGTTTCGAAGGGGCGCTGATGGATTTGTTGGGGGGTTTGACGGCGGACGAGGGCGTGGAGGAGGGGTTCTTGCGGGCGGAGGCGTTGGTGGGTGGGAGGTTCTTTGCTCGGGGGTTGGACATAGTCGATGAGTTGCTCGTCTGGCGTTCTAAATCTTAATAAATAGGTTTCTTTGATAATGTGGTCGAGACTAGGGAAGTAGGCGAAGAGATCTTTATTGTCAACCCGGTAGAACCTTGAGATCCATCGAGACCTGGGACGCATTACCCTGTTTCAGTCGAGAGGGATGCTGTCGATCTCGTTACATCATTGTGCAGGACGTGTGGCTGTGCGGAGATGTGCGACAGGTGTGGATATCCAACCCTTCACCACTGATCGAAAACGCAGCTGAGACGTACGTTTGCACACTGGAGGGAAGAGAGCACCTGCACAGTCCAAATTCCGCCATTCATTCGTTTCGGTCTACTTGTACAAGAGACGTATGCCGGCTCCGATGGTCGAGTCAACACACAGGAATCGAAAAGCACCACAATTTCCCTGAACTCCTCGCTAATCACAAGTCATGTCTTCATAAACGCCAACCGTCCTCGTTTTTGGCGTTCTGTTGTCCGTTATCAATCGCTAACAGAGATTGCGCTGCTGGCGTGCAGCCCTGAATGGACAGGTCCTCCTGTCAAGTCCTCCGGTATGTCGTCCTCATCTTCGCTGTCGTACTCCTCCTCAGAATCGCTATCTTCATCATCGTCATCCCTCTTCATGCCGCGTGGAAGCTGCCATTCGTTGTATTCACCTTCCAGCCATCTCTTACTCAGCGGTAGGTGATAGGGGTCGAATGGAAAGTACGCTTCGAGCTGATGGTGAGCGTCGCCACTCTTGCGGTCCCAAGCCGTCTCTCTTCGTCCAATGTCGACGTTGCCGTTCCGCTGGAATGTTCGAAACTGTCCAAGCCGAACCCGCTTGTTACGCTCCAGGATCGAGAAGACGTACAGAAACTTTAAGTGGTTGGCGATCTTGGCAAACTCGCCAACGATGGCGGCCGAGCAGATTTTGAGAGGGTTCAGTTTCGAATGAATGTTCTTGCTCAGAGTCTCCTTGAGAGCAGAGTACCAGATCAGATCATGACCCTCGGCAACCACGTCTTCTTCAATCAAAGGTTCTCCAGGTGACTGAGGTGACGTTCTGCCAACCACAAGGTCTCGCCATCGGAAGCAGAAGATGTACAACAGCGCTTGCGCCACGGCGTAGTACACGGAATAACTCTTCCTGTCGGGTCCATTGCAGTTGGGCTCGTAGCGCACTCGCATCTCGTCCAAAAAGGAACACAACGCACCGACGACGGTCCTAGTGACGTCGGGAGGTAGGTGTGATGCTCTGGCGATAAAACTCGCGACATAGGCACAAGCTGTGAGTCGGGTGGTGTTGGGTACGTTCTGGTCGACCGTGAGAGAAAGGCACTGCTGGATGAAGTGCGCGGCGTAGACCGGCGATATCTGGGCGAAGTGGAAGAGAAGGAATTGTGCGTGTCGAGATCGGTTGGGCATGATGAAGCTCTTGAACTGGGAGAGCAGTTCTTGGTAGGCGATATTCTTTTGCGGTGTGGATTCGGCGGTGAAAGAGGGCTCGTAGTATTCGAAGAGGAGGTCTTGTGTGCCGTCCATCTTGGCTACCTTCAGTCGCAAGTCTCGCAATTGTTGCTCTTCTTCTGTGGTAGTCATCTCAGACTCAGAAACCGAATCAAGGTCGCTGTCATCTTCATCTTCGTTTTCAAGGTTGGTATCGTCATTCCGGGGTCTCTGCAAGAGCGCGTCTTCCTGATCGTCTTCCAAGTCCTCGAGATCGTGCTGGATCTGAACATCGATGCTGACAAGACGCTGCACAATCAATGCAATGACCTCAGCCTTCAATTCTGGGACAGCATCCGCGATTCTGAGAACATGCCTCTGGTACTGGAGGTAGCTCTTCGTGGTGGAGAGATCGTTCGGAAATTGGTGCTTCATCATCCTGAGCAGCACACTGCTTGCAGATGGTATGCGTCTGAGGATCGTGTGGATCGTAGCGTGCAGCCTCTCGAACATCACAGCCCTTGTCACAATCTCCTCGCCGGGTAGTCGGCCGGTGGATGCGGGGAGCCTCTCGAAGTGTGATACCAGCCTCTCCATCATCGGAGCGATGTATTTGCCATTCGTGCTGCCCAATACAACCAGGAACTTGGTATATACGTCGATAAACTCCTCGTCTCTTCCTAGCCACGACAGATCCAGGACCGCCATGACCAGCTTGCCACATTCGCCGAGATTCGTGACTTTGCCGTCCAAAGCCATGACATACTTTTTCAGCAGGTTTGTCCCAGGCGCATCACCCGAGAATACATCTTGTCCGAGAGTCTGCAGGAGTTTGGAGTATTGCGCATCATCTCGTAGGTCGTCGGGTGCCAGATGACGCTGTATGCCGATGCGGACCTCTTCCTTCACGAGGTCGAAGCTCTTGTCGTTCCAGTCTTGGATTATCCGAACATCGTCGTGATCATTGAAGGTGACTTTCAATCTTTTGGTAGTCGTTGACAGTCCAGCCTCGTCGTCGGTGTCGAGATACGAGCTGTCGCGCTTCAAGCTCATCGTTGGTCGTTTGGGTAGCGGTGTTGGCGGTGGAGGCATCGCGCCCGGAGGCGCAGCGAAGGAGACCATATCGGCAGGCCAGCGGGTGGCATGGAGTGTGAGAGTGGGTGGTTATGAGTAATAATGAGCGACTCGCTGCGATTTGGCGTGTTGTCACGCTCTGTGAAAATCGAAATGGATGTGCGGGCTGAAAGTTCGAAACAGAGAGGTCCGTGCGGCTTTTTCTCCACGCGCTAACTCGGTGGGTACTACCGTAATGGAAAAGGCGCACGTGAACGAATCTGTTTGCTTCACAAGAGCACAAGACATCCATTAAACGTATTCCAATGCAGTCTACCAAGAGACCTCCGACCTCAAAGCCCTTCAGAGTGCAAGTTCTGGACCCCAAAACCAAACCGTTCCAATTCCGCGTCTTGTCCTTCGCACTCCACCATCCAGATGGTCAACTCTCCCAGTTCTGCATCCACCTCCACTCGACTCTTGCCGTCCAAGCCATCCACAGTCCGGTGTTACCCTCGTCAAAGTCTGAGAAGCGGAGAGCCAGAACTTTCCAACAACACAACTTCGAAATCGTTCGAGGTCCTGCAAATAGACTGCAAACATCTTCGATCTTAAGACTGCCAACCAGCGTTCTTCGTCCAAGTGGCTATGAGCTTGGTTGCGTCCACGAGTCTGTTTGGCTCGAGACAGCGTTGAGGTGAGCGATACACGTTGACACGCGAGAGCTTGGGGACTTCGATGAGCCTGTTGTAGAGTACGTCGATAACGTCCTGCCGGTGCGGTGTGTTGGGCCACACATACTTTTCGTCTCCCTTCCACCAAAGCCCAAGATTTACTTCGAGAGTGGGCACATGCTGCATAATAGACTGAACCTTGAGGATGAGCTCAACGGTCTGCTGTAAGTCGGTGGCGGCCTCGCAATAAGTACGGTCCGTTGGGCATTTGTCTTCGCATACAACGAAGTTGCGGAAGGAAATCTTCGTTACGTTCAGAACGTTTGTCGGCACTGGCAGTAGTGTAAAGTTGAAATTCTCATGATCTGAGAAGACGAGAGTTTTCTTCTTGGCAGCGATCTTGTAATATTCGCTCTTGATCTCGTGATTGACGAGCAGCATGTTGGTCAGTGGGGCGTCCTGGACGGAGAGACTGGCTTCTAGCTCGGGTTCGGCGATGCTGATTTCATCTTCGGCGAGATACTCGTAGACCATCTCTCGAAGTTCAGGAGGGAGATCCATGAAGCGAAAGGTATCGCTGCCGGTAGTGCTCATGCTGAGTGATTATGTGAAGCAGGCGGCCTGTTGGACAAGATGAAGGAGTGTGATAGGCTTCTGGCTGTCGTGACCAAGGCAAACAGATAGAGGGCAATCGCTTGACTGCAGCTGTGATAGTTGACTAGTTGGTGATGCCTCGGACAGATCTCTGGCTAGTGTGCAGTTTGTCAGTGTTCCGTAGTCGCAGTCACTTGGCAAAAGTTGAGGATGTGTGCAGACGGCTGTGGAGTTTCACAGACAAAGCTGGAGCTGGGGCCGCACTTCGGTAGACGGAAGGAACAATCCGGACATTTTTATTAAGCTTTTGCGAGGGTCCTAACGGGCCGCTCGAAATTCGCTGCAAGACTTCTTCGTGCGCTCCATCTTCCACCTCCAGCACACCCTCTACCACCTCTCACACTACCCAACAACATGGCGGACGAAGTTTACGACGGTGCCATTGGCATCGATCTTGGCACCACCTACTCTTGCGTCGCCAACTATGAGGGCGCCGGCGTTGAGATCAGTATGCAAAATTCCGCCTGCAAGATCTTGACCGCAGCTAACCACAATGCGTCGCAGTCGCCAACGAGCAGGGAAGCTTCACCACCCCATCCTTCGTCTCCTTCACCTCGGAGGAGCGCCTCATCGGCGAAGCCGCCAAGAACCAGGCGGCTATGAACCCAGAGAACACCGTCTTCGATGTTAAGTGAGTGCGCACATGAGCGGTAAAGAGGTGGGAGCAGGAGCTGACCATATGCAGGCGTCTGATCGGTCGGAGGTTTGACGACCCAACCGTGAAGAAGGACATCGAGTCATGGCCATTCAAGGTCATCGACGACGACAACAGCCCAAAGGTTCAGGTCCAGTACTTGAACGAGACCAAGACTTTCTCACCACAAGAGATCTCTGCCATGGTCCTCGGCAAGGTATGGCAGCCGCCGCAGAACCGGGAAACCCTGATGGCTAACAATCTCCCAGATGAAGGAGGTCGCTGAGACCAAGCTCGGCAAGAAGGTCTCCAAGGCTGTTATCACCGTCCCCGCCTACTTCAACGACAACCAGAGACAGGCCACCAAGGACGCCGGTGCCATCGCTGGCTTGAACGTCCTCCGTATCATCAACGAGCCAACTGCTGCCGCTATCGCCTACGGTCTTGGTGCTGGAAAGTCTGACAAGGAGCGCAACGTTCTCATCTACGATCTCGGTGGTGGTACTTTCGATGTGTCCCTTCTCCACATCCAGGGTGGTGTTTTCACTGTCAAGGCTACCGCTGGTGACACCCATCTTGGTGGTCAGGTAAGACGGATTGCTGAAGCCCGATTGTCTCACGACACACAGCTAACGATCTTCGATTTGCGCAGGACTTCGACACCAACCTTCTCGAGCACTGCAAGAAGGAGTTCCAGAAGAAGGCGAAGAAAGACATCAGCGGTGATCCCCGTGCCCTCCGCCGTCTGCGAACCGCCTGCGAGCGTGCCAAGCGTACTCTGTCCAACGGAACCCAGACCACCATCGAAATCGACTCGCTCTTCGACGGCGAGGACTTCAACACCAACATCACCCGTGCACGATTCGAAGATATCAACAACAAGGCTTTCCAGGGCACTATCCAGCCTGTCGAGCAGGTTCTGAAGGATGCTGCGATCGAGAAGAACAAGGTTGACGAGATCGTGCTGGTTGGTGGCAGCACCCGTATTCCCAAGATCCAGAAGCTTCTGAGCGACTTCTTCAACGGCAAGAAGCTCGAGAAGAGCATCAACCCAGACGAGGCTGTCGCTTACGGCGCAGCTGTTCAGGCTGGTATCCTCTCTGGCAAGGCCACCTCGGCCGACACTCAGGACATGCTCCTTTTGGACGTCGTTCCTCTCTCCCTCGGTGTGGCCATGGAGGGCAACATCTTCGCTCCAGTCGTGCCCCGTGGCCAGACTGTGCCAACTCTCAAGAAGCGAACCTTCACCACTGTTGCCGACAACCAGAGGTAACCACAATCGTCCCCCAACCTTCCAAAGCCACCAAGCTAATCGATTACCTATAGCACTGTTCAATTCCCCGTGTTCCAGGGAGAGCGTGTCAACTGCGAGGACAACACCTCCCTCGGCGAGTTCACTCTTGCTCCTATCCCACCAATGAAGGCTGGTGACGCCGTCCTCGAGGTTGTGTTCGAGGTCGACGTGAACGGTAAGCAAAGCACATCTTCGTCATTCAGATCATTGCTGACATGAAACCAGGGATCCTTAAAGTGACTGCTACTGAAAAGTCATCTGGACGCAGCGCCAACATCACCATCTCCAACTCCGTCGGCAAGCTCAGCAGCGGCGAGATCGAGAAGATGATTGAGGACGCCGACAAGTTCAAGACCAGCGACGAGGCCTTCAGCAAGAAGTTCGAGGCCCGACAACAGCTCGAGAGCTACATCAGCCGTGTCGAGGAGATCGTGTCTGACCCAACCATGAGCATGAAGCTCAAGCGTGGCCAGAAGGAGAAGATCGAGAGCGCCCTGTCCGATGCCATGGCTCAGCTCGAGATCGAGGATGCCGGCAGCGACGACCTGAAGAAGAAGGAGCTGGCGCTCAAGCGTGTGGTCACCAAGGCCATGTCTACCCGCTAAGCAGTCCCTCTCAGGTTTTCGCGTGTTCTTCGGCGTTTACGTGCACAAAGAGGCAAAAAGGCATAACAGGGCGATACCTTTCACGTCCATCGTGCCAGATCTCTTTCTGCGCGTAGGTATAGATCAATGCAATGATGGAACGGCCCTCAGGCTCTAAAAGTCAAAGATTGATGTATGATCAGCATTATGGGGCAGGACGAAACTTCATGTAGCGAATGCATCGTCCGTAGTCTTTAAGTTCTTGGTACTGCATTTTCACATCTCATTTATGAAAGTCGTTTGAGGGAGAGATATTCAGGAGGGAGGTGAAGTCATTCAGAGTTGTTGCCATTGACCAATCAAATCTCAGCATCTGGCATGTGGAGCTTCCCTGCAACTTTTCGAGTCCACGACCTCTCCTCTTTCAATGTTTGCTCAACCCCTTGTTCTCACTTGCATATCCAAGGCCCAGCTCTTGGATACACAGCGATTTGGCTGAGCATCCATTTTGTCTTTCGTTGTTTGCGATGATACGTTGAAAGTCTCTTGACCTGTCGTTTTTCGAATTTTGAGCGAAATGGCGGAGAAAGGTATGGAATTCTAGAAGGGATGTCAGTATACTCGAGGATGATACTAAATTCGGTGTGATACAGGCAAGCCAGCGACGGGATCACTGTCAGAAGATGGCCTCAAGCACTTCAAGACGTACAAATACTCCTCTGTGGACAAGTCGCCCGTGTCCTACTACGTCTTGAGGCATTATGTACGTCACCATTCTAGCTTCATCTGCAAACATACAAAACGGCGACTGGATTGACATTGCCAACAGTGGAACTTCTGCGTTGAATTCTTGCCATTATGGCTCGCCCCCAACATGGTCACGCTCATCGGCTTCTTCTTCGTCATTGCCAATGTTGGCCTCCAACAACTCATGGACCCCGACTTGACTGGACCTAAATACGCCTGGGTCTCATACAGCTACGCCTTCGGAGTCTGGGCGTACTCAACCATGGACAACATCGATGGGAAACAAGCACGGAGGACGGGTACATCATCTGGACTTGGAGAACTATTCGACCACGGAATTGACTCGCTCAATTGCACCCTTGCGAGTTTGCTCGAGACGTCTGCCATGGCACTGGGTCCTACGCCGATTGGTGCCTTGACAGCTTTGATTCCTACGTTGCCAATGTTCTTTTCGACCTGGGAGACGTTTCACACGCACACGCTATATCTGGGATACTTCAATGGACCTACTGAGGGACTCTTGCTTGCGAGCTTGCTAATGATTTCTTCGGGATACTTTGGGTCTCACATCTGGCACAAACCTATGGCGGAGATTGTAGGGTTCGATGAGACGCTGGGCAGCCTGAGCGTGAAGGATGTGTGGGCGGCGGTGCTTCTGCTCGCGTTCACCTTCGGCCACGTTCCACCTTGCGTCGTCAATGTCGTTGCTGCGAGGCGAGAGAAGAATCTTCCCATTTGGCCCGTCTTCCTCGAATGGACGCCTATGGTTGTCTTCACTGGATCCCTGGTCGCCTGGCTCGGCTCACCGTACTCAACCCTCCTCAGCGAAAACCACCTCTGCCTGCTGTGCCTCACACTATCCTTTGTCTTCGGCCGCATGACCACAAAGATGATCCTAGCTCATCTAACAAGACAGCCCTTCCCCTACTGGACCGGCCTCCTAGCTCCTCTCATCGGCGGCGCCGTCATGGTCAACCTGCCATATTTCGGTTTCGAGCCCGTATCCTCTGAAGTCCAACTCTATTATCTCTGGGCGTACTTCATCGTCAGCATGGTGGTGTACTTCCGCTGGGCGTATCTCGTCTGCAATGCGATTTGCAACTATCTTGGCATCAATTGCTTGACGATTCCGGAGGAGAAGTGGAAGGTCTTGAAGCAGCAGCAGGAGAGTGAGAAGAAGAAGGCTTAGAGATGGGGTGGTGAGCTGAGGGAGAGAAACATACCGGCTACTCAACGCTGCCGTAGGATACAAAACCATAACAAAATCATCGCAATGATCAAATAATTGATGTCCTACACTACTGGGTACGGCAACTGCTGTACATCCTGTGATGACCTTGGAATTATCTGTGCTGATCCATAAAAGCAATATTCGGTGAGGTTGGCTACATGCACATGAATATAAAAGTCAGCGCTAATTGGATCTTGTTAGAGCGACAGAGACTGCGCCAATGCTTAGCAGCCCCGTTGCTGCTATTAAGAGGCAGTCGAACCTATGTAAGCATTAAAAGATCGAGCGTTGCATGCATCTCGCCCGGTAGTCTAACACAACAAGTAGAGTATCAGGCGTCCCTCTCGCGGTGGCGGCTTCGACCAAGGGAGCATGAAAAAGATGTGGGATACGCCAAGTTAATCAAAAGCTGCATATTGGCCTGTACGCGGTGAAATGGCCGACCATTCTCTCGGTCGTGATAGCTACGCTTCTCGCAAGGTAGACCTCTCCTGGGACTCGGACTGACTGCTGTGGAACAGTCAGCTCATGGTCGCTGTCAGCCTTGTGGCTGACCTACGAACACGAAAGCAAGCTCGAGGTACGTCTGTACCACCTAAGTCATCCCTTTGGTTGTAGAGGTTCCGCTTGTGATTGGGCCACGTGCGAATTGGCGTTTTGGGCAGCTGCAATAGTTGCCTTGAACTTCCACCGGTCAATATGTACGTGTGATTGGGCCAGAGAACAGAACTGCTGCAGCAGAGCCTGACTTCTCAACCACACCGGCCAGCGAAATCGTTCTCTGTGCAGGTTCAGTCGGAAGAATCTGGCCGCATAACTACATACATGTTCGATCGAAGATCACGCCGCACGGCTGTGCGCTTTCACACACACACACTCTCTCTCTCTAGACTGCCATGGCAGCACCAAATGCTAATTCGTCTTACACAGGACCGAATCGAACAACCCAAGGCAGTCTATACTCATCGGGTAACGCTCCTGCGGCTCAAGGACAAGGCAATCTTCCTGTTCGACTGGCTCCCAACCCTGCCGCTCAAGCACCAGGAAACTTCCAGTATCAATCACCCCAAACCTTTAAGCCTCCAGCACCACTCGGTTCTCCGTATCAACTATTGCCCAACTCCGCAGCTCGAGTATCAGGCAAGGCCCCATGGGCATTATCGCCCAACTCTCTCTCTCCAGCACTAGGCGCTCCTCCGAGTCGACCGTTATCCAATTCTGCAGCCCGACCACCAGGAAACATCCAGTATCAATTACCACAAACCTTCACGCCTCAAGCACCACTTGGTTCTCCGTATCCACTATCGCCAAACTCCGGAGCTCGAGTATCAGGCAATGCCCCCTGGGGGTCATCGCCCAACCCTGCCGCTATAGCACTAGGCGCTGCTCCGAATCGACCGTCATCCAACTTCGCGGTTGGAGCACAGGTACCGACCAATGCTGCGTATCAGGTACAGCCCAATGCTGGTTATCAGGTACAGCCCAATAGCTCGGTTTCTGTGGCCCGGGCTCCAATACAAAAAGTTCGAAGAGTCGATATAGCTGTCATGGGACCGACTGGCTCTGGAAAATCTACTTTCATCCGCGCAGTCAGCGGCAACAACAACGTAATCGCGTCTCGAGGGATGAAGTCTTGTATGTACGGGACAGTCCCTTGGAGGTTTACGTGCTCATAGCTGACTGCCGTGTAGGTACGCAGGAAGTTGCAAATTATACCTTTTGTTACAAGGGCTACAACGTAAACCTCATTGATACGTGAGTAACCTTTTGGCACCGAAGTGTAGGGAAAGCACTGATAGGCCCATATCGTTTAGGCCTGGGTTCAGCGATACATATCGATCTGAGCCGGAGGTGCTCGACATTCTTTCACGCTGGCTAAGGGACTCGTACAAGGATCACAAACTGTCCGGCGTAATATACTTCCAGCCCCTTCCAACCAAAGTAGTCGGCTCGTTCCTACTTAACCTGTCGACGTTTGAACAGCTCTGTGGGCCAGAGCCGCTCAAGAACGTGGTACTCGTAGGCAGCCACTGGGATGTGATGGCTTGCTACGACAAAGGGACCGAAGAACAACGATGGTCGGAGTTGGTCGACGAGTTTTGGGCAGAAATGATACACGGTGGAGCTTCCACCAGGAAGTTGAACTGCCGCGACGCTTCGAGTGGTCTCAAGGTCATCGAGCTGCTTCTGTCCAACTTACCGACACCACTACAAATCCAGCGTGAAATGGTCGAGCAAGGCAAAGCCATCATCGAAACAGGAGCGGGCCAAGTTGTTAACGCAGAACTGCTTAAGCAAGAAAGGTTCTATCAAAAAAAGATCAAGAGCATTGCGAAGGAGTACCGAACAGCAGACAGGCAAAGGCAGGAACAACTCTGTAGTCAACAGCAGAAAGTGCATGATGCGCTGAACAAACTCCACGATACCCGGGATGAGCTAGCAGCGATAGGAGAGGAGAACCAACAGCTGAAGCAAGAGATGGTGGAGCTGAAGGAGAAGATACAGGATGCACCCGATGCGGAAGAAATGATTCGGCAAATTGAAACCCTCATGCGGCGGTTGCGTGAGGAGAGGAGGTTGCGTAGGTGCGATCAAGTGAGAATGGAAGGAGACATTGCTAAACTCAGGGACATGGACCGGAAGGCTGGGTCGACGTGGCGTAGTGTACGGGACTTCGGCTTGGAAATCTTTAAGAGTCTGGCTCCTATTGGGTTCACGTACTTGCTGGGCACGGGCAAGTAACGCAAGATTGGCATCGGTGTATTAGAGGATCATATCAACTTGAGCCTCATACTTAAAGCGCATCAATGTACACTCCATGAACAGCACTCTTCAAGTCGTGCCTCTTTGCTAACTGTTCTCCTTCTCAGCCTTGCCTCTGATACCACCACGCCCTCTGGGCTTTCTGGAAGTTTTTAAAGCTGTGGAAGCACTTCGTCTTGCTGCCTCCCGTACCCTAGCCTTCTCGCGATGGTAGAAGCATCAGCCTTCGAGAGTTACGCATTATTCCTTCAATCATGCCGCAATACCACAAGTCCGTTGCCCTCCTCAATCCAATCGTCTGTCCGCCACGAGCAAGCAGAATATGCATCCAATATCGCTTCGACTCTGTTGAAAGTCGAGACCGCCTCTCTCGGGAGGTTGCTCCGTGTTGTGAGACGAAAGCTTCTTTCCCGGCGACTGACGGCGCTACAGAGTACGTGTCTGACGCCGCCACGCGTGAAGTACGACCGCGATGCCGCCGCGTGGTCTGACATGGAGTCCTCGTCTTCACGTGCGGTTTGACATGGCTGGGCCTGTTATTTCGGGGTATTGATTTCGTGTTCGACATGGTGTGTTGTTTGTGCGAGAAGGAGAGGTGGTTGTCGTTTGGGGGCCAAGATCGTGGAGAAGTGGAGCAGAGTTTGCTTGGCCTCGATGCGACTGCAACGACAACGACATTCATCAGACAAACATCTTCGTCTTCTCGTCGTCATCAACCTTCGACCACCATGTGCGATCAATCAAATCTCCGTACCTCCCGGTTCGGGCCATGCTCCAGAAGCCATTGATGCGGAGGATTTGAGGCGCATCTCAGATGCTCTCCACCTCCCACGGCCAGAAGTGCATCTCGCCGGACGGGAAGTCTTCTGCTCTTCCACTGGTCCTGACAGAATCGTGTTGGAAGTCCAAGCGCCATCTGCAGGAGAAACACGTACCCGTGACCAGCATGGCACATGTGCTCCCTTGCAACTAGGTCTCCCTGGGAAATGCTATCGACATTCTTCCCCACTTGACCGGCGATCAACGAGGGCGAGGCGAGCCTTGTGCGGGATCTCCTCTGCATGGGGACTTGATACGCTGGAGCAAGATCCGAAGCGAACGTCAGAGTACACTCACACGATCAATTGCCGTCGTCCAGGAACCAGCCTTCTCTGCGAGACGCAAGCTCCAAAATCCCAACCCATCGTTCACCTGCAGTCAGCACCTCACACCAGCAAGCGAGCCTGATGCCGGCGTTATTACAAGCAGCAGGGCAACAAGTTTGACTTTTCTGCCGAGCCGCCTTGCTGCTAATCGGGCCGGCATGGTAGCCTTGGCTAGACTTCGAAGCTTTCACCATCCAGTGCTTCGAAGCAGTGCACTAGCGCCGCCTGCTCGAGCTTCGAGCTAGGCTGGACGACCATGGGGAACTCCACTTGTTTGGTTTGGGGAAGGGCATGGTGTGGTGTGGTCGCACCGTTGTGTGTTTGCACGTTCGGTGTTAGATGGTACTGTAACCTGGCACTTCGCATAAAGACTGAACCTTCCCCTCCTGCACGGTAGGTTTGAGATTGTGTTCTTCGTTCTCGTGCTTGACACGTTTTCTTCCTAGAGAGATTTTGGCTGGGGTTGTGTCTCCTGTTGACCTCTTTCATCTACGAGCGCTCTTTACATCTGACAGAACACCGCAACCATGCCTGTCGCTCTTCGACCACCACCTGGCACACCAGGCAAGGCATGGCCAGCCATCTTAGTTGGTTTCTTCGTTGCCTTTGGAGGTGTGCTCTTCGGATACGACACGGGAACGATTGGTGGCATTCTCGCTATGCCGTACTGGCTACAAGAGTTCAGCACAGGCTACATCGACCCGATGACTGGAGCTCTAGGCATCACATCAAATCAAAAGTCTGAGATCGTCTCTCTACTCTCTGCTGGTACAGTACGTACAACCAATATCGTTTCACTAAGGACACGAAGCTAAAGTACTTCCAGTTCTTCGGTGCTTTGGCCGGTGCCCCAACGGGAGACTTCCTCGGTCGTAGATTCGGTCTGATGGCGTCGACGATTGTGTTTTGCGTTGGAGTCATTCTTCAGACGGCAGCAACAGAGATCCCAACATTCGTCGCCGGCAGATTCTTCGCCGGCTTTGGCGTAGGCATGGTCTCTATGTTGATTCCATTGTACCAGGTATGCTGCCATACAGTCCACTAGCGGTCGACTGTCGCTGACGTTTCTTCTAGTCTGAGACTGCACCTAAGTGGATCAGAGGAACCATCGTTGGTGCTTACCAGCTCGCCATCACCATTGGCTTGCTCCTTGCGGCTACCGTCGACAACGCCACGAAGAACCTCAACGACAGCGGCTCCTTACCGCATCCCAATCGCCGTCCAGTTCGCTTGGGCTCTCATTCTCTTCTTCGGCATGCTGCTCTTGCCGGAGACTCCTCGAATGTGGATCAAGCGTGGCCAGCCTGAGAAGGCTGCCAAGTCCCTCAGCCGACTCCGACGACTGGACGTCGACCACCCAGCACTGGTTGAAGAGCTCGGCGAGATCACTGCCAACCACGAGTACGAACTGTCCCTGGGTCAGGCTACATACCTGGACTGCTTCAAGGGCAATCTTGGAAAGCGCCTCGCGACTGGCTGTCTCCTCCAGGCTTTGCAGCAATTGACTGGGTAAGTCCCCAACGTCCACTATCATTTATCCGTTCAAAGAACCACCACTGACACGACCTTTCTCTTTCCAGCGTTAACTTCATCTTTTACTACGGTTCTTCCTTCTTTAAGAACTCTGGAATCAACAATGCCTTCATCGTCAGCATCATCACCTCCTGCGTCAACGTGGGCTCGACATTCCCAGGCCTCTACATGGTCGAAGCCTGAAGCCGTCGCTCTCTGCTCCTCTTCGGCGCCATCGGCATGGCCGTGTCCCAATTCATCGTCGCCGGTGTAGGAACAGGCGCTGGCATCGAGAACTTGGCTGCGCAGAAAGCCCTCATCGCCTTCGTGTGCATCTACATCTTCTTCTTCGCCTGCTCATGGGGCCCTTGTGCATGGGTGAGTAATAAACCCACATCCCCACCACTCTGAGATCTCCCAGCTAATAATCAACCTCCCAGGTCGTCGCGGGCGAAATCTTCCCCCTCAAAGTCCGCGCCAAATCCCTCTCCATGACCACGGCCTCCAACTGGCTCCTCAACTGGGCCATCGCCTACGCAACACTAGCAAACCCCCTCTTCTTCCTCCCCTTCTGCAAAACCTCCTCCTCCTCAGCAGCCACCGTCTCATCCAAATACGCCCCATGCACTTCATTCTCCCTAACCTCCCTACTCATAATCTCCAACCCCGCGAGATTGAACCCCATAACTCTCTTATCCTCTTCTTGCCAGGCCTCATACGCCACCAGCACATCCGTCAACAGCGGCTTGAGCTGCTTGCTCGCAACAATCTGCGTCATGTGCGCTTGCAGCATGAAGTATGTGATTCGCCAGGCGAGCTCCGGCGCCATGCGGTTTTGGAGGAAGAGGGCGAGGAAGGTGAAGAGGGTGGGAAGGGTGCTGAAGGGGATGACGAGGAGGGCGTCGTTGAGGGCGGGGGTGGGGACCTTTTGGAGGGTGCGCAGGACGTGTTGCGAGGCGGAGATGTTCCCTAACGCGAGGAAGATGGGGTTGCGTTGGGGAATGGCCAGCTTGGGGTTGTGAAATTTGTCGCGTTCGTAGGCTCGCATGAGTTCGAGGTCGGTGAGGCCTACTTCGAGAGCTTCCATGATCTTCTCGCCGTGGGTGAGAGTGGAGATTGTTTGTTTGCTGGCGGCGGCGACTTCGGCGTTCTGCTCGTCCTCGTCTTGGAAGTCGCGGTCCATGTTCTGGGCGAGTGTCGATTCATACATCTCTTCCAGTTCACGTTCTCGCTCTTCTTCGAGGAAAATCAAATCATCGCCGACTTGCCAGGTTCGCATGCTCTTGTCGTGCGAGGCTGTGACGACAGTCTCGCCTGTTCGGCTGACCACCATGGCCCAGATCTCGCCGTGGTGACCTTCGAGCTTCTGAATCTGCTCAAACTTATCGCCATCCCAAATCTTCACGACTCCGTCTTTACTCGCGCTGAAGACGGTATGCTTTTCGTCAGTTTCCACGGGATGTGAGATGAAGCCGACCTGCATGACACTGTCCTGATGCGCGAAGAAAGCTTTGTGACAGTCTCCAAAGTCCATGCCCCAGATTCTGACGTTCTTGTCTGCAGAACATGTTGCAATCAGCTTCGAGTCGCTGCTGATGCTTATGTTGAGTACGGGTAGTTTGTGACCGTAGAGGATGTGGTACTGCTTCAGGCTATCCACGAAGAAAAGCTTGACAGTATTGTCGAGTGTGCTCAGCGCAATGTATTTGTGGTCGGGCGAAAAGCAGAGTGAAAGCACATCGTCCGCGACTTTTAACAGCCTTGTTTGCGTGAGCTTGAGTCTTTGCGTGGTTCTTCGGGTGCCGGGGATCTCTTCGTCAACAACATCGAATCGCCAGAATTTAGCGCTCTTGTCGGCCGAGCCAGTCACCACTGAACGGCCATCAGGATGTACTGCCAGTGTCCAGATCGCGCCTTCGTGTGCCTGAAACTTCTCCACAAGTGTACTGGTGCTGATATCGTACAGCTCGAGCTCTCCAGTCTTGGTGCCCAGAAGCACCATACGGTCTCCGGGTAAGAATGAAGAGCAAAGCGCTTGACCACACTCCAGCGTTCTGAGACACGACTGTGTACGAAGATTCCAGACTTTCAGTGCGCCTGTAGATGCACTGGCAAGCATGCGGTCATCTGACGAGAGAGCGAGCGTACGAACATCGGTGCGGTGGCCAGGGAGTTCAACGGCAAGAGATCGGTTGTATTCGGGCGCCTCCCTGCTTCCAGACTTCTCCTTTGCGCGATGAGAGACGACGCTGTACAGTTCGAGCTGGTTGTTCGTGGTTGAGGCCAGCAGTTGCAGATTTTTCGCAGTCTTTCCACCGATTGCCATCCAGTTCACTGACCGAATCTTGCCTCCCGTCCTGACAATCACATAAGGTGTAAACACGTCGCTGATTTCCGGAGCTTCCAAACCATCGTCCTTTTCAAGTGGAAGTGTTTCACCAGCAGCAGCAGCTTTCTCCCGTCTTCTTCTACGCTTGCGTTGCATGAGTCCGTGTATTTCGTCGGGATTTCGAATCCGCCACAATTCCACCGCCTTCTCTGAACCATGAATCGCGATGTAGTCCTGTTTCGGATGGAACGAGATTCCGATGGTTCTGTCTTTGCCCTGTCGGTTGATGATACCGCGGCTTGTAAGGTAGTCGTGCTTCTTGCTCTCGCCGATGTTGCTGTCAAGTCTTGCGAGGCCACTGAGATCTATCTGCCAGACCTTCAACTCGCCCTCGTTCCCAGCGGTGATACAGCCAGCTCCGTCAGGACTGAGTCCAAGCGCCCAGCATTCGCCGCTAGTCTGCGCGACATGTGTCTCGATGCAGTGTGGAGTTGTGAGGTCCCAAATCTTGACCAGAGCATCTTTCGAGGTTGAAAGTAGATACTTCTCTTCCAGCTCATCCTGCAAGTCACCGTTGACAATCTCGTCTGTATCGTCTCGTGGCGAGACTGGGGTTCGAAGAAACGACAAGCCAGTGATCTGGTCCTTGTGGCCTCGCAATTTGAACTCGGCCGTTTCCGAGAGCAAGTTCCAGATGATGATATCGCTGTCTTTGCTTCCGCTTGCAAGCCTCGATCCTTCGCGGTCGAACTGAAGATGTGTCACCGCGCTTCTATGGCCGTTGAAGCTAACGACAATTTGTCCTGACAGCGAGTCCCATATTCGTATCGATCCGTCTGCATATCCCACGGCGAACAGATCGGGTTGGACATCGCATTGTGATATGCTCGTCACTTCGCTCCTGTTGTCTTTGTCCTGCCACCGCGAGAGCAGTTCCCCCTTCTTCACGTCCCAGCACAGAACCTCCTCGTTGGCACCGACAAAAGCTCTTCCAGATCCAGCATTGCGACTCGATCCATCGGAAGACCAGACTGAGTTGGAGGAGGCGGTGCAGACGGTGCCGAAGACCTGAGCGGGCTCGTATTTTCTAAGTCAATTAGTTACGGCCATGCGACTTCAAATACTGGGCAATCCTCACCTATAGCTTCGAACCATCACGTCGTTGCGGATGCACAAAAAAGTTCAAGAAGATCGTTTCCCCACAAGCGCGGTCTCAGATATTCTGTCCTCTCATTCTGGACGAAGACTAGCGTGAGGAGTGGAGTCTGAGCCAGCAGAGCCGCATCATCATCCCACCTCACTCTCTCCAATTCGGAAGCCTGGGTTGTGACATTGTCCAGCTGCGCCTAAATTGATTGAGCTTGAAGGTGTACACATTGATTCAATAACCCACCGGCTTCACATCGAAAGGCGCCCCCACCGCCATGTTGCTTCTCGACTACCAAAACGTCCTCATCGAGTCGCTGCTGAAGGACCGCTTCTCGCCGGAGTATGCCAACGAGCTTGATGGGACCGAGCCAGAGCTAACGATCAAACAGCTCGACTCCTTCTTCAATCGACCAAGTGGTCTCCGACTTCGACAACGTCACCTTCCACATCTCCACACCCAACTCCAAGACCCAGATCCTCATCTCAATCGCTGTCAAGTGCTACCCTGAGCTCGTAAAGTACGGCGCAGATGCAGTGCTACAGCGCGAATACGGTCCATACATCGTCTCGCCTGAGCAGGGCTATGACTTCTCCGTCCAAGTCGACCTCGAGAACCTACCAGCCGAGCAAGAAGAGAAGGATGACTTGATCAGACGGATAAGCTTGCTGAAGCGAAATGCCATGGCAGCTCCCTTCGAGCAGGCGTTTGACGAGTACTCCTCATTAGCAGAACAAGCGAGCCACTACACGAGCGAGACAGCACCACAGGGTGTGAGGGAAGGTGGTGAGGTGCGGGCGATACACTACCGGGATGAGGAGGCCATCTATGTCAAGGCATCACACGATCGCGTGACTGTGATCTTCAGCACGGTCTTTTCAGATGAGACAGACCGGATCTACGGCAAGGTGTTCCTTCAAGAGTTTGTGGATGCAAGACGGAGAGCTATCCAGAACGCGCCACAAGTACTCTTCCGTAATGATCCACCACTCGAGCTCCAAGGCATTCCTGGCCTACAGAGTGGGAAGGACAAGATTGGGTACATCACGTTCGGTAGGATTGACTGCGCTGTCGATGTTTTGATCTCACTGCTAATGACTTTCAGTTCTCTTCCCACGCCATCTCACTCCACAGCGCCGATACGAGGTCATCTCTCACATTCAGACGTTCCGCGACTACTTCCACTACCACATCAAGGCCAGCAAAGCATACATCCACAGCAGGATGAGGAAGAGGACGGCAGACTTTCTTCAAAGTTTGTATCTGCATACTCTCGCATTTGAATATCAGCTAACGAATTTACAGTCCTGCGGAGAGCGCGACCAGAGGCGGAGGAGAAAGAGAGAAAGACGGCGAGTGGACGGACTTTCAGAGTACAAGCATAGATTACCACAAAAAGTCAGGAAGCGAAAAGTCACCGTGCAAGACTTTGAATCATGAATCAGATCATTTACCTGTGCAGGCCGCGAGCAGCCCTATAGTGAGTAGAGAAATTTCATGCGAATGTTGAATGCAGCTTACGGTTGCCCCCATGGGATCCCATGGCAACCAAATGTTTGCTCGAATTCAAAGCTGGCGAGCTTTTGCCCTGCACAGCTGCTTCACAACCAACTTCGCAGCATCAACTCCAACATCCCTTGCAACATGGTCGGTCAACTCGCTCCCCATCGTGGCGCGGATGCCCTGCCCGTCGATTGCGTTTGCGAAGAGTGCCTCGAGCTTCAGCGCGAATACTGCCATGTCTTGAACCTGGTCGAGCAGTATCAGGTCCGGCCCAAGATCGATCGGAGACTGGGCGTCGCCGCAGGTCAGCTGTACGAAGCCTGGCTCGAGGCTCAGCATAGTCAGGAGCATGAGTTCGTCGCGCGACAGAAGGAGGCTGTTGAAGCGGCGCCGGCGGAGGGAGAAGAGGGGGTAGGAGAATGGCGGGCAAGTCTATCATCAGCTCCTCACACAAACACCTTTACTGACGAGCACCAGCACATTGATAAGTATCAGAAGTACTCAATGCCTTTCGAGTTTCCGGAGAAGCCGCTTGCATGCTTCTGCGAGGATTGTCAGACCATTTCGTGGCAGAGATACGCCCTGGCTGATGCTCGTTTACCACATTCGCGGCAAATACGCCTAGACTGGTTCCGCGAGAAGGTGAGTGCTCAGAGACACAGTGCACAGATGCGAAATCTTCGGTGACTAACAAATTCAAATAGTACAAGTCTGGTCTAGAGCTGGATACCGACCAGCTTCGGATCCAGCACGCCCCTGGCCACATCTTCAAATCGCGCGCAGAGTGGGAAGAGGGCGACCCATCTGGAAAAGAGCTTCTGAACGTCTGCAGGACCTGCCATGATGTTCACGAGCATTGGGCCGTCAGTCCTTGCGGCCACTGGCAATGCTACGAGTGCATGATGCGCGATCGCAGCCATCTCATGTGCACAGAGTGCCAGCAGGACGCTCCATTCGTGCTCATTACCAAATACCTCATGAGGAGCGACTGCGATGAAAAGGACTTTCACAAAGACTTTCGCTATACCCCCGAGTCGGAAGAGGACGAGCACTCCACCAAGTACCTTCGCCAGTTCGGCTTCGTGCCAAACGATTCAGCGAAGAGTTTTGTCATCAAAGACTACCCGACCAGGGCTTACGCCAACTACCTCCGTCAAGTCGGCATCATTGTTGCCCCCGAGTCTCTAGAAGTGCTCCGAGAGTGCATGATTCTCCGGCGTCTCCAGTGCGCGCACCAGCCGGACGCGTGCGGCTACATCGCCTACTCGCGCGATGATTTGGAGGCGCACATGTTCAGAGCCCACGGGGACTTTCTCTGCGAGTCGTGCCAGGGACTTGTGTGGGACGAGTGTTTCGCCGCCCCTTTCGAGATCATCGTCAAGCATCAAGCTACGGCCCATGGTATGGGCGTTGCGATGCGGACGGTTCTGAAGGCGTGGAAGCAGGCGCCGATGCTGTTTTACTACTGGAGTCCGGAGACGATCGGGTTTGCTCCGGAGGCAGTCATTGAGGATCTCTTTCAGCTTGCGCTGGGAAAACTTGTGAAGGGTGTTACTGGTGAACTCACGGAAGAGGATATCTTCCCGCCTGATGTGGAGGCGGACGCTTGGGATGGATGGAAGTCGGAGAATGGGGGTGAGAATGAGGAGGGTCAAAAGACTGAAGGTGAAGAGGCGGATAATGATAAGACGAGGATTGAGGAGATTGTGGATCATGGCCCTGGAGAGATGGAGAGCGGCAAGACAGAAGGTGAAGGCGAGGCGGAGGATCAGCGGCTGGATACTGACAAGGCGACCGGCGTAAGCTCAGAGAACAACGGCGCAGGCAAGGGCGATGAGGATGACTGTATCGATCTTTTGTGATCGTTGAAGAGCCATCGAGACTCGCCATTGCTCGAATGAGCTGACACTACTATGCGGGAGTTTGAGTGCGAGATGATTCTTGTAGAGTCAAAATAGATGAAAAGCAATGCAAATTTGATAGCTTTGATCTGCAAAGTTGTGTGGGGCTCACTTTTCATGCACAGTCACTCATTTGACCTCTTGAAAGAGTGATTCGTGGTTGGCTTGCAAACTGGCTGAAACGCCAAGAATCACATGCGTCCACTCGCACTGCTTCCGAAAAGGGTGCAGATGCGAAGATCCTACGTATATATACAGCAATAAATTATTGAGGCACGCTTCGTCATTCAACATTCAAGTGAAAGCACGTATGCATGAATTACGCAAATGTCCTGCAGCAATGCAAACGGCGTAGCTTAAGCTGCACGATAGAGCAAACGCCGTGAACGAAAACTCTCTGAAGCGGAAGGCACGGACCCTTGGAACCTCACCTGAAGCAAGCCACATAACTGCCTGCTATCCACACTCCACCTCCCACGCACCCACATAAAACTTCTGCCAGCTCAACTTCTTTCAACATCAAACAAACACATCCGCACTCGTACACACAACCCCGCTACTACAACATCCTCGCCCAGATACCTCCATCACCTCCATCCCTTCTACTACCTTTACACTTTCACATTTCCGGCCGCTTTCGACATGGCTTGCCCCTGCGATGATTGCACCACCCTCCAGAAGGCCCGCAACTACGTCGATCGCATCGACCTCCTCAAGCTCTGTCAGACGGAGGAGAAGGAGAATTTCGAGGTCGCCCTAGCCCGTAAGTACATCTTGTCGCAATGTCTCGGACATACACAAAGATGACTGACATTCTTCTCCGTGACAGTCAGCTCCGCCGACGACCAACTCACGAAGGCGCAAACGATTCTGACCAAGCAACACCTCCGCGCCGCGAAGCGCGCTGTCGCTACCCGCAAGAGCATCAACGTCTCGCCTAGCAAGTCCAGTGAGAAGGAGGGCAGTCGCGATGGTGCGACCGTGGCCCATAGCAAGAACAGCTCCAACGGATCCAATGGTGGAGCGGCCGTGGGTGAAGGTGCAGTGACGGCTAAGCATGGCGAGGCGGGCATGCTCTCGTCTGGTCATCACGGCGCCCTTGTTCTTCGCGAGAATGAGAACATGCGCGAGAAGACGAACTCGCCAGCAGCGAACTCTCGCGGCGGCACGCCAGCGCCAGCGGTGGCTGTAGGAGCAGACTGTCGCAAGACGAGCACGTCATTCACCGCTCAAGACAGTCTTCTCGCCCTTCGTCTGAAGGACACTCCATTCGGAAAGACCATCTCGCCACCAGTCGAGACCAACAGTGGCAAGAACACTCCATCTCCACCGAAGCGCGAGAACAACACGACTCCACAGCACATTCGCCAAGTCTCGACCACCAGCCATGCCACCAACCCATGGGCAGAGCTTTTCTCACCGGTCGAAGTCTCCGAGCCGTTCGAAGAGCACGTTCGCTCGATTGCGAAGGACCTAGGTATTTTGCGTGGTGTCAACGTGGCAGATGCTGGCGCTGGGGTCGACGACTCACAGTATGCGACAGACCACTACAACTACAACTACGACCACGAGGTCCAAGACCCAGAGCTCAAGTCGAGGTTCGTCGTCTGCGACCACTGCCGCGCCCACGGCCTGCGCTGCAACGAGGCCTCGGTCTGCAAGGAGTGCATCATCCGCCTCGTCCCATGCACCCACCGCAAGTGCGACTTGAGCCCCTTCAGCAAGGACACCTGCCCGCGCAAAGTCTGCTTCTACGTCCACGCCGACCACATGCCCGACATCCACGGCGAGCAGAACCCCAACGACCCCAACTGGATCGTGCTGCCCGGCAAGCTGCGCGATCACCTCTCCGCCGGCGCCATCAGCAAGATGATGCCGCTGAGCCAGAACGAGATCATGCGCTGCTTTGAGAACTACGAGCGTCGCCAGCAGCGCGGGTTCGCCGACATGCAGAAGATTGTCGCCAGCGGCCAGGCCACCTGGGAGACGGTCATGTTGGCGTGTCAGTGCCGCGAGATTGAGCGTGAGCAGCAGCAGCAGAAGATTGCGGAGGCGGAGACTCGTGAGTTGGAGGCGATGGCTCGGGCTCAGGGCATCCGCTTTTGAAGAAGCAGTATTTGGCGATTTCTTGATCAAGTGAAGGTCTGAGGATTGATTGAGCGGACACCGATTGTTGCATGGCTGGATAGCGGGAGGATGGATACCTGCGTCTTGCGTGAAAACGCTGCAATGCAGGTACACCCGACGTGTGCCACGATGCAGTGACACGGCGAGTATCGGCAGCGGAACTGAGACCTGCCATACAGTGTCTTGGTCTTTGTTTCTTTTGTGTCTTTTTGGGAGATTGGTGGCGGAAATGTCGTGATCAAGCTAGGAAACAAGCAGGAAAATAAAAAAGTGGCAGACAGAGATTGAATGGCAGAACGATGAGATTCTACTACCTTGAACCGATTTCTATGATGCAGTTCCTGGGTGAGGTTCGACGTTCCTGGTGAAGAAGTGATCCGATATGGCTCTGTTAAGTAGTGGTTCATCTCCCCATGCATGGATGTGCTGTTGCAGAAATGGGCAATACTCGCACGGTGCAACCTGCGAGGACCAGACGGTGGCGGGATCTAAAGATGACCATAACGACCTGGGCTCTGTCGAGTGAAGAGATGTTTGATTGTCCTGTGAGACGATGCCCAGCTATCAGAAGAATCTTCAAACAATCCCTCACTTCCAGCGAAACATGTGCAATGTTCCTCAAGCGCTGACAGCGCGGATCGTTTGCGCCTTGTTCACAGCTCTTCCAGGATAACTATCCTCAGTTTGCCTGTCTTCCCATCTGCATCGCGAGAATATAAACGCTTCATCGAGGTACGGCCTTCCTTCTGGAGAGGTGCAGAAGTTGTATTTCCAAGCGGGTTGCGTGCTTGCTTGCAGAGCGGGCTGGTGTTTCACCAGTCACGACAGACACGAGGGCCTGCGTGGCTGTGTTACGGCACTGCGTAATGGCATCAGGGGGACGGGGATCCCGGTCAGCAGTGAAGTGAAGGTTTGACGCTGGCTGCCAGTGTTGCTGCGCTTGTCAGGTGACAGCAACAACAAACAACACATCTCCTCTCGACATCTGATCTGGTTGACAGCAGAGCAGAGTCTGGCTCACGAGCGCCACAGACCACGATTCTCAATTGTTCACTCACCAAACAGACGTCGTGTTTCTGGTGCTCGCTCTGCTGGCGCAATTTGGTGCGCATCCGCTAGCCGACTCGCGCTGTGATTCGTCGGCGTTCCGAAATTGGACGGAGAGGCAGGTAGCGTGTCGCCCCTTCCTCGTCGTTGCACGGGAGACACATTCCAACGCTCCATCGACCTCGTCGTCGACCTCTCCACCTCCACCGCCCACCGCCGCCAGGCCGAGGAGACGGCAACACCACTCACCTAAGTCACTCTTTTTCCACCACCACCCCTCCGCCGACATCTCGACCCGCCTGGCCTGGACACGCCGACGACGCCACGTCTGCACGATCGGCAGGATTTTCCGCTGCAGGGCCAACCATTGCCAGTCAGCGGACCAAACACGTACCTGGGCGCGGCATGAGGGTGTGACCAGATCAGGAATCCGTCCAGACACTCCTCCCTTTCCGACCCTATCTTCAACCGCGACATACCTACACACTCGTTTTACCGCGTCTCCGGACTCATAATACACACCGACCGACCGCCGACGACCGAAACACCCACCACGGCTACGCGAGACACACCACACTCTTCTGCCGCATGCGATGCGCAACCTACTCGCGCAGCTGCTGGCCGTCGGGCCAGAGCTAGCAACATACATACTGACCGTGCCCCTGTTGGCCGCCCGGCCGACGTACGCTCTCACGCAAACCGCGGCGTCATCACCGAATCTCGACCTCCAACAACTCGGCCGCGTCGCAATCGGAGGAGACTTTGATTCCGTATCGCTGTACACCTACGAAGGGCAAAATGAGAACCTCTCAAGTAATGGCAGCCAGTCGCTGCTCACACGATATCCCAATGGCGCGTTTGAGTCGCTCGCTCTGGTCGATGCGGATGCGTCTATCGCCGCGATGTGCTCGTTCATCAGCCGAGATGGGACAAATAATGGAGTCGTGCTAGGCGGAAATTTCACCAGCGTAGGAGGCCAGAAAGCTGGGCCCATTGCGTTGTGGAATCCCAACACGAACGTAATAACCGACCTCCCTGGACTCACTGGGCAGGTGCACGCACTCTACTGCGATCAATATTCGACGACTGTTTACGTCGGTGGTAACTTCATGGGCGGCAACTCGACGAACTCGATGGCATGGACGACAGGCTGGCAGGATTTCCCATTCGCCGGGTTTAATGGACCCGTGAACTCCATCACGAAGAATTCCGCAGGGAACATTGTCTTTGGTGGTGAGTTCACTGGATTGGGAGATGCCACGACTCCTTCGCAGCCCGATGCACAAGTAGTGAACCTTTTGGGCGGAACGATCACCGGTTTCAACACGGCCGCCTCAAGCGATCCGAGGAGCATCATTTGCAGCACAGCCGACTCGGGAAATCAATGGCTTCTTGCAGATGACACTGCAGGATACTGGGAGGGTCAGTACGGCTTCGGCTTTAACCCGACCAAGTTACGGTTGTACAACGCACAAGGCGGCCACGGCACCAAGTCCTGGTACTTCGAGAGACTTGATGATGGCGGCATTCTCAACTTCACCTACGTCGATCCTACCACCGGTCAGAATTCTTCTTGCTCACAGAGTTGCCCACTTCCGGAGAACAACAGCACTGCTCAGGACTTTCACTTCGTCAACACCGTGGGAGTCAGTGGACTGCGCATCTATGTTACCGAATGGTATGGGTCGAGTGGTGGCCTGAGTGGGATTGAGATCTTCCAGGACGACATCTACAGCTACGCTGTCGCCAATTTCAACGAGCCTAAGTGTGATGGCATCAGCAATGGATCCAGTTCGGTGGCCACCCCCAACTCGACCTGGACAGAAGTTGCGAACCGTGATCTGACTCCAGCCAACTTCCTCTCCGCCTACTTCACCAACTCCGACTCGATCAATGCGTCAACCAACGTCGTCTTCCAGCCGAACATCCAACAGTCTGGCAACTACTCCGTCATGATGTACACCCCAGGTTGCATCATGGACGGCTCCTGTGGGACGAGAGGACAAGTCAACATCACCGGATCCATGACATCGGACACCGCGCCCATCACCACGACACTGTTCCAGACCAACAACTACGACAAGTTCGACCAAATTTATTACGGCTACATCGACACAGACAACTTCAGCCCAGAGGTGACGCTGTCGCCAGTCTCTGGCCAATCCGCCCCACTGACCGTCGTAGCGTCTAGAGTACGCTTCGATCTCGTCTCGACTACTGGTGGCCTCAATGGACTCTACGAGTACACTCCCGGCCTGGCAGCCAACACCGACGACTTCTCCAAGTCTGCGATCAACTCGGCTGGCTCGAACTTGAACGATCAAGCAATGATCAACGCCGTCATCCAGGACGAGGATAACGAGACTCTGTATGTTGCTGGTGACTTCGCTGGAGGTGACGTGCACAACGTCATGTCGGTCAAAGAGAACGGAACTGCACTGCCCGGTGGTGGTCTCAACGGACAGGTCGCTGCGATGCAACTAAATGGATCGAGACTCTACCTCGGCGGCACTTTCAGCAACACTCAGGACAACTCAGTCACGGGTCTCAACAACCTTGCTGTCTTCTCCATCGACGAAAATGTATGGACACCCCTCGGTGCGGGCGTATCTGGATCGGTCTTTGACATCACACCGCTGCCTCTCAACATCTCAGACAACAACCTCCAGAACTGCTTCGCGATCAGTGGTAACTTCACGTCCGTGAACGAGTTCTCTGACAATGCGGCTTTTGATGCAGAGGGCTTTGCAGTCTGGGTGCCGGCGCAGAGCAACTGGTTGAACAACATCGCGAACGCATCACTGGCGCTGAACGGTTTCTTGACTGCCTGGGCCACGGTGCCTGACATGGCGCCAGTCTATGCAGGCACGATCAAGTCGCAAGGCTCTGACTATGGTGATGTCGTGGAACTTGTGGGATCCGGCGTGCCTGGGCTGCAGTCTCTAGGCGTTCGACTCGAGCCTGGTGCATCGAGCAGCTCTACCAACAGCTCGTCCACCAAGCGAAAGCGTGCCCTGACGACTCAATCCTCTGGCCGAAACTACACTGGTGTATATGAGGGACTGTTCTACGGCGATAACAATCTCAATATCACTATTATCGGCGGCAACTTCGCAACCAACATGAGCAACGGCTCAACAATCAACAACCTCATCTTCATCAACGCGACCAACAACGGTCAAGCGACGGTCTCTGGCACGAGCGGCTTGGATAGCGACTCGATCTTTGTGGCAATGGATACGTACAACACCATGCTCTTCGCTGGTGGAGCGGTCAACGGCACTGTGAATGGCAATGATGCTACTGGACTGGTCGTATATGACCTCTCGGCCAATGCATTCGCCAACCCGCACCCTCCTGCGCTCGGCGGCGACAACGTCGTAGTCAATGTCATTGCAACACAACCAGACAGCAGCAATGTTTTCGTTGGCGGCAGTTTCCAAACGGCTGGATCGCTTCAATGCGAGACGCTTTGCTCCTATGATGCTGGAGTCATGCAGTGGCAGAACACAGGCGCAGGTCTCTCCGGCACTATCAATGCCATGTTCTGGTCGTCCAAGACACAACTCATCATCGCTGGCAACCTCACAGTCAATGGCAATGCTACCACTATGGCGACGTACGACGCCAAGAAGCAGACCTTTGAGGAGTACACTGGCGCATCAACCTTGCCTGGCCCCATTTCGGCTATCTCTGCGGTCAGCAGCGACTACGATCAGTTCTGGGTATCTGGCGTAGCGACCAGCAACAGCTCGACTTACCTGGCGAAGTACCAGGACGGCGTTTGGACCGGAGCTGGTGGGCTTGGAGACTCTACGACAATTCGCAAGCTGCAGATCATGCCGCTCACCTCTCCTCACGCGACCAGCGACCTGATGTCGGCCGATCAATCCTTGCTGATATTGGGAGATGTCAACATCCCTACCGAAGGCAACGCAAGCGCTGTGCTTTTCAACGGCACCACATACGAGCCCTACATCCTCACCAACATGAATGACGGCAGCCAAGGCAGTCTCTCGGCCATCTTCGTCGGCAACCCGCAGTACTTCATGGAGAAGAATGATCATCATCTCGCCCTTGGATTGGTGGTACTCATCGGTCTTGCTATCTCCCTGGCCATCATCTTCTTCATCGTCGTTGCCGGCATTCTGATCGAACGTCGTAGGAGACGAAAGGAGGGCTACGTACCGATGACCGCCACGTTTGACAGGAGCAACAACATCGCTCGGGTCCCACCTGAGTCCCTGTTCCACAACCTGGAAGGCAAGCCAAGCCCGCCAAAGCTATGATGAAGACGTGACTCGACCTGTCACGGCTGCTTCTACGCCACGCCGTCACGAATCTCCTACGTTGCACCATCCAGTCTGCCATTTCGAGCGAGATCATCGAAATGTGGACCATCAGATGGATGAGGATTGAGCCGCGCCCGATGGCGCATCTGCTTAGACTGTTGTTGCTGTTGCACGCTACGATACCCACTTCGTTCTGCTTTCAAGCATCTTGTCTCTGTACCTGTTTTGAGAGTACATCTTGGTCTTCTTCTCACTCGATCGTTTTTTCTGCGAGCATTGCGTGCACATTGTGCAGGAACCAACCATATTCCAAAAGGAACCCAGTTTTCGATTTCGACAGGCTCCTCCACACACATGCATGAACCTGCAAAGTCGCCTCGACCACGGCCATGCACAGTTCTTCTCCTTTTTTTTTATCGGAACGAAACAAAACGACACAAGCCTGGAGCTACTCGGCTGCCCGCTCCGGGCGAGACACACAGACACACAGACAGACAGACCCCTTCTCTGGAGGGTTCTTTCTTTTTTCCTTTAGTCTAATGGGCAGCCGCTCTAATGTATACCGAGATGTGTGTGGCATTGTGTTTGCTTTACTGCGTGTTTGTTGTTGCTGCTACTGCCGCTGTCTCCACTGTGGGAGAGACGGCGCATGAAGTTGGGACGGCCGAGCGGGTAGATAGAGAGGAGGGAATGATGAAAGTCGAAGTTGAACACAAGAGTGCTTGCCTTTTCTGTCCCAGTATACTGCTGATGAGTGGGCGAAGAACAAGTGAAGTGTGACACCTCCGAGATCGCTCGCTCTGGACCTGCATGCCCACCCATGTGATGCCTCCACAACAGCTGCAGCCACAGCAACTTGCATGAATGAAAAAATTTCAGATGGGTTTCTACATTCGCCATTGGCGAGACACGTAAGACTCGGTGGGTTTAAGCCCAGCGAAGGACTCTTTCGAAGGAGTCTGGGTGGTTAGGTACTTGGAATGGAAAGGCTCTCGGCAGGTTTCTCGGTGAAGGACTCGGCTGGTTCTGTTGGAAAGGACTCTGTCTCGAAAGATTTCATCAGGCGTTAGAACAGACGGCAAGGTAGTAAAGCAGTCTCCAGCATAGCGATTGAATTATAGCAGTAATGTCTGAACGACCTTGAAGATCTCCGGCCGCGCAGTCATTTTCACGTCTCATTGCATGGGGTTCTTATCTGCTAGCGTTAAACTTCTTTTGGGGCCAGAGAGCCTGGCACAGTCACACCGATCTGCAACGAGAAATTTGAGCAGCAGCTTGCTTGCTTGACCCAGCTTCGCACAACACACACACACACACCAACACCACCACCCATTTTGCACTCGCTGAGCCATTGCGCGCTCTGGTTGAAGGAGTCTGGCCTTCGACTGAGTGCTCAAGCGGTCCTCCAATGGCTCTCAGCACCGGGCGACTTGCTCGTGTGCTGCACCGGGAGCTCTGCTCCAGCAATGCTGTCTCCAAGATAGCGAGGCGGACGTTTGTCTCGCAGACGACGACCACTCGGGCGTGTGGGAAATTTGAGAAGAACACTCAGAAGCAGCAGCAGCAGTTCAGGCAGTTGTCCATTTCCGCCAAGCGCAATGCCAGCCAGGCAGAGGTTGCACCTAATGCGAAGGCGTACCTCGAGAGCGGAGCCATTGCCGGCGGCCAGAACCTCGTCGACGTCAACAAGGTCCTCGTCATTGGCTCTGGAGGCCTCTCGATCGGTCAGGCGGGCGAGTTCGACTACTCTGGCTCGCAAGCTCTGAAAGCACTCAAGGAGGCTGGCATCAAATCCGTCCTGATCAACCCCAACATCGCGACCATCCAAACCGCCCACGTCCTCGCCGATGAGGTCTACTACCTCCCCGTTACGCCTGAATACGTCACCTATGTTATCGAGAAAGAGAGACCGAATGGCATCTTTTTGTCCTTTGGCGGGCAGACCGCCTTGAACTTGGGTGTTAAGATGGATAAGATGGGGATTTTCGAACGGTACAATGTCAAAGTTTTGGGCACGAGCATCAAGACGCTGGAGACGAGTGAGGATCGTGACCTCTTCGCCAAGGCGCTGAAAGAGATTGATATCCCCATTGCTGAGAGTATCGCTGTGGAGAGCGTGGATGAAGCGCTCAAGGCTGCCGATACTGTTGGCTACCCCATCATCGTGCGAGCGGCTTATGCACTCGGTGGTCTTGGATCTGGTTTTGCGGACAATGCTGAGGAGCTCAGGAACTTGGCTGCTCGATCTCTCACCCTATCGCCTCAGATCTTGGTCGAGAAGTCTCTCAAGGGCTGGAAAGAGGCCGAGTATGAGGTCGTGCGAGACGCTTCGGACAACTGTATCACGGTTTGCAACATGGAGAACTTCGATCCGCTGGGCGTGCACACGGGCGACAGCATTGTCGTCTCGCCGTCGCAGACGTTCAGCGATGAGGAATACCACATGCTTCGATCGGCCTCTATCAAGATCGTCCGTCACCTTGGTGTTGTGGGAGAGTGTAACGTTCAGTACGCTTTGCAACCTGACGGCCTCGACTACAGGGTCATTGAAGTCAATGCTCGTCTGTCTCGTTCCTCTGCTCTCGCCTCGAAAGCTACCGGTTACCCATTGGCCTACACTGCTGCGAAGATTGGCCTTGGACACACTCTGCCTGAGCTGCCCAATGCTGTCACTCGCACGACCACCGCCAACTTCGAACCCTCGCTCGACTACATCGTCACCAAGATTCCTCGCTGGGATTTGTCCAAGTTCCAGAATGTCAACCGCTCGATTGGATCGGCCATGAAGTCTATCGGAGAAGTCATGGCTATTGGCCGTACCTTTGAAGAGAGCTTCCAAAAGGCCATCCGTCAAGTCGATCCCAAGTTCAACGGTTTGCAAGGCGACAAATTCGACGATCTCGACGATGTGCTCAAGAACCCCACTGACAGTCGATGGCTCGCCGTTGGCCAGGCCATGCTCCACGAAGGCTACTCCGTCGACCGCGTCCACGACCTCAGCAAAATCGACAAATGGTTCCTCTACAAGATCCAGAACATCGTCGACTGCACGCACGAACTCCAAGACATCGGCTCGCTCTTCGGCGTCAAGAAGGAACTCATGCTCAAGGCGAAGAAGATGGGTTTCAGCGACAAGCAGATCGCCCTCGCCGTCAACAGCACCGAAGACGAAGTCCGCGCTCGCCGCAAGAACTTTGGTATCAAGCCTTGGGTTAAGAAAATTGACACCCTTGCTGCGGAATTCCCGGCTGATACGAATTATCTGTACACGACCTATAATGCTTCGAGCCATGATGTTACGTTCGATGATCATGGGATTGTTGTGTTGGGTTCGGGGGTTTATCGTATTGGAAGTTCGGTCGAGTTTGATTGGTGCGCTGTTAATGCTACGCTTTCGTTGAAGGCGCTGGGGAAGAAGACGGCTATGATTAACGTGAGTGACACCAATCTGTCTCACAGTTTGATGGTCAAGACATCTGCTAACGTTTTTCGATGTAGTACAACCCCGAGACGTGAGTATATCGAACGGCGAACGGCAGTCTGGCGTGTATCAGACAAATACTAACGGCATCTTAGATACTCCACCGACTTCGACGTCCCCGACCGTCTCTACTTTGAAGAGTTGAGTTACGAGCGTGTGATGGACATTTACGAGCTCGAATCTGCCCAGGGCGTTGTGGTTTCTGTTGGTGGCCAGCTGCCTCAGAACATCGCTCTCAAGCTTCAAGACGTCGGCAAGGCCAAGGTGCTTGGTACCAACCCCGAGGACATCGACAAGGCCGAGGATCGTCACAAGTTCTCGCAAATCTTGGACTCCATCGGTGTGGACCAGCCTGCTTGGAAGGAACTCACCAGTTACCAGGACGCCAAGGCGTTCGCTGAGTCTGTGGGCTACCCTGTGCTCGTCCGCCCATCTTACGTTCTGTCTGGTGCCGCCATGACTGTCATCCGCTCTGAAGAGGAGCTTGAGGAGAAGCTGCTTGCCGCAAGCAGTGTTAGCCCGGATCACCCTGTCGTCATTACCAAGTTCATCGAAGGCGCTCTCGAAATCGACTGCGACGCTGTTGCTCACAACGGGAAGCTTCTTGTCCATGCCGTCTCTGAGCATGTCGAGAACGCTGGTGTCCACTCCGGTGATGCATCGCTCGTGCTCCCACCTGCCAACCTCCCACAGACCACGATCGACCGTGTCAAGGAGATTGCTGAGAAGGTCGCCAAAGCCTGGAAGATCACGGGACCTTTCAACATGCAAATCATCAGCGCGCAGAGCCCAGATGGCGGTGAGCCTCAGCTCAAGGTCATCGAGTGCAACCTGCGTGCCTCCCGCTCATTCCCATTCGTCAGCAAGGTGCTCGGAACCAACTTCATCGAAGTCGCCACCCGTGCTCTTCTCGACAAGGACGTACCAGAACCAGTGGATCTCATGAAGGAGAAGCGTGACTACGTCGCTGTCAAGGTTCCTCAGTTCGCATGGACTCGTCTCGCCGGCGCTGATCCATACCTCGGTGTGGAGATGTCATCTACTGGCGAAATGGCTTGCTTCGGCAAGGATCTCGTCGAGGCTTACTGGACCGCCATGCAGAGCACCATGAACTTCCGCCTGCCACAGCCAGGTGAGGGTCTCCTCTTCGGCGGCGACACCGCCACCCCCGACCTCGGCCGCATCGTCGACTACCTGAACCCACTCGGCTACAAGCTCTACGCGGCCAACCACGAAGTCAAGCAACACCTCGAACAATCCTCTAAGGACGGCAGCGTCCAGGTCGAGGTCATCGAGTTCCCCAAGAACGACAAGCGTGCCCTGCGCGAGGTCTTCGAGAAGTACGACGTCCGCGGCGTGTTCAACCTGGCCAAGCGCCGGGCGAGCAGCTTGGAGGATGAGGACTATGTGATGCGTAGGAATGCTGTTGATTTTGGCGTGCCGCTTTTCATGGAGCCGAGGGTGAGTTCCAAAACAACCATGCCGCGCCTGCTTGAAACGTCTTGCTAATGTTTGTTTCTACAGACCGCCGTCCTCTTCGCCCAGTGCATGAGCGAGAAGCTCCCCAAGTCCGAGGGAATACCACCTGAAGTCCGCCGATGGAGCGACTTTATTGGTGGCAAGCCGCTCTGAGTAGCGACCACTGTTCAGCGGGCCCTGTCGCATATGTGACATCCTTTGCTGCCCTCGTGACTTGCTTTTTTTTGTGCTGTTTACTTTTTTTATGGTGGGTGAGCTGGTGGTGGAGGAGAGAGGAGAGGAGAGGAGAGGAGAGGGGTGTAGGGGGGAAAAGTAATTGAGTGATGAGCTTGAAACCTTTCCACGCCAATTTCTTTGCTTTGCTTTTTGACCCTCTTCTAGCTATAGGGTGTTGTCCTGCCTTGAGACTGCGTTATTGCGGGCGGGCCATTCTCGATGCTCCGTGAGCCAAGCTGCTAAACTGTGGTACGGCAGGTGAGGTGCCAACCCTCTCCGGTACGGCTGGTCGAGCACTTTGGGCAAGTATAGGAGATGTGGCGAGACCATCCGAGGTGTGTTTTGAACCTATGCCCGCAAAACGCGTTGTCGCATTTGAAGTTCAGCTGGGAACACTGCGGTGGCAGCTCTGCCGAGACCACCACGTATTTCGCAACGTCGATGGCGAAGTCTGGATACGTCCGCATGGCTTCTTCGAGTTGCTGGCTGTCTTCGGTGGCGGTCGTGGGGAGGAGGGTGTTGCGCCTGATGACCACAATTGCAACGATGAGCTTGCGTATGACGCTGGTGGCTATTGCGGAGCCGTATGCAAGAAGACATGGCTCGACAAGCTCGCTGGCGGTCTCGGTGGTGTTGACGATGGCCTTGAACTTGCTGATGGAGAGAGTCTTGAGCCCGGCGATGTTGTACTGTACGGCTTGTGTCAGCACTTGATCGACGAGTCTGTACGAAGGTAAAGAATGAGATATCACTATACCTTATCCGCAATCACGCACATCGTCACATGAAAGCTCATCTTGTCGGCATGGCTCTCGATGGCCTCGGCGCTGTAATCGAACGTGTAAAGGTACTTCACGAGGGCCTCGATGTGCTAACACACCCATCAGCTGATCTGGATCGGCGATAAACGCGACTGGCAAGACTATACCTGCTTCTCGTGGATCGTCAAGTCCACCTCGCCCTTCTTGGACTCCTACACAATGTCAGTCTTTGACCTTGGATGGTTCCTTAGACTACGTGGATGAGACGAACCTTGAAGTCTCCAGTGCACCACTTCGCGAGGACGTCGGAGTGGAGGCAGAGGAGGAAGCGGTGGACGTTGAAGGTGGTTCCGTTGCACTTGATGATGAAGTCGGAGAGGTCGGCGCTCTCGAGGAAGCTGCCGACGGCACCGCAGAGGGCTAGTTTGACGTTGTCGTCGGCCATGGCGGAGTGCAGCTGCTGAGGTGCTGGTGAAGAGAGAAGCGTCGTGGTTGGAAGCGGGTTGTGAGAGACGTCTGGCGCTAGTGCGGCTTAGCGTGAAACACTGCTGGAAAGCTGGCGAAATAGGAAGGAACGCAAACAAGCGTGTCAGTCGAGCTTGAGAGACGCTAGCCGCGCAAGATAACGATCACATGCTGCCAAGCCATAGTTTGGGCTCCGATGCTGAAATGGCCTTTCCTATTTGACCATGCCCGACACATGAACAGGTTTTTCTTCACCAAAAGCTTGTGCTTGATCTGAACTTATCGGCTCCTGGTCTGAGACTCCACGCCCAGCATCTCGGAACATTTGGCGGGCTCGATGAGGGACTTTGGACCAGCGACGATGAAAATTGAATCCTAAACCCGTCAATCTCGAATTCCTCGGATCCCGCCAGTACAGTCAACAAGAAGCAATGCTACCGGTTCCAGGTGAAGACAAGGGTACTTGAAAGGTATGCGAAGTATGATGAGGCAAGGAGCAGGCGGTTGATATTAAGCTGACATGTTTGGTTTAAGAAACCTGTAAGTGACCAGTTGTGCGCTCACGCTGAACATCGACCAGTGCCGTCACCTTGTATCTTTGAATCTACAACATGAAAGGAGTCGTGCTACTTCTAGATTGTTGTGCAGCAAGTCCGACACCTTTCGATCAGCGTTCGTCGTGACCACAATCTTGACTACGGCGGGATGTTGTGATCGGCGTGGAGCGGGCTGTCCACGTCTCGAAAACAGTCACCTCCTCGATGCAGCCGACGATGGCCTCGTTGTCATTGATAACGGAATTCATCTTCGATAAGGTGAGGGTAGTGATGGAGCTCCCTGTAAACGAGAGATGAAGTCCAGACTCAAAGCACGGACCACGCCAACGCCACTCCACTTGATCCTTCCGACGACAACCATCACCTCACTTCCTCAACTTTGTGTATCCATTTCCAGGAAGCATCATGGCAAAAGATACGCATGCCCACCTGGGCGGCAAGCCTGTGCTGCCACGAAAGGCAGCTCATTCCAACGCATTCTTCAAAATTCTGATTGTGCTTACACTCTGCTTGGTTGCTCTATCACGATGGGTGCTGCCTTCGTGGCGACCAATTGTACCAGCAAAACCCTCTTGTTCCCGCCGAACAGGCAATCATCAATACGACGGAGAGACCATCTCATGGGAGCCTTGCGGCGATGTCAGTGGAAAACCGGTCGAGTGCTCTAACATCACCGTACCGATGGACCAGTTCGACGCCGAGAACTCTGGCGATAAGACTTTCTTCATCCCTCTGATTCGGCTGAGGGGCGGTGAAAACGCTACAGAAAACCTCCTGCTCAATCCGGGCGGACCTGGCGGTAGCGGGATTGAATTCATCTTCAGGAGGGGCAAGCAGCTGTCCGACATCGTGGGCGATGGATTTCACCTCTTGTCGTTCGATCCGCGCGGAATCAATACATCCACGCCGATGGCTTCTTGTTTCCCTACCAAGGAAGCCCGTCAAAACCAGGGCGATGTCAGAGATGACGAACTTGTTCACGACAGCCCTGAAGTCTTTGCGTGGGCACACAACTACGTGCAAGCTTGTGCGGATACGATGGACGAGCACGGTGCTTACATCAACACCCCCCAGACAGCTGCCGATATGAACAGCATTCTTGACGCTGTTGGCCAGGAGGATATGGTCTATTGGGGGTTCAGTTACGGAACTATCCTTGGCCAGACTTATGCCAGTCTTTTCCCCGATCGATCAAAGCGAGTTATCATCGATGGAGTAGCCAACAACTTCGTCTGGTATGGCGACTTCCTGGACACCGAGCAATTTACCGATACCGAAAATGTGCTCGAAGGCTTCTTCGACGAGTGTATCAAGGCTGGCAAGAATTGCAGTCTGTCTTCCCTCGCAGACACGCCAAAGGAGCTACACAAGCTCGTCTTCGACTATGCAGCAAACCTTAAGGAGCAGCCACTCAGCGTGTATGTCAACAGCACACTTTATGGTCTATTCGACTTTCCCAGCCTGTTCTACAACGGAATCTTCCCATCGCTGTACAAGCCAGCGTCTTGGTACTCCCTGGCCGACAACCTCGCCAAGCTGCTAAAAGGCAATGCTACGGATGCATGGCTCGCCTACAGTGGCCAAGGGTGGGGACTGGAAGGCGAAGGGAACACTTTCGTAACCGCGAACGATGGCATGTCTGGCCCAGAATACTGGCCTCAATCGCGACGAGCCCTTCTCGACGACATTGTGGCCAAGTTCAACGGAAGCCTCTTTGGCCCTACGGAGAATGCTGACGCCTACGTGCGACAGCAGTGGAAGGTCCCTAGGACTCACAACTTTACCCAAGAAGAAGGCGTCGAGACAGACCATCCATTGTTGATCTTATCCACAACATACGATCCCATCTGCCCGCTCGTCTCCGCCAAATCCGCCAACCGCGCATTCGCTGGCTCAAAGATCGTCGAAGTTCAAGGCTACGGCCACTGCTCAGTAGCCGTCTCGTCGACATGTCTTGCCAAGAGAGTCAGAGACTTTCTGTACAATGGCACACTCCCGGACGACTATACGAAGTGTGAGGTGGACGGACCTTATTTCATCAAGCCGGAAGAGGACGGAAAGGTTGTTGCGCAAAAGGCATTCGACAACGCTGAGGACGAGAAGATCCACATTGCGCAGCTTGAGCTCGCGAAGGATTGGGATTGGAGGACTCCACGTCCGATGTTGATGTAAAAGATGCGCGCTGGAGTCAGTCTGCCATGGTATTGATAGTGAGGATTGGGAATAGGTTCTATAAAATTGTACTTCAGTTGCTCAGATATGCTCCTTGCTCCCATCCTCGCAGGTCCTTATCGGCTTCCATAGTCGTTGTCCTCCGAGTAAGGTAGAGGCTGAGCGCCTGGATGAGGGCGCCAAAGCGCCAAAGGTCACAGTTTCAAATCGTGTGAGCTATTGTCGGTGCTTTCAATCCCCAGCCTTCTGATGGGGTCCATGCTAGTGTTTTGCAGCCTACACAAGATATCTATCGATGCCGAAGTGGTAGATCACAAAGGTAAATCAAATCACCTGACGGCATATCGCTCCACACCGCTCGTGAGATAGTATGTATAGTGCCCTCATATTACAGCATCCGCGTGAGACTAGGCACTCGACGACCCTCACCATAAGCTCAAAGACCTCTGGGAGCGCCGTTCAACGTGACGGTGATTCGAATGACAACAACTTGAGCCTTTGACTTGTTTTCAAACATTGACATTAAGATACAGCAACTCATACTACATCTCATCACATCATCACGCCTGGCAGCAAAATCCACCTAATCACAAACACCCACACCCACTACTCAGAGTGCTTCGGCTTCTTATCCGAACCCCCCTTAACCCACCTCGACAAATCCACCACGGGCAACTGAAACGGGAAATCCAACGACGCCAACAAGATGGCGAAGAAGATATACCAGCCCAGCAGGTCCGTGACGAACGTAAAGGCACCCGCGGCGAGCACGAGGGTCTTGGCGTACTCGGCGTTCCCCTCGTAGTCGGCGGCCTGGTACCAGAAGGCGGCGGCGAGGAAGCAGAAGGCCGGGGTGAGGGTGAAGAAGATGAGGAAGAAGATGAGGTTTGTGCGCAGGGCGAGGATCATGTAGAAGAAGCAGAGGAGGGCCATGAAGAGGAGGAAGAAGGCTGTTGTAAGAAGCATTAGCCGGCTTGGCTTTGGAGAGTGGGCGGGTGTGTTGAGTGTGGTCTTACCGAACGATGCGTTGAAGCCTGGTGTTTCCAAACCAGTCGACTCGGGATTCATTGGGTCCTTGTACGCGCCATATGAATTGTAGAACGGCTGGAGAGTTGCTCCGTATGCGAGCCAGAAAGCACCGAAGGTTCCGAAGACGACGAAAGGGAAGGTGTTGCCAAGAACCCACTGGAGATCGTAGTCAGTACAGACGTATAGCGCGTTATGTGGAGAGGCGTTGACTTACCTCGCCCAGAGATCCTAGAATCATGAGAAGACCGCCGAAGAAGAAGTAGACACCGGTCGATGCTGCTCCGTTGCCGCCGGCGCCGCGCCAGCCCATCAAGTCGCAGGATAGGGGAGTGAGGGAGAGTAGGAAACCGGCGAGGGCCCTGTAGTGGTTGTCAGTAACCTACTTTCCGTAGTTTGTGTGACAGAGTCTAGGCTGTGAGGCTTCCAGTCCGTCTACAGCATGTAGCCGCGCATGGAGTATTTGTGGTAGACCAGTAGCAGTGAAGCCTCGTGGAAGCTTCCCAAACTTATCAAAGCGCGCGAGAAGCTCCACAATGGCTTGCACAGTGCCTGAGGAGGGAAATGTATGTGTGATACTCACAATGGCGTTGGGTTACCTATTCAACGACAAAAGATTAGCCATCGGCCGGGGCAATCGATCGCGACAGGTGCCATTCTATCAACTTACCGAATGTCTTTCGCAAATCACCGGCGACGCGATTCTGCGGTGAAAGGTAGATCTTCTCGAAGAGCTCAGGGCTGATGGACAGCGACCCAGTGGTCTGGATTCGCTTCAATGCGGTTTCGGGATCCATGCTGCTGTCGAGGTGGTAGCCTTACGAGTCGAGTAGTCAGAACATCAAGCTCCTGGGTCTCGACTATGTGGCACACGACAAGGCTCACCGTTCTGGAAATCCTTCTCGACTGGAGCGTCGTTGCTGCTCATGTTGTTACGACTGGATATGGACGGTGCTGGTTGTGCTTGACTGTGATTGATTGGCGTTGTATGAAATGTCAATGGATAACAACACGACGCAGCAAACAAGCAGCAGGACCAGCAGTGGGGATGAAGAACCTCGCCAGGGCAAGGGCGAACGAAGACATCTTATTTGATCTGAGAGCACAGACGATACTTTCACGGCTCCGCACAAGCAGTTGTGCCGCTGCCGCCGCCAACTAAGAACAGGCAGAAAAACCTGGGGCCAGACTGGAACAAGAAACACCGCACTTGGGGGAGCGATCGCAAAAGGCGCCATCGTGCAAGCAGGCAGAGCAGAACAGGGGAGATCAACTCTCCGCACTGCAGCCCGTTGATGCGGTTGGATTGGATCCTCCCGTGACAGTCAGGACCAGCGGCTCTCCGGATGGCTGGGTGGCCGGATACCATCCACCGGCGTGTGTCAGGCCCCGTCTGTCGTAAGCGAGGGATCGATGCTTGCGGGCGACTTCACCTCCTCGCATCCGCATGCATTTCGAGCAGGTTTTTGTCGTTCCAAGACTCATTTTCAAACGAAAAGACGCTCCAAAGCTCGCTGTGCCGGACGGACGGAGAGCTCTCGCGTGAGGTGATGTGTTTGATGCTAGATCGCGAACGGTTTAGCTCCCAGAGCGGGTCTGGGGAGATCTTGCGGGGAAGGAGCTGTTTCTGGGAGTGCACGCGCCAACACAACGGCGTTGTCTGTCTCTTTCGTGCCTGGGAAATCACCATCAAAAGCACAACAAATCTCTCTGTTCTGGCCACGGAGCTCTTTGCTGCCGGAGCACAGAGATCTCCGTCCGAGGAGTTGGTACGTCGTCTTGAGACAATGTGAGGGCTCTCCACAAGTTCACATCTCTCTGGTATCCCTCTCCCAAGGCCAGTCCCAAGGAGAGCACTCCAAATACGGGAGCGGGTTGAAGGTGCCCGGTGAATAGAGGACGATGAACAGAGCCGCCTCGGCGTGTGCATCTCGATCGTGATGGTACCCTTCCTCGCTCTCTTTTCACCGTGCCAATCAATCCAACGGGCCAATGGCTATACGGACTCGCGGATGATTGGTTCGACTATATTGTGCAGCATGCAGCGGTACGGTTGCCCGGAAATTGGCGTCGTCATTGAGCTGCAACCAACCTCATGGAAGACTTCCTATTAACACCAACTTTGTTCGATCGGATGGGCGCATGTGAAAGCTGTCGCCATAGAGCTGGATTATGGCTCTATACCCTCCGTCAAGTCTTGTGGTGCCTTTCTCTGGGTCTTCGTGTAGAGCGAGGCATCCAGATGAAGAAAGTGGTGACACTTGCGAGTCATTTCTGGCCCCATCGTCTGTCAAGCCTGACCATGCTAGCGCAGCAACCCGGGAGATCGGACATGGGTGTATCCATCTGGCGAATTTGGAATACACGGGTTCAATAAGAGCTTTCAACGCCTCCTGTTGATGCAAGCTGCGCATTTTGTTGCTCGACAATGATTCACATGCTCGTCGTCAAAGGAGTCTTCTGAAATAGGCCTGGTCTGGATCACCGCTATCAGTACTTAAGTACAGTCTGGCAAGCTATGTCTGCGTACCTGCAGGAGTGTGAGGTTCGGGCGATGACAAGCCTTGTTTAATTTGACAATCCCCTGGTGTGCGGTGGATGATGGCCTCATTCAACCGCTGAGACGCCGCCGTATTGTCATTAGCGAACTAGACCCGTCGCAAATCAACATTTGCTATTCGTATCGTTCGCATCGCTGCCAAACTTTCGAAAGTGGCGACTCGTTTTGCCATGGTACAGGCCAACAGATGCTGGTGTACAGATCTGGAAAGACAGCTATACTCGCGATGGGCAAAGGTCATGGGCGATACCTGGGTACTTCTTTGTCCTCATCAAGCATGCCTTATCTCGACTGAGAGCCAAGGCTAGCCACTCGGTACATGTGATTTTGGTTTTGTATGGCGTGCGAAGTCAACATTGGCTCTTCGAGCTGCACATGCGCCGCGTTGACGTGGTAATAGTCTTGATTGCCCTCTTGAATCTCTGATGCTTGCCAACTGGAAGACCGTGGCCATTGAAGCAGCTTTGAACCATGTGATCGTTCGACAGAATTAAGCGCTTTTGGATTTGTAGGGGCGTCCTAGTCGAGTTCTGCAGGGTCTTGCTTGTCTGAACATCACCTGCCGGCATCGACGTGGAGGTATGGAGCATACCTACTGTTGCACAAGAGCATTTGCAGTGATGGGTAGCTGACTTATTCCCGCTCGGTTCCCAGCATCTGCATCAACTGCCTCTGCTTGCCCTTGATGACACGAGCAATGTCGTCAACATCCAGTCCTCGCATACCATCGCCGAGTCGTTGGGTATCGTGCTCGAGCTTTTCCATATCTGCTCGCAAAACGCCGTCGACCAGCTGCACAGTGCTTCCTTCAGACTTGGCGTACACAGCGTTCAAAACACTTTGAAGATCAGCATCCGTGCGAGCAAAAGAACCAGACAGCGTCTCGGTGATGTTGGACTCGGTGGACTTTCCGAGGCTTGCCAATTTGTGCTCTTGATCTCGGACTGTGGCTTCAAGCATGCCGCTGATCTTGGCGACACTGTCCGCATCACCAATCCGGACATCATGTTCCCTGAGGAATGGTAACGTGGGGTCCTGCCCTTCAGAAAAGTTGGCTTGAACCAGTCTGAGGAGTTTGAGGCCTCTTCCACCACTTCTTTCGGTAGCAGGCGAGCTTTGCCTTTGTGGTCCCCCCGACTTTGGACTGGGTGCGGCAACAGTCTCCTCCAAGGTGTTGGACACAGCCTGCAAAGCTGCGCTGTGGGAATGTAGACGATAGATGTGGTCACCGATGGCATCAAGGCGCGAGGTGAGGTACGCCAATGCTGCCACAGTATATTCTGCCCACTTTGCCTTTTGTGCCTGCGAATCGACTTGAGCGGATACCATGCCTCGTTTAAGCGGTTTGCGAAACTGATGGTCTACAGCAATGGCGACCAGACCATCGATTTCACTCCCGAGCTCATCCAGTTCAGCGCGTAGCGTAGCCCGCTGCTTTGTCTTTGATTCGGATAAATCACTTGCCGTCGAGCCGTTTTGGTAACGACCGTAATCTGTGAGGGTTTCGTGGTAGACCTTGTCGAGTCGTGCACGAATCTCACTAGCAGAAAGGGCAGCTAAGGTAGAACACAATCGCTCCACATCTGCGGTCTCATTATCGCCCTCCAGGCTGTTCGAGAACCTAGGCAAGATTTTCTGCAGTCCGTCCAGTAACCTATCGTCCTTTTCGAAGATACGCTCCACGCTGGACGGAATACCTGAAGTAGCCGAGTCTGACTGTTTGCTCAGGGTGCGAAGCCGTCCCGTCGTTGTTTGAGACACATCGTCAGTCTCGAAGTCCAGTTGGGCTCTCTCATGAGCGAGCCTTTTCTCTCGTGCTTCCCTCGCATTAATGGCCCCATTGCGGGATGCGTTGCGCGCCTGGATATCCCGTAACGCTTTCCTTTGGGACTCGAATAGCGCACACTGTTTCTCGATTGCGGCTGTGCTGGCTTCGATTGAATCAATTGCGGCTTCGAATTCTGCTTCAGACAACGGCCGGCCTCCAGGTGCTGCTGGAATACTGAGGTCTGCCTCACTGTTCTCTGCACTTGAAGAATAGATGAGAATCTGGCTTAGAAACTTCGAAAGGCTATACTCACAAGTTCAACTCGTCCTTGCTTAGGAGAGTCGTAGAATGCAAGTGCTGTTTGACCCAATCGGTGGCCTTGTCTCGGGTACCCGCTGTTTCGAAAGCCCAGGCGACATCGTCTCCATTGAGTGGGATATCGCGTTCAGATAGGGCTCGGAGGAGGATGTCCAATTCGGGGGGTGCCATTTCGATGTTCTGCTGCACGTTGGCGTTGTTGCTGTCAAATTGATGCGCTGGCTGGGATCCACTTTCCTTCGGCAACGCTATTTTAGAGTTCGGCCCGATGCGGCCTGTGCGCGTGCGGCTCTTCTTTCGTCCGACTTCTTCAACGACAACATCAAGATCGAGTCGGGAAATTTATTATCGCCCGCGGCGTTGTCCTCCCATCCCTTACATTCAAGCCATGATGGATTCATGATAGCAAAATCCCTCACCGTCTCCATCATGTCGAAAACGTTCGCTTTCATCTGCACCGGGCCCGGCGTGAACCAGGATGCTCGAAAGGACGTCAGGTTCGCAGCACGATCTCACACGGCTAAAGTGAACCGCAATCGACGGAAACAAGCCTTGTCGCGCAGGCGAATGACCACCCCGATGCTGGGCATGCAGCCCAGGCAGTCCGCAGCGCTATTTGGAGCATCGAATAGCGCCATGCCGGATATCTCGTCACCTGCAGTGGCCGATATCGTTGACTTTTGTCAGATCTCCTGCGTTCTGGGGGTAGGGTCTGGGGGTAGGGGATACACTGCTAACATACAGCTGCAGTATTCCGTAGCGTGCTCACGCAACCGTTCACGCCAAGTGAGATCGGCCACTGGTTTCAGGGCTTCTGTGAGACGCCATTGCTGTACCACTCGTGGGCTCATCATCGCTTCTTCGTTGAAAGTCGGATGCGAAGAGATCTCCCTGGCGATCGATGGCAGTCCATGGTCTCAACGAGGTCCAGCGCCCACCATCTCATTGGAGACTCGCTCTCAGATCCGGGTAATGATCGAGAGAGCATCGAAAAGCTCCTCCTTGCCATGGCACTCACCAGTCAGCATGAAAGAGATGCTTCAACAGTCGATGATCTACCATTATGCATACCGCACATGCTTTATACCGAAGGTTTTGATGTATTCCGCGTCAGGCAGTTGGACGGCTTTCTCCCGGCCGCAGTATCACTCATCAGCCGACTTCCCGACGGTCTTGAATCATTGGTAGACACTGGGCTGTTCCGCATCATGTGCATGTAAGGCTCATCCGAATCTCTTGCGCCAAGAACTACTAATGAGTGCTTCGGTAGGGTTGATCTCTTATCCGCAGCCGCGAGTTTCGCCCACCCTTTCTTTCCATGTGGCTGGGAACATCCTTTCCACATTGACCTTTCGACGACCAGCGACGAAGCGATGCCTGGCCATGGCTTCCATCGACTTGGCCTGCAAGGCGCTCTCCCGCGGTCAACAATATTGGTCAAGCCCTGTCATTTGGACCGGTTCATGGCAAACTACGATAAGATGCATCTCTCATCAAGTGACTTCCAAGATCTTTTAGCTTGGCGCAATGCTGTTGTGCATGAGCTGCTTTCCTTGCCCACGTGGGAGGGGTTGTCCGACGAAGAGAAGTCGACGTCATTCCAAGGTCTCTATGAGTGCTGTCGGCTAGCCGCAACATTATATTGCAACGCTATCATATGTGCAACTCCAGCGGGCAGCAGGGGAATCACAGAGCCGTTGCGTCAACTGACAGCATTTCTGGAGGTGTTCTCCACCTGGCGGCTGGAGTTAAGCGAAGTAGCATTGTGGGCCTCGTTCGTGGGAGGGCTCGCTTCCTATGGTACCGAGTACTGGAAACCCATCGTCCGAAGCGCTCGATATTTGACGAAAATCTGCGGGATCTCGTCAATAGACGAAGTTCAGACGGTGCTACATCGCTGGCTATGGTCCGACAGCGCATGCGAGCTCGGTACAAGAGCTCTCTGGACAGCTCTAAGTGTGGAGAACGACGATATACGAATAGAATACCAAACAGAACAGTAATCATCCACACCATCACCCAACCACGAACATTCATTTAAATTTAGACTTTCAGATGCACGTGCTAGGGTGGGTCAAAGCTTAACCCCATCGAGTAGTTGGCCGGGAGCATCCGTTCTCACATCAAGAGCCAGGATTATAGATTATGTACGCTGCCAAGAAGCCACAGAGGAAGCTTACAAAGTCGTTTGGGATGCAGGTAGACCTTGTCGATATGCAGCCTTCTCTATCTATGTATCATACGAGATCTTGGCGAGCAAAAGTCGGTTGTCGGGGGACGATGTCGGAGAGCTCTCCACCGAGACGATGTCTCAAAAGTGCGAGTGCATCGTGTGCAGGTGGATTAGGTTGCATGGAACACTTCAGGTTCGAGCTGTCAATGCTATTTTCTGCAGTCAACGTGGACCTATTTTTGTCGCCTTATAAGGGTTGCGACGAGCACTGCCTCGACATGTGTTTCAATCGTCAACAATGGATCGTGCAGATCAAACTTACCGTTCGAGCTCGGATACCAATCCTCAGTGCGACTTCATCACAATAGACGATTGCCTGTACACAGGAGATGCTTGGCTGCGGGCTTCTCCAGACGACCTTCAGGGATTCCCACCACGTCATCCAACGTCGAAAAAGCTGAGAGACCAACAGGGTGACGAAGAGAGTCCGGTTAACTCCAATGGTTCTGGTTCGACTCGTTCTGGGTACGGAGGAGACGGCTTCGAACGCAGCTCATTCGACCAAATGCTGTTCACAGACCCCGACCTCATCAATGACAGCGTTCTGAATTCCTTTTGCACGACGACGCCTGGCTCCGTCGATGAACAAGATGGCTTACCAGCGGGTGTGAATGTTCAGAATGGTCGAAGTCGCTGGATGGAGAACGCCTCTCAGGGAAATGGGCCGGATAAGGAAGAGCGCTTGGCTCGTCGACAAGCTCAGAATCGCGAAGCGTAAGTAGTCTACGCAACACCACGGCGATCTTCAATTGTAGAGCTAGTCATCTGACGACTTGCACAGGCAGCGAGCTCATAGAGCCAAGCAGAAATCGAAGTTGAGCACGCTCGAGAGCAGGGTTCGGCTGGCAGAAAGCAATTGTCGGCTGCTTGAAGAGGCGAACCAAAGAATGGAAGACGTGCTGCGGAATCTCGTCAACGATGCGGTCAAGGTCCTCGCATCTCCAGCTCGGCCAAATCAGCCAGGCCATCGGCCGTCGAGGTTCGCCATGGATGCTTAGCGAAGTTCATCCAACAGGAGATTGGTGGTGGCTCTCGTGTTCTTTGGCGAGCGTTATGGAAGGCCCATTCTTTCATGGCATGATGGCAATACCACGGAGATAAGTGAGATTCGAGTCACGCTCGCTGTTGGAGAACATAGCGGAATGATATCCAAGACCTGTCGTTGTCGTGTCGTTGTCTTTCCTTCGAGCGCTGGTGAGGTCAGATCTTGGCCCCACTTTCTCCGCGATTTCAAACCTTCTTGAGCCGAACAGCTCACTCTTCGTGCATCAGTCGAACATCAACCTCGAGAGAAATCATTCACTATGTTGGAACGCGTGACAAGACAAGCACTGGCAAAGCCCCTCTCGCCGCTGTTCGTATTCCAAGCTGGCTCTCGCCCGGCCATCACATCCACTTCCAACGGCTCCCAGACGCGCAATGCAACCACCTCCTCCCTCCCAAACAGCTCTGCCGCGTCTCGGCGCAAGGCAGTGACCGTAATCAACGACACCGGACGAGTACCCTGGGAAAATTTGAGTATTGGCGAGAAGGCAGCGAGAGCGACGCAGCAAACATTCAACTTTGGCCTGGTAGCCCTCGGTATTGCCTTGACAGGCGGAGTGTTCACCGTCCTATGGCTCGAGGTCTTCTCGACAGACAGCAAGACCGCATTTTTCAATCGAGCCGCCGACCGCGTACGAGCAGACCCGAAATGTCGTGAGCTTCTGGCAGGAGAAGGTGTGCACAGCAAGAGGGAGATTAAAGCATATGGCGAGCCGAGCTGGAGCCGATGGGCTCGTAACAGGACGATTGCAAGCCGGCTGGAGAAAGATCGAGCGGGTGTGGAACATTTGCATATGCACTTCTATGTTGAAGGGCCGGCGGCGAAGGGTACTGTCAATCTGCATATGTCGAGGCGGGAAGGTGAAGAGTTTGAGTATGAGATGCTTGCGCTGGATGTGCCTGGACAGCCTCGGTACTACTTGGAGAATGCAAACTCGAAGAAGCTGGACCAACGGAATAAAGGGAGGATGTTTGGCGTGAGGTGGAACTGAGGCTTGCGCTGTTAAAATACTCAGACTGCAACAACTGATCTATGTGGATCGAGAGATAGCGCAATTGCAGCTTTGTCCATCGGCCGCTCAGCCTGTCAAGTCGGGATACTGCTGCATCTATATCACACCTGCCAATTCTTTCCGCATGGCCTCCTTCACAATGCTCCCGCACAGCTTGGCGTGAGGGTTCGTGTGGACAGCCAATGCTTTGGCAACCTCGTTGCCATACAGACCACCGAGGTAGAACAGCCTCGATGCTTCTTCCTCAAATCTGTCTTTGGTCCATGAGGAGCCATCCAACTCAGCAACTTCCATGATTACATCGGTATCGAGATCTTTGAAGGCAGCATAATACAATGCTCCAAGCTGGGTGTATGATTGTGCGAGGAGACGACCTTGTGCTGGAGATACGCCATCTTGAGGCCTTGCCGGAGAGACCAACTTGACGGACGCAGTCAAATCATTCACAGCGGCTACTGCAGCAGCACTTTTTTCGCCATCAACGTCTGACTTCTTCTGACAGAGGGTGTTTCGGTCACCGAATCTCCACCTTCGCAGTTGTGCTCGATTATTCCTTGCCGAAGCATATTCAGGGTGGCAATCGATAATGTCGTCGATGATGGCCAGAGCGGCTCTGAAAGCGGCATCTTTTGATGTTTGTTGCGGCCCTGCGTTCTTCTCGAATTGCTCGATGATAGAAATGGCTTCCTTCTCGCGGGATTTGAGCTTCAGCAGCAGCTCAGCGTCTAGGATGCGAGGATCGGTCGGCAGGTCGGGGTTCACCAGCACTTCGACTCTTGTGGGTGCACTTTCAGGATCGAAGACCTGGGCAAGCACCTTGGAGTCCGCTTTCGACAGTTGTTTTGGCAGCATCGTTGCAGGATGCGAATGACGACTTGGGATGTACGAATGAAGGCTTGCTTTCGAAAGATATTCTGCGCTTCTTCTGTACGACCGTCAGCACGACGACGTCTTATCAAATCGTTGATAGGAACTGGTTGCAGTACTCTCTTAATCCGACCGCTTACTCTCGGCAGAAGGTCTGAAGCCGCTGTAAACCGAGCTTCACGTGACAGCGGCTTACGGTCTTACGTTCAGCCGCTGTTCTCCTGCGCCTTCCACTGGCTGCACCGAAGATGCCGCAGCTTATGTGTAGCGATGAGGAGGAAAGAAAGGAGGGTAGGTCATAAGACGTTCGTGTTCCCTTTGTTACCATCTTAACTTTTTCTTTCAAATCTCCTCTGCCTTTTCAACTATCAACAAGTCAACATGGCGCCAGGAGCACTACTCGTCACCGGTGAGAATGGCCGAACAACGCCTCTATACGATTCCGATGCGTCTGCACCTGCGGTTCAGGCGCCTAATCACCAAGTCGAGTATAGAGGCTACGACCATGTAACGTGGTGGGTCGGCAACGCCAAGCAGGTGAGCTCAGCCGTTTCGGTCCAACAAAGAGATCTTTTCTGACCATGCGTTGTAGGTGGCTCAATACTATACGACTCGAATGGGCTTTCAGCCTGTTGCATACAAAGGTCTAGAGACAGGCTCAAGATTCATCGCCAGCCATGTCGTGCAAAACAACGGTGTCCGTTTCGTTTTTACATCACCCGTACGATCTTCAAGTCGGCAGACCCTCAAGGAAGCACCCGCGGAAGACCAAAAGATCCTGGATGAGATCTACGATCACCTCGACAAGCACGGCGATGGCGTGAAAGATGTCGCCTTCGAAGTCGACGATGTCCGTGCCGTGTACGAGAACGCCATCGCCAACGGAGCAGAATCCGTCGCATCGCCACACACCGACAGCTCAAAGGAAGGCGACATCCTCTCAGCATCAATAAAGACCTACGGAGACACTACCCACACATTCATCGAACGAAACTCATACTCCGGACCGTTCCTCCCCGGCTACCGCGCCGTCACCAACCCGGACCCCGTCAACGCCTACCTCCCCTCCATCAACCTGGAAGCGGTCGACCACTGCGTCGGCAACCAAGACTGGGATGAAATGAACGACGCCTGCGACTTCTACGAGCGCTGTCTGGGGTTCCACCGCTTCTGGAGCGTCGACGACAAGGACATCTGCACGGATTTCTCCGCGCTGAAATCCATCGTCATGAGCTCCCCGAATGAGGTCGTCAAGATGCCCATCAACGAGCCTGCGACGGGCAAGAAGAAGTCGCAGATTGAGGAGTATGTCGATTTCTATAATGGTCCTGGCGTGCAGCATATCGCTCTTCGAACACCGAATATCATCGAAGCGGTTTCGAATTTGCGCGCGAGAGGCGTGGAGTTTATCAGTGTGCCGGAGACGTACTACGAGAATATGCGGTTGCGTCTGAAGCAAGCTGGGATGAAGCTCAACGAGTCCTTCGAGACGATTCAGAGTCTGAACATCTTGATCGACTTTGACGAGGGAGGGTACCTTTTGCAGCTCTTCACGAAGCCGCTCATGGACCGCCCGACGGTATTCATTGAGATCATCCAGAGGAACAACTTCGATGGATTCGGAGCGGGGAATTTCAAGAGTTTGTTTGAGGCGATTGAGAGGGAGCAGGACTTGAGGGGGAATTTGTAGGAATTGAGGTTGGACTCTACAAAAGGGGCGTTCGGCGATGGAATGCAGGTCTCAGTTCGTCAGGTAACAATCACGATAGATTGCAAAAGACTTCCATTACCACATTCCTCTTTCAGATCAATCAAACACAACCCCCAACCGTCCTTTATGCTTCCCCGAATGCATCAAATCCAGCATCTCCTGGAACTGCTCCAGCTTGAACCGCGTCAAGTGCGGCTTGATACCGTGCTTGTGACTGAACTCTAGACACTTCACCAATCTAGGCGTAATTCCATTATTCGACCCTCTGACTCGGATCCTGTTCATCGAGATCTCCATCGCGTTGAACTGTAATGGCCTCTGCGGAATTCCCGTGACCATCAACACTCCATTCGTGCGCAGCAATGCTGGTATTGAGGAGTACGCCGGCACGGAATTGGTATAGTTGATCGCGGCATGGCAGCCTCTCCCACCCGTGATAGCTTTGATCTTCGCAACATAATCCCCATCGACTTGCGGATTGAAGACGAAATCAGCACCTTGGGCCTTCGCTTCCTCCAGGGCATCAGGCGAGAGATCGATCCCAACGACTTTACACTCATAAGCCTTAAGGTACTGAACCCCAAGATGTCCCAACCCACCACAGCCCACAACCGCAACCCACGTCTCCGCCGGCTCCACACCCTCCAACTCCGCAACCGTATCCGTCACGGAATTGAACGCCGTGCACCCCGCGCAGAACATCGGTGCGAGGGTCGTTAGATCCATCCCCGAGGGGATTTTGGCAGCGTTCCTCCAGTGGATGGCCACGTACTCCTGAAAGTAGCCGTCGACGGTCATCCCCTGGACTTTGGGGGAGCCGGTCTCGCAGTTCAGGTTATGGATTTGGCAGCCGGGGCAGTCGTAGCAGCAGTCGATGATGGGGAGGAAGCCGATCGAGTCGCCGGATTGGAAGGTGGGGACTTGGGAGCCGAGTTGGAGGATGGTGCCGCAGGCTTCGTGGCCCTGGGGAGGTTAGTCTGTGGTTGTTGTTTGGTGGTGGAGGGAGTTGGTAAGTTACCATCGTGAAAGGCTCGCCCTCGCCGAGCGTGAGACCTTGCTCGTTGGACTCGAAGAGCATCAGGTCGCTGTGGCAAAGGGAGGCGGACTTGACTTTGACGAGGATCTCGTGGGGTTTGATGGAGGGGATCTAGAACCAAGTCAGTCAATTTTTCCAAGGGATGGTCGCATGTCGAGGAACTTACCGGAATCTCATTGATCGAGACCGTTTGGTCCTTGGGATTGAACTGAGCAGCCTTCTGCGTTGCAGGCAGTTGAACACCATTGGTGCCGTTGGTAGCCATGTCAATGCCCATCAAGGTTATTGATATCGCAGCCTTGTTTGAAGTTTGGACAAGCAGCCAGGGAATTTCAGATGAGTGAAAGTGAGGTCGTGCCTTGACCCACCTACTTCATCTTACCGAGTGGAAACACCGAACCAAGCCCGCATCGTCAACAACACCTCGAACAACCACGAAGCGAGCCCCGCAACAGGTGTGTCGAGTCTCCACAGTTTTGGAGAACACCACTTACGCGGCCGTAGCTGGGAGGCGGTTGTACTTTCGAGTCTATGGAGAAGCTTACCCGTGAGAGCTCCTTTCTCACGATCCATCCGCGACAGCATGTCGGAAATCCTCCAAAAACTTCCACCTCGACTCCTTCTTCCACTTCTTCTCCGACCATCCGTTCAAATGCTTCGGCCACTCGTCAATGATCCCCTTCAGCGTCCAATCGTGCGCCAACACGGTCAACACATCCTCATTCGCGTCGAACCCTTCCACCTCCCTGACCGTCTCCTTTAATTTTTCATTGTCGTAGATGAGAGCATACTTCTGCTTCTTGTAAGTGCCCGCTCCTGGATCGATCAGCTCGAGAACATGATCCTCTCGACTACCATTCCTGAGTAATTTTGAAAAGAGACCTCCAGGGCATGGGCCAGCGTGGATGTGCGGGAGTGGCGATGGATCGATATTCTCGGGCAAAGGCATGTACATGGTCGGCCGTATCTCGCCGCAGTGATGCGCCGAATCACCACACATGTGCACATACTCCGGAGCATCGACCTTCGTTCTGGCGAGTGCGTTGACGTGAGCGATCGTGTGGCCTGGTGAGTCCAAGAGGTAAAAACTTCCATCGCCGAAGTAGTCATACGCCCTGAAACCACCGATTTTCAAATCTGCATTTCTGAAATCCACCTCCACCACCTCCCGTCCCTCAAAATCACTATCAAGAGTCTGCGCCTCGGGATCGGTGGGATACCCCGGCATAAAAGCCTCCTTCCCACCCTCGCCCATAATCAACTTCGTACTCCCCGGAAAAGTCGAGACATCCCCCGTATGATCGAAATGAAAATGACTCCAAATCACCCCCTCCACACTCCCCAAATCCACGCCCCCCTCACTCAAAATCTCGCTCACATTCTTCTTCACATCGAGAGATTCCAGCGTGCCGTTGGCGAGGTACTCTTTGATCCCGACCGCAGGAGCGCAGTTCCACCAGTCCTTGCGCATGCCTAGGTCGTAGACGAGTTTTCGGCCGGAGGGGTGTTCGATTAGGAGAGACCAGCATCCTGTGCGTACGCGCCCGAAGCCGGGGATGGGTGGGTCGTAGAAGTATTCTGTGGGGACGCCGGAGAGCCAGAGGGTGCTGTCGATGGCGGAGACGGTGACGGTGGTGGTTCCTGGGGGGATGTTGAGTTTTGGGGGAGGTTTTGGGGGCATTGTTCACGATGGCTGGCAGGGAAGTTGTTGTTGTGTATTGGAGAGGCTTCTTGTTTGATGTGTTGCGCTAGAAGTGGTTATTCTCGATATCCCGTGGGATCGGGTTTTGAACGACGGGATGTTTGCTGCCGAGTTTGATCATGAAGGATGAGAGAAGGCCATACTTATACCACCCTTGTTATGCCAGCATTTTTAAAGTCCTGAATCATTCTGCCGTAGTTAGTAACATTGTCCTCCGGAGAGACTCGTTTGGTGCGTGGCTGTGCGAGACCCTGCTCGGACGAAAGCTGTTTGTCCGCTCGTGGCAATTCTGCCCTTGGTACCACAACACAATCGACTAAAGACCATGGTAGCTCGAGGAGAAAGCGGGAACGGCGCAAGGCCGTCTCGATTAGAGCGGCAATCCTTCTCCGTCAATTCACGTGAAGCTATCTGGGTATCTTACTTACATGCAGCTGGCATCAGCGGCTTCTCCATCAGGTAATCTCAATGGTACTGTTCATGCTCTCTTGTTTCTCGTTCGTGCTGTTGTACGTTTCGGCTTGACGACCTCCTGTTCACTGGATTGCTCGTCATCTTCGTCATCGTCAGCGGCGAAGAAGTACTGGCTTCTAACCGGCGTAGCCTTCTTAGCTGCTGAGCGACTAGGTCTGGCTCGAGCAGACGACTTCGCTTTAGCCTGAGGTGTGATGATGACCTTTGGGGAAGTCCTCTTGCGCGATACGATGACACGCTCGTCTTCATCTTCCGGATCAGACAGAGGAGACTCGTCGCTGTCGGAGGTGACCTTCGCCTTGGCTTTCGATTTGGACCTCTTTGGAGAATTCTTGTTTGATCGAGCACCCTCCACCTTCGCGTTAACGCTGGGTGCTCTGAGCTCATCGGGTTCGTCGTTCTCATCGTCCCCTCCATCAAACTCGTCTTCTCCACGGCCAACAGGATGGTGCAGCGACTGCAACGAGATCGGGGTGACAGGCGCATGATGGCCAGCTTCCACAGGCTTGGAAGGCTGCAAGCTCTCCGCATCTTCTTCAATCAAGAACCCTCCGTCACCAGCATCCTCGTGGGTGACATCCTCGTCTTCGTCGTCATCCTCGGCCATGAAGCCCCCAGCAAGATCGTCTTCAACCTCGCGATTGGGTCGTCCTTGAGGTACTTCCTCCTCGTCGTGGCCTGGGCGGAAAAACCCTCCAGCATTGTTATTATCGTCAGGAATATTTTCCTCGCGTCCTTCGTACTTCGCTTTCTTCACAAACGGGTTGATCTCCTCTTCAGCACCTCCAGAGTTGGCGTACTCGACGCGCATTCTGTCAATGATCCGAAGACCCATAAGCATCTTCCGCCACCAATGTAGTGCGGTATCGGTTCGCTTCGTATCCTCTTTGCGCTTTATCTCCGCTTGCTCAGCACGCCATGCGTCCCTGACCATCTGGGCATTCTCTTGGGCGACCACGACACCTGTGAGAACCGGCACAGCACGCTGTTTCCCGAACTCGAAACCTGTGCAGGCCTCTGCGTAGTCAATCTCGAGTTTGCGACATAGCTTTGCTGTTCCCTTCAACGGAAGATGTACAGCCCCTTTCGGCACCATGGTATCGACATAGACGTCCATGTTGCCAAACGCATTCTTGGGAATGACCCCGTTCTCGATGGGCGGTGGAATGATCCAATCCGTCTGATCCCAGCTGTACAGGGCTTGTTGAAGTTTCTCGCCGGTCTCACGAAGAGCATCCTCCATCTCGCGCTTGCGGATCAATGTCACGGCACGCATGGGAACGTGCTTCATCGGTTGGGCACCCTCCTTGATCATGCGTCCTTCTTTGTGCCACGACTCCACGGTCTTGCAAGGGACGACATCGTCTCTACGGTAAACATCATGTTCCTTTGCCTTGTCGCCCTTTCCGGCAGAAAACTTCTTGACTGGCTTAGAGCCGGGTTTGATGGCTTCCTCGCGACGGAGATGCTGTTCGAGCACGAATTCAGCAGATTGCTTGTACCACTGCAAGCTTTCTTTTTCAACTTCCTTTTCTTCTTTGCCAGCCTTGAATGGCTTGAGATCTGTCTGCTCCTCGAGATCATCTGCCGGCGTTCGCTTGAGTTCTGGCCGATCGTACAAAGACATGACCGTACGAAACCAATCATAGTCCTCATACTTTTTGACTTTGCCTCGCTTGTTGTAGATGGGGATCTTTTCGGCTGGCATGCGCATTCCCTTCGTCTTTCCAGGTAATTGATGCTTCTTTAGATAGCGAATGGTTACATCCTTGGCGGTGTTATCGGCATTGAATGCGATTGTGTAAGCGATGACTTGCTTCGCATTCTCGGCCTTCTTGCCACGAGGTTCAAATGTCTGAAGCAGCTCGTCGTTCGAAGCGATGGTTGACAAGACGATGGGATCGACCGGAATGAATTTGTGTGACACGGGAGAGCACACCTCTGCCCAATAAGTTGGAAAAGCGAGATCGCGATCGTATTTCGTCGTCGGTTTCTTCCGTGTTGAGGGTGTGACATCAATGACGGACAGATCATCGTCATCGTCTTCCATTTCCTCTGGCGATGAGTCGCTGGACGGTGGCTCGCTCAAAGAGCTTCCAGAGTCGTCCAAATTGATGGGCCGCCCCTGGTTTCCCCTGGCCGACTTGCGCTTGGGTTTTGCTTCCTTGAGCTTTGGTAGCGCCTTTTCCGCGCTCTTCGCACTCGAAGGGTGCTTCGCTGATTTCCCATTGGTCTCGGGTTCTTCAGCAGCAGCTTCAGCGTTTTGTTCTTTCTTAGACTTCTTTGGGTTGGCCTCCTCCGCCTTGCTCCACCCAAGTCCAGCAGGCTGCAGGTTTACCACCATTCTGGTCTCGAGGCCCACAGCTCTCAACAAGGCAACGAATAACTGCCCACCAACATCTCTTGAGCCTTCACACCTCCTGGCCAGTTCACGAAATGCCTTCTTATTATTCACACGTTCTCCATGCTCTTCGGCGTCAGATCTGTTCTTCTCCCACGCTTTGATGTCATCTCGTAGCCTTTTCAGAGGCATGTATCCTTGCTTCCTCAGTGCAGGGCCTGTGACAGTGAAACGCTTCCGCCAATATGCCGTCAGCATCTTAAGAAGACGCAGTAACGGATCGCCTCCGCTCAAGTTCGGCACGCCTTGTTCTGTATGCTGTGCGTCGTAGTTCCAATCTCTTCCACTACTCTTCTCTTTGCCTTTGCGTCCTTGCTTGCCCCGATTCTTCGCTGCCGCTTCCTTCTTCTTCGCTTCCAGCTCTTCTTTACTGAGAGTGCCCATAGCCTCCCTCCATCTGGTGATTTCACTTTTGACGCCTTCGGTCAGTCCATCAAGCAGTATGCTATGCACCTCTTTATCATTCAGCCATGAGTTCCGAACAGTGTTGTGCCATAGTAGTGTCTGGACGTGCAAGCAATGGGTAAGCACGCGGATCTGGCGTTCTCGCTTGGAAGGCCCTTTCTTGCCGGTAGCCAGCGACACCAGAGGTTCGACGTATGTGCCATCGTCGTTGAGCGATACTGAAATGTCGCCAATCTCTCCATCGTCCTGATCGGCTGCTGGTGTTTTGGCGGCAGCTGAAGACCCTTCTCCTATTGCATCCTCCCAGTCCATCTCATCATCGTCATCCTCTGCTGGTGCGTGTGCCGTCTTCTGTTTCTTCGAAGGCTGTGCGTCCTCAAACTCGTCGCTGTCGACATCGCTGAGCTCGTCGTCGTCGTCGTCGCGGCCGTCTAGATATTCCTGCGCTTCTCTGCTAGACTTGAGCTTTCCGCTCGGCGTATCAGCTGCCTCGAACAGCGTAGGCTTCTTGTCCTTCGAGGCCGGCTTCTTTTGACGTTTGGCCTGGGGCAATGGCTCTGGCGAGTGCTCTCGCTTCCGCGGGACGAACGGCGGCATTGCGAGGGATCTGCTTGGTCACATCTACATGACCCGTCATAGTATTGTGGGCTTGGAGGAGATGAAGAGACGAGATGCATTCACAGACGCGGAATAGCTCATTCACGCGCGACGGTCGTTCCTGACAGTGACATCACCACACCTTCTGCATGGTGCACTGGCCCCAGATCCCGCGATTCAACCACATCCAATCAATCTCCTCCGCCATTCTGGTGAACTCCATACTCTACATAAAAGTACAAACTTCCACCGAACTCGAAGTCTATGCTTCTATCTACGGCTCATATATCGTGCCTGGCATTCTTGCTCATGCCACGGAGCCGCTGGCCATACTGGGACGCAGTCAGTACGGGATATCTTTGAGATAGCAGCACCGAACTCACCCGGTAGAAGATATATGGGAGCGGGATGAAACATATCGAAATGCCAGCGAGGAGCGAGTTGCCTGGGCCGACGCCCAATGTGTTGAACAGCTGTCGAGCCTGATACCACCAAATCAGCCATCGACGACCAGCGACATGCCAGGATGACTTACAAAGAGTGGGAAGATGGCCCCGAACGTCGCCCGAAACAGCGTATTGCCAGCGAATACAGATGCACTGACTGCAGGATACGCTATGCCGAGATAGTTCAGAACTGGGTTGAATAACGTGATGATGGACACCGTGAAGAAGCCAGAGCCGATGACGGGCATGATCCAGTTGATGCTCGCCCTGGCCGACCATCCATACCAGAACAAGCATATCGGTAAGAAGACAGCGCCGAAGAAAGTAGGCGGCAACACCATCTCAGGTCTGAAGTCCGGCTTGTCAAACTTGGGAATCAGACCTCGCCGAATCCATAGGATGAAGAGCGGCAGTGTGATCACTCCGCCAACGAAGATGCCGATGAAGACAAGGCCTTGAAGTCCGATGCTGAATCCGTATATTCCACCGAAAACGATTGGAAAGGACTCAAACCAGGTGAAGAAGACGCCGTACAGGAGCGCCGTGTACAGGTCCAGGAAGAATACGATCGGCTCGGAGAACGTCAGTGTGCAAGCTCTGCCCAGAACTCGCAGGTGATCCTTAGTCTTGAAATGAGCAGCATCGATTTCGGACTGGCTCCTCAACCGATCGTCTCCCGTCGCTTGCCGCAGTCGCTTTGCTCGCTTGTACAAGATATGCGCCTCACTGGTCTCTGGTAGGAAGAAGAAGATCATGACGGTGGTGAAGCCAGACAGCCAAGTGATGATCCAGATTGTCCATCGCCAGCCTTCTGCTTCTGCCGCGAAGCCACCCAGGATTGGGCCAAAGACAGGACCGCAGATCCCAAAAGAGCCCCAGATGCAGATGCCGATTGCGATTCCAGCTGGGCCGTACATGTCGCTGATGGTTGCACCGCCAGTAGCCAGGGCGGGACTGCCAACAAACCCCGTGATGAAGCGAAAGACCAGCAACATTGGCATGTTGACCGCGAATCCGGTGGGGAGTTGGAGCAGTACGAAGAAGAGGAACGTCCAGAAGTACACGTCGTTGCGGCCGATTGTCGCGACCTCCGACATGGGACTCCACAGCATGGGACCTGTGCCGTATCCCCTGCATCTGTCAGCTATGAATCGACTGCCAACATTTCGAATAGCTTACAGTGTGAACAGAGACAAGCCCAACGTGGCGACCTCGCTACCAACGCCGAATTCCTCCATGATACTCTCTTCACCTGGAGTGTAGATGGAGCTGGTCATGTAGAAAGCCATGTTCATGAAGCAGATCTGGAATGTGACGAACAACTTCCAGTAGCTCGACCAATTCTGAGCATTCTGATAATGTCAATCAACGAGTTGAATCCCGCCCAAGTTCTTTCCACGGCGACTCACCTCAGGATCGTTCTCTCCATACCACCCAACAAGGTGGATATGTTTGCCTTGCTCGAGACGCTCTCCGCTTGATATTCCGTCTGAAATTGGCTCTGCGTCTTTCTCTTCACTTCTTGATACAACATCGCCTCGCCCGGCCGCCGACTTGGGTATAGAAGGATCGATCTCGTCAGGATATTGGAAAGCCCTTCTGCGCGAGAGGAGCCGTACGAACCGACCGAACTGCGTATCGCGAATTTGCGTTGTCATTGTTAAACTACCTCCAGAAGTTCAGACGCAGCCGAGGAAGTCTGAAGCGAACTTTTGTAAAAGCCATACTGGACGTTCGTTCTTCATGCGAACATCGAACTTATCGGAGATTGCATTGAAGACGGAGTTACGAGTTCTTCGATCAGGTGCTACCAAAGCCCTGTGCTTTCCTTGTTACGATTGTATACCACCGGCGCAATTTTCGAAGAATGAGTCGTCTGGGTAAGGCGTAGGGCTGACGTGCTGAGCAGAGGCGAAAGGAGTAAAGCGTAAGGCTGAAGGCATGCTATTCGCTCATTGGTCGATCTACATTCACTTGACCAGGGCCAAGGTATGTGCATGTGGCATGCATGCACGGAAAATCTTTCAGTTAAGTACTCCCAGAGCGAACCTTCAACGCCATGCCACTGCGAAGAAACACCACATCCACACCACGGTGTCCCACGCGTCCACCCCACGGCAGTATCTTCCTCTTTCAGCCTTCGTTCAGTCGTACGACGACCAATCACATCTTCAGGATCTCAACGGCACGTCATCAGTCCCTCGAAACAAACATTCACTTTTGCTGTTTATAGCATGATCAGGATGATTTCCCAGAAGCAAGCTCTTTCCTTGCATTTCAGCTCTTCAAGATGGACTGCGCAGCTTTAGCTGCCTGGATGGTGTATAAAATGTCGGCTTGTAGTTGAAGACTGACTGAGGCATATTGTGCGACATGGATCCACGAGAGTATCGAGCCTTCGATATTGAGGATGACATCGCTTCTGAGAAGACGCGTGTCCATGGCGAGATGGCGGCGAGGAGTACCGACTCCATCGCAACACCTTCAAGCAATCCTGCAAGCAAGCCTACACCACCACCCGACACGCCTTCCGCACAAATCTACCGCAACTCCCTCCTGCTCGCGGTCGGCTACCTCGACCTGACCAACGCCCTCGACTTCCCCGCAAATGTCTGGAACAACGTGCCCATCCCCACCTACGCCATGGTCCTCATGGGCCTCGGCGGCAGCATCGCCCTCCTCGCTATCGGCATCGCCGTCTGGGACATGCTCCGCTGCTGGCGAAACATCGCCTTCCTCCGCCGCGAGCGAGCCGGCCTCATCCAACAACCCCTCAACAGCCTCCAGCAGGCCTGGCTGGCCATCAACACCCGCGAACTCTGCTGGGAGACCATCGACCGCTTCCTGCTGGACTTCTTCATGGGCGTGACGGGGCTTTTCGTCGGCGTCGGCACCCTCCTCGCTATGAAGGGCGATGATCACGAAATTTTCCTCGTCTCCAATATCCTCTCCGGATATCTCGGAAATTCTTTCCTCGCGTTGTACGCCGTCGTCAATAGCATCTGGTCGGGGATCATGTGGCGTCGCGCACATAAGAATCAAGCTGCGGTGAGGAGATCGAACCTGGACGTGGGACTGGCGAAGTTGATGAAGTTGCATGCGTGGAAACACCAGATGTACGCTTTGGTTAACGGGACGACGCTGGTGGTCAGCGGGGTGGCGAGTCTGGTGAGTGCGACCATGTGGCAGGGGTATGTGGTGCAGATTCCCTGTGTGATCGCAAGTCTTTTCGTGGTGCACTATTGGAGGTTCTGTCTTGGCTATGACCGTTTGAGTTTTCAGCAGAGGCTGGGGGCTGGGGAAATGGCTGTGGAGGCGAGGTTGAGAGCTGTGATTGGGGTGAGGACGGCACTGGAGAGGAAGTATGATGATGATGGGGTTGTGGATTTTGTGGAGGTTATTGGGGACTGTGGTGAGGTTGGACGGGATGCTATCCTGGAGTTCTTGCATGATCTTGGGATGGACCAGGCGATACTGGCGAGGATGTCTGCGCAACGAGAAGTGGAGACGTCTGTTCAAGAGTTCTCCGAAGCAGTCAATAGTCGTGTCAGAGCAGCAGGTCTGCGGCGACTCAAGTACGAAGAGAGGTTCTTGCTGGAGTTGTACGGGTACTATCTGCGAGTGAGGGAGGCTGCTCCGGCATGTAGCAAAGGATGAAGAAACAAATCTTAAGCCTTCTCAATAGCACTTGGGGCCTTCTCATCATCCCCAAGCAGCTTATCATAGTCCGTCCACTCATCCGTTCCAAAAGGCCTACCCATTCTTCCCTTGCTATAGCTCAGCCTCCCCTTCCCTTTCACAAGAGGACTCATCCAAACCTTCTTCCCCTCGACTTCAACCTCCTTCGTCGTAGCTCCGAGACCTACAAGGAATCAATCAGCACGACAACTCACCGACATCGCAACACGAAGGACGCTTCTCACCAGTCGGTTTAAATTTAAGATAAATCCCCTCCCACCCATTCCTCGGCGCCGCAAAAGCCTCATGCATCAACCCAATATGCGCAAAATCCCTCCCGCCATTCCGCATATACCACTCCACGGCCGCCGTATGGCTGGGGCCATGCACCAACTCGTGCAATTTCTGCTCGTTCTTGAAGTAAACGAGGCCCATGGATTCCGCGCCGGTGGCCTGGTCGCCGTTCGCCGAGAGCAAGGTGTTGGAGCCGAGGTAGCCGTAGCGCGTTGGGTCGCTGTTCATGTCGCGGATGAACGAGGCGAAGTAGTCGCCGACTTCTTTGAAGCCTGGGGAGAAGATTCCGAGGGAGGAGTTGGCGCGGGTGGCGAGGAGGATGGCGGTGACGGATTGGCCGGAGGGGGGTGTCTTGTTGCCCGGTCTTGGGGTTGGGGAAGATTGGGACGCTGCGGCCTGGGATGACGTTTTTGGCGAGGGGGTCCGGGATGAGGGCGAGGGCTATTAGGGTGATGTAGAAGAGTTTGTAGAAGAGGAAGAGGGTGACGGGGGCGATTAGGGCGATGTTGGGGTAGGGAAGTAGGAGGCAGGCTAGGCCTTGGAGGAGGGCGCCGAAGAGGAGCCAGGTTGTTATGCTAAAGTTGTCGCGGAGGAGATGCAAGAAGGAGCCTGTTGGGTGGCGGAGGGCTTGTGGTGTTGGGCGGGTGGAGAAGCTGTTGAAGATTGGTTCGAATGCCATGATTGCTGTTCTGGTCTCCCAGCGGCTTTGGAGAGAGGTGGGCGTCAAGGTGTCCTGTTCACAATATATAGACCATTGGAGCCGTAACGGTTTGACAGACAGCTCGCAAACCGCAAAATCATCCTCACCCACCCAGCTTGCTTACCATGATCCTCCCTTCCCACAATGCTTGGATAAGGCCGCGCTATCGTTCGAGGGTTCTCTTACGAAGGATGTTAGTAATGGTTCGGGGTCCCTGGTGTCGACAGCTTGTGACGCGTCGTGATAGACGGAGAGCTCTCCCCAAGGGTTCATCGAATCCCATCGGCCAAAGCCAAAATCTTCATTGGCCAGCGTAATGAGAGCACTGTTATGGAGATGAGTAGGGATCTGGAAGGATTGATTAGTCTCAGGGCGACATTACCACTTTCGGGCGGTCATGCAATCCGATCGTGCTTGGTCGATCAGTCACCAATTAGCGGTCATCTCTCGAGAAGCTCTCCAGGATTGTATTGCAGATTTTGCAAATTGAGGCATGATCTAGGACTCAATGTAAGAAAACTCGACCAGAAGGGAGTTGCGTCTGAACACGATGAAATTCTTGTTTTGTGGCGGGTTCTTCAATCATACATGCCTTGCGCGGTCTGCGCCTTTCAAACGCCGATGAGTCTTGGGTAACCCATAACCCATATGTACACTCCTATGTGCTCTCTTCGACTTTCTCGATCTTATCTGTCAACCTCGCCAAACACCAAATCCATGGTTCCAATAATGGCGACAGCATCGGCAAGCAAATGTCCTCTGCTGACCTGGTCGAAACAAGCCAAGTGGGCGAAACCAGGAGCTCGGATCTTGCATCGGTAGGGTCGTTCGCTGCCGTCTGAAACCACATAGACGCCCATCTCACCCTTCGGCGCTTCGATGGCGGAGTAGGTCTCGCCTGGTGGAACAGTGTATCCTTTGCTGAAGAGCAGGAAGTGGTGGATCAACGCCTCCATGTTCTCCTTCATCGCAGCACGAGGTGGCGGAGAGATCTTGTAGTCTTCTACCTTGACGGGTCCAGCTGGCATCTTGTTCAAGCATTGGTGGATGATGCGTAATGATTGGCGGAACTCTTCCATGCGGCACAGGTAGCGATCGTAGCAGTCGCCATTGACACCAACAGGTACATCGAACTCGACTTGGTCGTATGCATCGTATGGCTGTGACTTGCGAACATCCCATGGGATACCCGAACCTCGCAACATGACACCAGAGAAGGACATGTTCAGTGCGTCGGCAGCTGGAACGACGCCGACACCCTTGGTTCGGCCGATCCAGATACGGTTGTCCGTAAGGAGTTCCTCGGTTTCATCAATGCGGTCACCGAACTGGGTGGCCCATTGATAGATGTCGTCGAGAAGACCCACGGGAAGATCCTGAGATACACCACCTGGACGCACGTATGCCGCGTGCAGGCGAGCGCCAGAGACACGTTCGTAGAACTCCTGCTTTCGTTAGCACGTACTCGCTACCATATCATATGCAATGCCTACCATCAGCTTTTCTCTCTCCTCAAACCCCCACAGGAAAGGTGTAAGTGCTCCAACGTCCATGGCGTGAGACAGCACCGACATGAGATGGTTCAAGACTCTGGTGATTTCTCCAAACAATGTCCGAATCCACTTTGCTCTTTCTGGGATCTCAATGTTCAGCAGCTTCTCAACAGCAAGCGAGAAGCACTGCTCGTTGGTCATCATGCTGACGTAGTCCAAGCGGTCGAAGTATGGCAGGGCCTGCATGTATGTCTTGTACTCGATCAACTTCTCTGTTCCACGGTGTAGCAATCCAACGTGAGGATCCGCGCGCACGATCTCCTCGCCATTGAGTTCCAGAATCAACCGTAGCACACCGTGAGCGGCAGGATGCTGAGGGCCGAAGTTGACGGTATAGTGGCGGATCTTGCGCTGCTCGGGGGTGTCTCCCTCTTCGTTGGGGGTGTTGAAGCTGAGCTGTTCCGGGTTGACTGGATGACCGAAGCTGGGGTCGACGGGGACAAGACGTGTACCCTCGTGCGGTGGGATCGACTTGTTCGTTTGTTCGATCGGATTGGGAGGCTCAGCAGGTGTGGCCATTCTGCGCGCTGGGGTGGTGGACAGACAGCGCAGGGAGGCGATCCTCGACGGCGGTCGCGCGCACACCCTCCTGGCGCCATGGGCCAGGCGAGTAAAAGGCACTGCCATTGTGCCTGTTGACCGTGTGGCGGGGCGGAGCGGAGCGGTGGTGGTGGTCGAGGGTGGAGTGTTTGGGGGTCGTCGTCGAGCAGCTCTCAAGCCCAGTCCACCGGCCAATCGCCTCCCGTCTAAAGTCATTGACGTGAGGAATTCTGCGGCCCGAGCTCACCTGTGTTCGTGCCTGAGGCTCACCCGGAAGCTCGCCGCACTTGCCTCAGACTCGACGACATTTCTTCAAACACTTGCAAGACTTCGATTCAAGATCACAACCAACCATGCCTTCGTGGGCGCCGCTGACCGAGGAGCAGCTCCAGCAGCGTCGAATTGTCAATGTCAACGCCGAGACCGTCACCGACACCGCCTCCACCGATATTCCCGGCCACTATGGTCCTGCGCAAGACGACTCATGGAATCTCGAACAGTTCCGATGGAATTTGAAGGTCGAGTTCCACCATAACAAGCCCTATGATGCTGCTTTCTCTCTCGTCGGTGTCGACGCCAGCATAGCGAATTCCTTTCGAAGAATCTTGCTCTCAGAACTCCCCACCCTCGCGATCGAGGACGTTTTCTTCTTCGACAACACAAGCATCATACAAGATGAGGTACTGGCGCATAGACTGGGGTTGATACCTTTGACGGGAGGGTACGAGGGGCTGCGGTGGATGCATTGGTACAAGAAGCCACCACCAAAAGACGACTACGCCGCACAAGCAGCATGGGAAGCAGAGCAAGAAGCAGGCGAGGCAAGCGCTGGCGCCAGTGTGCCCAACGACTATAACACGGTGGTCATGAACTTGAAGGTGGAGTGCCGGTGGGCCACTGAGGAGGAAGATGGACGAGACGGTCGACAGCTGGCCAAAGAGGGAAGCACGGATCCGAACGAGAGATATGTCAACAGCAATGTGTACGCACATCAGCTAGTTTTCGAGCCACAAGGAGACCATCAGCCCAAGCTGTTTGCAGGAGAGAACAAGATACGGCCGGTCAACCCAGACATTCTCATTGCGAAACTCAGACCCGGCCAACGGATACACGTTCGATTACACTGCATCAAGGGCATTGGCGCAGATCACGCCAAATTCTCGCCTGTTGCAACTGCTTCATATCGACTATTGCCAGACATCAAGATCACAAAACCCATAACTGGCGCAGATGCGAAAGCATTCCAGAAATGCTTTCCAAGAGGCGTAATCGGTCTCGAGGATGATGCAGAAAGTGGCGAGAAGAAGGCTGTCGTGGTCGACCCATTCAAGGACACCGTCAGCAGAGAATGCTTACGATACGATGAATTCAAGGACAAGGTGAAGCTGGGTCGGATAAGAGACCACTTCATCTTCAGCGTGGAAAGCACCGGCCAATTCGAAAGCCACGAGCTGTTCATTGATAGCGTGCGGCTACTCAAAGCAAAGGCGGAGCGATTCAAGCGACATCTGAGCGAGCTGGAGGAGGGACGTTGATGAGGCAAAAAAGTTGATATCATTTTTGAGTGCATAGCCCTGGCGTTCGTGGTACGGACTAGCTGATTGAGCGAGAGGCGTAAGGTAGATACCACACCAGCGATGGAAATCGATTGTCATATGCGAGAATATTTGTTTCGACGGCGGACATCCGCAGGAGCGAAACTTCTACTGACTTTCACATGATTGCCAAGAACGGACGGCTGGTCCCGAGCAACTAGCGTCGCCACGGTAGCGTGCTTTGGCGCAGAATCCGCTTTCGACTTTGTTCCCGACATCGCAAACAACATAATCGTCGAACTGAGATAGCGTACTCCAAGATGGCGAGCAATGACCCGCCTCGTGTTGACATACCCTACCCTTCAGTGAGTCCTCCATCTACACCCACATACGCGGGACTCGCTGACTTCGCTCACAGGATGAAGATGCAGCCGCTGTTCAGAAAACCTGGCTCTGGGCCAAAACTCAAGCTTCATATGTTCAAGAGTCCACCAGGCGATCCATTGAGTGAGTTGAGATTCGATGTCGAGTGCCCACCCTTGCTAATTGTAGGAACTCGCAGCGACTTCAACATCCGTCGCTATGTTTGGCGGAGGTACAACCCAGGCTGGCACAATCCTACTAGCCAGGCGGAATCTGAATGGCATCCGAATGCTCCTGCTGGGTTCGATGCGAAGATTCATCTCGTTCATGGAGATATTCCAGCGACGTCTCAACAACGTCATCAGAGTCCGCCACCTCGTGCGAGACCTGAAAACTTCGAATCAACACAATTGGCTCTTCCAGTAAAGCAGCTCAAAGACTCCGTCGCAGTTGACATGCAACCGTCGGGAGAGCTGCGTTTTCCACGAGTGCCACCATCAGAGCCACATCATGTGGCATTCGACCAGTCGTCTTGGCCATGTTTTCAGCACTTGACTGCTGGACTCGAGAGATTCTACGATGAACACGATGCTGGAGAGGTCCCTTCGGGGCTTGACGCCCAAGCGCAAGATCCCCCTCAGGTCGACATGGCTGAGGATACAATGGTGGATCAAGTGAGAGCTGTTTAGAATGTCTGGGGGTACACCTGCTTATAAAGGTTTTAGCAATCAAGCAAGCTGGATCAACGGTCTGCCCTTCAAGCCGTTAGAGCGCACGGAACCGCCACCGCCCAGGTCGTCGGTTCAGAAGCCGATCAAGTTCAACAAGCATCCTCCTTGCCATGTCACGAACTACTGATACCCGCCCTCGGTCATGATAAGTTCTCCAGGCGCGATGATTCACGAAAATCGCAACTTGTCGGTCGGCATGTGGACTCTCTTTCATCGTTTCCGCTTGATGGCACGCCCACAGAGAAGCGCAATTGGTTCGAGGAGCGCCATGTCCATGTCCGTTGCACGCCATGTCAAGTGCGTAACTTGAACTGCGACCACGATGTTGCTCATCCAGATGGCGGGTGCTCGAATTGCCGCGCCACTGGCGCCGTCTGTGACATTGTACGACCTCGTGGACGCCACACTGAAGTCAACTGCAAGTACAAGCCCACCTGCTACTACTGGCACGACTACGCCAGAAATCTGGCTAGGCAACTGGCTCGACATTTCGGCTATGACTATCATGAGCCTCCGCAACATCGTTCCCTGGACCAGGTGCCTCCGCAGCATCCTAAGCAGAGAGAAGACGGTACATATCGCCAGATGAGTCCCTTAGACATGATGCCGCAAGGCTTCATGCTACCCGCATCGCCGCGGAATCTCTCTGGAATCAAGCCGAACACTTTGGCTTGTCCTTGGATGTACCAGAGGTGGGATCCTCCGTTCTACCAAGCAAACCAGCGACAAATTGAGGCCTTCGATCAGTCTCGTCAAGCTGCTGAACGTGCTGGGGAAGCACCACCACCCGCTGAGGCTACATCATTGCCAACGTGTCGCTCCGCAGAATCTGTGCCTGCTGTACCTCTGGCAAAGCAACACAACGCACTTCCGACCACTGCAGCGCCCTCTGCGCCAAGCCAGCATATACCGTCTTACGCAAGGGGTGGTGAACATGACGGTGCCAGGACGGCTCGCTCAGTCACTGTTCTGCACCAAACTCGCAGTAATGGCGTCAATCGTCAACGCGTTTCAAAAGCCCCGAAAGAGGGACCCAAGATAAGCAAGAAATTCCTTACTGCGGTTAACCGGTACATCAGAGGTTGAGATGGAAGCCTTCCAGAGCCTTGAACGCCTTCGACACGATGTCGACCACAGGTCCAATCATGGCTGTTTTCGATGAGCTTCGGAAGGCTGCAGCACGGCTTCAAACTGCGACGACAAACGGCTCTGGGGTACGTCACACATACAAACGCTGTCCGCGAACCTCGTGCTTTTGGTCTTGCGAATTCCGTCAGATAGAGTGTATCCAAAGATAACGACTCTGTTCACAATCCATCAACTTGCCCTCTATGGGTTCAATATCCCCCACCGAGACTTCGATGCCCACCGCAACACCCCTCCCTCCTCCAACGCCTGTGACATCGAACTCACCCGGTGGCCTTCCGTCCACATGGTCCTGCTGGAATCCGTCCCACCCGCGCCATGTCTGGCCCACAACACCAGGCAGCGAGTTTCGTATCAAAGATTGTGAACTGTACTGCTTCTACTGTTTCAAAGACGGCACATATAAGGGCAAGTACTTCGAATTGGCAAGGAAGCTGCGAAAGCATGTGGTCGAGGAGCATCTGGAAAAAGAAGAGTTTCAGGGAGTGAAACTGATGTAGGTTGTGGCATCATGAGTGGAGGTGGACTCTGCTGACTTGCTGTGTAGATGGAATGGCATTCACACCCATGCGTCGCCGAAAAAGAGCAGGGAAGGAAAGAGGGCGTGTTGTCTACCGAGCATAACATTGACCCGCAGATTCAGTTGTCGCAGATCACGTCAATGCTGTGGCTCGGAGCAGAGCACCATGTTCTTTTTCGACACCTTATCACAGCCTACTTCTCGAGCAACACTTCCAGTCTCAACAATGCTGTCGCCTCCTTCCTCGCCCTTTATGGTCCACAGCTGTGGCCCGATAGTCCCAAGCGGCGATTACATCTTTCTCGGCCGGAGGGACCGTCTTTGCTCGCCTACATCGGATCGAACCTAGGGCCTGCCCACAGCATCCACGGGAAGATGTCTGCTTGGAAGAGACGAAAGTTCCTGATCGACCATGAAGGAATAGAACCGACAGTCGTCGAGGAGATTGCTGAGTGTCCGTTGGGCATGGCCATATATCGATACGTTGAGCTTTTGAAAGAGACTGGCCTCAACAAGCCAGACGGAGGCGAGCATGAAGGGTGTGAAGTGTTGCTTGAGCAAATCGTTGGGCGTCAAGACGGGCTTGGCAATGGGAATGGCGGCAATCTCAATGAAGAAGAGCGAGAAAGCAGCCCAGATGTGCCATTGAGAAGGCAGTGTGAAACGCTTGCGAACCAAGGGACACGAGGGTAGGGAAAGTAGCCCTGAAGTTGCTTTGGCTATGGTTCAGAAACGACGGAGGATGGCAGTGGCAGGAATCGAGAGGGAGTCCAGTCCGGAGGTCTCGCTCCGGGAGATGAGTAAGGACGTGCCACAAGGACGTTCAGGAACGGAGACTGCATCAGGGACAGGGCGCATGGAGACGTCAACTCATCGAGTGATCTCGGATGGCACGATCAATGCCACTATGTCTACGAGACACCTCCAAATCGACATCCCGAACCAGTCTACCCCATCCATCGACACAGGCACAACGCAGCAGCTTCCGCTCTGGGATCATTTCATGAGCAGCATCAATCAGGACGTCGATTCAAATGAGTATGGGACTGTGAATGAAGACGTGTTGGACGGCGATCCTGTTGCCGCTGGCGTGGAAGATCCGAGCCTTCCTTGTATGCTACAAGAGCTGCAAACATCCTTCACGCCTTCTGACGAGATCAGCCCGGGTTCACAACACTTGACTGCACCTGCGCCGTTTTTGCAGCCCGAATTGATGCCAAATGGCGGCTTCAAGGGTCATTACGATATGATCGGTAGACATGCTCACTTCACCTACGAAGACACCCGGCCGAGCAGCGCTCGGCAAGCAGCCTTTTCCCTCGTTGGCCTGCCAAACTCAGCATTGCCACGCACCGTCAACTCGACACTTCGCCATGGTCAATTCGCCGAGACTGGCCAGGCATTTGAAGCCAATGGCACCTTGAGAAGAGAGATCGCAGCATCGAGGCTACCTCCTTTGATCACCCAGCTGGCATCCCCGTACTGGAGCAATCCTTGCGAGCCTCTCAGCACCGACTGGCAAGTCCGCCGTGACTCCGTCATAAAGATCGCCCCATTGCTATCGACTATGGGTCCTACCTCATCAGCGTCCACGCCACCCGGTTTCGAATCCAACGACTCCCGGAATCGTGGCTCAGAGTACATGCCTCTGCATCGACCCTTGACGACTTCAATAGTTTGCATGCCACAAGTCAACCACCCAGACTTCGAGCCACCCACGTTTCTGAATACCTTGGACCACAGCCAAGCGCTTTCGCGGCCCTCTCTTTCAATCAATGACCAGCTGAGAGCTGCACATCGTGCGAGACTGGAAATGTACCGTCGAGAGACAGGAGGGATGGGTGGATTGCCGGAGGTGAAATCGGGTCAGCAATAGTCAGGTTTTCGACGATTCAGATATCTTTCGTGGCCCTGACATGTGTGATGGAAAAGAGTTGTGTGTTGCGACGATGGACGAGCAAGGGCATGAAGATTGCTCGCCCCTTCACATGATAGTTGCGGCTCAGCTCACATTGGACGTTTAGGGCTGCTGAATTCGAACTCACGGAATTCTCACTCACCGTCACCGACACTGAACCTCATGGGACGTACTTCCACGGACACATAGTCCTGCCCTCGCCGACGCCTTCTCGAAGGATGCATAAGTTCTCCGACTAGGCGAACCTAACCGAGCTAAATCAGCTCCTTCGATCCTTCTGATCCAAAATTGCCGCATTCGGAAAGCCTGACAATCGGCTCACCATACAGCTTTGAGCATAGCTTCCAGGGCGATGCTTGAAGGAGCGAACTCATCAATCCTAGGCCACGCAAGGTTCGTGAGGATGGACTGATGCAGCTCTGTGAACGAAGGAAGCCGTCAAAGATTGAACTTCTCACATACGTTCGTTCTTCTGCTTTGCAATCCATACATTCACACAGGTATCCTGAAGAGTATACGACAACATGAAAATCGCCATAGTAGGAGCCGGACTCGGCGGTCTCACCGCAGCAATATGCTTCTCCAAAGCCGGACACGAAGTCGTGGTCTTCGAAAAGCAGCCCGGTCAATCACCCACAGGCGGCATCCTCGGGCTCAGACCGAGCGCCCTGCGAGTTCTGTACGAGCATGGACTGAGAGAGAAGATCGAGGCGATCTCACAACCTCTTGGAGAGAGTCAATTCAAGATGCTACCGGATGGGAAGGTGATGAGGACGAGTGATTTGCACGAGGATCAGGTCGCTGGGGAGGGCTTGATGTTGATGACTGTAAGGCAGAAGTTGGCGAAGGTGCTGTATGAAGCGACGATGGAGTGCGGGGTGGAAGTGAAGTACGGGGTTGCTGTGGAGGATTTTGAGGAAGATGATAAGGAAGTCAAGCTCACCTTCGAGGACGGATCTACTTACACCGCCGACATGGTCCTAGCAGCAGACGGCATCCGCTCACGACTGAGATCCAAAATCCTCGCAGATATTCCAACAACCGAACACGATCCTGTCATTACAGACGCAACCTTTTACGTCTTTCACATTCCCGCAACTCAATTGAACGATTCCATCAAACAACGCATGTCCAAAACCAGCGGACCCTGGATGAGCATGTCCGCTTGGATCGGCAAAGACACCTGGGCGATGAGCGCTTTCGACTCCCTAAACGACTACCTCAACTTGGGTCTCGCGATCGTCGAGCCCACCAGCCAGACGAGCCTCTGGAACGAAGGCGGCGACGTCAAGTACGTGCAAGACTATTTCCAGAATCGAGCATGTGAAGACGTTCGGGAGTCTCTCAACCTGGCGGATCACTGCGACCGCTGGCGTCTGGCATGGATGCCCGACCTACCTCGCTGGACGAGTCTCAGCGGCCGCGTCGCATTACTCGGAGATGCCGCCCACGCGATCCTCCCGAACGGCGGAGCAGGCATCACGCTCACGATGGAGGATATCGGAGCTCTCAACTATCTCTTCCGCCAACAAGGCACTTCAGACATCCCGAAGACGCTGAGACTCTGGAACAAGGCTTGTAAGCCAAGATCAGACAAGCTGCGTGAGTTTGGGTGCTTCAATATGCGGAGACTGGAGGGGGATAAAGAGGCTCTGGCGCTCACGCAGAAGGCTATGCAGGAGGAGGCGGGGATTGATCGGAAGGCGGTGGAGCCTGATATGAATGCTCCGTTTAGCAAGTTGGCGTTTTCGAGGTGGCTGTCGGGATATGATCCTGTTGCTGCGGTAAGTCTCTCAAACATTTTCGGGGATAAAGGTTGTGATAGAGACTAATGTTGAGCAGGCAGAAGCCGTTCTTCGGAGCGAGAAATCGTAGATCTGGATAGACTTCGGGGCTCGTGATTTTGTGTCCACTGTTTAGAGCTCATCACATGGGTAGAGTTCCCTTCATCTAGATCTTCTAGAGGGGTGATCGATGCAAGGAGACCATGAGTTCGACGCTCAGTTGAGGCTACGAATGATTTGCGAACTCTCCCTTCTCCAATTGAATCTCGATGTTCCTCTCTTAAACACACATGACTGCCTGTGTAGGGCATCGCTGAATTGACAAGAATCATGTCCGAAGCTGTCGCAACCAGAACGACCATCAATCCCCCTTGACCACTTCCCACCGCAGCTCTTCCTCGCTCTTTCCTGATCCCAACTCTTGCTCCTCGCCCTCGCCCTCTTCGTCTCCACCGCCAACGACAAGATCGTACAGCGCGGCAAAATAATGCCTCATCACAATCCCAAACGACGAATTCTGGAAATTCACCTCGTCCGTGAGCGTCGTACCAGAATTGCGCTTGTTCCATTCGCGCTTGCGAGAAGCGGGCATGGAATTGTCGATGGTGCAAACGGGACCGAGTATATCTAATCGCATGTTGCTCGACATAGTCCACTTATCGTCGTATAGAGGGATGGCTTTTGCTAAGTGCCCACGGTGATGTTTTGAATTCGACCAGATCTCTGGGGCGTGAGTCGTGGTGAAACTGGCAGTGATGGAATCGATGAAGGCATTGTGGGTGCTGCTGCCGCGAGCGAATGAAGTGCTATGACTTTGTAGGGTCAGTAAACTGAAAGCTCCCCTCTTGCAGTTCTTGCCGACTTACCTCTTGATTGCTTCTCTGAGATGCCTAGTGGCAAGAGCTTGGAGGGCGACGCGTCGATCCACACGAACAAAGAGCGCTTCGTGATAGACCTTCAATCTGATCCGTGCCAGCCGTTGGTCTGCGACAGGAGAGACCGCTTGCTGGGGCTTTTTGTAGTTTCTCAGCGCGGTCCTAAGTGCTTTGTGCTCGGCAATCTCGGACATCGCGTCTGCGTCAGATGGGAAGTGCTCTGCAAGGACGTGGTCCCTTAGTCCCTCGAACTTCATTCGTTCGCCTCCGTCGGGTGGAAGGGGGCAATATGCGCAGATCGACTCGCACTCGTCAGGGGTGAAGAATCCCACCATCACACTACCCGGCGGTGCCCATGTATGCGAATGAACGTTGCTGTCGCACGGCATGATGATGATGCCTTGGATGTTGTGTGATCGTTGCGCGCGCGGGGTGGCTCGAAATTCGCCGCGCGTTTGAGGGTTCCTGCCTAGTCGGGGAAGCTAGCGCGTCGGGACGAGTGAATGTTGACTACCCGCCAAGCAACAAAGTTACTTCCGCACACGTTTCTTCATCTGATACCAACATCCCCACAACAATGCCTTGCGACACGACCGGTCACTCCCATCTCTGGCCGCAGTCAGGCCCTTTGGCTATTAAGAGATGCGAGCGATACTGCGGCTACTGCGTCCATCCGAGGCAATACGCGTCGACCACGACACTCCGTACTCATGTCATATCCCACCATACAGTCAATTCTGGAAGCCATCCCAATGTGACTTCGGTCTCCGCCAGTCGAAAACCGCGAGCCTCGTATGACTCTCACAGCACGTACCTTAGACACATGCTGATTTTGACAACAGAAACTTCCAGGGTGAGCCAGCCGGTCCAGATCCTCAACCGCCTGCCGATGCTGCTCAATCTGCTGGCCCAACAAACGCACTCGTCTCATCTGGACGGGCTTGGCTTGTGATTCAAGACGTCCATTCGCAACTCCATCTTCGTCCGGAAGCACTCAGCGCCTTCCACCTGTTCGTGTGGCGGCATCTGCTGAGCAAAAAACCGATCAGGGACTTACAGTTACAAGCAAGAGCAGTCACACTTGACATGACCAGCAAGTCTACATGATTCTCATTCCGACAGTCCCTTGACCAGATCTAACCCTTCTCGCAGCTGTACCCGACGGCCTGCTCAACCCTATCGTCACCTTCCTCAACGGCTGCGGAGACATCATCTGGCCCAGAATCGCGGCATCACGTCACCACCTCACCAAGGACTCGCTGTTCCTTCAGCGAGGCTACTGGACTGGTCGCGACAGCGCCAATACGATGAGCGGTCCGGTATGGCTGACAGACGGCTTCATGACTCCTGAAGTGAGACGACAGTGGGAGCAGAGTAACAACCGCACGGAACCTCCGCCTGACGCTAACGTGATCAACTCTGCTCTCGGACGTTTGATCAAGGTCTATGTTTTTGCCATGCTACAGTATAGCGTGGTCAATCCTTCTGGATTTCTGACAGCGGCGGGCTTGCAATCGACGGACTTGCTGGGTCCGATACTTGAGGTCGATCAAGACGAGGTGCGGCAAGGGCCGATTGGTGCCGCAATGGCAGTGGATCGGAGTGGCGATGGCAAGACGGTCGAGGAGACGGTTCTGCAGTACCGAGAAGAGACAGGGAATAGGGGTGGTCTGCCTTGATTATTGATAACTGGATACAGGTTTGGATAAGCGGAGCGAGATTGCGGAAAGAGATGATGAGACGAGATTGGATAGAGTCTGCCCTGATGATTGCAACCTGCATTTGTGGACGACTTTGAGGAGCAAAGGTTCTCAAAGACAGCGATCACAGAATGTCTTGTTACTAGCAAATTGCACCCCTGATCAACCCTCCAACAAAACACCTCCTGCACAGCACACTACTGAACAACGGGCAAGCCTCCCATCCCGCCTGTTTCTTTCATGTACATTGCCAATGTCTTGCTTCTCGCTTCTTCATCTACATGTGGTTGTGACATGCTTGTCACGTCTTCCATGTAGTTGAACGGAATCTCAGTGATGCGAAAATCTGCGTGGAAATCCAGATCGCCTGTCAGCGATACTGACGCATCGTGCCGCGGTAGAGAAGCAGCATGATCAGCTATGCCATGCTGCTGGCGTCGTGGTTTTCTCAATGGCAAAGCTTCTAATCGATGCGAGTGGCGCGGTATGTGAAAGAGGCCTCGTGGTGGACTGTTCTCCTTGGCGCCTTTCTTTCGCTTCCGCTTCTTTGGCGGCGGCATGTTCGCTTCACTGCCTTCCATAGGTCGCTTTTGTCCCCCTGGTGCATCGAATGCCCTTGGTTCGTCCCTGTACATAGCGGAACGAATCTTCCTAATCGACTCAGAAACATCTTCTTCTTCATCCACAGTCGACTTATTCGCTGAAGAGCCCGGCGACGCTCCACTGGTCAACTTCATTTGGCCTCGTTCGAAGTTGTCACCGAGGACTGATTGATGCGTGATTTCTTGCCCTTTGCCATTGTTATGACTGTGTTTAAGATTCCTGTCTTTTGCCGTTTCTCCTTCCGTTGCTGGTGCAGAACCTGCTACAGTGGATTTTGAGGTATTGAGGTTGGTTCTCTTGCTCCGAGGCTTCCGTTTGCGCGTTTTTGATGGATGTGACGTGGTGGACGACATTATGTCATGATGCTCTGCTAAATCCCCTTCCTGGCACGTAGCCAGGATACGTTGGATCAGATCTGCCAGACGTACATCCTCCTGCGTAACATCATCTCGCAGATTGCTGATGATGTCTGACACGTAGGGCACAAGAACTTGGCCCAGTTTCGAGCCGGAGAGGTCTTCATTGAGTGGATAGCTGGATCTGCCGTCTTGCGGGCGTACTTCGTGCCTTCCTTCGACCGTCAGGTGTCCATCCCAATCGAAGACGGGGCCGTCTATTCGTCCACGTCCCTTTCCTGACGCCCAGTGCTTTACTTCCTCTTGAGTGGGTAATTGATTGAGATGCTTGCGCCTGCGTTTGCCTTTGGGCCACAGCCGCTGACCATAGCTTTGCAAGAATCTTGTTGTCACATATTCTGAGGACGTCCATTTGTGTTTAGAGCTGAGTCTTTGGAGAATGGCGTGGAAGCTGTCGTAGTTTTGCGGCGTAATGAAGAGCAGCGACAGAGCATTGTGCCGCGGGTTGTCCTTGGACATGGCGCCTGTCGCAGGGTCGGCCATATGTTTGGATGAAGTGAGGTTGAACATGAGTGCAAAATTTTGGCAGGCCAGACAAACGCGGCGCTAGGCTGCACGTTGTTGAAAGGGAAGGAGCCATTGCGACAAACCCGACTTCACCTCTTAACAATGGCCGAGTTCACAAACGCCGTCAATTGCGTCTACCGAATCACCCAATATTTACTAACAACACGATCAACTAAACATTCTGATCGAGCGAACCCGACCCTTGCTGGCCCTTCTCTCGATCAACCTCCTCCTCGACCTTCACGGTCTCACTCCTCGCCTTCTGAACCTCACCAAAGACCGCAACAGCAAGGTAGGTGACACCAAAGATACCAGCAATCACTCCATACGCAATGATCGCACCCCTCGGGGCATTCCCAGCCAGAGCCAATCCCAGCCCACCGTTGATGATTCCCAGGACGATGGCCACCCGCCCAATCGTAAGATGAACGAAAGACCAGACATTCCTCCTTCCAGTCTTCTTGCAAAGTCTGTGATGCAGGTATCCAAAGATTGGCTGGAAGACGATGAGAATGAAGACGATGATCCCGATGATGGGATGGCGAGTATTCGTCACGTCGTACATGTCAGACATGTAGGCCCCCATGCCGACGGCCGCGACGAACATCGCGTAAGCGAGGAGTTGGATGGCGATGTGACCTTTGATGAACCCGGTGAAAGTTGCCAGTCGGACGAGGATACCGCCGACTGGGAGGAGGATGACGAAGACGAGGCAGGCGAGGACGCCGTGGGCGATCATGATTGATCTGATGTTTGATGGTGGGGAAGATCCTCCGCTAGTGCTTGTCGTGGTGGTGGTATTCGACGAAGCCGCAGCGAGGAAAGGGTTGGCGTCGCTACCACCTTTCGCGGCGGTGAAGTCCCAGGTGAAGGAGTTGTGCAAGTCGTGGATGCTCAGTCCTTCGTTGAGATCATCTGATTCAAGCGGAGATCCGCTCTTCGCAGCATAGATCCATTGTCCATTCGAGCTTCGAAAGTCCATGCTTCCGCCATTCCAACTATTGCAGTTGCTGCATCGAACGTTTGCGGTCATGGTGCCGTTGGTGACACCCGAGCCTTCAAGCACTGTGATCTGTGCGGTATCACTGCTGTCGTGCTCGGGCTCGACATGTGCGACTCATAGTCTAGGAGAGACCGTGACGTTCTGACCGTTGGCGGAAGCGTACATGACGAAAATGTTTGAGCCAGCCATTTGGCTGCCCTGTCCGAGAGCAACCTGCTACATGTCAGTATACTCCATCAACATTGATCGTTGCATGTGCACCCATTGATGCGTCGTTGGAGCCGTGATCTGGAAGAAGATGTCTCCAGATCCAGAAGAGGCAGTCTCGTCCGGAATATTCAACGAATAGCAAATCTCGCCTCCTGGGCAGGTTTGCGACACCGCGGCATTGACACTGACAGCTGTTGAACTCATCAGTGGTGTTCTCTATCCTATATACAAGATCACGTACCAAATGCCAACGATGCCAAGGCAAGGTTGGTCACGGAGGTCCTCATCACGGACCGAGATCAGGGGTAAAAGAGTGCTGACTTGATGCTGTTGGTAGACTGTTGGCTCAACGACCAAACGAATACTTTCTCAATCTCTTGGAATCTTTCCAGTCATCCGTCCCACCTCCTCAGGATATATATCCCATCCCCACCAAACACAAAACATCGTTCGACAAACCCAAAGCCATTGCGCATCATCACTCCCCTAACCGAACAATCTTCGTAACAACATTTTAGAAACTCGCACCGCATACAACACGCATGCACAATGGAATACAAACAGATTCCATTCCTTCCATCTACTAGACCTAAGGTTTAGCGTTGTGCAGGATCAAAACGATTCAAGTAAGCAACGTTCCAATTGGTTTAAAGTGACACCGCTAGGCCGAAGGAGGAAGGAGCGAGAACTTTAAGCAGGATAAGCAGCGGAGGCTGTGCGGGAGGGCACACTTCTGCCAAGCATTCAATGGCTTTTGAGGAATGCAATAGCTGAAAGGGCACTTCGTTAGGGCTGTTGTGATGTCAGGTACGGGCTTTGTATCGGGCTTGCTGCGCCTCGAAGGGCTGTCGTCCATTGGCTGAGCAAGGCTTGCCTATACTGGCGACCGAAGAGAGATATACGAGTACGCTTCGCAGAGCGAAGGTGATTACCATGTGAAGCGGTGCTGAACAATGCCCTGCTCTTTTGGGTAGGTCAGCCCGTGGCCTGCTGCTTGGTGGGGTGTTCGCAAAGGGAGTGCATCACGATCTTGACTTTGCGATTGGTGAAGCCTTAGGTAGGGTCTTGTGTACATGGAGGGATAGGGCTTTCATAAGTCGCATTAGGATTTTATGAGCGTCATGATCCATAGAAGACCTCATCATATTGCCATGATGCTTTACCGCTAACCGGCGATTCTCAATCGTCTCATCTCCGTCGAGCCACTGCTAAGCCTTCGATTGCGTGTTCAGCCCGTACTCTGCAATCATTTTCTCAGCAGCTGTCTCCCCAATTAGGTACGCCGTCAATGTGGGATGAGCACCGGGCAGGAATGGCGTGACGCTCATGTCTGCGACTCTGAGATTCTCGATCCCTCTGAGTCGGAAGTGTGTGTCGACACAGGCGCTCTCGTCATCTTCTTGGCCCATTTTCACCGTGCAACTCTGGTCCGCGGTTAGTCCGGCGCTCAGATTCGACCTTATCCATCACTCACCATGTGCCATGTAGCTCCAGCGTTCTGCTGAAGAAACGACCAGATCTCCTCATCGCTTGCAAAGCTCGGGGCATTGAGCGGGAAGTCGATATCGTCGGACAGCGTTGGATTTCCGGGAATACTCACGGCAGCCTTGACGGCATTGATGAAGCAGGTCCTATCAAATGGATGGGACAGAAGAGCCGGGTCACAAATGGGAGCGTCCTTCGCATTGGAAGATGCCAGTCGTACACTTCCCACCGATTGGTTGTTCTGGAGCAGAACGGCGGTCATAAGATAGCTTTTCGTCGGATCCATACCTGGCATTGGACTCATGAGGGCGAACGCCGTCTCGAACGTTGGCACGGTGGGCTCCTCGAGGTGGCGCTGGACCGCAGCAGGCAGCGCCTTGAACTCGTCGGATTTCAACGTCGTTTCGTCTTTGAGAAATCCGAGGACGTATCCTTGGCCATTGACTGCGAACGGACCAGTGCCGTCTTCTTCAATCTGTCGGCGAGCTGCTGCAGCTGCCTCATCGTTGTGCCAAGCATCGTACGACTGACTAGGAGGGGCCTAAACGCAGTCAGAAAGATGGATAGCATCGCATTTGCCCTGAAAACTTGCTGACCTTCCTTTGGTACGCCCAAGGCACCCAGGTATGATCCTGAAGATTCTGGCCGACGCCAGGGAGATCTTGCACGACAGGAATATCGTGCTTCTTCAGTTCGTCCTTATCACCAATACCAGACAGCATAAGAAGCTTCGGAGTATCGAGTGCTCCAGCACAGAGGATGACCTCTTTCGATGCCCTGACTGTATCACATGAGGACCAATCTTAGGAAGTATCAGAATACACTCACAAATTTTCCCATCGACTTCAACGCCAACTGCAGTCTTGTCCTGTAGAACGATTCGATCGACAGCGCTGTCTGCCCTCACAACCAAGTTGCTTGGGGTATGCTCAAGGAAGGCTGCTTGAGCGGTGGTTCGAAGGCCGCGGTGACTGGAAGAAACCATAAGGCCAATCCCAATCGGATCGCCAGAGTTCAAATCTCTGTTGATGGGGCTTCCAGCCTTCTCAATCTCAGCGAAGAACGACAAGACCTCCGGCTCGATAACCTTTGGCACTTCAACATCGAGTTCTCCGTCAGAGCCATGATCCTGCGGCGAAGGATAGCAGTATCGCTCGACAGGTCCCTCGACTTTGGAGTGATATCGCTCGAGCTTCCTCAATCTCTGCTGCATCTGCTTCCAGGAGAAGGCATCGTCACCAACTACTTTCGCCCATCGATCGTAATCAGCTGATGGAGGGACCGTCCAGAATCCAAAGTTGATCAGAGTGGACCCGCCCAAGCCTTTGCCCCTGCTGTAGTCGATCACACGGTTCGCGAGGTGCGATTGAGGTACTGTCTTGTAACCCCAATTCAAGTCGGGTTTCGTAGACGCTGTTGTCATTCGGTTGGAGATCAGGCGTTGATCTAATGAGGGATCATTGTTCGCTCCACCGGCTTCAAGGAGCAGCACGCTAGGTGCGGCTGGCGATTTTGCAAGTCTAGTTGCGAGAACGGTGCCAGCTGGGCCAGCTGTCAGGTTTCATCAGCATGGTCGTCACGATGAACAGGATTCCAAGATTACCTCCAACAATGATGAAATCAAACGAGTCTCCCATGGTTGTGGTTAGCTAAGAATGTGCGGAAGTGGTTGCTTTTTCGGTGTACGATGGAGCCCTCTGTCATCGCTTTTAAGCAGTGCAGTCTATCGGCGGCCGTAATCAGACTATATTGGTGTCAGCTTTGTCATTCGCTTTCGCTCATGTATATCACGCCCGTGTATACCAACTCGCTAAGATCTGATTAGTCAAATGTGAGCACTTGTCACCAAAACAAGGCTATGAGGGCTTGGAAGTAACGATTAGTGAGACTCAGCCTCTCAAGAGACATAGTCAATATCTCGCTCGACATCGAAATGAGTTTGCAGGACGAGAGAATGGCCAATGATTGTTGTGTTAGGTAATGAAAAGGGTGCTGTGCTGAATAAGTTCTGTTTGCGACCGCACCGGTGTGGTATCTAAAAGCGGAACACTGGACAATTCTGTCAAGGAATGCGAAATTTGAAGCCAACTCTTGGCCGGCGAAGTCGGTGTAGCTCAGATCGCCATGCTTCCAATGTTGGAACCATGCTGTAGGGTCATCCGCTACGAGAAGTATTATTCTCATTGGTAATGATGCGTCCAGATGCCATAGTCGCTGCTGTTTCGAACGAACGAGGCGTAGGTGACCAGAACGCCTTGCAGAACGCCGTCAGCATTGAGCTGACAGAGTGACCAACGGCACCCCTCTGTCTTCGATGTCAACAATTCCTCGAACCAAGGCTTGGCGACTTGAGCCCGACTGATCAGGCCAGCAACCTGAACATAAATCTTTCTCTATGCTCGCGTAGGTCTTAAGCATGGCCTAATGAGACTCGGATGCCGAATTGACCAACTCTCCTCTTTCCGCCAGCAAAGGCGTACTGTACATGTGCCTTTCTGAACCCTCGCAGTAACACGGCCGGCCCCTTGGAGTTGGCACCTCGTCTAGCCATCTTCTTTGCTGATCTGTTGGCCGTTAAACGCTTGGTCAAACGACCAGCAGCCTCCACCTCGACACTGCTAACTTGGCTCAGCGCCAGCTTTTCCTTGATTGTTCCATTCGATGTCTGTCCGAGGTTTCCCACAGTGAAATCATCCCAGGAAAACTTGACTGCCTGTCGCTGCGCTTTCTTCTGCTGAATAGCTGCAACCGCCTGTGCGTTCGGGAGAGGTGCTTTCCAGGTCGCATCACGAATGACTCGCCGCGGTGTATTCCTTCGATCGCGAAGTCTCTGTGCAACAACTGCAGAGAGGATGTCGGCATCAAGATGTGGCTTGTTCAGCTTGATGAGCTTCAAGTCCACTGGCTTGCCGTATATTCTCGCAATGAGTCCCTGTAGTCCGACCTGTTGTGCAGGATCCAGTATGATATCGGACTCGCTCCCCTTCGCTTTCTTGCTATCGCCAGGCTTTCCTGTCCGCGCCTTGAATCTCTTCTCATCGGCCTCCCTGGCATGCTGCTTTCCATCGAACACAAAAGCCGTCAACTCTATCCGGTCGCCAAAATCCTTCATCTTAGGCTTGCTGACGTAGACTTTCTCCGCGCTCTTTCTCCTCGCAGCCAATGCCGTTCGTATCGCTCTGAGGTCCTTTCCTTCGTTGTTGACTTGCTTCATTGTGACATATCCTTCGATTAGCTTCTCCACGTTGGTGGCTGCCACGGGAAGTGTTTTGAGGTTCTGCTCATTCCAGCAGTATGTGCTCGTCTGCCATTCCATTCCACCTGTTATCGACTGCCCAATGCGAGTGACTGGATCTTGACCGCGCCATAGTGGGTGCTCGGGAAGAGCCAATGTTGACGCAAATCTTCGGTTCGGGAGGCGTCGTCGGAGATGCTTCGCGTGGAATGTGAAGGAGGCACGCGGTACTGGCGCCGTTCTGGGAGGCATTGTGAGGATGTATGTGATGATAGACGAGCAGTCAACGCCTCGTGTTGAAGTTGCGAAGCCGTCTCAATTTGGGAGCCTCCGCGGAGGTTTCACGTGACCTGAGAAAGCAAACCAAGGGCCGAGATTATGGGAACGTTCCTCTTGTCTTCACTCTGTACATTCTGCAATTGGGAGCATACATGTAGCTTGTGTGCATTTGTAGGCCATTTTCAGGGCATACCTACCATCTTGTAATTCTCACGATCGTAATGGCCTCTCAGAAATGGCGATGAAAGGAAAGAAGCCTATCTGCAGCACTTGCTCCTCCTAAACCATTCCTCGTTCTCCAACTACTTGTAGCCTGCCTCCCATCTTGCGAGCACTACATTCGTTATGGCGCCTATAGAGAGAGGACAATTCAGGGATGTAGACCTTCTCAATACCGCCAAAGACTGCTCCGGGGCTCTTCGGTCGAGGCGAACACGATGTTGCGGACGATGGTCTGGGTGAACCGGCTTGAGTCTGCAAAAACAGAAACTCTCACGGATATTCTGAGGCAGCCTTTGGCTGGTAGATGGAGTAGCGGGCTCCGTATGATCGTACTCCAAGGCTGCCGCTGCATTCAGGTCACTCGCACAGCACACAAGTCAGGGTAGCTCGCACTGCCATTGCATCCGCTGCCACAGGTGGTGTGCACAGAATTTGTTGCACGGCAATCCGGCCCATCAAGGCAAATGCTCCGTTTCAACACAAAAGGCGACGTTCGGAGCTCGAACATTTGAAGGGTTCACGTCCAATGATCAATGATTGCACCATTCCACGACAATCAGGGGGCTGCGCTACTCCAGACATCGAGCCGCTTATGCCTGATAGCCTTGGCAGGTGACGGAGGGGATATAATTCCCCAACAAAGAAGCCGCCGTGGTCATTCTCAGAGTTCAAAGCAGTATCGAACGGAATCGGATCATCGATCGAATCTGGTAGGCACCTCTCGAAATATACGACTTGGTCCTGGGTCCGCAATCATCCCGGGTGGACGCAATATTCCACGGTTTTGGTTCCGCCAGATCATCTCATCCCTTCAGATACGATAACGGCTTTCTGTTCCAGCAGGTCAGCCAGCAGGTCAACGACAAGTTGAGGTTATCCTTATGAGAGAACACAGAGGAGGTGCGACTTGGCCAGTGGTTCACAGGTCTTTGCCATGGCACAGAATTTCTCCCTGCGAGCCAGCCATTTGGACGATTCAAGAGGAGTCAAGGGAGCCGGAGCTTTTGGGCGCCGGAAGAGCCTTCTTGGTTCATGGAGGCTCTTGCTGTTGTATTTTCCCGAGACTGTCCAAGGAAGCTGGGAAAGGTTGACTGGGTCCAGCGTCGTTCACTCATGGTCTTACCAGAATGTGCTGAATTCGATGCCATCTGCCCGTGTCCGATCACACCATGACGAGCTCTCTAGGAATAGAGCCGTCTGAGCGAAGGCTGCTTGATACCGAAGGCTATCACTGGACCCTCGCCATCTGTCGATGCCTTCGTCTTCGCCCTTGGGTATGAAGGGAGTGTTGTCATTCCTGGTCTTCCTCACTCTTGCTCTTAATGCTCCTCTTGCTCTTTCTGGGTAAGACTCGACACCCAAGCTCTGCGCGACGTGCCCGAGACGATGGTGATTGTGGATGTTCTGGTATCATTCGCTCCTCCTCTTGCTCAGTTGGGTACTGGAAACCGCCGTTACTTCGAGTGCGAGCGTACCTGGCACGGTCAGCGAATGCCCCGGCGAGGCGTGGTCAATTGTCAGGCGTCATAGAGCTTGCCGCTGGTAGCACATAGCCTCGTGCGCATCTTCCGACTGCTCGCTGGTGGTGTTGGCCTTGCCGTCCCTTTTCTTGGGCAGCAGTGGCTAGCTGCTCTTATCGGAGTACTGCGTTGCTCATGACACATGCGAGGTCATTGCACCGGTCCTCAATACAGCTGGCTCCGACGCTGGGCATGCCTGCGAGAGAGGATGTGCGTCGACAATGGCCGGTTGGCTCATGCGCTGGGCCACGCCCATTGTATGCTCGCATTCAGAACGTGTCTGTACGATGAGGAATGTGCGAGGCGCCAGGCCAATGGTGCTCGACTCTGCAGCAAGTAGTCTCTGGTCCATCGAGGTCGATGAACTGAGGTGTCCGTCTCCGAAGCCCTGACTTCTTTGTTCGAGGCCCGCAGGCCATGTCCTCTTCTTTGTTCACACACGGCTGTGGTCCTCGGCTGTCGAGTAGACAAGCATAGACTTGTCTTATCTTTCAATGCTGGCGGCAATGATGTTTGTAGCCTCTTCCTCTTTGACGTCGTCGCAACGGCGTGCTGTTTACGGTCGCTGGCGGACTTCGACCTACCTCAAGGGGTGCTCTCGGTGCATCAGGCTCTGTGATGGACAGTCGCTATCGTAGGAGGCATGCATTCGATCTGCCAGTTCGTTGTCGATGGGACCGTCGAGTCTGTGCAGTAATCGTACGGCAAATAAATGCTTGTGCTACTGTGGGGACAGTGTTGTTGGCGTTGAGGAAGCCCGCCAAAGGACTGGTCTACGAACAAGGACTTTGAAACATCGACCGCAACGAAGCTCACAACGCTACTCTACAGTACAAAGACTTGATGCACTGCAAGGCCCTCTAGTAGCTGAATGTGAGGCGAGAGACATGATCATAGACTGAGGAGTATCCCCGAGACCATCCCCGTCACAAGCCTGGCATGCACTGTATCGATGCCGTGGACGGACGGGGATGCTTGGGGATGTATGGCTCTTTCCTCCCTCATCGCTCAGCAGGTGAGCCAGGAGCGCCGGCCGTGCGCTGGTGGGTATAAATTCGCTCACGGCGTCCTCACTTCCCCTTCGTCCCTAAGCCAACATCACAGGCAGAGAGCGCCCCCAATCCCCCTCAGAAAATCATTCAGAAGCGCTCTGCCCTCCCCCCACAATGATTCTCACCTGGCTGCTGCTGGCTGTGCTGGCCGCTCTCACGGCGGCATCAAAGGTACGCTTTCAGAACCATCCTCACCTCCCTCACTTACTGACATCCCCGTTCAACAGTCCCTCCCCGCGACCTCGAGCCCCTCCTCTGCGCCCTGGTCGTCCTCCCCAATCTCGGGAATGGACTCGACTTCCTGCCGTGCCCTCACAATCACTGAGACCGTCACTTCCACCATCTGGCCAACGATCATCACTCTGCCACCATGGTACTACAACACGACGACCAGCACCGCCAGCACGCCAGCACGGTCATCAATTGGGCCCACGACCTTCACCATACCGCTGCACAACACCAGCAAGGCGTCCACCAGCACCATACCAGACTTGTCCTGGAGCGTGATCGTGCCTACACTCTCCCTCATCACCACGACAGACTCCCACGACTACCCACCGGCCTCAGCAAATGTCACCTACCCGTGGTCTGCAACCGGCTACATTCCACCCATCCCATCAGTCAACCACACCATCACCGTGTACCCGGCAAGCTCTGGTGTACCCATATCGTCTGCCAACAACAGCTACACCTGGATTCCAGCAACCTTCACAACACCGCGGTCGTTCCCCAACGACACCTTCACTTGGATCCCGGCAACCTCGACTGCACCCAATCCCTCCACCAGCCATACCTCCACGTCGCTCCCAACGAGCTTCACGGCAACCACTTCGTCTCCGAGCGTCATCACCACTTGGATTCCAGGAGAGCGGAGTCCCACGATCATCATACTGACGACAATCTCTTCGTCTGACAGCATCATCACCACCTGGATCCGCACAACTCTTACCGGTACGTTCTCGAACCCGAAATGGTCGCCAACGAGTACACCTACTCTATCGACACCTACTCTCTCGACAACTGGCTCGAAGAAGGAGGGTTGAAAGAACGGAAGGAGAGATCGATGGCTTGGACCACGCTGCAATGATGAAGATATGATTACGAGGATACGGATATGACTGATGAGAAGAGATGAGAGTCGCAATGGAGGGTTGATAATGATGATGATGCCTGCCTGTAATGAAATGCAATGACTTCGGACGTACTGTCTGCTGCTCGCTTCTGCCGTATATCCATTCCATTCTCGTGAACCTGGTCTACGAATATCTCCTTTTCAACGTGCTGTGTTCACTCCTGCCTTCGTCGGCGACGTGTCTCCTTGCTGAAGCTCAATCCTTCCTTCCACGAAAAGCCTCGCAAGATTCCCTTGAGTCCTTCATCGCCCGCCGAGGCTGCCTCTCCCAACAGCCATGAGAGGATTGAAAGTAGAATGCAAGGATGGGTAATGTTCACGATGACAACGAACAGGCCGAACATTGCATATCTCTGGTCAAAGACCTGAGGGGACAGAACCATCCACAGGTCCAGGGCGAGCGATTGAGAAATCAGCGCCTGCCGCTGCATAACGGCAATCATTCATGGACTCACTTGACCTAGATTTGGCGTACTGTTGCATAGTCGCATTCGTTGACAGTTTGCTTCGTGCACTTCGTGTCTGAAATCATGCCTCTGCCTTACGAGATAGGCTGTCGTCTATGTAGCTATACTGTCGTCAACACAACCCTTCCAACCCTCAAACCACCACCTCACCCCTCAACCATCCTCCCCCCTCATAACACCCTCCTCCCCCAGCCGTCCCATAAACCCAACAACCCTTTTACTGATAAGCCAATGACCCGAAGACCCCGGAATCCCCTCCCCATCAGTCAAAACCAACACATCTTCATACTTGCCCCACGCCGTAACCTGCTGGCCTTGCCACTTCCCCTTGCCGAAATGGATCCCGGTGAAGTACGTCGTGGCCGTGGCCGTCTTGCCGTCCTTGGCGATTTCGATCGTTTGGGTTGTGAGGGCGTGTTGGGATGTTATTGGGGTTAATCTCAAAACAATTCGATGAGTGCATGTACAAACACCCAGGATTTGTGTCTTTGGAAGGGGTTTTCTACCTATTCCGAATCCCATCCGCCACCTTCTGCACCCCCCGAATCTGCCCGCTGAACGGGTACGTCGCATCTACATCCTCCGTGAAGACCTTCCGGAGGAGTTGCCAGTCTTGGGTGTCCAAGGCCACGCAGTAGGTGGCGATTGTGTTGCGGATTGCGAAGTAGTCGATTGGATTTGGTCCTGCCATTGTTTGGGATATCGTCGTGGAAGGAGGGAAGGAGGTGACGTTGAACGGAGAGCGAGCCGTTGATGTCGTTGAGTTTTCGGGTGAACGATTCGCCGAGAGCTTGAGTATGCAGGGATTTGAGGAGTTGACGGATTCCGTTGTTGCTTGTGGAATGTTTTGTTGTTTGGTTCTGCTTTCTGTATAGGTTTTCAATCTGTCTTCGATCCCAACGTTTCTTGTCATTGCTTGAAGTGCAGGATGGCTCTACAAGACGCCCTTTCTCCCGGAAGATCTCAAGATCTAGCGTGGCTATGAGCAGAGACGCGCTTTCTTTGATCCTGTTGGCCTCTTGGTCGCAAACCACCATTCTCAACGAAAATCAGCCATTGTACTTCTTACCTCTGGATTCGGCCGCAACTACGTCGACCTTCCATCAATCTGGGCCTTTCGACTGTTCTTCCAGGATCTGAGACCCCTGCGAGCGTCTGACAGGCTTCTGGAGCACCGTACGGACCTGCCTCCGGCCGTCATCCTTTATTATATCAATATCGCGTTAACGTATCAACTTTCGACGACCCTATTATCCGGAGTATACCTTGCCAGGCGCTATAACTCAACCCCATGAAACCTTGGCCACTCCTCTTTTTCCAAACGAGCAATCGGCACCACAGCCCGCCGGGGAGACGTTATTCCAGCCCGGTCAAGCCATGATATTACAAAATGAATTTTCGGCTCCACATCGGACAGTGCGGCCTGATGGTCTAGTGGTAGTGAGTTTCACGCCCTCGAGTCTATTGTAGGGCTTGTGCTGATTTCAGGCAGTGATTGTCGCTTCGGGAAATCACCCAGCAGGTGTACTCTGCTCGATATTGTGACAGGCGTAAGTCCTGGCCATCTCAGATGGTTTTATCACATTCGTCGTATGGAAACTAATTATCTGTAGCCCGGGTTCGAATCCCGGTCAGGCCCTGACCTAACTCCAAATTTTTGAGATTTTTTGGCCTTATTATACGTGTTTTGGAGCGCAAAATCATGATATGCGTTGACGTTGACTTCAGGCGGCGATGGTACGACAGCCTGACGTTCCCATAATATTTTGACCACCCGAGTCTACTCTCCAGGTCTTAATCAACCACATCCATCGACCCTGGACCTTCTAGATACTTAGGTCAGGACATACCTTTGCCTCGAAGGTGTAACATCCCGAGGCTTGGCAAGACTCCGTTAACGCGTTAACGATCAACTGAAAAGAGGAGAATTTCAACAAAAGGACAATGAGGAGCGATCATTAAAGACGATGGCATGCTTGTTGGGCTATCTACATACTTGCTACTGGTCGCTGAGGTCCTGCATAGACTCGTACGTCTGCAGAATGAGCATGACTCCTCCGAGGGCACCAAGTTCCTTTGTTCTGCGGAGGATTTCAACAGAGCAAGGCAAATCGACGGTGCAGAAATGGTACTATCATCGTAATGAGAAAAATGTGGAAAGAGGGGCACTGTGATTCCAAAGGAACTCAGGTGTGCTCTTTAATCAATACCAGGGGGAGCAAAGCCATTATGCATGCCTTCCAATCCATAGGACCCGCTATCGTCATGCCAAAACGCTCAATAAAGCTCATAAAAACCATAAATTCATGCTCATCCAATCATCTCTTGGTCGTCTCTTGCGCTTCATCAACTGCTATAGACAGTCTCGAACGTCTCCTTCTTGCACTTCTCGCAGGTCCTCTCCTTGATGGTATAGAGTGACACGATTCCTCTCTTCCAGTCGACGCCACCGAACAGCATCTCACGCCGCTTCCTCGTCAATGCCACCGCCATGTCCAGCAGGTTCCCGTCCCGCTGGGCACTATCTTCCATCGCCGATACGATTTCCTGCTCGTGGCAAAGGCAAGGCTGGGACGTCTGCGATAGCGTCTTGCCAAGAGCCCTCTCGACCTTGACTTTGATCGTGATGGAATCGTCCGGCAGACGTCGGAGCGTGTAGACTGTCGTCATCGATCTGAACGTACGCGGTACCGTGTTGAAGCGGATGTCCAAATGTGTGAGGAACTTGGCCGTGTTCTGGCGTGGCAGCCACTTCTCCATGATGGTCGGATCAGTCATATGGCGGCCATTGTACAGGTTGCAGGCGTTCTTCTGCAAGATGAAGCGGTTGTCTCCGTAGAAAATCGACAGCACCTCCCTCCGCACCTGGCGACTGACAGACGCCACAACAGGCTCGAGTGGGAAGCGCCGAATGATCGCTCCGCGCAGTTCTTTGGGCCTCTTGCATGGTCGTATGGGCCTCAGCTGCACCTCAATAGGCTCGTCATGCACCGCCAAAAGACTCCAGATAGCGTTGCGCAGCTCTGGCGGCAAGCTCATCAATTCGAGCGGTGGGTGCCGTGACGTCTTCGTCGAGATCAGTACGGGTGCCACGTCGACCTTCTTGGTCTTCTTAGGCTTCGGTGCTTTCTGCGGCCGAATGCTCTGTTTGAAGTCATCGGGTTGGGCGTGCTTCTTAGATTGTTTGCTGCACTTCGACGACTTCGCCTTGGTCTTCCCCGTCGAAGGCAGCGGCTTGTGAAGAGAGAATGAACCGAATCGCGGCCCTGGCCATTGCCGGCACGTGGTAGGCGGTGCAAAATCGAATCGGAACTGTGGTGGTAGTTCGTCGTGAAGTCGGAGTTGGCCAAAACAGATAACGACATCGGCGACAGTGAGCCGCTCGGCGGCGGGTTTGTTGAAGCCCTCGAGCTGGTCAACCGCGGAGTCCATGATATACTCAAGTTGGGCCTCCTGCGCCCTGTCGAAGTCGTTGATGGAAATGACCTGCATTTTGCCGATATCGAGTGGTGTGAGTTTGGAGTGTTTCCGCGGTGTCGGGTCGAACGGCATATGAGGTAGTTGGTCTCGGCAATAAGGTGGTGCCTGTCGCTGTAAGGAAAGGAAAGTCAGTGCGTCATGTGCGGCGGCGCAACAGGTGTGAATCAAGGCGGTTCTAGGAGGTTCAACATGTCTGTGTTGAATGGGGAAGAGAGAAAGGGCGTCACCTGGATGGGAGAGGGTAGCAGCGAGGTGGTCGGTGGCCGGCCGGCTTGCTCCGAACGGCCCGCCCTCACACGATTTCACCTCATGAACATTGCAATTGCAGGTGCTGTTCACGTATACAGACATTTATCATCATGTGACGAGTCCTTCATCTCAAGTGGGTCACTTGTACAACGCGTCTTTCGAGGCATATGATCCTATTACAGTCCTGCACACTCCAAAATCAAACGCTCGCATATTACTGTTTGTCGACGGGGTATCTTCCTATTGCCACAAAGTCCGCTCTCAAAACGCCCATGAAACAAACGAAATCACTTTTTCCTGCCGTTAAACAACATCCATCACTTGGCCGGCGTGTCCGGTACGTCCCAAATACTCTTCTTCTCCAGCTGTTCCGTCAACATAGAACTACCCACGCCATTGCCAACAATGCCACCTTCTCCGTCCATGGGGTTGTGCTTCCACAGGCTTTTCGGTGGGCTGCGTAGGGTTTTCCGCTCTGGGCTAGTTGGAGTTGGGCCAAAAGGTATATGGCCAGTGCTGCTGAAGGTCGGAAGCTGCCTGCTGCTTGAAGGTCTGATTGGTGACGACGGCGTGCGTTTGGGGCTCACTGGGGAGCCATTTGATGATGTGTGCGCAGCAGGCTTCATCCATGAGGGCGAATAGGAAGAAGTAGAGCGCACGTTGGAGCCAGCACCGACTTTCAGCTCTGATCCCGCTGGGGAGGGTAGCTGCTGTGCTGGGTATGTTGGACCATCCTCTGGCTTCAAAGCCGGCGACACACTGGCACTACCACCACTGTTGGCGTACTCTGGGAACTCTAAGTCCTCTGCGGGTGTGCCTAGGGATGTCGGTACCTCAATCGGAGTAGGTTTTCGTTCTGGAACATGCATAGGCTCGTTGGACAAGCTGTCGACGGGAGCATCTGCAATGATGGGCCCAGTGTTCTCCGTTGTTAGGCTAGGCATACCCCAACCGCTGGTATCGGCAAGCATCTCCGTAGTCTGCGCAAAGGCAGGCTCCGCTACGCTATCATCCGCTCTCGCGATGTCTCCATCATTCTGCGCCGTTGAGACGACAGCGCCAGCTTGCGTTTCTGATTTGGCCAATCCGGTAGAGACTGGAGCAAGAGGCTGCTTCTGAGGCACAGCTCCCTCCTTTGCAGCTTTCTTTGCAGCTGCGTTGATACGTCTCGTCTCCGCACCCTTCAAAGCTCTGGCGCGCCTCTCGGCATCGAGCTTCTCCTTCTGCTTGCGATCGTGCTCTTCTTTGGTACTGCTTACTTTGAGAGTAACTTTCTTCAATCCAGATGCCAGTCGATCGACGTCTGAAGTCTTGGCGTCGCCGCCGATAGCCTTATTGGAAACAGTTGATGTTGCTTTCGGTGCAGAGGTTAACGGACCGCCCCCGATCGCATCGCGCTTTCGATTCTGTGAAGGTGCTCGGACTTTCTTGTTCACAGCCTGTGGGTTCGGCGTAGGGATTGGAGGCGGCTTCATGGTCCCTACAGTATTCGAGCTTGTCCTACTCGACATTGGGGGCCTTGATGGGATGGCAGGTACAGGGGGCGCGTCGTGATCGACTGGCGCATCTGTCGATCCTAAGGCACTGCCAGCACTCTGTCGTCGACTAGCTCTACGCTGTTGCGTAGGAGCAGCATCCTGCGTGGGAAGAACATCAATAGTCTCACGTCTGCTTGCCCGAGACTCTGACCGGCTGACAGAGCGAACACTAGCCGTCTCGTCACTATGAGCGCTCTCGGCATACACTGGGCCTTTCGCCCTGCGATCACGAAGCTGCCGCGGTTGGCCGACCTCGCTAGGCTGCGCAGTAGTCTGTGGCTCCTTCTTGGCACGTGGAACTTCCAACTCTTCGACCGTGCAGCTCTTGGTCTGGCGGCCGATGGGAATGAGCAGTTTCGAAAGCTCTTGAGTAGCTACGACCCAATCAACCTCTGGGATCGGCGGTGTCGGTGGTCGTGCTGCCAGCGGCGCTTCTCGCATGGTTCCTGAAATAGAGCGAGCGAACTTTTGAGGATCCAGCACTTTGTAAGCAAACGATTCTGTTGGCGTGGCATAAGTAGGTTGTGGTCCACCTCGCATCTTTTTGGCTTGCGGCGGAGGCGGTGGGTTGACCTTGTTTTCGAGCGCGGTGAGATTGTCTGCCGACCACCAAGTCTTGTCGTATGTGAGCGACGTGCTGAGAGAAAGTCCGTTCATCTGAGAGCTGAGGTCCATTAGATCTTCGACGCCAGCTGTGTCTGGTGTGACAGGCGAAGCACATAGGCCTGACAAGTGGCTGAGTACACCGCTGCAGAGAGCGCGATCGCTATAACCACCTTCGAGGACACTGATCACACGACCTTCGCATCCCTCAGTCTCTTCTGCAAGCTTCACCACATCACGAGTAATGCGGGCATAGAACTCAGTCGGTACGTTGACTTTGTGCCTCTGCATACCAGAACCCTCCCACTCGCTTGCGTCGAAGCCGGCAGAGATGAAGATCGCCGTCTTTGGTTGGACTTTTCCTTCTTTCAATCGCTGTGCATGGTGTTTGAGGAAAACCTTTGCCTTGTCGAGCAGCACTGAATAGCGCTCTTCATAAAGCTTCCAGAATTCGTCTTCTGTCTTCCAGGTTTGAAGATGTACATTCCAAATAGACTGTCCATGGGCGTTCTCAATGCAAAGACTGGCAGCTTGGACTTTCTCATCGTCACCCATCTCGCATGGGTAGCTGTTGATGTCGTGGATGCTGTAGTACCCAATGTCCGGACTCAGCTTCAGCTTGCTGTTCGGCTTTGCATTCAGGCGCTTCACGTTATTCTTGCTATTCCGCTCCCATGTTATGGCCTGGCTACCATCTCCGTGATGCAGATCAAAGTCCAGGATGGCAGCATGGGTAAGTCCATGTGTCTGCGCGGCGTATTCAATCCCTACGTGAACGTTGTTCAGCCAGCAAAAGCCACTTGGATGATCTGCTGAACAGTGGTGGCCAGGCGGGCGGACTGCAACAAATGCGCGCTTGGTGTTTGTGCCTGGTTCGAAGATTTTATCAATGGCGTCGGCAACACCACCCAGCGCGCCCTGAAAAGCATTGAGCGATTCGGGTGCAAGATACAGATCGCCTTCATGAAGCCTCTCTTTCTCTGGCTCGCCAGGAGTAGACGTCCGGCTAAGTTCCTTCGCTCCTGCTGCCAGCTTTTCACCTGCAGAATGACACAATCCCTGTAGCTCTGACATCCAGGCTGTGCCATGCACGTTCGTGACATACGTGGAGGTAATATCCATCGATCGGGCAGATCGCCTAATCTTGAAGGGTGGATTGGAAAGCTCGCGATTGTCGGGGTGAGGCGAACGCTTTGCCCCTGCATGGTGTCCACCCAGGCGTACGTAGGCCGTAGAGGCTCCCAAGACGCTGGCATGGATGCGCTCGGGTCGTTCTACGATCATTGACAGGCTAGTCTTGGTCGTCTTCAACCGCGAAAAGCGATGTCCATAGCATGCATCGTGCAGAATGACAATGGTTTCGGCATCTGATTCCGGTCGCTCGTGGCCCAGTAATTCTCTGCTGAAATGATCTGCTGCGATCTGAGGTGCTGTGAGAGGTATGGGCTCTTCGATCGGCTCCATAGTAGCTTGCGCTTCCCTCAAGCCTGAGATCAAGTTGGATATAGATCGCTTCGGTGTTGGCCGCCTCTCTTGGTCGTCTGGTCCGCCCAGCGACGTTCTCGATCCTTTTTTCATCAAGCGTGGTGACGATGGTGGTCTGCTGACACTGGCAGAGCTAGATGGGCGCCGTGGCAAGTATGGCGCATTTGAGGTTCGTGGGGAGTCCTTGGTGATAGGAGACGTAGCTGGTTGCGATGTGCGGCGGGAGAGGGGCGTCTTTAGACCGGGCGTCGGTGGTGCTGAAGACATGGGGCTGTATGTATCAGAGGCTGCTGTCGCAACTGACATGTGTCTCAGTGCGTCGCTGAGATCGTCCGTGTCCAGTTTGATGCCATCGGGCGGTCTGGGTTCAGACGCTGCTTGCGCCTGCTGGTCGGGGTCTGTCGGCGCATGCGACGCCATGATGGGTGTGTATGCTTGATTTAGTGGCGCATTTGGCGGTTGGTATGGTTGAAGGTGGTTGTTGACAGGTGCAAACAAACGGGATGCGCAGTGATGGTGACGCGCGAGACAGGGGTTTGAACCTTGGCGCGTCTGGAGAAGTGCCAAGCCTGCACCACTTCCTCCCACGGCTCCCACCATGTTCCAACTGCCTCACCGACCTCACGCCTTGAACATGTTCTTCAGCTTCGCCAATGCCTTCTTGGCCGGACCCGACTCCGACGACTTCTGGCTGCGCGTGGTCGTCGTTGGACTTTCCGGGATGGTCAGCGCATCAAAATCGAAGTGCTGTGGATGCGAGAGCTTGGTGGCCGCGCGCTGCTCGTCGTAGAACAGCGACCGTCTCTTGCGACGGTTCTCCGCCTGCTCGCTCGGATCGTACTCGTGCATTGGTTCCGAATCGCTGGAACTGGATCTGCCCACGTGTTTGATGGAAAACACACGCTTCAACTCGTGTCGCCGCGGATTCTGGGGAGGTATGGCTGGGGAACCACGTTGACGCGTGCCTCTGCGCATCCTGGCCACCGATTTATGAATATCAAATGTCTGGTACTGCCAACAACCACACTCGCTAGCCAACTTCTACCCGTCGTACTATTTCTTCGGCCCCTGATCCTTTTCGGTGCAAATACTCGAGTGGGCTTTGCGAAGCGCGCCGGAACTTCGCCCGATACGTCGTCGAACCAATCGAGGACGTGCAATGGACCAAAGCGGCTACAAGTGTCTGAGATTGAGGCTGGTTGCAAACGTCATTGAAGCGCAGAAGAAATAAATTCTCGTGAAAATTGGAGGAAGAAAAATTCCATGTCGGATGTCATGCAAACCTTTTACGCATCTTGTATGATGCCTGCTCGCTCTCCGGCTTCTCACCGCGCAGTACGCCAATTGGCCATATCGATGGTGAACCAACAACGCGTTTCTTCTACTCGCCGACGGAATCCGCAGCGGTAGTGTTCGATTCTACTTGGACGAGTCTCGAGCGACGCTGTTTGTGTGACATTATCCGGATCATCTGATCCTTGCTGACAAAAGCGCAATCGACACGTGTAAACCCCTTGTCAAAAACGGCCCCAGCCTTGTTCAGCACTATGACAGACGACGCCGAAGCACAATGGCGGCATCCTCGGGTCTCTTCACTGTATCTTGGCCGCTCGCACACTTGCTAAACCACATTGCCAGTGCTGTTGAAAAGCCGTGGTGCATCAAGTGCCGACAAAACCGCGGCATGGCTAACCTGCGTTCTGCGATGAATCTACGATGGACAAACACCGGATCTAAACTTATCGTTGCAACGTGGAATTGATCCATCTCAATGGGTCTATGCGATCCAATTGGAGTTGGTCTACGACGGTCTCTAAAACGACCGTCAATGATACGATCATGCCAACAATACAGAGCAATGCTGAACTCTCACGTCGGACACCCGACAAGCGGAACGCCGAGCTCGTGTCGAAGACGTTGACTCCGAGACAAGGCAGGTTCGTGGCGTTGATCATCCCCGCAAACGTCCACACGCGGCGTGAAAGTCAGTGCAAGTCAACCAAACGGAGAACATCCACTGATGCGTGCCACCTTCCCGACCAAACCTATAGCCACTTTTCTCAGAGACGTCAGGATCAACTCTTGTGGCAGAGATGCCAAATACCCAGTGCCATGTGTTGAAGACGGGAAGTTGCGGCAGAAGAAACGATATGCACGATTGATTCGAGCCAAGATCAACTGCGGTGAGCCGCTATGAACAAGCCTCAGCCTTCAATGGCGTCGTCGATGTCTATGATGGAACGAGGTAAGTATATCAACTACAGGACGGCTCAACAGTCGCCAGAGCCGCCCTGCCTTCATCTCCCTCTTCTCACATATCCAGCATGCGCTTCTACCCCCTCCTCGCCTTTGTGGCCTCGGCCTCAACTGCCGCCATCCCAGATGTCGAAGCCCAAGCAAACGGCGGAAGCAGCAGTCCCAGCTGCAAGGCTGACAATAGAGAGATTGCCATCTCCAAGGCGGCATTTCTCAAGGCCAAGGTCATTCCACCCAGGCCATCGCAGTACAACGACAAAGTGAATGTCATTCCAAGCTTCAATCCAGATGCTACGATTGCGATTGATTATAATGGCAAGCAAGTGGAGTATGGGACGAAGTTCCAGACGACGGGTGGGCTGTTTCGAAAAGTGCATACGCTCCTCAGGGTGTTGGCTGACGACAGATACAGAGACCACTCTGCAACCCAATGTTGTCTTCACGGCGGAGTCTGATCTCCGCTACGCTGATTATAACTACACCGTCATCATTGTATGTATTTCCTTCCCTCAGCAGTCTGTCCTCGGTCTTCCAGTTAAAGTGGGATATCGATCCCAATCATTCGCAACCCGTCCAAGCAATTGGAACTACAGTAGAGCGCGCGGCCGCTGCGAAGCACCGAGAGACCTTGCGCTTCTGCATTCCACTTCGATCAGAACAACAAACGTCCATCAACCCTCTAACAACGCCCCCTCCCAGGCCGACCCCGACGCCCTCTCCCCGGCGGGCACAACCCCCGGCCCGCTCCTAAAAAACTACCTCCACTGGATCTACTACGACGCCAAACCCTGCCTCGAACGCAAACAGCAACCCAGCGCCAAAGACCAGCCCATGTACGCAGCGCCCACGCCTCCCTCCCCGCAAGCGCACCGCTACACGTTCTTGGTCTATCGCCAGCCGAAGGGCGTGTACACCCCGCCGAACCCCGCGACGTTCCCGCAGACGCTGGGGGCGAGTCGCGGCATGTTTGATGTTAATGGGTATGTGAAGGCGGGGAGGTTGGAGGGGCCTGTGGCGGGGAATTATTTTTTGGAGGCGGCGCCGGTTGGTGGGGGGTCGTGAAGGGGGGAGGAGGGATGTTGTCTTGGGTTTGTGTTGTGAGTGGGATGGGTTGTTGATCGTTCAGCCTAGTATGATTTTCTTCTCTCGAGGATTTAACAATCGCCATGCCTCTGAATGGATTTGCCCGATCCCTGTTCTCGTTGCTAATCCATCGTCCCATTCGATCATCATCACATTGACCATCTCGGGATCCTCATCGTTCCAAGCATCTGTATCGAAAGGCACATGATCCTTCTCCTCGCCATCCTTATCCATATAGTAGAAGTTCGCATCATCGCGACTGTACTGGCTGATAGGAAAGTAAACAGGCCACGGACGATACGTACTTGACAGAGCAACCACCTCAACCCTCCTCGTCCCATACTCCAATGCATCTTCCGGCCTCGCCTGCAGGCCCTCCAACTCCTCCCGACTCTTGTCCATATGCATCAACACCATCCCCGCAAACCTCCCCTCAACGAAAACCATCTGACACCTGGAGGCATCCCCCCAACCTACGGACTCGCAATCCAAACAGTACCCCCAAACCGCCACGCTGATTTCCACCTTCGCAGCCAGCGCCGTAAACGAGAGCTTACACCACTCCAGATTCACCAAAACATCATCATCGAGATCCCCCGGCTCGAACTCCTCATACACATCCTTCCGCGTAGCAACAAGCACACGAAACCCATCCCCCACCATCCCCTCCTCATCGAACTGCTCAACCTCCCTCCCATCTAACACCTGTCCGGAAGCAACATACGTCGCGCCACCGACCCAGCCCGCCCAGCTCCACGACGGGAAGTCCAGATCGAAAGCATTCTTGCCGCGGCGAGTGCTGGGACCTAGGGGCAGCCAGAGGAGGAAGTGATCGAGGAGGTTGGGCGTCAGGGGCATCCCGCAGAGGAAGCGGTGGTTCGTCTCCCGCGTCACGGCTTGCAGGAGGCCGGCGATGCCTTTGAGGATGTCGCTTGGCACGGTGAGGTTGCGGGTCGTGTACCACCGGATCATGACTTCGTAGGCGGTGGGGGTGCTTGCGATGCCGGTTGCGTGGATGGCTTCGGGGGATGGTGGGGTGGTGTATTGGCTGCGGGCGAGGGGTTTGTCGTTGGGGTGGCAGGAGGCTCTGCGGATGTAGTCTTCCGCAAAGGTATCTTTGGCGCAGAAGAAGACCACTCGAGTGCGCGTGAAGACGAGGTGACGTTTGGAAAGAAGGTGTTCTTGGAAAGTCCAGGCGCGTGAATACCAGCGAGATCTGGAAATGGTTTCGTCGAGATAGCTCTGGGTTTCGACGAATTGGAGACCTCTGATCGTGGCGGTTGCCTGTGAGATTTTGCGTGTTCCGGGACGGAGTCCTTGGAGTCCTGGATCGGAGGTGCCTTCTGAAGAGGAGCCGGCTGCTACGATCGTTAGAGCTGCGTATCGATAGACGATGTCCATCCGGTTGATCTGGATCCTCTTGTCTCGTGGGTCGTCTTGGATGATGCAGAGTCTGTCGGCCCATAGGTATCGCTCTCCGAGCATAGCAACGACCTCCATGGCATCAGAGATTGTTGGTGGTAGTCTGTCGATTTCAATTCCACTGACATCTTCCAGGTCTCGGATGTTCTCTTTGAGCAGAGATGTGTACGGTTCTGGCGACCAGGTGTACGAAACAGCAACGTAAGTTCCTCCTGCTGGCAATGGTACCAGGCACTTCTGTTCCACGTCGATCACCCTCAGAAACCTGAGATCAGGCGGTTCTTCAGCCGTAAGGCTTGTTTTAAGCACATTTTTCGGTCTCTCACAAGCCTCGCCGTGGTGATCCTTACACGTCTCGAGACCTTCTCTCAAGAAGTCCGTCTGAATTTCATCATTCACCAGTCGCCCAAGATGATATACCTCATCTCCATCAACAAGCCCTCCTTCCAATCCACTTAGTGCAGTGAGACTATTCCAATCCAAATTAAACTTCACCTGATCAAAATTCGTCTGCGCCAACGACCTCGTCTCCTCCGTCATCTCCACCTCCTCATTGCCCATAAAAGTCACAGAAAGATCCCATTCTGCCCTCACACCTTTCCTTGTGACAGTCTCACAACCAACGCCCATCCATATCAGAACACGGTAGTTCTCGTTGCAGTCCCCAATATCAAGATCGTTGTTGTTGAGGAAGAGCTCCACCAGGAATTGGCAAAAGGCACAGTGTTTCGTGGCTGCTATCCGGTCTAGCCATCCGATAGTATATGTATCGTCGTCGTTAGCACCAGAAGGTTGAGTAGTGGGCCAGATGATCTTTTCGACCAGAGCATCGCAAGTCGAACATATATCCTCGGCACGACTTGATCGCGGTCTTCCCTCATGGATAGGAAGCGTCCATTTGCCGGGTGCTGTGTTCGTCTCATCCATGCTCATCATTCATCCACTCTTCTGCCGAGGGACGTTAGTCTCGCCTGGATTTCCCAAGTAGGAGAATCTGCATAGGATTCAGGACACCAGTATTGTTTGTATAATCACTTCCTGACATTCAGGGGATCATGGCGAGGTGACGGATCCGTTCAATGGAGACCAGATGTCTTATATAGCCTTGCGAATATCCACATTGTATAAACATCAATGTAGTGGTTGTTCATTATGTCAAGGACGAAGGTGCAAAGCAGCAGCTGAAGTGAAGGCGTTTCGACGCCAAGTGGGTCACCACTTCACCTTCTTCCTACCCCAAGCTTCACGTTTTACAACTGACGGCCTCCGAACGCATCGACCAACACATTCGAAAACTTCTGGGAAACAAACGATGCCCACCAACTCCACATTCATCTCCAATCCCCGTGCTAACTAATAACTTCGCAAAAGCTCTAAGCCCCTACACTACCTTATTCCCCTCCCCCGTCCTCGTCCCCTTCCCACCCCTCATATCCTCCAACCCCTTCAACACCGCCCTCGGCCGCCCATCATACCGCACCAACCTCATCCACTCCTCCAAACTCCTCACCCTCTCGGGCAAAACCCCATCCAAAAACCCCATATCCCTCGTCGCCCCCTTCCCCTCGCCCCAAAACCTCCACCACGCCGAGAAATTCTCCCGCCACGTCATGACGCTCTTGTCCCGGGGGGTGTCGGGCCCCAGTGCCCAGTTGGCGTAGGCGTGCGGGTAGGGTTCCGCGAGGGGGAGGTATTCCTCGAGGGGCATCGGTTCGTGGGTCGCGGGGATTCCCGTGACCCGCGTGAAAGTGGCGGCGATGTCTGGGAAGGAGACTTGTTCGGTGGCGACGGCGAGGTTGAGGTTGGTGGATTGTAGGGGGTTGTTGAGGATCCAGAGGGAGTATTTGCCGACGTCGGCGAGGGCGATGAGGGGGATTTTGCCGTTCGCTTGGTCAGTCAGTCAGTCGGATCAGGATATCTCGAGATGATAGTTAGTTACAGGGGCGAGGGAAAGAAAGAACATACCCGCCGGATTCCTCCACACAAAACTCCCATCCTCCTTCTCCTGGGGCAGATACATGCCATCAAACAACATATCCATATACGGCCCCGTCGTCAGCAAACTCACCGCCATCCCCCCAAGCAAACCCCCCTCCCTCTCCCCCCGCCCATGCGCCAGAATCAAATCCCCAATCCTCCCCTTCGCATCATTATGCCCCCAATGATACCGTTCATCCCACCCGGCAATCCGCAACGCATAGTCCGTGTTCGCCCAGATGTAGTGCTTGACGCCATGATGCCGCGCGATCTCGTAGGCGCGGATGCCGTAGAAGAGCTCGTTTTTCTCGCCCAAAGTGAAGCCGTCGAGGTTGACCCAGGCGCCGTGGGGTTTGTGGGCGAAGGCGGCGTGGAGGGAGGGGAGCGAGTCTTGGGTTCCTTGGAGGAGGGTTACATTGGGGAGGGAGGCGAGGGTTTGGGCGCGGGTGGAGGTTAGGTTGCGGGTTAGGACTATGGCGGAGTAGTTTGGGGAGGCGGAGAGGGCTGTTTAGAGGGATTGTTGTTAGGTGTGGTTCTGGAAGCGTTGGTTGCTGGGGATTTGCTTTGGTGGTATACCTTCGACGACGGGGATTCCCTGGGCTCCTGTGCCTCCAATCACCAATATGAGCTTTCGTTCGGACATGTTGTGATGCAATCTATACGTTGATGTAATTTTAAGATATCAAAAAGCTGCGAAAGCTTTGCGGTCCTCGCCCTTCTCTTATTCCTACTATATCGATCAGGATCCATCATCCAATATATGTAGTGTCGACTCCAGTAGGAGAATATCTCTTCGTAACCGCTATCGTTTACTGTTCACCGAGGGTGGATCACATAGACATTGAGCTTCTGATCAGTGATCATCGTCTTCAACAGGCCTATACCTTGTCAACCGGAGGAATGGAGTCATCGATCCGTACGTACAGACTATGATGGCCGCATGGAGTGACCTTCCGTTGACTTGTCTCTTCTCTAAGGTTTTGAGTCCTTGGGATTAAATACACCGTCCATCTTGTGGCATCGTTTGTGAACGTCGCGACTCGCACGTATCTGATTTCTGACCTTGCTCTTCAGGGTTCATGTTGCAGTCTGATGGCTCGTAATATTTTCTCCAGCTGAGTAGCCCGCTGCACGGGGTCAGACGTCGCATGTCCTCAATCCATCATAACTTCATACACGATCTATGCACAGTGACGCGTTCAAAACACCCCTCCGCCTCCACGGTGCTCAAACTCATGCTATAACATGGGATCAATCAATCTAAAGGGCAAGGAAAGAAGCCTGTTGTATTCCTCGAGTACCTCTCGATCCTGTCACGTTGGTACTATCCACACTGGGAAGACCTGCGAGGGTTTTCCATGCTTCATCTCCATCCTCATCCATCAGGCCCACCATACTCGATATCCATAGCAGACAGCCAGCCGAAATGCATTTACCGAATGCATCTCAAGAAGAGTATGACACCTCCACCGGCGCCCATTGGGATGTGATGGGATAGCAGAGCACAATGATGGTGTGCGGCGCAGTCAATGCTGCGGATGTGCGAGAACGCTGCAGGTAGGTCGTCATCAATTCATTCGGGAGTCCCTCGCTCGGTTGCTCGTAGACAATAGGAGATTCGTATCCACTCTCGTTCGCTGCGAAAGGGGTTGATAAGGTCAATGGTCCGCCTGGGATCGCCATAAAAGTACAGGAGATCCAAAGTCACAGCCTTCACGTTCTCGTGCCAGCCTCGAGCTCACCAGCACTGACGACAGGTTCCTGTGGCTGGTTTTGCTGACTTTGTGATGTTCGCCGGCCAAATCTTGGCATGGTGGTCAACCGACTCCGCCATGACCGACCGGGTGTTTGTTGATCCTGTTGCTCTTGTCGCTGCGCCGCAGGATCCTGATAGAATGCCGCCTGCGCCTCTCGTTCTCGCCGTAACCGCTCTTCTCTAGCAGCATGCGGCGCATAGAACTGATTTGTGTTGTCGTTGAGGAATAATACTCGAGGTGCAAACATCATACGCCCTCTCATCGCAATGCCTCGACCACCGATAAAGGCTGTTGGCGGTGGTTGCATGCCATGCGCATTCCTTCCACGTCGTCGAGGGTCTGCTGAAGGATCTTCGCCATCTGGGCGAGGCTTCGGCACGTAATAATCCGCCTTGCAAAGAGGACAACACGCCCTCCTGCTTGTAAGCCAGGGGTCCACGCATGATCCATGGAAGGCATGCCCACACGTCAAACCTCTCACGTCATCGTCATCGTCCAAAGTATCCAGACAGATGGCGCAGGAATCTCCAGGTGCTGCGAGCATTTCTGGCGGCGCAGCGGTGCGAATAGGATCGTCTTCGTCATCGTCATCCAAGCCGCTTACGACGGATGCGTTCCTATCATCCGCCGATGCGACTGTCTCGGTCGTCTCAACCACGCTCTTCTCGGGAACCTTGTCAGAGCTGGAAGTGGCTTCCGCATCTGATACTGGTCGCGCATGCGATATGGCATTGGCATGGTCCTGTTGCGCCACGCTCAGAGCCGTTGGGGGTCGCGCGGTATCCGTAGACTGTTTCGCAAACTGTGTCTCGATGGTGCCTTCTTCCTCCTTCAGACTGACGGGTCTGCTCTGTGGGTTGACCCCACCAGCGGCAGGCAGTCCTTCGGCCTCTCTGCTCGATCGCCAGATCTTGTATTTGGTCAATGGGAAGCGCTCATTGACCTCCTCCATCGACATGAGCTTCTTCTCGCGTCGTCTCCGTCGTGGGTGCGGCATCTGGGTGAGGTCGACGGGTTCGCCATGTTCATTGAGAGCGCGGGCGGCGCGATTGCGCTGATTATATCTGAAGCAGTACTTAACGCCGACAATGATCCTGTGCATGATGGATGATTAGCGTCATGTACTACTAAGACGGCGGAAGCAGCCGGGTAAAGGCAGGCATAAGATGTTACCAGAGGTTAGTGAAGACGACGCCAAAGCCCAGGGCGACGAAGAAGAGCAATGGCGAGCTGGTGGGGCCGCCGCCGCTTCCTCCTCCACCGCCGCTATCGCCGGTCGGGGTGGAGGTCGCCGAGCTCGTGGTGGTCGACGACGACATGGCGGATGCTGGTGGTACAGTGCGCGTGTGTCAGACGAATCGTCAGTCGTGAGAGTCGCCAAGACGAGGAGTCGTAGTTGGACGAGTGCGGCTCAGACGGCTGACATGCTGAACCTTGTCGGGCAATGCGGAGTCGGGGTGGTGGTGTCGCTGGTCCTGTGATCCGGTGAAGTGGCGGACTGGGATACAGGGCGCGGCGAGACACGCAGATAAGGAGGGGCGATGATTGCCCGCGGGATGGCAATTGGAGAGTGTAGGAGGTGCAAATCGATGATTCAACGATGCTCGAGCGATTCCAAAGCGCACGCACACCAGAGGCAAACGCGGCGTGACCTGTGTGTATCTCCCTCACAGCAAGCAGCAGCAGCAGCGAGATCCTGCTCTGGCTCTGGCTCGTCTGGCGGCGGTTGGCAGCCAATCGAGGCCAGCTCGCGTTAGATGCAGCCGTGGAAAAGCGCGAGATCGCTGAGATCGGGTACTGGCTCGGCGAATCTGTGCCGGCGGTATTTGAGATGCGACGGGCTGCTCAGTCCGGCGGCGGTAGGTCGTAGGAGGGGAGGCGACGACGAGGGATGGATTGCGAGGAGGTGGAGGTGGAGGTGTTGACAGCGAGCGGCTTCACCCTGCCTTTGTAGCGAGTGCGTGTGGCGGTCGTATGGCATTGCGCCGGCAGGAAGAGAGGCGCGCAGTTTGGAGGTGCGTGGCGCGTTCGGGAAAGGATCGCCGCCAACGTTCACTGCTTTTGAACCAGCCAGCCAACCTCGTCTCCCACACGTTCGCCCGCGACTCAGTCGTGCCACGGTGAATGACTTGCTGCCCAGCTCCAGACGTCACTTGTTAATCTACCACCGTCGTTGCTGTCCGAATTGCACGGCTGGGGATGTTTTTGTTGTTCCACCGCTCAGCCGCCACGCCCCGTTTGGACTGCGAGATACTCCTGCATGCAGCCACAGCTGGCCAGAACTCAGCTCGTGCTACGACGCCTATCCAGTCGATGAGGACGCCGACGTGTGAAGACTACCCTCGTCGTTCTGCTCACAGTGGAAGGCAAAGAAACGTCGTTTCCATCGAATCTCTCGAAACGACCACGCTTTTGCCCGCACTTTAGGCCAGCTGGATGGCTTGCGAGTAATGGGGATGAATCCTTCAATCTGAGCCGAGCACCCTGGGTATGCATCGAAGAGGTCCTTGTCAAACGCTTCTTCACAGCCAATACTCAAGCGCCATGCAGCTGAGCACGCAGACGCAGACCTGGCTGGCAGGGATGCAGTAGAGATGGAGGGTGGACGGACGCATTACACAACAGCTCACTGCGGAGGCATATTACACTGCGAGCAGGCAACTATGCCTCTTTCTTTTCCAATTCACTGAAATCCAAAATGTGCGACTACGGCGAGGAAGACGTAGAGAAGTTGCTCGAGTTCACATCTGAGCCGGAAGATAGGGGTATGATCGCACTGTCGATGATACAACGCCACCTACTGGGAGCAGAGCAGTTTACAATTCTGGGCCCTGACAGCTACCACAAAATTCCCGAGCAGTACGAATACCGCCGGCTGCCAGCAAGATCGATTCGCCTTCTCAAAGTCTACCCTTACTCTGAATCATCATATGAACCACTGGTCGTGAGTCTTCACGTCGTCCCTCTCGACACTTCTATCCCCTTCGACGCTTTGTCTTACACCTGGGGACCCCCAAGCTGGGCTGCTAGGAACGCTGCTGCAACACAGGTATTCACGCGAGTCCCGAGATGCTACCCCGTCTACTGTGGATCCAGCCTTGTTCATGTCACCAAGAACTTGAGGGATGCTTTAGTGCAGATTCGTTTCCTACAGTCCGACCCGCAAATTGCAGAGCAAATCAAGTCCGTGTATGAAGAGTCTTTGTCGCCTTACCTCTGGATCGATGAATTGTGCATTGACCAAGAACATGCGCAAGAGCGTGGCCAGCAAGTCTCGATGATGGGACAAATTTACAGCAAGGCCAATCTTGTCCTAGCCTGGCTTGGAAATCAGGAACCCATCACGCGGTACGGGCTCGAAGTGTTGCAGCAGCTGGAGACGATCATGCAGGCAAGTCGCTCTGAACGCGTAACATCCGCTTCGTTTCTCGATGAAAGGTTTTGGCGGCGGACTGGATTCGAACCCTTCTCGACCGAGAAGTGGCAGGCTGTGATCGATATTCTCACCAGAGAATGGTTCACTCGAACATGGGTAGGGCAGAGATGACCACGATGACTGCCAAAGCTTATTGAGAGCGTAGATCATTCAAGAGGTCGGACTCGCCTCAAGACCCGCAGTCGGTATTTGTGGTTCTACTGCGCTCCCTATCATGGCAATCGTCCGGATCACAATCCTCCTGCTCGCCGCCGGCTGGTGCAATCTGATCAGCGATCGCATAGAGACGAGCTACCCAAAGGATCATTTCAAGTTCATTCAACGAACACTCGCATTCCACCCTTTCCAATGGCTGCGGAACATCCAAGAACGCACCGCACAAGGAGATCGATATTCATTTCACTTATTGCAGGCATACACCTTCCCCTTGACCTACTGCTTTGACCCGAGAGATAAGGTCTACGCAGCGACGGGCCTCGCAACTGAGTTCACTACTAATGGCGCCATGACATTCCATATTGACTACGACGAACCCCCGACACGCACATACATTCGAGCGACCAAGCATTGTTTCGAGGTCTCGAAATCTTTGGACCTTCTCAGCATTACAGTACACCTTGATCGCGGGCAATTTGTGACGGATCTGCAGGACTTGCCATTTTGGTGCCCAAACTACTCATCCAACGACTTCAACGACGGGCGCACGCAACCATTGGACCTCCAGCCAGACGATAAACGTATGGCAAACACATTTGCAGCTTCTGGCGGGAGCTCATATGTACCAGTCGATGCCACACTGAAATCCCCTCTCCTCAAAGCCACGGGCATATTCCATGGCAACGTCGTGGAAGTCGTCGATTCAGAATTCTCCTTTGAGTGGAAACAACTATCGGAACATATAGAATTCCTGGCACATCTCACTCCTCCGAGCCCAGCGCCCCTGATAGAAAGTTTCTGGAGGACCCTGGTCCACGACATGTACGACCCAGACTCTGCCAACCAGCCGCATCCTGCGGCCGAAGCAACCCGGGACGACTTCTTCGTGCTCTTGTACATCATGCTCAAAGGAGCGCTCCGCAAAAAGCAGCACGAAGACCCGGACATCAGAGCCGAACTCGAGCGCATGGCATCGAGCATCGACAGACTGCGAGAAGTCTATCCCGATGCAAAACTCCTCTTCCCGGATTTCGCCTATTACCTCACCTTGCACCCAGACCTCACCAATAGCACGTCTTTCTGGGCCATTGAAGATGCCCAGAATCCGCTCTCTCGAGACCCCGTCTCGGCTCCAAGCCTCGTCTTCAACATTCAAGCGAAAGCACGAAGTCGACGCATTTTCCGCACCAGCGACCAACGGCTTGGGATGGGAACGAAGACCATGCAGGCTGGGGATGAGGTCTGGCTGCTCGCTGGTGGTCGGGTTCCGTATATCCTGAGACCGCTTCCCAATGGCAACTACGAGTTCCATGGCGAAGCGTATGTGCATGGCATCATGATGGGAGAAGCTTGGCCTAGGGATGAAGGTTTGCTGAGGGATGTTGTGCTTCGGTAAAATACCTAGATCACAGCAAACGGGCAGATCTGAAATGTGTTCGCGAGAAATCTGGATCAGCTTGATCCCAATTGCTTTGGCATGCCTACCACGTTTGCTCGCATGTGAAACCTCGTTTGATGCGCTAGTGGCTTGGCTGAGATGTGTTTAGAACACTTGCGAAATCGCAAGCTCCTTCTTCTGCACCGTCGTCTCATCTTAGACATCACGGTCAAGACAGTTCACTGCCGGCTGAGGAGCGCTCGAGGTGTTGAAACTGTCCTCCAATCTGTTCACGATATCCTCGCTGACCACCAAGCCGCAGATGGCTGAGCACTGCTCAACGATGGCAATCGGCGTAGTGAGGCTTCTCGCGGACGTCTATTTGTACCTAGCAGCGGCTAAGCGCTCCGTTGCAGGTTTTTCTGCTTGGCTAGGCTGCGAGCGATGGGGATACATGTTCCGTCGTGAGTGGGAAACCCAGGGTCAGGCACATGCTGAGATTCAGTCTTCCCATACTCAGGTAATCTGTTTCTCGAATTAGCGACTCTTTCCGCCCTCGTACGAATCTGATGGTGATATATGCGTGACCCAGAATCAGGAAAGCGTGGACGCATGTGAAAGTGCAGGGGTCCAGCGCTAATGGCTTGGCGTTTGCGCGACTGCCTATAACCACCCAACAACTTTTCTTCAGCCATCAGTCACCTTCCACCTCAAACAAGACGTCTCCTCCATCTCTCGCAGTCACCTCAGGTATGCACGCGACGCTCGCTTATCTTCATGGCACTAACATCCTCTCCGCAGATGGCTCCATCAGGCGCACGGCCGCGAGCCAAGAAACCCTCCCAACATCAGGTCCAGCAGGAGCTGCGCCGAACCTACTACGAGACGTAGAATCAAGCCTCAACACTCCTGCGTCTTCCTCAAGAGCTCCGCGATGCAATCTACGACTTCGCAGTCCCTCACGACTCCGTCTTCAACATCGATGATTCAAGAGACGATGCCCGCATCAACGACGTGGGAGTTGGCACCACACACCTCTGCCGGACGATACGTTCGCACGAGTCCTACGAGGGACATTTTGCCATCACGCAGGTCTGTCGGCAGCTACGACGGGAAACACTTCCGGTGGCGTATGGCCGCAATATCTTCATGTTTCAAGTGGAGCCAGAATCGATTTGGAACTACAGCATCGTGAGAGCTCGAGACAGGAGAGGCTCGAGTGCCAGAGCAGAAGCCTGGATCGAGACTCGACCGGCCGAAGCACTGCCGCACATCTGTCGCGTCATTCTGCACCATCGAGGCTCGGAGATATGGCTCGGAAGCGATGTCACGGTTTTGTTCGAATTTAAGACCATGAGCTTCAAGAACGTGAGCTTCAAGACCATGATCATCGATGACCGAGGCTTTTGCTTCTTCTGTACGTTGTATCGTAGGTCTAGGACTCACTGTGTGTGTGGGGAAATGGAGCGGAGAAGCGTGGTGAAGGCGGAGAGAACGAAGGCCTTCGAGGAGAAGGTAAACAGTAGTAGAGCCATGATTTCCAAGAAGCCTGCTGTGAAGCTGCCGAAGCTCATCGAGGCCTTTCTGCAGTATTTCAAACGGTAAAGCTTTGAGGGCATGATCGGCTGCACCAGGTGGGAAAGGATCTTGATTGTGTAGCTCTAGGAGACTACAAAGGAGGAATGGAGTTTATTGAGCATGTTCTCCCAGCAGTCAACCACAGAAGAACAGGCACAACCCACCCATGACCAAGCGACCAACGAGAGCTCAAACGAAATGAAGTCGGACGACTTGACTTGTCACAGCACAAAACCCCCAACAACGAACCTCCCAATCTTCAAATCTTCACCTCATACCTATACTCATCAAACCTCGAATCCCAATAATTCCGACAATAAACCTCATCCAACCTCTCAATCAACCCCTGCTCCCGATCCACCACAAAATCACAATACCCCAAAAACTCAAACGCCTTCCCATTCGGCGGGAACCTGCCGGCGAGATCGCCCGTCATCGTCCCCTTGCCGATGTACTTCATCACGCAGCCTTGCGGGGTCGGCCAGATGTTGAGGATCTCGGGCACGTGGAAGTCCGGGTTCGCGTGGATCCAGAGGTTGTAGTGGTTTGTGAGGGCGGAGGTGCCTTTGCGGGTTACGCGGAAGCTGTGGTCGGTCCAGATTCCTTCGCGGGTGTAGAGGGTTGTGAGGGATGAGGCGTCTTTGGTGGACCAGCTTGCTGCCCAGGCGCGGGCGAGGCGTTCGCAGAGGGCGGCAACTGTTGGGGAGGTTGGTCGTCAGTTTCACTCAGCGCTTCGATGCGCGTTGATCGAGTGCCTTGCGGTAGTACTTACAGTCTGAGTCTGTGGAAGACATGCTCGCGGGGAGTGATAGACGGCAACGTAGGCTAAAGTCTTTCCCTGCTATCTGGATAGATTGAATAATTCTTTGGGCTGAATGATGAACACATTCACAAGACAATTCTATTCCATCGTCCGTCTCACACATTCGACGTAGTCAGAGTGGTGGTATTTAAGTAGCCCCAATTCCACAACCCTAAGATGACACTTCTAGCCTGAGCAACCTACATGTCAGCCCTGGCACAACATGCGAGAACCGCACTCTTCCTTGTCAATCCGAACCAGGGGAAGAGGATGTTTTCACACTCCTGCCTGTCTCCATCTATATCCTCTCCCCCAGCAAAATCGGCCTCGCCTCCTCACTCCTCCACCAACTCACGCCCTCCTTCCCAGGAAACTCAAACCGATCCATCGACTCGGGCTTCATCTCCACCGAATACCCCGGCTGCGTAGGCGTCGTATAGTACCCGTCCTTGATAACCGAAGGATTGTAAAAGTGCTCGTGCAAATGGTCCACGTACTCCAGCACAGAAAGCTTGCCAGACACGACAACATAATCAATCGTGCTTAAATGCTGTGTGTACTCCGGCAGGCCTACGCCCCCTGAATGGGGAACGATGGGCACGCCGTATTTCTTCGCGATGAGGAGCACGGCGAGGACTTCGTTCACGCCGCCCATGCGGCAGGCGTCGATCTGGCAGACGTCGATGGCGCCCTGCACGATGAGTTGTTTGAAGATGACGCGGTTCTGGCACATCTCGCCGGTGGCGACGCCGATGCCGTAGGGTCTGAGGGCGTCTCGGATGGCTTTGTGCCCGAACACGTCGTCGGGCGAGGTGGGCTCCTCGATGAACCAGGGCTTGAACTCGGCGAGGTGCTTCATGTATTCGATGGCTTCGGGGACGCTCCAGACTTGGTTGGCGTCGACCATGAGCACGTTGCCTTTGTCGTAGCCGATGACGCTGCGGGCGATGGCGAGGCGTTGCTTGTCTTGCTCGATGCTCGTGCCGACTTTGAGCTTGAAATGGCGATAGCCCTGGTCGACTGTCTCCTGCAGCAGGGCCTTCATCTTCTCCTCCCCATAGCCTAACCAACCCGCAGAAGTCGTATAAGCAGGCACCGCCCTATTGTTCTCAGCCTCCTTGATCCTCTCCGCCTTCCCCGGCTCCAACCCCTTCAACAGCTCAACCGCCTCCTCAGGCGTGATCGCATCCGTGATATACCTGAAATCAATACACCTCACAAACTCCTCCGGGCTCATCTCCGCCACGATCCTCCACACCGGCTTTCCCAGCGTCTTCGCCCACAGATCCCAGATAGCATTCACCAAACTCCCCAACGCAAGATGTATCACCCCCTTCTCCGGCCCTATCCACCGCAGATGTGAGTCTGATACGAGATATCTCCACGTCTGTCCCCAATCCGCCACCAGATCTTCCAGCTTCTTGCCTTTGACTCGGTCCGCGAGGGCGCTGATCGCCTGGCAGACGATCTCGTTGCCGCGCCCGATCGTGAAGGTCATGCCGTGGCCGCTGAACTCGGAGTCGGTGTGGAGGATGCAGTAGGCGGCCGAGTAGTCGCCTGCGGCGTTCATGGCATCGCTGCCGGTTTTGTCGAGGGAGGTCTGGTGCTTCACGTCAACCTCATTCATCTCCCAGTATCAGAGCCTCTAGACACTTACAGGAAACCTCACATCCCTCGTCGTAGCGTGCGTGATCGTCACCATTTTCCCTTCTATCCACCAGCAGTATGTAATCTCTCGACAAAACGGAATCGTGCAACAGAGAGAACGAGCTTCGAGAGAAGAAAACGGGAAGCGACTGAGAGGTACCCTACCAAGCCTGATCGTCAGGTACTACTAGCCATATAAGCAATTGCTTGCATATGATCCGTCATCAGCCCACTTGGCTTGGAGGGGCCGTGGTGCCCGGTGCAATGATACCCCAAAGATACGAGTTGCTGGCACAATTGGCGGAAGAACACTGAACGGGAGGTGCAGTCGGCGAGCCGAGAGACCCCCAAATTGTGACCCCCAACCGTTGGGGCCGATGTGTGGTCATTAGCCGCGATTTTAGCCGATTCTTGAAGGCGGCGATGGCATGCATATACCGTAAGGAAAGATGAAAGATTGCGTGTATAAAGTCTGTTGCTTATGGGTATCTTACTTCTGTTGTATTCTGTACCTGCAGTGCTGTGCTATGTATCATTCAATCATCCATAGGCTCATCCTTAATGACGATAGGATCATCCTCGTTATTCTCAAGATCAACAACTTCTCCCTCAGAGCCCACAACAACACTTCGCATCCCTCCACCCTCGCGCTTGACTTCAATGACTTCGACGACTCTCCCTGCTCTTGGTCGAACCTCTGCTGCAAGCATGATCGTTTCAATCCCGGCGGGCACTCTCTCGTCTTCCGGTCCCCAGGGCAAGTTGTCCACGTCGATCTCCTTGTTGAGCAGGGACTTGAGTATCACTTCAGCCCCTGCTTTCGACATGACTTGATTCGCTTCTTTGCACCGCTCACTACAGCAGCACTCGAGGCAACCTTCTAAGCAATGACACGCCTCGACGCGCTCACAAGCTTGCGTCAGCAGCAAGTCAATAAATTCGAAAGCCTTTGCTGCAATGCCTGACCCATGCTGACCTCCTTTGTCGTCGTAGAACGTCAATCTAGCAGGACGCTTGCGCGATGTCTCCTTCTTGGCGAACTCTTTGATGGCGACCTTGCATTCCGTCTTCACATCTCCGGGCATGGAGATGACAAAGTTGGGCATGAGACTCAGAATAGCATGCTCCGCTGCGTGGATTCCAGCGGCAACATTCAGCCTTCTCGAGTTGAGAATCTCAACGGCGGCTTTCGGCACGTCTAGCCACATGCCCTTGCTGAAGATGACGATGGGGGGATTGTCCACTTGGACCGCATCCAGGATTCTGTTCTTTTTGTCTAGCTTGAAGAAGCCGAATACGTTCTGATGAATCTTGATGGTGCCATAGAACGCTCTGCTCAGGGATCCAGGAAGACGCCGTATAGCCTCGGTCTCTACAGGATCGATGTCGGTGTAGTCTCTTTGCTGGGTGATCCAATCTACTTTGACAAATTCGACCTTGGCGATCATGCGTTCCGTGCTCATATGCTTGACGAGGTATTTGCGACCTTGGTGCAGGAAGATGCCGCCTTCGTAGATAGTGAAGAAAGCTCGGCTGGCCTCGAGCTCTTCAAGTACCTCATTCCTGCCATTGGTGATGTCGACGATGGCAAAGTGACTGTCCTCGGTGTCTCTAATGGCCACAGTTCTAGATGGATGCGGCAGATATCGATCAGCAGGATGATAAAAGCCCAGGTCATCCTTGCGCAACCGTTCGGAACAGATCTCTGGAAGTTGCTTGCCAAAGAACTTATCATCCTCGTCCGCGTTGATGGGCATCTCATAGGCCGCGCACTGTATATGACCCTCGAGAACCAGCATATTTGTCAAGTCGACAGACAGTTCGCAGTTCGGTCTTGTGAAAATCTCATCCGGATTCTGCATGAAATATTGGTCCGTTGGGAAAGAGTTGCCAACAAGAACTGACAGGCTATCTCTGTTTCTCCGCCCAGCTCTCCCAGATTGCTGTCGGAGGTTGGCAATCGTATATGGGAAGCCATGAGAGATGACACAGTCCAGGCTGCCGATGTCGACACCCAGCTCCAGAGCACTTGTACCAATAATGCCTACAAGCCTACCCTCGAACATCTCTTTCTCAATGCGGCGTCGATCTTGGGCAGTGTAACCACCTCGGTAGGCCATGACACGATTCATCACCTCAGTGCGGTCCAGCGCAGTGAGTTCGTTCTTGATTGCAGTTGTCAAGATCTCGCAGTACTTTCTAATCCGGCAAAAACAGATAACACGGATGCCGCGCAAGATCAGTTGACAGAAGAGTCTCGCTGTTTCCATGAATGAATCACCTCGTCCACTGGTGGGGTCTCCTGGATCTTTGAATGGTGTGTTCCAGCACAAGAACTCTTTCCGACCACACGGCGAGCCGTCAAAGTCGACGAGCTTTACCTCGTTAATGCCGAATATCGTTTGCATGTGCTCTTCTGGATTGGCCACCGTAGCTGAACATGAGATGAACTTGACTCTGCGATTCCCGACCGCAGCACATATTCTCCTCAGACGTCGCATTATGAGTGCGACGTGGGCACCGAAAAGGCCGTTGTATACATGCAGCTCATCCATGACAACGTACTGCAGGTTTTTGAGAAAGCTTCGCCAGCTCTCCTCTTGAGGGAGAATGGTTAGATGCAGCATATCGGGGTTTGTGAAGATGATACGTGCTTCGTCGCGGATATAGTTACGATCAGTGAAAGCGGTGTCGCCATCGAACGTCTCGCAAACGACGTCCTCGAGACCCGGAAGATATGCAAGCATTGCCTTCAGACTTCGTCGCTGGTCTTGTGCCAAAGCCTTCGTTGGGAAGATGTACATTGCTCTCGTGTGAGGCTCGCTTTCCAAGGCGTGCAGTACAGGAAGCTGGTAGATCAGAGACTTGCCAGAACTTGTGGACGTAGAGACTATGACATTCTGACCTTCATGCAGGGCGTTGATTGCTTCGGCTTGGTGGCTGTACAGTTGCTGTATGCTTCTAGTATTGTAGAGTGCATCTACTAGGTCCTGGCTCAACTCGAACTTGAGCTCCCCGTAGACAGGCTGTTGCGGGTCAAACACGCGATGACCGTCAGGCACAATCTGTCCAGTGTACCATTCCAGGCCTTTGAGTTCCTCTACAATCTCTGGGACTGATTTTCTTTCTTCTGGAATACTCGCTGGTAGCGTGCTCTTTGATAGCTCAGGTGCAGGAGTAACTCCTCTGCTTTCCGTCGGCCTGGGAATGTATTGCTTATGCTCCTCTTCGAGACGCTGTACAGGGTCAACTCCTTGATCCGTACATTCGTTCAACCACGCATTGATTGCCGACGCGAACTTCGTATTTCTCTTTTCGATCAACTTCATCATGTTCTTCTGACTGAATACAGGCATCTTCAAATCTTCATTCCTGATCTTAGTGTGAGGGTTCACGGCCTCGCCCGTCTTTGGGTCTTGTACCTGCCTCTTGAGCTCCCCGTCCACAAACTCGAAGAAGAGTACCTCTTGATGTTCTTCTCTGCCAATGCCTTCCTTGACGTTGCGTACTTCGGCAGGCATCTCCGCAAAGATATCTCCAGTCGCTTTACCCTTTCGCAGATCTTCCTCGCCCATGAGTGCCACCTCCAGCAATGTCTCATCAACATACAAGAAATTAACTGCAAGCGGTACCAGCAACTTTATCTTGGCCACATCTTCCACCTTCAGTTCTCGCTTGATGTTCGCTTCGACTGTGCTTCGAAGGTTCTCAATCGTAGTGGCGAAGTGCTTGCGGGTGCAGCAGAAGGTGTAGACGAGGTTTAAGGCTTTGTGCGTCTGTGCTAGCTGCGTGAACTCTGGTGGCCACGGAATCGATGTCTCGACGACATTGGACGAGTTGTTTCGCTGCAGAGCCGGGTGATCTGCGTCTCTCTTCGTTCGTCGCGGTTTCTTTCCACCATCGTGCGTCTTGGTAGGAACCGTGCTGGATGCGACATCTGTATTTGACGAGTCGTTGTCGTTTTGCTCGGTCGTTGGCTGGTGTTTGCGCTTCCTTCGCACGACCTCTGGAGCGCGATCAGTCGCGGCTTGCAGTTTGACCATTCTGAGAGGCGCCGATTGCACTCAGTCAGGCTCGTAATGCTGATTGATGTCTAGCCACCTCCACGACCACATCTCAGCCTTATGATAGGAAACGACCGTGGATGAGGTGAAAAGTCTCGACGGCGCTGAGTCGATCAAAGCAGGGAGCGATTCTTTCTGGTGACGACATCCCAAGCCAAGCGGCAAGCGCCATTTTTACGCGCAGTCATGTGCCCGCCATTCTCATCAAACCTTCATAAATCACTTTCCAACGGTTCGTCCCAAGACAGCTTTCACGGCTAGAAACTTACCTAGGTACTCCACGAGCTCAACACGAAACGAATCTCATCATAGCCATTAATCAGCAACAATACCAGGAGAGATTTTCGATACTCAAGCGTACCTCTAGCCATCAGAAGCCGAAATTACCGCACTTTTCAAAGTCGACCGCGACCTCCGGTTCAACCTCCCTGTTCTCCCTGCGAACATCTACAGACATGGCGAATCGCGACCTCAACTCATTCGACCCTGCGACAGCCGGCAGATATGATCCCGGCTATCTCGAGATATTTTATGACAATCGAACGTACAAGGGTTTCGACGACAAGCTTCCTATCTGGCAGGACTACTGGCTGCAAGGGCTGTCAAGATTGAGTCGTCCGTCTCTGTTCTACCCATCAGACATCTATCCTGGCTTCATCCGAATCGTCTTCTATACTGTATGTCTTCTGGAGAATCATTGCGCCAATGTCGACTGATAAGAATGTAGCACGACGGCAACCAAGGCCAAAAGGATTTCCCACTACACAAGGCTGAAGCTGTGAAGGAGATGTTTGATTCGCTTTCTACAGAAGGGTTTCGACCCATGATCATAGGGTACTCGAGTGAGAATCCGTTCCCGGAGCTGGGAGGCAGAGAGCCACCGCCCCCTCCAAAGAAGCAGGAGCCGAAGCGAGCCACGACCTGGAGTAATTCGGTAGCAGGCCATTCCGAGAGTAGCACGCCTCACGACCGTATCATGTCGATTATTCGAGACGACGATGAGAAGGAGGCCAAGCTGCGACAAATGCAAGCAGAGTACATGGAGGAGAAGCTTGGCGGTGCCGTATGAGTGTCGTCGCGCTCTTTGACGTGTTGTTTGCCTGCGAGAATGGCTTTCACAAGGTATTCAAGTGTCACCAGAAAGCAGGAGAGCATCTGTAAATGGGACCGAATTTCCATTCACTTGTTCCCTCAGTCGCTGTCGATCGCCTGAGTCAGCACCCGGCTCTTCACGTGCTCCCCCACCATCAATCAAGCATCGCGCCTTCCAGGTTGTCCCCCAGCCACACGCGACCTTGCTTCTACAACACCTCCACAAGCCTCAACACGCGCACTCGTCTGCATCAGAACAGATCTCAGCATCGCCTTGGGGACCACGGCTGTCGAAAATGCCCGGGCACGCTCAGCTTCAACGGCTCAAGTATGTCCGGCCAGTCTGCTTCTGTCATCCCACACTGACTGTGATACAGGGCAGCTGAAAATGCACGCCGGAAGCGCGAGGAGGGAAACCGCAAGACTTTTGGCTGGCTCAGACTCCCAACCGAGATTCGCAACAAAATCTACGACCTGGTTTTACCCCACGATCGAATCATCGATGTCTTCTACGAATTCGCAGACCGCCATCGCAGAGTAGGCTCCGAGGGCATGGTCCTCACCGAACTGCTCAAGGTAGACGCGTCCTGGACGACCTGGATCGGCATCACACAAGCAACCCGTCTCATCCGGCAAGAAGCGAACAGATACTACTACGGATCGAACATCTTCGTCATCGGAATCAGCCACCTGCTCTGGGACAGATCTGTCAAATGGCTGCGCACACGACCGCAAGACGCCTTTTGCGTGATGCCAAAGCTGCTGCTTTGTGAGCACACCGTCTGTCTCTCATCTTCTCATATCGAGCACACGAGGGTTGTGCAGCTGGACCTCTTCACACTCGAAACGCGAATGCTGAAAGTATGGCTGGAGAGGGACCCCTTTCCACGCAACGAGTTCTGCCCCGTCTGTTTCGACATCTGTAAGAAGGGACTGGTGGCCATGCGAAAGCGCATTCTTTTCAAGCGGCAGCTGGCAAACTGGCTGGACGGAGAGCCTACCGGTGAGCGAGCTGTTCAAGCGATCAGGACATTACGATGCGATACAAAGTCTTTCACGGGTCCAAATCTTCATCGGATAGAAGCAGTGGAAGATGACAGCGAGGGCGCCAAGGAGGTATAGATGGAGGCGCGGGCTTGATTTTCTATTCCCCATTATCGAGAATGCACTTTCTGCAAGTTTCACCACCACGAATGGCACTTTTCATTGAATCGAGGAGCAGATTCGAGATAGACCGATCCGTTGACGACGATTCGCCAGCCTCGTTTGGTAGCTCCTGCTGTACCACCGCAGAGGCGGGGAGCACCGTGCGACCAGCACCGGTGAAAGAAAGCAGGCAACCCCTCGCACTTCGCATCACATCACATGCACGATCTGCCTTCTGACAGACAGTCACCATCTTGACAACCCCAATCGTGCTAGATCACTCCGACAAGGTGATGGTGACTCAAGCCGAGGAGTCATGCTGGTATATGTTACCGCCACTAGCGAAATGCCTCACAGCTAACTCAATGCACAGCTCCGACGAAGACGAACGCGGCAGACGCGAGCTCGAGAACAGCTCTTCAAGACTCTTGGACCTTCCGGCGGAGGTTCGCAATCAAATTTACGCTGAGCTGCTGCCATGTGATGAGATCTGGCACATCACGAGCGACATGTACTACGAGATTCGACAAAGCAACTCGAAGCCAGACAAGAAAGCATTCGTCAAGGATGACATGTCCGATGACATGAGATTCGACCGTCTCGCGCTTTCTCGCTGCTGCAGACAGCTGCGGAAGGAAGTCTTGAGATACTTTTACGGGTACAACTCCTTCGTCCTGCCCATCGCCCCCGAGGAGATCAACGGAACGCGCGAATGGCTTTCTACTCGTCCACAGGAGACATTTGCAGTCTTGCGGAAAGTCTATCTCCAACAAGCGATGCGTCGCTGCCACAAGGAACGCACTCCCTGGTACGAGCGATTGCTGTCCATTGACCTCAAGACTCTCGAGGTTGAGATCATCGGCAAGCTGAGGCATTGCTCTGGGTGCCTGGAGCGCTACGAGAGACAGGTAGAGAGGGTTAAGGAGAGACGGCCATACAAGCAGCTCAAAGAGACATGGCCAGACTTGGAGATGACGGAGGGTCGTCTCATGGAGCTTGCGAGGATGTTCCAGCGGCGACCAAGCTCGTCGAAGTCTGAGGAGGAAGACGATGCGGCTTTGGCAGGGCTTGCCCTCTTATTTGAAGAAGTCTAGAACTCGCGAATGGTGGAGGTATACAGTACTCAAGACAGACTTGTGCAGCGGTTCAAGCAATCTAAAGCAATATTTGATTAACTAATACCTATGTACCCTGAGAGACGCACCTAACTAATAGGGTAGGCTAGACCTAACAAACTCTTAACCTACTTAACCTTAGCTAAGCGAGCACTTACCTACCTTCTACTACTCTTTCTCTATTTCTTTTAGTCCTAATACTTTTATTCCTTCTACTAAAATACCTTAAAATACTATATATATCGTCTAGTATACTATTATTATACCTACGTCCCTTAGACTCGAAGACTAGCGTAACTAGATTAAAGAACGAATAGCCTAGCGAGTACCTTATAAGACGATTTAAGAGGACTTTAAAGCGAGTATTAGTATAAGAGTAAGCCTAGCTACGATAGCTAGGTACCTAGCTAAGTAGAACGTTCGTATAAACGCCCCTCGAAGTACTTATAATATAGAGCTTCGAGTATAGATAGCGTTTACCTTCTATATCCTCTAGCTTAAAGATATAGAAGCCTATAAGGTATTACGAGTAGAGGGGTTTAATATTAAGAAGTATATATATATTCGTACTCGTAAAGAGCTTAGCCTATATAAGAGACTACTACCGGAGGTATAGGAAGGCACTAAGGCCGAGATTACGAGTATCTTAAAAGAGGAGTTAAAAGATATAGTAGTTAAGTTATACGGTAAGGGTAATCTATATATCTACCTCCGTTCTAAATATAATATTATTAGTAGGGAGCGAGTATATAAGATCTTAAAGCTATTAAATCTAGAGGGTATCGAGAATCGACTTAACCGAGTATAAGCATATCGCGGCGCTATTATTACTTCTAGCTCTAACTTCTTATAGTCTATAGACGCCTACTATAAGTATAAGTTCGTAGGGATATAGATTTACGCCGCTATTAATATATTCTTACGCTATATTATATAGATATATATAGGGATTATAGAGCGTTTAGTAGTATTAGTACTCGCTTAATACATAGTAACGCTAGCTAACCTTAGCGTTATTCCTAAGAAGATTCGATCCGATCGTAGTACCGAGACTATAATAGCTATAGACGCTTACTATATAATAAGCTAGGTAGTACGAGGACTAGTAGTATATAGCCTAGAGCCGCTACTATAAGTGCTCGATCTAGAGCTCGCTCTAGAGTAGGCTAAG